AACCCTAACCCTAACCCTAACCCTAACCCTAACCCTAACCCTAACCCTAACCCTAACCCTAACCCTAACCCTAACCCTAACCCTAACCCTGGTGTCGCTCTCTCCTATCGTGTGTCGGATTCATTCTCAACTGCGCACTCACTCTATTGCCCGTAGAGCCAATGACATGCATCCTTCTATACATGTATCACGTTACATGCTCACTAGTCATGATCTAGGACTCCACTATGCGCAAGCTTCGGATTGAACTCCCAAAAAAATGAGCAACGATTTTGTCGAAATAGGTTCGCGGAACATCGGCGGCGGGCTAGACAAAGGAAGGGGTTATCGAACTCGACTGTCTTGACCATACTATCGCTGGGCATGGCCTCACCGCTTGTTCTTGGGGTGCTTCGACTCTTCAAATGCTGGGGACCATGGGCATTTGGTCCTCTGATCCTGCTAGTCTCGTTCTGTCATGTGTTCGTCTACGCCTTCGCCTGTCGGCTTTTGAGGCAGCCGAAATCCCGGAACAGGATCATAGGCATGCACATCAACGACAAAAAGGCAAGGGTAAAGAAGGCTTACGAAACTCTCGAAGACTGCTGGTCCATGTATAATGGGATATCGCCCTGTCCTGAGCGCCTATAGTAGCGATCTGAGTCAAGTAAAGAGCATTGTAGGAAGTGCTTCTTAGACAACGTTCGACGCGAGCAAGGAGACTGGCAGACAGACTTTGGTCGCTTAGACTTTGGTCGCTTGGACTTTGAAGAAACCGTCTCAATATGGGAGCTGAATCATCCGCGACCAATCGAAATTCAAAAGTTGTACGAGGAACGATAGATGTCATTAGTCTACATGATCCTCGGAATACCGCTCATGGTGTGGATGGGCTTCTATGTCACCTGGCCAGAGCCGAAGGCGCTGTATGTCTGCCTGCAATCAACATGACTTCCATCTCAGCCTGTCAGCGACAAACACATACATCTGTGGCAAGTCTGCTCGTGGGTGAGAATCTTCAATAAAACTCTTGGTCGTTTAAGCGTGACGGAAATGTCTCTGCAACCGAGCGATGAATTGCAAGCGCCTTTTGTCCACTCCTCTCTACCGATCATCATACCTATGTCGAAAGCTTCAAGTCTTGAGTATCAACCCAATTCCCATGTAAGCCAGCTCTCAATCGAATAGGCAAATCTACGATTGCCTGCGCTTTCCCGAAGTTTCTCGTGTCTACAATATGGAGTTCACTAGCCATGGTGGCGGCGTTGTTGACAAGAGCAATGACCCACCCGTCACCCTCTGCAGTCATCGAGCCTTTCCTTGCGACAAAGACAGGTTCCTGAACAAAGTGTGTAGGCCCAGGGAAATACTTTTCGATCGCCATGGTCAGGTAGTTCAGGTGGCCTAAAGAGTTGTAAGGAGGATAACCGCCTCCCATCTTTGGCATTGTGTTAGGAAAGTCAGTGCCTAGCGTCGGATCCATGACGTCGAAAAAGGCATGCGAGTGCTTCTTCCCTGCGAATCTATCATCAACGCGTGGAAATTCGCAATCGACGCCACTAATGACTTCGTGCTGTGGAAGATCCAAATCTTTCGAAAGAGGATCAAAAGTGAAACGAACGAGCTGCGCTGCAATCTGCTCGGGATTGGGTGCGTTGCCTTGCGCATCTGGCCACCAGAAGAAAACGTTTTTGTCTGTGAGAGGAAGATCGAAGACGATATTTCCAGAATCATCCTCGTAAGCATTGACTGTGTGTCCGGGGAACGCGTTTGGTGCGCGAAACCACTTGACATTGGATCCAGATGCACCACGGCGAGGTAAGACTCCAAGGTAGAATGGGATATTCGGATTCCACTGCCAGTGTTCGCCGCCCTGCTTCATCCGCTCAAGATCGCAAGTCTGCGGGATGATTGGGAATAAAACCTAATGAAGTCAGATGATACTAGTCCTACAGCAGAGCAATTTCCATACCCAATTTTCTGTAATAGCGAAGTCATGTATCATAGCAACGACAGGCGAGACAAGCCAGACAGTCTCAGTGATGGTACCTGTTGAATCAATCGAGAAGTAGCAGACATCTGGCGTGCCATCGCCTTTTGCTTCATATCCAAACCCCAATAGCTCATTTCCGTCTAGTTTCGGATGAGCCGTAAAAGTCAAAGAAGGTAGTTGGCCATTAAAGTCTTCCAACCGAAGTGTTTCCAGGGTTTCCGGATCTAGAGCATAAGGAGGGGAGTCTTCTTTGCATGCAAGAAGCTGTCCATTGAAATAGAACACGTTGGTATTTGCGGTGCTGCGCACTTTGAACTCAACAGCATCAGTGAATCTGTTGCGATATCTGCCTGCAAATGGTGGTCAGCACAAGTTGCATCATGCGATCAGGATGAAGCGCACCAATCAAGGCTCTCTTCGCCTCGCGCTCTCGTACGAATTTCTCTGTCCGGACATATCTCTGTTTGAAGTGGCAACTGCCATCTTTGATTCTGAAAGCGCTAATATTGCCGTCGCCATTGAACCACTGTTTTCTGAACGTCAGTGGTTTGCCAGTCACTTCGGCGAGTATACGGAAGTCTTGACATACAGGATCGTTGTCGATAAAGGGAGGTAACTGTGGGTCTGGCATGACTCTGTAAAAAGTGCCATCGATCTCTGAAGGTATCTCACCACGGACTGATAAGTTCTGAACTTCCCCTTCGAAGCGACATGGGCTCATAAATCCTGAATGCAAAGGCGTTGGAGGAAAAGCGCGTTTTGGCTGCATTGCAATCGCGTGGCCAGCCATGTTGAAAGGAGGTTGTGCTCAACTCAAAGCTACGTTTTTGTGCAGTTACATATAGTCGATTTGTAGCGCGCATTTGGTCGCCAAAAGAGACGCGTGGAAGACGTCGTACATCGCTGCGAAGATCCCGCATTGTACAAAGATGCCGCTCAACAATGCCAGCGAACATGGGGCGGGGTGAAAGGCCCGACAGGAACATGGGTCTTAACTCCCCGGATGGGCCCCGCTCTGCCAAATTGTGCCGCGCTAACGCAACACGAGGTAAATCAGCTGTGAGCGCAACAGACGCAGACCGAACTTGACTTCGGAATCATGACGACGAAGAGGTATGCAAATCAAGGGTACGTGTGGTGCAGACTGGCTGAGAGGTGGTTTCACGAGATGCCATAAGCCAAACAGCATCTGGTTTCTATGGGTGCCCAGGTAGTTTAACGGCTGCCCATCATGTGCATCGGTTATCGAGATCAAAGTCGGGATGGAAATTGAATTTGCGAACTCAGCATGCTTAGTCCCACGCATTTCTGTTGCAACTAATTCAATCCATCCTATTCAACTCCAATGTCCATCCAATCACGGATGCAAGAAAACGGTCTTCGTCTGCAAAAACTCGTCAAATCCAAACGTTGAACCGAACCTGCCCCATCCACTGTCCTTCCTTCCTCCGTGCGGCAGAGACACTTCATCGTATACAGTGCTCGAGTTCACATGTACTGCACCCGTGTGCAGCGTTTTCGCGAGCTTCAAAGCGCGCATGTGATTGCGACTGAAGATAGCGCCTGAGAGACCATAGGAAGACTCGTTCGCCAGGCTGACAGCCTCTTTTTCGTCGTCGAAAGCTCGAAGACCTAGCAGTGGACCAAACGACTCCTGGCTCCAGAAATCCATTGTCGAAGTGATGCCATCGATGATGGTAGGTGAGGCATCGAACGTGCTCTCAACTGTCTTCGTGGCAGCTCCACCATCTCTCGCGTTCGCCACGAGCGTATCTATTCTCGATGCGCTTTTAGCGTTGATCAACGTTGTTACCTGCTGCTCTTCGTTCGGCAGCTGCTGATATAGGAGTTCCCGGAATCGTCGCTCCACCGACCGGGCTACGAGCACTATATCGGTGGACATGCAGATCTGACCCGACTATTGTTCAAGATGATTAGGATTCGTCTTTCGGTCAATAATTTGGTCAACATACGTTAAGCATTGCTCCGGCAAGCACTTGATGCGCTGCGATCGCGAGATCGGCATCCTCCAACACAATGGCGAAATTCTTGCCTCCGAGCTCCATCGTCACAGGTTTGAGATGGAACGCCGCACGCTGAGCAACGTGACGACCTACCGCGGTCGAACCCGTGAAGTTGCACTTCCGTACTGCTTTGTGCGAGATCATAGCCTCGAAGCAGGTGGATGCATTTTCTGGGCTGTGCTGAATGAAGTTAAGCACCCCCGGGGGAAAGCCTGCTTGTTGAAACAGCTTCGCGATTAGATGATGCGTTCGAGGGCACATCTCAGAGCCCTTCACTGCGTTAGCAGTCGTTTTCGATCAAAGTCTCGACGACAGCCGCTGCATCTCACCTTCAGGATAGCCGTGTTCCCTGCGGCAACAGCTGCAGCGACTGCGCGAAGTCCCAAGATCAGTGGCGCGTTCCATGGCGCGATGGCAAGAATCACGCCATAAGGTTCTTTCAAAACGATCGCTTGCGCATCCGGCGCCCTTACGATAGGTGCTATGCCAGTAAGCACTCCGGAAGTCACTGTGGCAGCAATGTCTTCTGCGATGGCGATAGAGTCTAGGACGTTTATCTCTGCCCATAGGGCTGAGCATGAGATTTCTTGCTGTATCAGTGTCTGGATATGCTCGCTCTCATCACGCATAAGCTATCGAGATGTCAGCTCGGAATCTAAAAGAGCTTATGTACCCGTACCTGTGCGAGTCGATTGAAGAGTCTACGACGCTCAAACGGCTTTGAGTTGCTCCAAGTAGTGAAAGCATCGGCGCACGACTCCACGGCCTGCGTACACAGGGCCTCCGTGGCGCCTACTGCATACACATCTCGATTGGCCTTGTTGTCTGGGTTTGGTCGAAATATTAGACCTGGGCTTTCGGAAGATACATCCGAAGGGGCGAAGTCAACGCCATGGATGATCAGGGGAACAACTGTAGAAGTCATGTTTGTGTTTTCAATTATTCAATAACTGAGCTTATCTACATTTCGAATTCTTTATGAAATCACTGTCCTCAAGTTCGTTTCCCCCGTGCAAATGGTCTATCGGACAGTCAGACCCGCGGAAACCTGTGCCGGGCCGGCATCCGACACATCCGGGAACATGTTCCGATAAGGTATCGCAGAGCGTCTCAAGAAATCATAAAGTCTTGATAGGTCACGGGTCATAGTCGAGTGCATCTTTCCAAACACAAAGTCACAATGCGGGTTGCATGGTCCAGACTAATTCGTTTCGCCGCCACCGACGGCCGCATCCTTCGCGGCGAGCCCATCCTCCCAACTCCAGATTTCGATCTCGGCAAAACAACCACAGAAACCAAGCTACAAGCAAAAGTCATTGTCGGAGACAACATCTACGATGATACAGGCGAAACAAAGGTTTCTGACGAGGTCGTTACGGTCAAGAAGTTACTTGGACCTTTGACGCGAGATGATGTGGATATTCTGCGTTGCGTAGGCCTTAATTATGCGAGACATAGTATGGGATGCAGACTATCTCTGGGACTTGAACTTTTACTAATTGATCCCAAGTCAAAGAAGCTGGTCGAACTCCGCCGCCATATCCTTTCATCTTCTTCAAGCCCACCACCTGTCTTCACGACCATGACGAGGACGTCGTCATCCCCAAGATTGCTCAAGATGATCAAGCGGATTACGAAGGCGAGCTGGTAATAATTATCGGGAAAGATGCCAAAGACGTACCGCTTGGAGACGCACTAGACTACGTCGCTGCATACACGGGTGGCAACGATGTGTCTGCGAGAAAACTGCAGCGCGACCCGAATCTCGCAGGAGGCATTCCGCAATGGGGATTTTCCAAAGGATTCGATACGTTTGCGCCGATAGGCCCTGCGCTGGTTGCGTCGGAACTGATTGGTGATCCGAAGAAGCTGCTGCTCCAAACGATTGTGGATGGTGAGGTGAGGCAGAACGAGTACGTGAATGACTTGCTGTTCGATTGCGCTTATCTGGTACATTTTTTGTCCCAAGGGACCACGTTGCGTAGAGGATCGGTCATTATGACGGGAACGCCGGGTGGAGTTGGCGCTGGATTGAAGCCGCCGAAATATCTCGTTCCGGGGGCGATCATGGAAGTGTCGATAAGCAAGATTGGCACACTGCGGAATGGTGTCAAATTTGTGTAGAGGCAGCAAGCAATAGATAAAGTCATGGTTGCTCGATCATATTCATCGTCACAATTCATAACGAGCGCGCATCAGGAAGTCCCTGTCTTGTGACGCATGGCTTCACTGAGGAATTTCGTGGATTGTTTCCGTTCTATGCGGGACTGACTGAAACCCCGATCCAATCGCACGCCACGGGAGATGAGCAGAGAGCTCTTCGAATGTACATGATATTTGTTGGACATTGGTCTAGTTACAAACATGCCAAACAGATAGGAGATGCCATTCAATGGGACTGATCATTCCGATACCAGTGACTCCGCATCCTGCCCTTTGTGTCGATAAAAGCCCAAAGCTTTGAGCATAGGCTCGTCATTCACTCGATATAAATACACCGTGTCTGCATCATCTGCATGGTGCTGATACTCATGCCACGAGGGGATGCAGAACGTGTCGCCCTTTCTCCAAGAATATTGTTTACCCGCGATTGTGGAGGTTCCAGAACCCTCAATGACATGAACTACAGACGAGGCTGTCGTCTGAATTGGCGGGCTTGACTTACCGGCGGAAATGCGAGTGGCAGATGCGCCCAAAGTGCGGCTGACTGTTTTCAGTCAGCTTCCGTTCAGACATAGCGCAAATATGACATACTCTCGGATCCGTCAGCCTTCAGGTACGGCTTTGATGTGCTTTCTTCGGTGTCCTCGTCAAGCTGAGCCTTCATGCGGCTCCATGGAAACACGATAGATGATGCCGAGGTGTCAACATTCTGAGCCGGATACCTTGGATCGGCATAGTGCTCTACAAAGTGGACCGGATAATGGACAAAGTTAGGGAGGTCTAAGCCATCTAGCCAGATCATCGGCCCGGATCCATCTTTGCCATGGTCGTGCCAATTCCAGGTCGGAGTTAGGATGACATCGCCGCGCTGCATCTGAATACGCTTCCCGTGCACTGCGGTGAAACCTCCGTTCCCTTCGATGATAAAACGACAAGCAAAAGCGGTATGGCGATGAGCTGGCGCTACCTCGTTGGGCATGACAAGCTGAAGGCCAGCATAGATCGTATCAGTTGTGAACGGCGCTTCTGTACAATGTGTAAGTTCTTCTATGGTTATCGGATTGCAGTTAGCCGTGGTTACCTCGCTTGGGATTCACCAGCATCAGCACACGACGTTCAGCCTGCTTCTCAGTGATGAGTTCTCCAGCTTGCAGCAAGCTCGGTCGGATCTTGTCGTACTTCCACACATGGGGAATGCATTTTGGGTCTGGCAGAGGAGGGTTGAGACGCGCCATCTGCGCCCAAAGAGGCTTGGTGTGTTGCGCTGCAGCATTCTCCAGTAGCTCCCCCGTCGCTTGTTCGCGATCGGGCTGCGGAGAAAGGCCGCTCTGAGAACCCGTGATGGTTGCTGTGAAGCTCATGACAACGATGGGTGAATTTTGAGAGATGATTATAATGATGAAAAGCTTGCTTCTGATCTAAATCTCGATTTGATAAATTTCAGTCCTGGCGCACGCGTGTCAGGGCCAGATATCTATGCGCCCTGATTGCTTTCGCCCGGAACACGAGGACTGTGTTCCCGCTATCATGTTCGCTTTCGAGTCCGATGGCTCAAACGGCTGCGGGGTAGTGCTACACCGTCTGGCACAGGGTTTGGAGAGGCGGAGGTGGCTGCGCCCGTGTCGCGGCGGGGAGATAAGTCGCAGCGCTGTAACGCGTTCTCTTGGCGTGTCCGTGACAACTTGACGCCCATTCCGGCCTCCCCGCCTCGTCTATTGTTCCCTCAACTCGCCCGCCATCACAACATCCGGAACAACACTCCGAAGTGGTGTGAAATCAGCCATCTCCTAACTGGGATCAGTCATCGATGGATGCATCCGAAAACACGCAGACAGGTAGGTCGGACGACCTCGGCACAAATCGGAGGGCAGCGAAGCGGCATAGGATCATGATAGCATGCACGTGTTGCAGACAGCGCAAGTCCCGAGTAAGTGCTTGCTCTGTGGAGTCTGTATTGTAGCCATGCAAGCTAATGTGTTGTTTTCTGAAAGTGCGATGGTGTAAGACCGAAATGCTCAGCATGTGCCAGTCACAATTATGAATGCACATATGCAAACACAACAACTCTGACGAAAAACTCTGCATCTACAAAGTCTGGTATCGCCTAAAGTAAGCTTCACAGATACGAGCTTACCCAAGTCAGATATATCGAAGGGCTTGAGTCACGTTTGACTGTGCTTGAACGATCTCTTGCGGAAGTCTCAGGCAAAGTCTCTCGTATCGAGTCTCTGAGTGCAAATGATAGCCTGCCTCGACAGCAGTCGCCAGAAACTATACACATCACCGACCTTCAAGATGAGGATGGTACAACAGTCGAATCACACGATCCTACCGATGGTATTGGGTCGATTTCTTTCACGAAAGAAGAAGAATCAGGTTACTTTGGTGCGTCGATACTCATTTGGTGCTCAAATAAAACTGTGGCTGACATACTTTAGGGCCCTCATCCAACATAGCTTTTACGCGTCAGATCGTGCGGTCCACAACGGAAGTTCTGAAGTCCATTTCCTCCACAGCAAGTCCAGTTTCTCCTAGCGCGGCAGCGCTTCAAAGTCATGTGCTTCATGTTTCCCGACCAACATCCCCCCCTTCAAGAAACTTCGGCACGGAATCGAATCTAGTCCCTGCTGGCACTGAACCCTTCGTACTCCCGCCAGAGAATGAAACCATGCAGATGATAGAAACCTACTTTAGCACGACCGGTGAGCTGTTTCCGTACATTGACAAGGAGGCCTTTCTGCAGCAATATCACGAGCTCGCTTCATCCAACATTCGTACGGTGCGCAGATCTTGGTTGGGTTTGTTAAATATGATACTAGCGATGTCTACCAGTGCCAGTCACGGCGTCTCTTCGGCAACCGAACGAACGGCTATCTCGGATATTTTCTTTCGGCGAACCATGACTCTCTGCGAGAAGCAGATTCGCCATGGGACGAACTTGGAAGTCGGCGAGTCACAGTCCCTGGGGTTAGTGAAAACACTCTACTGACTATTGATAAGTGCAGCTGTTGCTCCTCATGAGCCAGTATCTACAGGGTTCTGAACGATCTATCGAAACCTGGAACATACACGGGCTTGCCGTCAAGGCTGCATATCAACTCGGCCTCCATTCTTCAGATGCGATGCTGAACCATTCAGCCGTTGAAGCTGAGATCCGCAAGAGAACATGGTTCGGATGCATAATATTGGATCGGTATGCTTGTTATCGTCACACAATCTACAACACCTGACATACGTAGCACCTTGAGTATGACTATGGGTCGTCCAACATCTATCCCCGATAGCTTTGTAAAGTTGAGCCTCCCGTGTTCGTTAAGGAGCATTTGTCCCAGCTCTACTATCCTTGACCAAAGTGAGAACGACGATGATAGTACTGTATTCTATACTGCGACAATGTGAGTTTGCGACTGGGCGCGCTAACCTTTGCTTACAAGAATGCAGAACTCTATACAAGATATTAGGAGAGGTCATTGAGGTCTTGTATGAGAATAACCTGGGCTGTGAGGCCTCCGTGAATCTGTTCGGTATCGCTTCGTCACTGCTGCAATTTGAGCAAAAGTACATAGGCTGGCAGCATTCTTTACCTGCCAGTTTCTCGCTGATCGTACCGGGAGCTCAACTGCTCGATGGAAGAGGCGAGCTCAACCTAAGGTTCCGGCTCATTCTTACGCTGCGCTTCTTGAACGTACGCATCTTGACGCATCGACCAATGCTCTCGAAGTATCTTGAACTTATCGCCAATCCACACTCAGATATGCAGCAAATGGCCATTTTAAAACAGATTGGGGCAAACAGTATGCGCATTTGTATAAATTCAGCAGTCGAAGTGATCAAACTCGTGCGAGAAGTCCTAGCTCCCGAAGAGCCACGTTCCCACCTACTTGGCGCCTGGTGGTTCTCGCTGTACTACAGTATGTATACAGCTCTGTTGACATTTGCTTCCAGCTAATCACTTGACTAGCGTTCAATGCTTCTCTTGTCATTTATTCTGCCCTGCTCATAATACACCAAATGCAGGCTCGCCAGCTTTCCCTCGATCTTGATGACACCGGCATATCGATGGACTCCCTCAACAAAGCCATTGAATGCTTGTCTCTAGTGGACGAAGGGAGCAGGATGACGGAGAAATGCGTCCGATACATCACTGCGCTTGCGAACACGCTTTCTACAATCTGTAGGTCCGCCCTTTGCCCATACTTATTGAGACATTTCGATGGCTGACGGATACGTTAGACGTGCCGGAGAGACCATTGGATGTAGACTCCGATAATCTCGCAACCAACCCGTCTACAGCATTCTCCACGCGCCAAGCACCAATCAATTTCGCTCCGCACGAGATACCCGATTTCTACGATTCGACCGACTTGCACATAGGTATGACCCTAGACGACTTGATTTACACTTCAGAGTTCAACTTGATGCCTACAAATTAGTTTGGGGCCAAGCATGCTCTGTGCAATGAAAACCATATCGCTTACAGGCTTGATGTTGAACTTGTTCCAAATCATTCATGGCAAGATGATATCTTGCATTTGTGGCCTGTATGCTGAGCACTATCTATTCTGCCTGATCAGATCGCTCACAGATTTCGCCCAAGCATCTTCCATCGCCTGTTCCGCATTATACCCATAGGCCCACCACTGCGTGACCGGATCACTCCACTGATTCGCGCTGCTGAGCAAAGGCAACCCAGCAACTTCCGCGGCCATCGATTCATCTCTGGCCCTCTGTTCTGGCCCATCCGCAAAGTGCCATATCGTCCCGTTCACGGTACTAGCGTTCTGCATATCTCCGCTTCTTTTGATACGCTCTTGCTCAAACACGCGCAGCGCAAATGGTACGTCATCTAGAGAAGATACATGATTGAGCGCCACCGCGAGGGCGGCGCCATCTTCGACAGCCATGGCGGCACCCTGCGACATGTATGGCAGCATGGCGTGGGCGGCATCGCCCATGATTATCAGTTTGTTGGATGGTGCGGTCCAGGATCGGAGCTGCTGACCAACTTTCAAGGGCCACTTCAAGCAGTCATCGATGAGAGAGATGATTTTGGTCAATCTGAAAACTTGTTAGTAGAATACGTACTCGTCAATAGAGATACAACGTACCCAGAGTCCCATCCACGGAATTCATGCTGTATATCCTCCTTGGTAAATTTACCTGTCCATGTTGCTGGGTCGGATCGATCGATATGGGACAGTACCATGTTGAATGCCTCGCCGGCGGCGATTGTGTACGTCATGACATGTCTATTTTCGCCAATCCTGCGCAAGTGAATCGTCAGAAGGGCAGCCTCTAAGCGTCACAGACACCACCAAATTTGACCGCGCCTAAACGTACCAGATATTGAGCGATGGCTCTTCGACAATCCAGGCAATCTCTGGATCTGCTTTTATCTTTTGAACATCGACAGTCGCCCGATACGCAGCGAACCCATTAAAAGAAGGTTCATGAATTGTGTCCTTGTAGATAGCTGCCCTTGCTTTTGACTTGATACCTACATACTTAGATTAGCATTATCCGCAAACAGCATCTCCAAGCCTACCGTCCGCGGCAATCACCAAATCTGCCATGATAATGCTGTTATCCGCCAGCTCAACTGAGGCACTTTTCTCAGAGTACTTCACGACCCTAGCATTCAGTTCGACCATAACGCCCAACTGCAGCGCTCGTTGATGCAAGGCATGATGGAAATGCGCACGATGAACAACATAATATGGAACCTCGAAGTTCTCTCGAAAGTTTTCACCAAGCGCCGTGCGCCCGATCTCTCGGCCATCTTCCCAGCGCCTGAAATGAATGGCGTCAGGTTTCACGACCCACTGTTCCAAATGCTCAAAAACACCCCAGTCGTGTAGTAGGCGCCCGGAGTTTGGTGGAATCTGGATTCCGGCGCCGACCTAAAGATTGCGTCAGCATACATATGTCTGAGAGGATGACTGATCGCACCTCTCCGAGTTTCGACGCCTGTTCCAGCACCCGCACTGAATGACCTCGTCGGGCTAGCGCGATGGCGAGGGCGAGTCCACCTAGTCCTGCTCCGACGACGATAATGCTCATTTTGATGCGGGCTTGCTCTGGTAAAGAAACAGGAGGAGTTGATCCATTGCGTTCATTCGCTTTTTCGAGGAAGCGCAATGCCTGGGAGGGATATGAAGTTTTCAGGCTCAGCGGATGATTTGGTGTAGCGAAATCTTCAGTCTTTCTTCGTTTGAATCGTTCAGATGGGTCTGCAACCAATTCTGGACTGTCCTTGATATCTTCGATGATTGCGCGCATCTTCACTGAAGCAAGATCGTTTGGTCTTAGACGTGGATACCGATGCAAAGAGTTGAGTTATTTCAGACTTTAATAAGGATATTTTAGGATCAGATATGACTGTAGATTTAGAATCTGCAAGTCGAAAGAGCGCGGGCCAAGATCGTCCGACTTCGCAAAAGATGGCGGGGAGGAAGGCGCAAAGGCCGTAGCTAATGTGCTAGCCGATGCGGCGCAAACGGATGTAAAACCGCCGCTTTTGCGGGCATGAATCCGAGCGGATGCTTAGATTAGCTGCATCCAAAGACTCGCAACTGTCACGGATGTTGAATTTCTGTGGTGACAACGCCTTGATTATGTTTTCACAGAGTTTGAACGTGACGCATCTTGACGTTGCTATCGCAAATGCACAACACTGAAATTTGATACTACATAATTTCGTACACGTCGATTTTAACATGATTTGGCACCTGCGGCGGAAGTAGATCGCCAACAAAGCAAGTACTGTTCAACCACGCGTGCGGTCCATCGGCAACTTCGAACCTAGGAAACGTTTTCGTGTACCAATCTGCGCCTCCTTCCTTCATCGAAACCTTGGAAGGATCTTCTCCAAAGACACCGTCCATCATTTCCTGACTTGCTCGACCGTACCCTTCGTTCGTGACGTTTATCAGAGTTCCGTCCTCTGCTTGGATGGTGTATTTGGCCAGAACATGAACCACGCCGTCGGGCCTTGCTGCGTTCCAATCGCCACCACCGGGAAGAATTGTTCCCTTTATCTTAGGTCCTTCAAAGCTTCCGCCGGTGATAGGAATAAATCTTCTTTCGCCGGACGCGGTTTTGCCGAAGCATTGTGGCGGAGCGAGGTCGACATGAAGTGTGAACGCGTAGACGAGGCTCGGAGCCATGTTCGGCGCAGATCGTACGTGCACCGGGTCAAAAGACGATAGAGAGATTCCGAAGGCGACTCTTAATCCTTGATGATTGTATCAAGCTTCTCTGAGCATATGATGCGAGGAGGTTGTGGTAGGAGTAATGAAGTGAGAGCCGTCGATCGCTCTCTTACTCGATTCATGCCCCTACGTACGTACGCACCCATTGTATGCAGTAGATACTTGTTGTTCCCATTGAGCACTACAGATAGCTAACCTCGGACCTCGGGTGCCCAAGCAGTGTTGAAGGCAGCTTCGGCCTCTTTGGGCATGAGATCGGCCTCAGCCGGCAACGGCCTTAACTCCCCGTGTCAGAACCCGCTAACCCTCCTGAGGACACATCTGTTCGCTAGGAAGCGTTCCGAGCTGAAACTTTACCAATCTCGCTTTTACTATCCATTCACGCGCTTATTGGGCCGGATAAGTGAGCAAAGCGAGCTGACGCTCGTCTCCACTTCAGAGCCTGTTCGCTCTATCAAGCGTTTCGGCAGTGCTGGACGTCCAGTTACCTCGCGGTGGTCTCCATTGCAGAAATACCCCAGATTTCTGTTGTGCTTTAACCACTTGACACTTAACAATATCTCTGTTGAGATGACTCCACCCGAAAATATTCAACAGGCTGCTGCCAGACATCATGGTCTGCCTTTGCTGCCACGCCCAACCGACGACGAACGAGATCCTTTGCGATGGTCGCGGCGTCTGAAGCTTATGGCACTTGGAGCGACCGCCTTTGTCAACTTCACTGCAAATTTCGCTGGCTCTGGACTGTCTGTCGCCGCTCCGGTGCTTGAGATGCAGTTCCACAAGACTGCAAACCAGATCAACGCTCTCATGACAGTAAGTCATTAATCATATGAGAAATTTACTCCCAGATCTAACCAGTCACCTAGTTCAACTTCCTGTTCCTTGGAGTTGGTAATTACTTCTGGGTCCCATTTGGAGTCAAGTTCGGCAAAAGGGCATCACTCGTGGTTTCCACCTTGATGCTCTTTGCGATTCTTGTCTGGACAGCCAAGACCACAACTTTTAACAGCCTGTTGGCTGCAAGGTGTTTGTCCGGTTTCGCTTCAGCAGCTGGAGAAGTAACAGTCCCGTTCTCTTGAATTGTGTGGAATTGACTGTGTCGCAGAGCATCGTTCCCAATATCGTGTCGGATATTTTCTTTCTCCACGAACGAGCATCCATGATGTCAGCGTAGGTTCAGAGACCCTCTCAAACTCCCAACTGTTGATGAAAGACCAATAGATATACCATACTCGTTTCCAGTGCTACAGCAATTGGCCCACTACTGGCTTCATTCATCATACAGTACAGCCGTGGCGGCTGGGTCGATTACATGTGGGTTTGTGCAGCTCTCGCCGGAGCTAACACCCTGGCAATCTATCTCCTATACCCAGAGTCAACGTTCGAAAGGCCTGAACACCATCTCCCTCCTGCGGGTTCAGCGACAAGTGATTCCGAAAAGCCGGCAATACGGAGAGTAGAGACAAATCCCTGGCACGGCGTCAGTGTGGTACCCAAGTCATGGCGATCGATATGGACATCCTTGTCCAGCATTAATCATGAAGTCAGGGTCACAGAGCTGTTCTTCAGACCGCTGGCCATGTTATTCAAGCCAGCTGTCATGCTGGCAGTCTTCATATATGGCACGAGCCTTGCGTCTCAGGTCATTCTCATGTAGGTAGCCCCCTATCCATCATCGAAATATGGTAACCTAATGACTTGGTAGATTCGCCTTCCCAAACCTGTTGATGGCACCTCCATATCTCTTCACTGGGATCGGTGTTGGACTAATGCAAGTGGCAGCTATCATTGGACTTCTGATCGGCTGCTTCGCAGGTGGCTACATAGCGGACGTCATCACCGCGGTGGTGGTTCGAAAGCAGAAAGGTGTCGTGTATCCAGAGCAGCGACTGATTGCTATGCTTCCCGGGTGCCTTATAGCTCCGATAGGGTGCATCGTGATTGCATTCTCATGCGCTCACAAGCTGCACTGGGTTGCAATCGCATTCGGTTTTGGCATGGGTAAGTCTCTCTAGCAACTTTTAGATTTAGCTGACCCTTGCAGTGTCCTTCGGAACAATCTTCGCGCCCAACATTGCGATCACCTACGTCGTTGAGTGTTTCACCAGGAACGCTTCCGAGGCTCTGGTCGCGATCAATGTCTTCAAAAATCTAGTTGCCTTCTTATTTCTTTATACTGCTGTAGATTGGATTGCATCGAGCGGATGGATCCAGGTGTATATGATCATGTTTATGCTTGTTTCGATGGGTATGATGTTGTGCATTCCATTCTATTTCTTCGGATCGAAGTGGAGGGGCCAAGAGGAGTTAGGGTTAGTCTAAATATGCTATAGTAGAAGTTATGATAGATTAGTTGAGGGTCGATCAGCTATCCTGCTCATAGTGTGTTGGGGCTTTTATGTCACCTTGCCAGCACTAATAGCGCTGTATATCTGTACGCAATCAACATGACCTCAATTTAATCTGCCTCAAACAAACACATACATTTGCGTTGCATGTTCTCGTCTGTAGAACCTCTTTACCAATTCCCTCTAATGCTCTACAGAGGAGAGTAAGATAATAAAGATCTATCTGCAGTTTGCACAACGACATGATTACTTCGATGCGCGCTGGATCAAAGTACGATGTTCGAGCACGTTTACCTTTCAATGGTGGAATTTGAATTTGTTGAAGCTTGTTCTTGTACCTAGATACAATGAATCGTTATAGGCTAATAATGTAATTGGACACGCAGACAAATGAGCAAATCTGGTCGGGTGTAGCCCCTGCTCATCACACATGTTACCTTCAGCCCTCTGATTTCTCTCCTTCGTGGGCATCCGGCTTTCGCGCCATCACCCAAACAAACTCAGACTCGTAATCGGGCTCATGTTCTTCCAGCTTGCCATCACCTGCCTTCACCTTCTCAGCCTCTAACAGTTCGAAGCCTATACTTTCCAAAATTTCGCAATTCTCTTGTATTCCATAGCTGCTCCAAAACATCCCATAACCCATCATCTCGCCATGAATTTCTTCTTCGTCGATGCCTGCAAGGTTGAAAACGAACAGACCTCCAGGCTTGATCCATCTGTAGATCTTTGCGAGTAGATCCTTAAGTTGGGAGCGGGGGAGGTGGAACAAGGTGTAGAAGCTGAGCGCGCCATGGAAGCTCTCAGGTTCGAACGTGAGTGTGGCCATGTTACCAGCGACGAACTTTACATGCGGGCAACGAGCTTTAGCCATTTCAATCTGCTTGGCAGATATGTCGTTTGCTGTGACGTGGGCTCCACGATCGACCAGCATATTCAATACCGGGACACCAGGGCCGCAGCCAAGCTCTAGAACGGATGGTGAGGGCGGTAATCTGTCCATGAGTTTCTTTGTGTATCTTTGGCGTGGTGACATGTCGCTTTCAACCCATTCCAGATACCATTGCGCAATGTGATCATAGGCGTGTTCGACAATGTCTTCGGGTGCTTCAGACATGTCGCTGACTTTTACGAGCAGTCACTTAGGGTAGTTGGTGGAAGTGTGCGCGGTCTTATTGTTGGATGATGTTGTGAGTGGAGTGAATGAAGCGAAGTCTCACATGTCAACAAAAACCTTCGGTACCCTTATCCCTCAAGCCTTACTGGTCTGTTCGACAGTCCCCTGGCAGCTCAAAGAAGAGGTACGCCGAAAAGGAATGGGGTACCCACTCGCCACGATCCTTCAGCTTACGGTCGGCCTATGCCGCCTTGCATTCCTCCCTTTTAAGCTTACTATCAAGACGAAGGATTTAAACTTGCTCACGCTGTACAACAAGTCAAGCATCTGTTGTCATCTCGATTCCTACATCTACACCAGTTGCAGGTCCTGTAATTATCTGCACGTCCAGTCCGATGTTTGTGCAGGCTCCATAACCGCCATACCCTTCTCTTCGCCCACCCGAACCTTTACCTATCGCTTAAGGACAAGCATACCTTGAAGAGGCGGGGTCGACCGGGTACATTGGCATGTACATAAGCATTGACTATCAACTTGGCAGTCGGTCCCCAAGATAGGATGATCTCATTCCTGAAACAGTCAGAGCCGACCTTGAGTGGACCTGAGTTAGACGCAGCTTTGCGGCACAGTCGTTTTCTCTGCTTGTCGCCCACAAACCCCGCACCAGGCAGCCACGCAAGAGTATCTACGAGCGCAACGTCAAAGACATCTATATATGCCTGTGCGCTCTCTATTCCTAAAGAAGAAGACGTCCCACGCATACCAGATACGACATAACCAAGTTGGAAGACACCTACGCCTGCTGCCAACGCTATCTTCCTGCGTGGAGATGGATAATGTGCTAAGCCTAGCGCTAGCAAGGGGGTGGGTGCATTTACCTATCAGCGCTACGAAATCAAGCTTTCTCAAGCTCAAGTAACCTTGCGTCGGCGTGGACGCTTACAACCCTCCCGTCGGTACCGACCTTCAGGCCACCCACCATGCCGTTGTGCCGCCACATATCCGAGGTCATTCCACGAACAGCGCGTAGGCGTTACGTGCACAATGCGATAGTTCCGCAGCATGCAGCCCTTTGATATGGACCCTAGGTGCCAGCGCGAATAACAACCCGGGTTGGATAGGCATTGACCTTTCTGTTCGGGTGCTTGATCAACGTTCCGCACCTGGTCAATGCTCTATGGGCTAGATGCTGAGACATCTCGCGTTGGTTGTGGGGATTTTTCATCCTGATTCCGAATTTTCCATTAGCGAGTCCTCATCCGTTTGCTCCTTCTCTTTGAGAATCTCCAGTTCGGCAATTAACTGTTGTCATAGCCTCTGATCGGCAGAATGAAGGATTCTTGTGCTCTGTTGCCAATTTCCTCCGGCATCCTGTCTACCCACTTTCTTGACACGTAGTCGAAACCATGACTCCAGCAACTCAAATAAGCGCACAGTATCAGAGCGGCAGAAGGAACAGGTTAGACCGAGACATATGGGATACCACTGTGGAATATTCTCAATACGACTCAAGCGGTTCTTGGGTTTGCCAAGATGGCAGGAATGCCGGTGCAGAATCGGACTGGAAGACTTATCCCAGCAATGAATAGCTTTCTGGTTGTTTGTACGTAGGTAAATAACTCATACCAAGGTGACATCACCATACTCTGCGGTTTCTCCAATCTCACCATCCATGATGCCGTCCACGTAGGCTTCGCTGACCACGCTGAATTGGCCCTTGTCCCGAGGTCTAAGTACAAACGGAACCTGGCTTCCTGCAATAATCGCAATCCTATCACCCTGCAATATACGTTCAGAACTCAGGCCGAGATGACCTTTCTGAGTGACGAAAGGAAGTCGTCCCAAGCTCTTTCCCATGATCTCTGATGCCAGCTGGACTTCTTTTCCAATCCTCCCCATGACTTTTCTGTTTCTCGCCTCACCTTTTATCAATTGTTGAGCCACACGTCGGTAGGGCAGTTTTCTGTTTAGGTGGAGCCCATCTTCTAGAAGAATAACAGCATCAGCGAACCAAGCATTTCCGACGCGTTCCAACTCCCCATTTTGGTTAAATCCGACGTCGCCAATCGAAGTTCGTCCGCTGGCGCGTAATCGATTGTGAAATCCCTTGTAATCTTTCCTTCTGCAATAGCTTAGGCGCAAAATCTCCAGTAGCCATTCTACTGGCCATTGGTAAGTTTGCGAAAGCGGTACCTCTTTACTGTTAGTCCGATTGGCAAAATGACCGACCTGATAGATATCATCGTATAGACAAGCTTCCATTGATATGCGCGTTATCACCCCATCCTCGTTGTATATCTTGATTGAATCTTGATGTGTCCAATGTCGTGAAGCACTGAACTCCGGATATGAAGTTATGTGGTCCTCCCGTATATCTTGCAACATGTCAGTCACAGATAGAGACCAGTCCGGAACCCATGACGGGAGATTCGGCGACATTGAGGCTTGACACATTGACAGCATGGATATATGACCCTGTTGTAATAATGCTGCCATCGTAGTAGCATATGTTTGTTCATACGGAACATCATAGTTTGGGACAACGCCAAGATATTCCAACTCCTCTCGATCTGCAGCTAGACCTAGCAGCGCGAAAATTTTGTCCTCTGGTTTTGTGGATTCGAGATTATGAGGTCCATGTCTGTTCGGGTTGATGGTGCCAACGCACGTCGCACGAAGGAGAGCTGCCAACGGGAATCTGTTTCCATGATAGATTCTTGGCATGGAAAGCATGATGGTAGGACGATGATGGAATAGATGCCTGATAATGTCGTGCTGATACAGGCTCAAAGATCCTTGATCCCTCCGACGCCTAGTAGACATGATGATCCACATTGCAGCATACATGTGTATGAAAGCATCGCAGCGGTACCTTGTGACTGTTTGCGCTCCGCAGATCACATGTGTGTCTCTCGAAAGAGTAATCTCCTGCAAGATCCACACCCGTGCCCACCAGGATCTGGTGAAGAACTCCTTCAACTCAGCGATTGGTAGCAAGTCGCTCTGATTGCTCTGGCCGCTAAAAACATCGAATAAGTCTTGGAAGGCCTTTCTGGATACTGTAAATATGGATCCATCTATGTCCTGAAAGACAGGGTCGACCGAGACCAGCCGCCCACTCCCTCCGGGCACACATTCCATGTCCTGCCAGGTTTTGAGGCAATTTTCGAACGCATTTTTCATACGACATTCTTCCACCATCTTTCCGATAGTGTTGATGCAGCGAATCGCTGAATCGCTGCTCTTGTCTGCGGGTCCCAACCAAGCAAAAACTTGATGAGCTCGTTGATAGATCTTTGCCATCAAACCAACCTGGAAGCTCTTCTCCTTGTTGTTTGTCTGATTGATACAAATGGCATCAATCCAGAAGTACAGAGGCTGGCTATGACACTTTATAGAGGACATCGCTCCGACCGATCTTCTGCGATCTTCTCGAAATTGCCACAAAGCATCTTTGAGATTTCGAGTAACAACGATATTTCTTCCATTACAGAATACGGGTACAGTGTCGTTTGGGTCTCCCCACGTGTAAGACAATGCGATGTATGGGGGATGATCGTCGATCCTGTACGTACGGATACCGAGACGAATGGGGTCATCGCCATGGTTCAGCTTAAGATCGAGTAGACGTAGGTGCTGGTCACCCAGACTGTCCAAGTATTGGAAACTCGCCCTTGAGGAAATTGTCAGTTGCAATATGGTATTCTGTGCATGATTTATACAACGAGGACGAAGTGGTTTTTGTAATGATAACGTGTTATGACCAGAAATTAATTGATGTGATTACCCTTTGAGATGTTGACCGGGCGAAGATGAGGTCTCCATAGTGGGCGCTTCGAGGATACAGAAGTTCGATTTCGAATTTCAGTGTGGAGGATGATTGGTCCTGTAAATACTCAGGGCATCGTTCGGATATCGTGCTGGTGATTAAACATCTTGGAGATATGGGATTCAGAAAGTGCCTCAACGCTAGAGTCTCATGTACATGCAGCGAATTAATAGATACCACGCCTCATTGACATCTAGGCAACAGTGTATTCTGAATGCAGATTGGTGAGTGTGCTGTTGAGGGGTAATGGTGGCGTTAGGAACCGGTGAGCTCTGAATAGACAAAGGTTCAGCCAATATAAACGATTCTCATACGTGTTCGACATGCAATGTGTCGCAGGCCAATCGCTACAGTGTTAGTGCACTATCTGATTTATGCTGGCATCCGACCCACCCTAACATAAAGCTGCGATAATAGAGATGAGGCTGTAGAGCTACCCTAAGAAGATATTATCCCGATATTTGACGGCAAGTCCTTCTCTCCCGTCCAAGCCTTGTCTTGAGTCCCCATGCAGTGCAAGTGTGTGCGCGTAGTGTATTCATGTCGGCTGTGCTGTAGCTGTGCGTCTTGCGCTGCAGATCGTCGAGCGGTCGCAAGAGAGGCGCGTCGAGTTCAATCACAGCAATGTGCTGGTCCATGCCTAACAGAACATCAAAATCGTAGCAATAACAGAGGATATCGCCGCGGTTGCTAGAAAATACCTGTGCGCATTCATTAGGGAGTTGGCTGCTGCTCGTTGTCTTAATACCGACGGTAGCATCCCTTTGATGAGATGCTGGCCCTTTCCTCGCTTCTGATTCCGGCCACCGCGGGCTGTCAAGAGGCGTGTGTCGGTCCATAATCTACAACCGAAACTCGGGACAAAAGTTCGGCATAAACTCTACCGAGGAGACTAGCCTTGTCAGGGACCACGGCACGTGCATGTAGGAAATGGGTGGCTTGGACCTAACTCATTTGAGAAAACTAGACCAGTTTGCGGGGCAGAATGATGCCTTTTTGTACATAGCTCTACCGGCTCCACATCTTCCCCATGTTTTTCCCCCACAATATCAAGATGTAGAATCTGTACATGCTAACCCGTAAACAGTTCAAATGATGAAATACACTCCATTGTGACAAGTATATATATTCATACACCATCAACGATGAAATAGTCATTCATCGTATGCGTTCACGTCTCAGATCAACGAACATGTTGGCGTTCACAGCCCTAGGCGCATCTTTTCTTGTATTCTCTTCCACTGTCCTAGCAACCCCAACCACATCGCATCGCGACAACTATGTCAATTGGAGAAACTTCAGAGCCAATGGAGTTAATCTCGGTGGATGGCTTTGCCAGGAAGCCACCATCGATCCATATTTTTGGGGCACATATTGTAACGGTACCGCCGATGAGTGGAATTGCTGTGCCAAACTGGGCGACAGGTGCGCATCGGTCTTTGAGGAGCGCTATGCGACGTACATCACTCGTGATGACATCGATAAGCTTGCTTCGGCCGGAGTGAACCTTCTTCGCATTCCAACCACCTACGCAGCGTGGATCAAGGTTCCAGGTGCGCAGTACCATTCTGGAAACCAGCAATCGTACATCAGGAAAATCGCTTCGCACGCCATCAAGAAGTATGGCATGCATATCGTCCTCGATATCCATGGTCTTCCGGGTGGTATCAATGGTCTGGACATTGGCGAGGTAAATCCTTCCACAAATGAAGTACGTTTCACACACGTTTACTAATTCCATCTAGCGCGTTGGCAAATGGGACTGGTTCAACAACCAAACCAACCTCGACCTCTCCCTCCAAGCAGTCGACCAAGTCCTGAAGTTCATCCAAAAGTCCGGAAGCCCGCAGTCCTACACACTCGCACCCATCAACGAACCAGCCGACAACCCAGACTTTTCCAAATTCGGCACCCCGGCAGCTTTGTCAGATAACGGTGCTGCCTGGGTACAAAAATACATCAACGCCGTGGTCAAGCATACCAAAGCCGTGAACCCAAAGATCCCAATCATGTTCCAGGGCAGTTTCAAAGGCGAGCCATTCTGGTCTGGAAACTTTGCTGCGAGCACAAACATTGTGTTCGATGTGCACAACTACTACTTTGGCCGCCCCAGCGATTCAGACAACGTCACCACTAGCATCTGTGCAGACGCAAAGACACTTGCTGGTGATGGCAAATTCCCTGTCTTTGTGGGCGAGTGGGCCATCCAGACATCGTCGAACAACAGGTTTGCGAATCGCGCGAAGAATTTGAATACCGGGCTCTACGCGTACAACAAGTACACGCAAGGGAATGCGTACTGGACAGCAAAGTTTTTTGGCAATGTTTCGGTCGCGGGTGAAGGCGTGCAGGCCGACTATTGGAATTATCTCAAGTTCATCGACATGGGCATCATCGAACCTAGCATGGGCCAGAGGTACTGCTCATAATTGCTTGACTTGGAAGAGAAGAAAAGAAAAGAAAAAGCAGGTCTTATCTCTCCAGCTGTATCAAAACATCATATCATCGAGCAGTTATGAATCAAAAACCCAAAGAAATCTAAGACCCCTCCCACAGCTCATAATACCGCCCTCTTCTATCGCACAGCTCCTGATGCGTTCCCCTCTCTACAATGCTCCCCTCATGCAACACTAGAATCGAATCCGCATCAACAATCGTACTCAGCCGATGCGCAATAACAATCACAATCCTCCCGTCCTTCAGCTTCTCAAACGCCCTCTTGATGCTACCCTCCGTCACCGTATCAACCGCACTCGTCGCCTCATCTAGCAGCACAATCGGCGCGTCCTTGAGCAGCGCCCTCGCAATCGCCAGTCTCTGCGCCTCGCCACCGGACAGCTTGACGCCACGCTCGCCGACGTGCGTATCGTAACCCTTGGGATAGCGCATGATGGTGTCATGAATCGCGGCTGCGCGACATGCTTCGTGGACGTCTTGGTCGCTCGCGGTGCTGCGTGCGTACCGTACATTCTCCATGATGGACGTGTTGAAGAAGGTGGGTGCCTGAGGAACTACGCTTACGACGTCGCGCAGCGAACTCAGCGTGACGTGCCGGATGTCTTGTTTGAAGATGGTGATCCTGCCGGATGTGACGTCGTGCAGACGTAGGAGTAGCTTTAGAATCGACGATTTGCCAGCGCCGGTTTGGCCTACGAGCGCGACGGTCTGGCCGGGCGAGACGGTGAAGGAGACGTCGCGGAGTGCGTAGCGGCTGGAGTCGTATTGGAAGGATACGTCTTCGAATCGCACTTCGCCGTCGCGCACCGCGAGTGGGTAGGCTTCGGGTGCGTCTGTGACTGACGGCTGGGTCTGTAGAAGGTGCAGAACTCGTTCGGCGTCTACGAAGTCGCGCACCAACCACCGGACATGTTCTGTCAAAAACTTTAGCGGGTAAATGATTGAGTCCCAGTACGTGAGGAAGAAGACAAAGTCTCCTGGTGATGCGGTGCCTGCAGCGATGCGTTGAAGGATGAGGTAGGCTAGAACGAAGAAGGTAGTTGGTACCAGCAGCTCAACGAGAGCCTTGATGAACGCTTGCCGTGCTTCGAAACGTGTCCTTGCCTTCATGTGGTCGTTCACAGCATTGGACAATACGTGGGCCTCCCTCTTGAACTGGTTAAAGTAGGTCACAGTTTGCCAACCTTGAATCGCTTGGTGCATCTTTCGTATCTGGACTCGTTCCGCCTTCGTCACATTCCTCCGGGGGCCGGTTGTGAGTCGCGTTGAGAAAGCTTCGGCTGCCAGGAATAAGATCGATGCACCGAGCAGGACCATCCCCACTGCCGGAGTGAACTTTCGGTAGAAGATGGTACAAGCTACGACGACGTCGATCATGGTTGGCAGGATTTCGATGACTACCGACTCGAGGACGTTGCCCAACGCTTCGCCTTGCTCAACAGCCTTCATGACCTCTGCTGAGTCTTGCGTAGAGTGGAAATCGATTGACTGGGCCATGACATGGCCGAAAGCAGCGTTGGTTAACTGCTTGTACGAGAATTGCTTGATGGGTATTTTAGACAGCTCTTGAATGAAGACCAAGCCTGAATCGCCGTTGAGGTGGTCCAGGACAAGGAAGACGAGCAGTTCTCGAATAGGTATCGATCCATGTGTGACTTTGTCCGCAATTATTCCAAGGACGTACGGGATGGCCACTTGCAGAACGCGCTCTATCGCGATCGTGATGAGACAGATGAGTAGACATATCTGTACTTTGATGTCTCGTTTGGGTAGGACATAAGGCAGGAAAATGGTAAAGTCTTTCAGGTAGCCAAGCCAGCCTCCAGTCTCGCGCAACCGCTCAGCACGAGCCTCTTTCACGTCCTCGTCCTCATCACTATCGTCGTCGCTATCCTCTTCGTCGGTTTTCAGGTAATCGTCGTCGATTTGTGGAGGACATGCTGCCTCGAGCAGTGGATCGGTGTCTTTTGAGCCTTGTCCAGGCGATCTCCAGAATTGGAGTGGCATCGTTTATATTCGAAAAGTTGTTGTGTGGCTTGATCTGTTTACCCACCGACCATCTCTTGTACATATGTCTGGAAGGGCCATCTTGGCAGCGAGATGTGTTTACCACCGGTCAATCGGTGAGTCACGGCAGCCCTTTTCTGTTTTGTGTCTAGATGCGCATAAAACGGACTTCAGTGCACCAACCCAATCGTTCGTCGGTACTATTGGTACGCGCGGCCTGAGATGTAGTGCGCCCTTTTAATTATACGACCTTCGGCACTGCACAGCCACGGCGCCGGTCCACATGCTGGCGTAAAGCCACTCCCGGTGTGATTAGCGTGTGACTTGGGCCGTGGCGCAAATTGAGACTTGAAGTGACGCGATGTCATCCCAAGCCGGCGCATTAAAGCCGGAAGCGGAGCGACCGAAAGCTGCAGAATTCTCAAGATGAATCTGGCGCTCGCTGTATCTGGACTTTGCAAAGCCCGGAACCGCGGAGAACAGTCGTCTAGACAAGGGCGTCGCAAGCGGCGGGACATTTGCTGTGAAGATTAGAACTGAAAGACGAATCACCTTACCTTCGGAACTTACCTCACCAGCTGATTGATCGGGATTGCATTCTCGACCATCGCAAATTCGGCGTGGGTGTTCAACATAAGCACCTAGGCGTCCTTCCGAAGCGCGAGGATCCCGCCGTCTAGAAGCTTGTGTAGTCAGTAGCGCAAGTCCAGTGCCCACAATTCCAAGCACTCGCAACCAGTATCGAAGTTGATTCATCTCTGTCTTCGAATCTTCTTCATGTCGTTCATACATCAGACTGCCTCGGCATATGAACAAGGAACTGTTCAAGAAAAGCGTGCCGTGGAATGCCGCGTTCCATCACCGTGTACGTGGTGCGCGCTATCAGTCGAGGCGCCAAATCATCTCTTCAGATGTGCCAGGAAGGCAGAGTCAGCCACGCACGATAGCTCCTACCATGGGATGATTTGGAGGGCTGCTACATATACCCATCCGACAAGTTTGCTTGCTCAACTCGTGCATTTGTCTTGATTGTGCGGGTACTGCAGTTATAGATTGCTGGTAGTGAGAGGGTTTTAGCGCGTCGCTGACCTTCGCTGCGCTGACGCGTGTGTAGCAGGTTATGCCGGCGCGTCTGCGACGAAAGGACTATCGCTCTTGTTTGACTGCATTAAGCGATCAGAAGCCGGTCCTCAAGCTCGCAGGACGAGCCGTGACGTCACAGGGCTGCACTCAGTCACTTCTCACTTCGCGACCGACATCTCTCTCGACCTGGCCGCCCTGCGCAACGCTCCTCTAAGGACCTTCGCAATGGGACTCTAAACATGTACAAGCCAGCCCTTCAGCTCACCTGCTAGGCTCCACTACGTCATTCGCCAACCCGACTTTACTCCGCACGCGCACCTCTCAACACACCCCTCGCCTCCATCGCCGGCCTCAATGGAGGCTACCATGCGCTGCGCTCTGAGCACCGCCAAGACAACGCCTGAACGCTCGCTCGCATACCCAACAGCCTTCGCGACGATGTTCCTCCCGCCGCTGCCCATTCTCGATCCGCCTCCATCCTTCCCACCCTTCGCAAGTACTTGCAACACGGCCGTGTACGCGTTACTCCACATCACCGTCGCGATGCGCAAGCCAGCCAGCTGTAGCTTGAGCTGCGACTATATGGTTGAGATGGATAGGTTGTATGGCTACAAAGCGCGTCGAAGTTGATGGTGGGTAGGCACTACGCGCGGGCCTTGATTCCCAGCGCATTGTGCTTCTCACGCGCTTCGTTAAGAAGAGTCGTAAGGTTCTTGTCTACCTTGTCGAAGGACTCTTGAATAACGCGGACATGTGTCTCGCTCCGGGGCTCGAAGATGCACGCAAAAGGCTTCGGAGCCGATACAAACCCCGTGGTGAACATACTTTCTTCCACAACGAGTTTCTTCCCACTCGGCGTACGGATATTGAATGCCCACAGCAGGCGCGCAACTACTATGCTTGCTGAGTTGCGCGCGATGTGACGGCCAGGGCAGATTCTGCGACCGTACCCAAAGTTGTTGAATTGCGATTGCGACTTGCCCATCCAGCGTTCGGGCCGGAACTCTGCCGGCTTGTCAAAAAGGTCCTCGTTGTGACGCATCGCGGAAAAGACCGGGATGACAACAGATCCCTTGGGGATAAGGTAGCCCTGATAGTAGTCCTCGTGGGTTGTGGCGTGCGGAATGCCGGCTTGTTGTGGGTGGCGCCAGCGAAAAACCTCTTCCACTACGGCCTGGATGTACGGCAAGTCTCTGAGGTCCCCAAACCCGGGCAGTCGCTCGCCTACGACTTGGTCAATCTCCTTCTGCGCCTTCGCGAGCCATTCAGGATGCGCGACGCATGCGAGGACAAAGATCATAAGGGTAGCGCTCATGGTTTCAACCCCAGCATCGGCGAGGATACCAACGTCCCAGGCGACCTGCTGCTCAGTCATGCTTTGAGCTTCGGCAGCCTTCTCAAAGTCTTTCGCCCAGTTCCAACCCTCGCGTCTGAGCGCCTCGTTGTAGCTCTTGACGTGCAGGTCGTCGAGCTCATGGAACCACTTTGCGGCCTGGCGCTTCCAAGGCGCAATGGCTGCGGGCAGGTGGTTGAGCCACGGCAGCGCATCCACGATCCAAACTCCTGGTTGACCGGCAACGTGGAAGTTCTTCATGCATTCGCGAGTCCGTTCCACCTGCCACTCCTTTCCGGTGTGGATACGCATCCCGAAAGCCATAGAGTACGCCAAGCTCGTTGCAAACACTTCGACGCAATGCGCGATGCTTCCGGATGACTCCAGAAGGCTCTTGAGTAGTTGCTGACTCTCCAGATCTTGAATGGGTGTGTAGCAAGCCGTTGCCCGCGGGCTCAATACCGGCGCCTGAAGCTTCTGGTGTAGAAGGAAATCATTACCAAAAGGTTTGAACACGATCGGATTGCTGTTGCACACTAACTCGTGCCCCATGACCTATCCGCATCGGTCAGTGCTACTTCTTGACACGTCATGGTAAATGTCCTACGAGACGCGGCCTGCTACTATAGATGTTCCTTCGCTTGTCGAGTAGTTCTTTGGCCGTTTCATAATCACCAATTATGATGATGGTACCTCCAAGGTTGACTGAAACAATGTTCCCGTACTGCTTGATCCACTTGGTGAAGGTCAACCACGGTGCACCTTTTGGTGCTTGGTGTAGGTTCCCGAGCAGTGGCAGGCCTCGAGGACCTGGGGGTAGCTTTGCCCGCCGAACGAGATGGGCAACTATATATATCACTAGTATGCCTCCAAGTAGGCTAAAGATGGTTGTAGCCATGGTGTGAGAAGTGCTTGAGGTGTTCGTTCGTTACTCCGCTGAAGTGTAGGACGAAAGCGATGCTGCTAGATCCAGTCTAATCGACCGTCCATGTCGAGGTGCTGGGTGCACTTATACGAACATGATCGACAGGACCGGGCGATTGCTATACACGCAGGTGGGGCTTGTGTGACCAGGGCGGTGTTGATGACCAATCCGTTGCTCGTACATATATTAGCTCTGGTTGCTACCGGCGTGGTGAGATCTCGCCTCGTTTCACGTCCACTAATTGAAGAGGGAGCGATCTCATGATTATTATTGGTGCTTGCAGCACCCACTAGCGTACATCCTATACATGCAAACATTCTGTAGATACAACCCAATGCAATTCAGCTCCAATACTAGCTACTATGATGGGAATACTTGCTACTCTAAGAAGTTGTCTACCTGTGCACAGTGTATACAACGTCCCACCTTACCGCCCTCGCAGCGCTCGCTGTCATGTGGGCCACGGAGGAGCTTGTGACCAAAGGACGGTCGCTCCATCCTCACGCCTGCCCATTTCTTGAGTCTGTACGCAACCCGCTCTACGTACGTTTCCTCGTCCATCTTGAGGCTTCCTAGGCAGTCGCAAGCCTTGCATCGCTGGTTGTATACAATAGCGTTGTAACCATTACGAGAGTATCCATAGATCCAGATTGCCACCACCCCACTGCTCCATCCTTTCTTTTTGCATCGCTTGTTCACACATCGAAATGTTCCCACGATATTCGTTCCGTCTTCGTGTTCAAAGGGAGCCTCTGTGTTGGAATTGAACCACGTTGAAGTTACGGCGGGCGCGATAGCTTCCGCAATGCGTTGGTGCAGTTCGGGAAACATAAAGGAAGTCCTCGTCTCCTCTTGTTGTTCAGCAACCCGTGCTCGACCAATGTTTGGTCGTGCGGTAGTCGTATTAGCACCCGATATAGTGAGGGCCTGCAAAACGTCTTCAAGTGGGATGGAGTCTGAGTCGAATGTCGGACTTGCGTGTGAACTGGTTTCCGTCGCGGTATGGCCGCTGCGCTGGCCATTGTGTGTTGCCGAAGAGACATTGGGAGGTGCTGAGAACGGCAAGGAGACATGTCGACTAGAGGGAGCAGGCGTGACTGACGCAGTGACCGAGTCCCTCCTGGATCTTTGGTGGACTGGGGAATCGTTTCGGTGCTGAGTCAATGCATCCTGGCTGCTAAAAGAGCGATTGCATGCCTTGCAGTCGAAGGGCCCATGCTTTGGTGAGTCCTCTTCATGTTGCCTGAGTGCCTGGCCACTACTGAAAGTGCGGTTGCACGGTACACAGAGGCTCATCGTGTGTCCAGTGAAAGTTGTCCTTTGGCGAAATGCAGCTTACCTGACTGAGATTGCGGATGACCGATGAGCGCAAATGTTGAACGTGTTCAGCTTATAAGACATGAATGAGCGCGAGGCCACTATACTGTTGGATTGCTATGCATATCTCGAACCAATGACACAATGACACATTACGCGCCGTGGCTGCGTCTGCGACTTCGTTTCCTGGAAATGCTCACATGGATCAATACGGAGTGTGGCAACCATAAACAAAACATCGGGAGGCTGAGAGATTGTAACTCGGTCTTGGAAACAGATAGTAGCCTCCATGTTCAGGGGATGAGATCACCTGGGCAGGTGAGTCTGGAATAGATGTAGTCGTAGTCGAACACGTTAAGACCCGACTATGCTATGTCTTTCCTAAGACTTACTCTTTGCATGCGATTTTGATGAATGTGATCCAAGGATGTGGCCTTTGATCGGATTGAGTGTTCATGTGCGGGGTCAAGCGGCCAAGCGGCGTGGTCTGCAGGGTGTCGTGTTTTTGCATATGCAGAGGTCCTACACGAACAACGCGTGAATGATTGGGTGTAACACCATTGGAAAACGCTTATGCGCATGCTGAACACGAGGGCCTCCAGAACCATCATGTATGCAAGATAAAAGGTCCCTCCGTCTGACGACATCACTGATCTAGTTACTTTGTCCTTCCAGAATCCCGAAAGGAGAAATCTACAAATAGTACTACCTGAGTTGCTTCGATTGCAATGGCCAAAAGATGCAAGCGTGCGACGAAAGCCGCCAGTGTTGCAGCCCCTCGACCAGTGACAAGGTGAGGCGATCTTCCTCCGTTCAGGCCAGCACAACATTGCAGAGCTAATTGTCTCAGCCCATACACAAGCCCCACTGTCACCTTGCACTTCGGTCCTACTCTCCAGGAATACTATCTGCCAGATACCCTGCTGCAACAGCTGGAGAAAATCCCCAGTCGTGATCCATGGACAGGCAAGATTCACCTCGCAGATGTGGACGCGAGCATCGGTCACGTCCTGATTCATTTCCTGCACACGGGTGTTTATCAGACTCTGAACGACGAAAGTATCGGAAACACTAAAAACACACAGCAAGATATCGTCCTCAATGAATTTCAAACAGCTCTCCTTACCCTTGAGGTCGCTAAGAAGTACGGTGTGCCTGGTCTCCAGGACTTAGCGCAAGTCGAGCTGGAGCGACGAGGCGAGGATATGTGTTTACGCGATGCTGTGCGCGTTATTCGAGAGGATCTCATCGTGGGCCCTTCTGGAGAACACGCGTGGCTTCGAGACTACGTTTCGATGAAAGTGCGGTCGGCCTTCAAACACGACCCCTCCGCAATATTGGCACCAGACTTCTTCGACAACATCGAAAGCCCTACGTTGACGAAGCTGGTAGCTCAAATCACCGTTGGTCTGTTAAGCGAAGAGATAGACAAGTTGCGCAAAGAAAAGACTGCAACCGGTCGGATCTCAGCACCTGAACACGACGAACTTCAAGGGCCGTGTTCGCCTGACATAGCAGACTTACCTTCAAAGTGTGCCACTCAGGGTCCCAACGCATGGCCCACGTCTGTACAGAAGTTTGGAGCTTTCGATGACTCGTCAGCTGCCTGGGGTCCTCATCGTCTGGCTCAGGACGGGAGTCGCGGTCAGGAGGCTGATGCGCCTGCAGCCTTACCTTCAAGCATCGAGGAAGACAGCCACGCGACCGAGAGAATAGACGCAGAGTCATGGGGATTAGACGAAGACAAAGTTGAGACTCAGCACCTTCGAGTCGAGCAGGCAACCATTGCGCAGTCTCAGGAGGGGGATGATGCCACCGCGAACTCTACCGTTACCAAATACGAAGACGATGGAGCCGAGGTTCAGCCGCTCAGGAGCATCTGGGGTAGTCTTGGAAAGAAAAAAAAGAAGTCTAAGGCCAATATCAGCTATCAGCCCGCTCCTGTGTCACCACCTAACATCCAGGTCGAGGTTGATCCAACACTAGTCGTTTCTGATATCGACACTATTGCTCCAGATGTACCCGGTGCACAAGAACGTCTAGAGACTGAGAGAGATCCTTATGCAGGACTCACTAAGTCACAAGTGAAGAAGTTGAAGGCCAGATTATACCAAGAGGCGAAGTCGAACGAAGAGGAAGAAGAGAAGCGCCAGAGAGAGGAAGAAGTGGCTGCCGAGATCAGACAACAGGGAGAACAAGAGCAAGAAAGGAGACTCCTAGAAGAGGAAGAACAGAGGATCCAGGAAGAGGAAGAAGCTGACTTGAGGAGGATTGAGGAAGAGGAAGCTGCCGCCGCCGCCGCCGAAGCCGAAGCCGAAGCCGAGATTTGCAAGAAGAGGGAAGAGCAGGAAACGCAGCCCAGGGATGCGTTTCCTGCGGCTCCGCTTGAAAAAACGAAGAACAAGAAGATTAAGCGAACAGAACAGATGGGCTTAGAAGATTGGGAAGCCAATACCAAGAAGATCGAGGGGGAGGACGTCACTGCTGCAGATACCAGAGCGGAGACCTGTCCGACGAAGGACGACGATCCTTGGGATGATTGGGGTCCTGCCGCTTCAATTACTGAAAAGAAGAAGAAGTCTAGAAAACCAAAAGACTTGACCCTAGCAGAAGATGAAGAGAACGAGCGAATCCGTCAGGAAGAAGAAAACGCTGCTGTCGCTACTACTACAGCTGATCTGAGCGCCGTCGGCTCGACGGGTGCTACATTTGGTGACGATGACTGTAAACTGCGTGTGGAGCATCTATCACAGAATTGTGGGTGGCAGAACTGCGAACCATGCGTACTTTACATGCGGAAGATTGCTATGAAGCTTCACTCAAAAGGGCTACCGATCGAAGATGGGTTCAATACGATCAATTGATCGAAGTAGATAGGAAAAATTGAGTTTACTACGAAGAAATGTCTTACAAGGCGAAACCGAAGCTCATTACCTACGGTAGATCTGCTTTCTCGATTTAGCCAAAACTCCGAAGACCAACATGTGAGTTCTGATTAGCGAATCGCACAACCAACAAGCATTTGCACAAGCTCAGCCAAGTTCATAGACAGGCGATTCGCAAATGTCTTAATCTCTGCCTCTTTCCAGCCTTAGACCAATGAGGGTCATTCTAGTCTCATGGGTGGCAAAAGGCTCGGCTCCAGGTGTTCAACATCATGATTGTGGCTGACGACCGTAGCCAATCGAACATAGCTGGCATAGTCTAGGCCACCTGCAAGTCACAAGGAGTGCGTGAGGGGCTGAACCGCCTTGTTGCCTTCTTGCGCGCTTGTTAATTCTATAATAGAGCGACAGGGGCCTCCCCCAGAGGAACGAGCGACGACATCCCGCATGTGTGCTTGCTGATCGGTCGACACATCAGCGCTCGACCTCACAACTTCTGAGGTGTCAATCCATAGACCGAGAAGTATGTGAGTTAGACGTCGCATGGTTCCAGCATCATCAATCAAAGCTGTCCTACTCAGCTGAGACGTACAAACCGAACCGTGAACATTATCGATCCTCTGCCCTGTGGATACAGCAGTTTGGGACTCGCTTCATCAAACCGAGAGATGGATACAACGATAGATCCTTTCTATCAACACAGCGTCCTCGAGTCGCAAAGCGGAGTCGGCAAAGCGGAAGTCATGATCAACGAGCTACCGAAGTCGAACGTTGATGGGGATAAGAGTGAAGTGGTGAGAAGAATTGATATCAGAGATACGAAAGAGTCAAGAGACTTGCGTTGGTCGACATGGTGGTTGATAGGTGCTGTGCTCATCGTGATACCTTGGGTGGCAATCGCTGCGTCCGCACCAAAAACAGCGATGGGAGGCATTCGGACGACCGGCTTTCTCATCTGGATCGAGATTCTGTGGACTTCGGTGTGGATTCTCTCGTTTTTCCACTTTTATATTGGCAGAGGCTGGTTTTGGCTGTGCCAATTCGACGCGAGCCTGATGCCGTGGGACACGTTCCTTACCAACATCATGCGGACAAATGTGTGGTTCGCGATGTCTCTTGTGGCATGGGGAAGTTCTTCCGTTATGTGTCGCGTTAGCGGCAGCACCTGCAACGAAAATTGGCTTATGGTTCTGAGAAAAGTGCTCCTTGCCAGTATACCTGCGACTGCTACATTCTGCGCAGAGGATATCCTCATGGAAGTCATTATTACCTTCCAAGCAGCGAGGATGGGCAGGGAAAGACATCTCGAAACAATGGTGCGACGAAGGAATGCTATTTTTTTGATAGCCGCAATCTATCTTAGAGTCAAGGAGAAGGAGGGTACTTCGCAGGAACCGCCGGTCAATTCTGCACCTGCAGGGAGTCAAGGCTCTCGGTGTCGATCTTTCGCTTCACGTCTGCCCTCAAGGACGGGCAAGTTCCTCGGGACTCTCTTCCTTCGCGATCCACCAGACCTGAAAGACGTGCGAGAACAAGGCAAGCGATATGTCCAAGGTAAAGGCAGTGACAAAGAGTTCGATCTTGACGGAAAGCCTTTCCCAGATATATTCGTCGAGCACTACCTTCACGGAGAAAGTATGAGTTTCACCGAGGCGTTTCTGCAGGAGAAAATCAACGAAGAGGCCGGCAAAACGATCAACAACGCGCTAGACTTCACAGCGGCGGAAATTATGAAGATGATGGATAAAGACGACAGTGGCGAGATCACGACAGATGAAGTCGCAGATTTTCTCAAGGAGCTGGTGATGGCCATGCGCGACATCGCAAAGAGTGTAAACGGAATGAAACGTGCAGCAAGAAGTGCGAACGCTGTCGTAAGCTTCCTGTTGCTCTTTGTCGTCGCTATCATATACGGTACGTCTCCAAGCTCCCCAGACTCTTGTGTACTCAGCTCATGACACAAATTGTCAAAGCCGCATTCTTTGTCAAGAACTTAACATCGTACCTGACGCCAATTTGGACAACCGTCACCGGGCTCTCTTTCGCACTGAGCGGCACCGTTACCGAGTTTATAGCAGCATGCCAATTCGTTTTTTCCAAGCAGCCCTACGACGTCGGCGACCGCGTTATCATCGAAGAAAAGGAGCTCATCGTCGAAAAAGTGTGCCTGCTCTACACCGTCTTCCATCGCTGTTCTGATTGCGCTGTGGAACAAATCGCGCACAAGAAGATCTGCGACGCGTGGATTACCAACCTGACACGCTCCAAGGGCCTGTTTATCAAGGAGGTCGCGTCCATCGCGGACAAGACGGATAAGTTCACGTCGGCCCAGCTGGAGGCGCACGAAAAGGGCCTCGTGGCGTTCATCAACGAGGAAACGGTTCGCAGGAGGTATCTCGACGTTGGTGGTGTTAAGGTGTCGTTACACGCTGAGCAGCGGCAGCTGGTCGCCGATATCAAACTCAACGAATTGATGGTGAGACATGAGAAAGTACTCTCGCGGATGAGAGGCCAGATCAGAGATTGGTTGGAAAGGTTGGTTCGCGAAGGAGGTGGGACTTCATCCAGCTCGTAATGCGTCAACGCAATGATATGTTATTAGATCAGAAGGAATCGATCGCAGCGGTATTTCATGTGTCTCACTCTCAACTAATTCTTTCGTGTCTAAGCTAACGATGTGCGCATTGAAGCAATACTGATAGAATAATGCTTGCGGCCCGGTGTCAGGGCTCGTGTCTTGGAGGAGCTGGATGATGAGGTTCCTTGCCATGTTCTAGGTCTGACATGGGTACATCCGCGCCGTGCAAATGAGTCTAAACGACGTCACCAACATGTCTTCGTGAGTCAAAATCGGCAACTAGTGGCTTGGCGTGTCAATCCTGCATGATTCAAGCGATTCATCGTCGCGGCTAAGGTTGACTTGGCCAGTACCTTGCAGGCAACGACCCGCCGCACTTGTGACTGTACAGCTTTGCTTCAACGATACTTTCGCTGCGCCCGTTAAGAATACACCACACCAAGAACTACGCCAGCACACGTCACATTTCCTGAAATTGTAATCATGCCCTGGCCGGACAACAGTACCCAACAGGGCCATGGCACTAGATTCGCGCACGATGTCTCGATCCACCAGGCAGCAGGAAGCGGTGATCTAGCCAAGGTCTCCGATTTGCTAGACGGCGGAGTCGACATCAATGGTCGCGACGAGTCACTCCGAACCGCATTACATTGTGCCATACGTAACGATAGTTCGTCAATGGTTCAATTGTTGCTATCTCGTGGGGCTGATACAAGCTTGCGCGATAACTGGGCCTACGATGAACCTGATAGCTTCATTCCAGTAGAAACGGCCGCACGCTGGAACGCCATCGCTGCAATGCAGGAACTCATTGCTCACGGCGTTGATCTTGAGTCTTCCAAAGCTGTTTTTCTTGCGGCAAGAGAGAACCACATGGACATGCTTCGTCTACTTTTCGAAAAACTCTCGGGCAGCCTGTTAGATACACTACATCGACAGGCGATTGCGGATGCCCTACAGGTATCGGCCAAGAACCAGAATTTGGAGATGGTAAAATTTATATTGCAAAGATTCGATAGTGAGCGCGACACGAATGCGCGTGACGATTATAAGCAATCTGCATTAGACAGTGCCCTTATGTCAGTGTTCGATTGCGACTGTGCAGATGGAGACGGTGGCCTGTCGGACTATATTCGTGATCAACAGTGGAATCACGCGGTCCAAATCATCAACGTCTTGATAGACGCAGGTGCATCTGTCAATACCTATGGCAAAGACCCATTACGACGCACCGTTTTACATGCTGCTCTCACTGAACAAGGACCACCAATGATTCTCATAACTTCCCTATTGGATCATGGCGCTGGTCCGAATCCTCCCGATTCTTCTGGACGCTCGCCATTCTTTGAGCTACTGGGTGATCCTCGCGCGACCGAGGAGCTTGTTAAGGTGTTCACAGACGCTGGCGCAGTAATCGGTTCTCCAGCTGCGGGGGGTCAGACGCCTCTACATCATGTACGCAACCCAAGCATAGCCTCCTGGCTAATCGCTTCAGGTGCGGACGTTGATGCTACGGATTATCAAGGAGAGATCCCTCTACACAAAGCCTGCTCGATAGGGATGCTTGCATTAGTGTCTCTATACCTAGACGCTGGCAGCCCAGTAGATGTCAGGAATAACTTGAGATGGACGCCGTTCATGCAGTCTCGTTCCGCCAGTATCTCTAGAGCGCTGCTCAACCACGGCGCAGATATTCATGCTGCCACAGCTCGAGGTACTACAGCTATTCATAAGGCTGCCGCGTCATGTGATCTGGAGTTGGTCTCCTTCCTCTTAGCAAATGGCGCAAATATTCACGGTCGTGCAACACGGGACGATCCTACGTGTGACTCCAACGGACAGACCACTGTTCTGGTTGAGGACTATACACCGCTTCATCTAGCCATTGCATCTGCTCATGGTGCGTTTGTGGGAGCAACTCTCGAGGTGGTGACTGCGCTGCTTAACCATGGTGCTGAAATCGAAGCTAGAGAGGGTACTGGAAAGACCCCTTTGCTGCTCGCGATTAGTAGAAAGTACAACTCGAACGCTAAGAGCTGTACACACAACGAGAAAGTTGTAAATTATCTGCTGCAACGCGGAGCAGATCCTTATGCTGTTGACGATGCGGGGAAGAATGCGTTTGAGCTGGCCGATGAGAGGAATTATACACTTAGCGAGGTGGGGAAATTCGAAAGGAAGCCCGCTCCTCCAATATCTGTTCACGGGCGGAATACGGGGCCGGGACGAGGTCGAGGAAAAGGAGCTTACGGCAGGGGCGGCTTCCATTCGTAGGTGACATCGAGTTAGCGTCCCCTGTACTTGAAGCTTGCTTCACGTCCATCGACTCAGTGCAGAATATGGGGGATGGGACATTGTCGAACAGGTGGATTCTGTAGATAAACTGGCACTTGCATTGACACATGTGAATATGCATTTACTATCAAGGTCGAAATAGCCGACGACAAACTAACGTCTTATACTCAACCAGCTACTCCACAAGACTATACTGGCCCCTGGATTGCATTCGAAAGACACACCACTACAAACACCAAGACCGATGTGCTACCAACAGAAGTATATTGGCTTCGACACTGCAACAGATTACCCGGAACGGCGAGTGGACGTTTGAAAAAGAACGCAGGCTAAGATGCTTTGTATTCTTGAACGTCATACTCCAGATCATGCCTACCACCTTAACCCATCACGTTCAAGCACTTTCTGCACTGGCGCAAGTGTGACACCATATTGCTTGACTTCCTGTAGATCTACAGCATAGCCTACATCCCTGTGCCATTGCTGTGCTTGGACGGCTCGATATCCCTGAGCTACAAGCTCTGGTACCTCGTCGTCACTTATATAGTGAACGTCGACCATCTTGCCACTTATCGTTCCAAGAACCTTTGCAAGCTCCGTAGCAGTCATTTTCTCACTCGCGAGTGGGATTTCCTGTCCCGAAAATGTTCTCGGCTCTTCGAAGGCTGCAGCAGCAAACTTAGCGATATCTTGGGTGTCGATGAGATCAAGTTGAGTTGAAGGCGTATACGCTACAGACAAACGCTGCTTCTCTGCCAATCCGGAAAACATATGCCCGAATTAAGGGCGGCAGAAGTTCTGAACGAAGAAAGCAGGGCGTAGAATGGTCCAACAAGTGAAATCGGACGTTCTCACTAACCCTTCTATTGTCTGCTTGTTCATCCAGTACCATCCTAGTGGATAGCTGTCCGCATCCCAGCCAGGGAAACTCTCATGCTTTCCGGCGCGAGCTACACTGGAGCACACGATATTCCGTACATTCGAGTTCGAAGCGGCTGCCAGGACGTTCTTCGCAAATAAGATTTCGTTGCGTGGATGGGCGGGAATAGCGAAGAAGAGAGCCTCGGTGCCTTCGAGGGATGCTTCTATAGATTTTATATCCGTAAGATCGCCCTTATGCACTATTGCACCAAGGGACTGCAATTCCTGCGAAACGTCTGACGATGGATTTCGGACCAAGTGTGTACAGTGTAGCCGCGATCACAGAACACCTTGATAGCTGCCTGCCATTGTTTTCTGGTGCCTGGTAGGACCGCGATCGAGTTGACCATAACGTCTGGAGGGAATAGAACGGATATGACAAAAGAATACTGCAGACTTGAGTTGCACCACGCTTCTGAGCTTTATAGTCGCTGATTACAAATACTGCATCAGGTTTAGCGTCGGAGCATCGGAGGGTGCTTCACTCCATCATTTCTAAGCGACTACTCTTTTTTCTACTTCTATACCCATTTGCATAACGAGTCAGTTCATAGATTATCAAGGCACTACAGCTATCTATGATGCCACAGCGTTGTGTGAACCAGAGCGAATGCCCTTCCTCTTAGTAAATGGCGCAAATATCTACGGTCGTGGAATAGGAGCTTACGGCAGGAGCAGCTTCCATTCATAGCGTAGTGAAGTACTTTATGTGTTCTCCATAGGTAACAAGTCCTTGGCGCTGCATCGTATAGTACTTTTAGCTATGAGTTCGTGGGCGTCTATTACTCCCTACTCTAAATGCTTTTACACTATGTCTTACAAGACAAACATTACCGCCGTAACCACACTGACCGCCCATCCTACCGTCCTAGCACTAAAATGAGCCCCAACACTCTCCCAAGGCGTCTCTTGGTCCGGCACACGGCTCCCCTCCACTGTATTGTTCGCAGTCATACACACGAATTCGACGCTTCTTTGCACCAGATTTGATTCTGGGTCAACAAACCGTCCTAGTAGGACGAGTGGAATTGTCTGACGCGTTAGGAGATCATACGTCTCATTCGCACTAACTTTGGCGATCGTATCGGATGCTTGGAGGCCTACGATTGTTCCGAACGTGCTGTAATTGTCGGGGATATTCACCTCGGGCATGTCGGTGTAGGCACACGTGTTATTTGCCACGTCGACGAACTTGGTGTCTGTGTGAAGTTAATAGATAGATACACAAGAGTTACAGGTCCCGGGATTCGAGTCGATAGTATCTGTTCTGTACAGGACATAAGAGGAAAAGAGAAAGATCATTAGGGGATCTTATGCAAGAATGACGGAAGGAACGTACTGTGTGAACCGCCTCTCAACATTGGACACGCCTTGTTGAACGCTTCTGATGTGGACCCAGTGTCGGAGCTAGGACAGTAGTAGGCTACATCGCTTAGTGCATTGGTCAGATGGTCTATGCAGACCGAGCTGATCACACCGCTACAGCTGGTCTCTCCTCCTGACTCCAACGTTGCATTGATGTTGTTGTATTGGTAGCTGCAGTATCCTGTGCCATTGCGCACGTTTCCAGGAGCGGAGATGTAAGCAGTTGCGTCGACGTCGCTCCCATCATTCCATTCGGTTTCTCGAGATCCAATGAGGACAGAGACATACCACGACTCTTCACCAGCGTAGGAGGAGTTCCAAGTGAATCCGTGCTGGCCGGTCGAGTTCACGCTTCTGAATTCCCGGAAATTGCCTCGGCAGGAGGAATTCTGGGCATCGACAAGCGCTGTGGTCAGAAGTCCCGATATTGTAAAGAGCAGTGACTTTTGATCGTTAGACGTCCACATATTGTCGTAGCGTAAGGATGGAGCCTGAAGAAATTATTCGTCTGCACTTGCGAGAATACAACTATTTGTATTCTAGTGTATGTGGCGCCTAGGTAAAGTGTTGGACCAACTCAATAGCCAAGAGCAATGACGTGCACAATAGCTTTAATATGCCAAGTCCCCACGGTCCTGTGGTCGTGATTGACCCGATCGACAGAGTTAGGCATCCCGTATCCGCCCAAAGGAATATTGTGTTACACTAGATCCATACTGCTGTAACGCTGAAGATCTACAGTTAACTGCACTGCGTCGCTGACAATAATGCCTGTAAGCGCTGGGCTTTGACTCCGTGCTGCGCCAGCGGGTAAAATAAACGGCAGTACGGCACACTTCAATGTGACCAAGGGTGCTCTTTCATTGGCTGCAAGCGCAACGAAGGAACGACAGTATCCACCATCCTAAGCGAGGCACCAAATACTTGGCCTTTGTTGGCAGGATCGATCTTCCCTCTAGAACCATTGTGCGTAGGTAACTATGTGTAAGATAGATTCCATTCGACGCATGCGCCGCTTTGGCCGTAAGTTTAAAGAGATTGTTAACTAAATTATCCGGAGGCGCGGATCCCAGTCAAAGCCAACGATTATTGCAAAACGATGGTCCGCCGAACGACGTATGAGGTCATTGCTGTTTTGACGTCCAAGCGGATAGCGATGGTGTAGATGGAAGGAACGATCATGTACGGTACAGCTTCGCCTTCTGTTGAGCTGCATGGCACCTTGATAGGTCTATACAGTGGTTCAAAGCAAGAACATGAGCTACTATGTTAGAGGATTAGCTCTTCCGAAAGAGCTAGGCGAATCCCGCCATAGTCACGCCTACTACAGGAAGCTGCAAAACGGCCCATATTTTTACGCGATTCTGTACAATCCCGGTCCACACCCTGCAGGCCCTAGCAGACATACCAACAAAATGACGTAGACAAGGTGGCTATGAGAACTCAATGCAATGATGCTAATAAGACAAGCTATAAAGTTTTCGGGCTCGCAGCAATCGGACGTCCAGTTACAAGATATAAAGCAGCGCACTTTACTCTGCAAAAAGAGGCACACGGACTTCTTTTCACGCTTTCGTCCATCGATATCAAAGTCAAAGAAGGTCTAAGAATGGCCGGCGCACTCTGCCTAAGTGTGCTATCTAGCGTCGTACTTATCGTCTTTGTACAGTATGCCAATGGCACTATCATCGAGCCGGCAGAAGTAGCACCACCATCAACACTCGTCAATGCGGAAAACATGAAACGTCAGGCCAGTGGAACGACAGGACACCATCTCCAAAAACGGAGCTGCACTCAGGATAGCTGAGAAGGTGGCGAGATTCTTACCAAGCCTGCTGACAACGCTCAAATCGTGATAGACTCGGTGTCTGGACCGGCATCTGTCACAGTGACCAGAGACCGCACTCAAAGTTGGAGCACCTCCATGAGCATTGAAATTGCCGACATACACAGTCTTGGTGTCAGCGCTGACTTCAACGAATCAGTCAACTCTGGCAGCCCAGTGTCTATCACTATCCCCGAAGGTCAGAGTGGAGCACTCGGGTTCACAGCGACATTGTCGTGCAGCACTGGAATGGGCCATTGCGATAGTGGTGAGATGAAGGGCGAAGTTTGCTGTAAGCCGATCTTGTCGTGCCGGATTGAAGCTGTAGTCTAATCAAGTGGCAGGGCCTACGATGAATGGAGACGATGTGGCGGGAACGTACAGCGTTATTGTTGAATCTTAGACCAAGACATCGCAGGCTAGGAATGACTCTGACTAAAAAGTCTTTCAATATCTTCCTGACGCTCAAGAGTGTATCTATGTGTTTAGCAGATCACATCACGTTATGCCAGATATACAGTCAGCGTCTGTCCTTAGTCCGAAGCCTAGTAGCTCTGTTCTACAGTGCCCGTGCGCCAAATGATCACGAACGCCAAATGATCACCCTCAACAACTCAATATATTCGAAAAGATGAGATTGTAGAGCCACCACAAATCGTAATCATGTTGCGCAAAGCTAGGACTATACTATATACAGGCCTGGGAGAGTTTTGCGCTAGTTAAATAGTTTTTTTGTAGGCTGGATTGGTCGTGAACGGCGACTACGCGCTAGGGTAGCTGGTGCAACGCTTGCGACTCCTACCACAGCTGGAGCAACCCTAATACGTTTCTGACGCTTTGGAGCTAGCTTACAATGCTGTGAAGCCCTGCGCCTACCCTTTTGGGATAGTTGTACAAGCTTTTTAGTGTTGTTAATGAGCTCCTGGTGTTTTTTCTTGGCTAGTTTTGCAGCGTCCTCCTTCCTCCTCTCCTCCTGACGTTTCTCCCGCTTAAGACTCTTCGCGGCTTGTTGTTGTTGTGATACCTTATCATCCCGAGCTCGTTTCACGCTTTTGGGAGACCACCAAACAGCTCCTCTATGATACTTAGGATGATCCTCAAGCTGTAGGGTATAGGATTTGGTTTCTCACCTCTTCTTGATGGCTAGGGACTGCCTGAGGCGTCTAACCTCGCCGAGGAGGAGTGTATTTTGAGTTGCAATGTGGTGCAAACTTCTTTGAAGCTTCCTAACGTCCTTACTGCTCTGATCCTTCACCTTACGGCGTACAATTAACTTCAGCTTGAGCCAATCCTCGCTGGAAAGTAGAGAGGTTGAATTGCCTTCTGAATCTGATCCCTCTTTAGCAAACTTTTTGAGTACAACCTCTGAGTTAGGTAAGTGTATACTAGTTGCTTCAAAGGACCTTGTGATGAGGAGAGGTTTCAAAACTTTCGTCCAGGACCTCCAGAAGAGCGGGAAGAAGTCTCCATTGGCTAGATTGAGTATCCCTTGGCTGTCTTGAAGGTACGGAAACTGATCTCCTGGTTCGTGCGATTCAATTTCTGCAATCGCTTTTTGAATTGGGTCCATGGTTGTGGAGTTATGACGCGTTGCAGTTGGGATAGTTCATGAGGTTGCGGGGCTTCGGGTGGCTCGTTGACTGGACTGGCTCGTTGGGTGCGCACGGACTGTAGTGTACCCCACATTACTGATTAACACATTCAAGATCGGATCTCGGAAGTTTCATGAGCCGTGGGGGTTTCACCGTGGAACAGAGCGCAGTGTAGCTCCAAGACCACCAATATAAGTATCTAGGAAATGTGCACTGATTGGATTTTGCAGACCCTCCCATCGTGCGACTGTCACGCAATCTTATCGTGCATACACACATTCGGTGAACCGGAACCTGTCTTCTGGAACATACGCCAACTACAGCCATGACAGACGTGTCTGTTCGCCCACCGTTCGATGTAGGATACAAGAATGGCAGCGGTATGCCTAATCCTAGCCAAACCTTCGACCTTGAAGCTACACGAAGAATGATAATGGCTTTCAATATCAACCTTGAATACATCGCCAAACAGCAACCGGAATACAAACATGTTACCCTCTCTGCATCCGGCGTTAGCGATCTAAGTGATTACGACGTGACTGTATCGATTTGGCAAAGCACGCATGGAACGCGCCGCCCGTGGTCCAGTGGAAGACCGGTTATCTACTATATCCACGGCGGTGGGCAAATAGCTGGAACCCGATTCTTCGGTGTCACAGACGCCATGGCGCACTTCTCGCCAGCGGACGACGTGGTCTTTGCGAGCCCGGAATACAGGCTCGCGCCCGAGCATCCAGCGCCCGCAGCTGCATACGACGTGTATGCAGGGCTACAGTATCTCATTTCACATGCGAAAGAGTTAAATATCGACCCGGCAAGAATCATACTCTATGGGAACTCAGGCGGCGCAGCAATTGCGGCGTCAACCAGCCTCCTCGCGCGTCAACTCAACGGCCACAAAGTAGCCGCGTTAGTACTGAACATTCCGATGCTGGACGATAGACACGAAAATTATGTGAGTGCAAGTCAGTTCCGGACAGAAACAATATGGCCTGGGTGGACGTATGAGTGGGCCTGGAATGCTATCTTGGGGTCGGACAGGAATGATCCCACAGGCGTGAGGGTTGCCGGTCGGGCTGAAGAGCTATCGAATCTACCGCCAACATTCATTGATGTTGGTGCCTGCGAAGTCTTCAGAGACGCGGCGGTCAAGTTTGCGACGAGGATTTGGCAGGTCGGAGGAACCGCTGAACTACATGTGTGGCCGGGGGTGTACCATGGGGCCAGCATGTTTGAGCCGCAGGTTGCCATTGGAAAAGAAATGGTGCGATGTCAACAAGGGTTTCTGCATAGGATACTGGGGATGAGCGGATGAACGATGAGCCGTGAGGGTGTTCATACGGATAGATGAATATCAACCATGGAAGAAGATTAGCGATAAAGTATTGGCAATCCCTGTTGTCTAGGATATCTCAACAAACAAGCATTGCGATGATACCATGCGCGAACAGCAGTAAGGGAGCTCACCGAGGTTGATTTAGAGACAAATGATCGCAATCGAACTTCTCAGGTAGCCTTTCAACTACTAAACTTATCGCGCTCGGCCAGTTGCGTGCTCTCTGATGCGATGCGGATGGCTGACGTGTCTCGTTTGTCTGGGGCGAAGGTCATCTTCAATTTGCCGACTAGCAAGGAGTTGCTCTCAGGCAAGCTGGAATCACCGGTCTGAATCCCGGTATCGATCCAAGGGGTCAGAAAAAGCCAGGCACAACCGAGAAGGAAGAGCTTGGATTACTCTTATGTCGGGTGGTGGGGGTCCAAGTCCCGTTCGCGCACAGGGTCTCCGAGCCGCGAAGGTAGGCTGTGGCTTCCCCGCATCCCCACTCCACTTTGTATGCCCCGGAAGAGACAATATCCAGCCACAGAAAACACGATGCTGCGCGCACACGCAAAACGACTTGCTGTATCCGGCGATAAATCTGAAGTCCGATCAATAGACAAAGTCCAGTGAAGCAACGATATCGCAACACGTTGCACGTCTCGACTCAACTCTTGCTACCCGCCATCATCGAAGCTGATCGGTGACTCGTCTTTGGCCCTCGTGTAGGATCAACACCAAACATGGCACATAAGCTCGATATCCTGATTGTCGGCGCTGGCCTCTCAGGTCTCGCCGCTGCGATACAATGCGCATTGTCAGGGCATTCAGTCACGGTATTGGAAGGCGCAAGGGAGCTAGCTGAGGTATGTGTTCGCGCCCAGGGCACCGAGCCGCTGCACACAGCATTCATACTTATCACGACTCCAGATAGGTGCCGGCCTTCAGTTGACACCTAATGCCACACGTCTGCTCCAGAAGTGGTCTGTATACGACACTATCCGCGGCCAGGTCTGCGAACCCGTCACATTGACTGTACACAACTACCGCGGCAAGATCCTCGCGCACGAAGAGAACTTTGATGCAAACATCCGCCGCAAATACGGCGCGCCATTCTCCGATTGCCATCGCGTGGACCTGCAACAAGCGCTGGTGAAGCGAGCGAAAGAGCTGGGCGTAATTGTTGTATTGAACGCGAAAGTGACGAATGTAGACTTTGGCTCAGCTACTGGCGACAGAGCGCGTGTAAAAACCTCTGAAGGCCAGAAATACGACGCCGATCTCATTGTCGGAGCAGACGGACTGTGGTCTTCGTGTCGATCTACAATGCTAGGACGCAACGACCCTCCGCTACCCACCGGCGATCTGGCATATCGCATCGTGCTCAAGGTTGACCAAATCAGCGATCCGAAGTTGAGAGAGATGGTCCAATCTCCCGCGTGTCGATTCTGGGCAGGTCCAGATGCACACGTTGTAGCGTACAGTATGCGCTGCGGCAACATGTACAACGTGGTTTTGCTCGTGCCTGATGATCTCGAAGAAGGTGTTGCAAGGACAGAGGGCAACTTGGACGAGATGAAAAAGTTGTTTGAGGGATGGGATCCAGTGTAAGATGCTCTACCCGCCTCACCCTATGACCGCACTGTAGATTTAACATTGATTCAGATTAACCCAGCTACTCGGGTGTGTGGACAAAGTGGACAAGTGGAAACTGATGCACCGGGCCGAGATGGAATCCTGGATCAACGCGCAAAACAATCTTGTGCTCATCGGGGATTCATGTCACCCGATGCTTCCCTATCTCGCTCAAGGCGCGAATTCTTCCATCGAAGATGGTGCCGTTCTGGGACTTTTACTTGCCCCGGAGCATCTCAGCTCGAAGGAGAAGCTACCAGATACCCTTCAACTCTTTCAACAACTACGGAAAGCACGAGGCGAGGGCATCGTACGGGAGACATTCAAGCAGCGAAAAGACTTCCACCTCCGCGACGGGCCAGAACAGGAAAGGCGCGATGAACTGATGTTGGGCCAACTTGGCAAGGAACTTCAAGGCGCATTCCCAAGTCGGTGGACATGTCCCGAGGTACAGCCTTGGCTGTACGGATATGACGCGATGGACGAGGTGAAGGCGGCTGTGCGGGCAAAGTCATCGTGATGGCGCAATAGCGTAGGAAAAGAAAGTTTGCGGGACGTTGAGAGAGAGGCACAGAAGCCAGCCTCGGATGTAAGGTAAGAGACATACATCTGATTGGGTCGATGGAAGTAATTGTTAGTAAACGTGCGATTCATGATTGATGTTGCACCAGGGTCATCGTGAAACGGCCCACATGGTGGCTGCCGAGGCCCGTCGCAGGTCGCACCGTCGACATGCATGAGACAGCCCTACGCCATCCTACTTGGTTGCAATCTCTCCACGCCCTGGAGAAGATCATGGGTGGTAATTGAAGGATGACTGGGCCCTTGGCGGAAGATGCCGTCTCGTCCTTTGCCATCGCTGGCAAGTTCCAGACCAAGCGAGGCATTGACGACAGTAAGCCAGCCGGGCTGACATGGCTTGCTAAGAAACAACGACGCAAAGGCTCCATATCGTTGGTAGAGCCTATACACATGTTTGACAGCGGAACCTTTTTGCGTGAACGACTCCGAAAGGCTGTGGTTAGCTCAAGTCAGATACTTTGCTTTGGAGGTATAACGACATACCATCGCATTTCCCCCACGATGCGAGATGTCGCACTGAACATTGGGCACAGTATTCGCAACTCACTCGTGCCAACCCATGACTTGTGCCACTCGTCGAGGTTGATACGACACCCCGGTAGCCCGTCCGCCGCTAATGCAACGGGAATCCTGCTCGATGATCGAAACGGTCACTGGAGTCATGCGCCCGCATTCATCCTTGGTCGTCGAAATAAGAGCTTCACTTGTCCCAACAGCATGCCGAGGCTAACCCAGGCTAAAACACACGACATGCAGAGGTAACCCGACAGATTCAGTGGTCAGGCACGGAAAACATGGGTACACCTCCCTGTACACATCAGCCTGTTCCCGCACAACGGGGCAACGCACCCACAAAAACGTCGCGTTGATGGGAAATGCCTTGGCATTCCTTTCATCACATCTCGCCGCAGAAGCAATGTTTCGAAACCCAACGGCGTAACTCGCTGTAATGGCACTCCGAGGAAGTCAACCACGGGTGCGTGTATAAGATGTAGGCCTCCAACAAAGATTTGATGGGCATCGACTTCGATCCTACTTTCGCTTCAACCTTACCACCTTCGCTTCCAGCGCCAGTGTTGTTCTTCGTTGTGCAGTGCACCTACATTCTTTTCTTCAAACAAACAGTTCTTCACAGACTTTTGAGCATCATACTTTCAAACCAACTGTTCAACAATATCTCAAGATGAAGTACTACGCCGCCCAAGTTTTCGCTCTTGCCAGCATTGCAACCGCATTCCCGCATCCCCAGCTTCCCTCGCTACCATCTTTCTCGCTACCAACCGGAGGACTGGGTTCTGGTCTAGGCTCAGGTCTTGGTGGAGGATTGAGTCTACCAACCAGCCTTCCATCCCTCGGAGGTGGAGGCGGTCTCCCATCACTCGGAGGTGGAAGTGGCCTCCCATCGCTCGGAGGTGGAGGTGGCCTTCCATCACTCGGGGGTGGCCTCCCATCACTTGGAGGCGGAGGTGGAGGCTTCTCTCTCCCCACCAACCTCCCTTCTCTCGGAGGAGGAGGCTTCTCCCTCCCCACCAACCTACCCAGCCTGGGCGGAGGCAGCACCGGTACAAGCGGCTCAGGCTTGAGCAGCTGGCTCAGCGGCCTAGGCGGAGGCCTCGGCGGCCTTGGAGGACTCGGTGGTGGTGCCGCGGGTGGTGGTGCTACGACAACAGCCGATGCCGTTGTGCCCTCACCTTCAAAGACTGGTGCTGCTGCAGCACCCTCAGCGACTGGCGGAGGCAACACTGGCGGTGCCGGCACCATCGGCGCAAACTGCCAAGCTCAGTCTGGATCTTCCAACGCTTTCGGAGGCAGCGAGAACGGCATCGTAGACAAGAACTGCTGCACCGATATGACCGTCGTCTTCGCTCGTGGTACGGGAGAGATGGGCAACGTCGGAAGCGTCTCTGGGCCACCAATGTTCAAGGCTATCCGCGAGAAGCTGGGTAACGACCGTGTTACCGTCCAGGGTGTTGACTACGCTGCTTCCGCTGCTGGTAATGCCAACCTCGGTGGTGATGGTGGTCAGAAGATGGCCGACCTGGTCAAGCAAGCCAAGTCTCAGTGCCCTGACACCAAGGTCATTGTGTCGGGTTACTCTCAGGGTGCCATGGTCGTACACAATGCTTTTAGCAAGGGTCTTTCTGCCACGGATGTTAGCGGTGCTGTCATGTTCGGAGACCCATTGAAGCGCCAGGCCATCAGCGGTCTTTCAGCCGACAAAATCAAGCAATTCTGCGGTACTGCTGATCAGATCTGCGGTGGCGGTGGTGATGGCGGTGCGACTGGAAGCCATCTCAGCTACGGCAGCAGTGCGGATGCGGCGGCTTCTTTCGCTATCCAGGCCGCTGGCCTTGCTTAGGTGGATTGAGGTTGTATGGTGAACTCGCACTGCTGGTCTGTGTGAGCTACGAAATGAGATATGCGCAATTGTTCGGAATGGCGCGATGAGACGCTGGTGTATGTTTTACTGTAGATACTTGACCACTCATTGTCACTCATTGAATTCTTCAAACTATCCTTCACCGCCATACTTCTTGATAAGCTCGTTCATGATACTGACTGCGCCACTCCGATAACCTCCCCCAAACATCGCATAGTGGTTGAGGTGATGGTACAACTCATAGAGCTTTACTCTGTCTTCGTACTCTTCGACCGGTTCCGTCTTCGGACACAGCTTATGGTACTCTTTCAGGAAGGGACCACCGAACCCACCAAACATGTTCATGATGCCTAGTTCAAACTCGCTATGCGCGTAGCATGCCGAAGAGTCGAAGATGACGTCTTCAGGCTCACCCTTTTTGACACCAACGAAGCCTGCGCTGGCATTGCCGCTCCATAAATCACCATGCACAACGACTGGCGTAACTCCCTTGCCGTTGTTAAGATGACTATCACCGATTAAGCGGGGCACGACCTGTGCCGCAGTCTGCTCAACCAGCTTCTTCACGTCGCCATCCTTCCTCCCGTTCTGCTCCGCGCATCGCAGAATGAACCTGAGACGGTTCTCCGCGTAGAAGTCCGCCCAACTCTCCTTGTAGCTGTTATCTTGTGGTGTATCGCCGCAGCACGTCGTCACTGGAAACCCAAATACGGGCTTGTCGTAGCCTTCTGGTATGGGCGCGGGCGTGGTATGTAGCTTAGCGAGCTTGGCTGCCAGCGATGGCGCTTTGGACGATTTCGAGCTCGATCGTCCGGTGAGGTGAAGGAAGTCGGTCACGAGGAAAGATACAGAGGGCTGCGATTCGAATTGTCCGTAACCAAGGGGTTGAGGACATAGCGAGGATACGGCGTCGTTGATGGCTTTAAGAGATGCATACTCGCCTTCATCGCGCTGCCAGTCAATTAGCCAGCCCGGGTGTGCTAGGAATTGAGCCTACCTTGGAACATAACACCCGCCTCTTTTCCGTTTCCAGTCTTCATGAAAAACGTCTTTTCCGTGCCATCGTCAAGCTGCGATGTGATCTTCCACGTCGATGCCGAGCTCGAGCCGCCTCCGCTTGCAGAGGACACTCTCGTTTTCTCGGCGTCTAGGCCGAGGCGATCGACGACTGCTGAATCGAGCTTCATATTGAGTCCTGCCGTAACAGAGCACGCGAGCTTGAACATGAACGTATCATGGTGGTGAAGGCGGCTGATGTGTTTTGAGATGAGTTGATGGTGACGTCAGTTTTAGCATCCGATGTGCTGGAAGCTCCCGAGGTGGAGTCGCGCCGACGCGTCCTCAGCGTTGCTACTACAACCGCTCGCACGCACGATAATAGCTGGCGCTTTAGAACGACAGCTGGGTTTCTGGTTCCGAATGCTTAGTCATGCGCCACCCATTGCGCCTCCGAGCAGCCAGTCCAATGGAGCTTTCACACGTTGCCAATCGTCAGCCTTGTGACTACCTAAACCACAGTCGACCTGAATGTTCGAGACGGCCGTATCGTTTATCGCACTTCAACTCCACTATCGCGTCTTTCATAGCTCGACACTGCCATGCTGGATTACCTTCGAAATCTACGCGCGAGTTGCCGTCGACAGGCAAAGCTCGTAGCTCCTGCCCGACGAGCGACAAGTCGTCCGAACCACGATACTAGTGTACTACCCAACATCACGGAAACCTCGCAAGCAGTCGTACCCCGACCTCCCGAATCACCTTTGCGCTCGAGACCTGAAGAACCGGGTTGCTTGCTTCCAAATCTCAGCGCACATGTGTACGAACCCATTGATTCGGAAAACGGGGAGATTCGTTTAGTCGAGCTACTGCCTGGGTGCTACGACGATGTAATTCAGTTGAACCTCCACATGAAGAACCTTAGCGACAAACCCAGTTACGAAGCCCTGTCATATGCGTGGGGCACCACGCCCAGCTCGAACCGAGCGATCATCAACGGCTGTCTAATACCAGTGCGGGAAAGCCTTGATCAGGGACTCAGACGCCTTCGACTCGGGGATCAGCCTCGGACGCTATGGATAGATGCGCTATGCATCAATCAGAGTGATGTGCGTGAGAGATCGCATCAGGTTCAGCAGATGTGCAGGATTTACAAGTCTGCGCAGCAGGTGGTGGTGTGGCTGGGCGAATGGCCGGATGTCGATACTTGCCTAGACCCCGAGGAATGCCAGAGATTGTGGTTACGAAACCTGGATGACTGGTCACTTCTGTCGACAAGGCGCGTGACCCCATCGAAACAGAAGAGGAAGGCTATTTCGATGCAACTGACACCAGTTTCTGAGCATCTCTGTCAGCATGTTGTGGAGATTAGTAAACTACCCTGGTTCCGGCGCCTTTGGATCATCCAAGAGTTCATTTTGTCCTTCATTCACCCAAAAGTATTACTTGGGAATTACGTCACAAGCTCTGCCAATTTCTTTGCTGCCATTACGAGATGCCTGGAGATCATGTTGCGAATCTCAGCCTCACCCGAATCCGAGCGCAGACAAGTAAAGCAACTATACACACATCTGACCATGCTTCAAGATCTCGCTCAATGCTTCCATGCATATAGTGGAATCAGTTTGTATACGACCTTGATGATGACGCGATACGCTATGGCAACGGACCCGCGAGATAGAATTTACGGTCTGCTTGGGATCATCAAATATCGCGTGGCTGAGCCCATAGTGCCGGATTACTCGAAGGGTTGGCCACAAGTCCTCGCCGAAGCCACCATAGTGATGATCGCAGAAGATGGTCTTTTCCCTTACATGAATGGTGGTTTTGCTTTTCCTCTTGTCGATGGCTCCCAAGAACGTTATCGCACATCTTCGTGGGTACTGGACCTCTCCCAATTAACCCATGATAACGATGAGTTCAGTCGCATGAGCAATCGCATAAACAACGAATCACACAGATTGATTTCAGAGGGGGTTGAGCGCAGACGAAAGTCACTACGTCTGTCGAACGATTCCCGAACTCTTTATAAACATGGATTGTATATTGGAACCATCATAGGAACTTACACTTTTACAGCAAACACTGGCATCTTCGGCCTCTGGTCTGGGGTTACTGCCATAGATCCGGCGGCTGGACTGCACGACTTCTACCATGAGGTCTTGCAGCCAAAAGGTATCACACCAAAGTGTCTACTCGAGGCGCTTGATGCGAAGTTGATCTACCACGGCAGTCTTGCAGAATTTACCTCCTCCCTATCAGGCCACAGAGATGAATTCGTGCCTGTGTTCAGGGCTCATGACTTGGATCGACACAAGTTCGCAGTGTTTCTCACGGACAGAGGAGATGTTGGACTCACATGGCTTCATAACACTGTCGACATTCGAGCAGATGATATACTCGTCGCGCTTTTTGAACGTCAGATGCCTTTCGTCTTACGACCAATCCCAGGACATTTAGGTTTAAAAACCTATCGAATGGTCAATGTGGCTTATATAACAGAACGCAGCCGTGAATATGTCCACTATATGGACGGTCATATGCAAAAGAAGTTCAACGAAGATCCGCACGACTGGGTCTTTGATGCAGCAGAGGGCTGTGCCGAGTATGCTATCGTTTAGGCTTGTCCTGACGCCTGATGGTTCAACAGTGACACCGAAAGCCGATCCTATATGGATAATACTACAGAGACGCGTAATTATCATACCAACATTGGATGGCCCCACATAGAGCTCGGACAAGTTTTGCATTCCGTAGCAAAGTAATTCGGCGGTCTGCCTTCCGTAGCTGAACTCTATGGGAGCCCGGTTCGCTTACGCTTTACACATGATAAATGGGTTTGTGATCCACATAGACCATGCAACCCTTGGAATATATTACAACGCATGGGCTTGGCGAATAGCTATGACCAGCGCAAGCTCCACTTTGAAGTGGGCATGCCGAGGTACAAGAAAGTTAGTATCGCACGAGCCTTCATCGGCCCTTTTCTCAACCAGTATACATAGCTCGGGTACGTGTCAACATCCATCTGAACGTCGACAAAAAGATTGCACCAGTTTTCATGATGGATTCATTCACAGCAGGCGATATCACTCACAAGAATGGCGAAGTCACCCACTACTACGAAGGAGGGTCGAAAGACGGTATACCCCTCATCTTCATCCATGGCTGGCCGGATATCGCGGAGTCGTGGAAGCACCAGCTCACACACTTCGCTTCTGGGGGAAAGTACCGTGTGATCGCGCCCGACATGCGCGGCTACGGCGACTCTACTGCTCCTCGCAAGAAGGAATCCTACGCCCTTGAGGTCCTCATCCCAGAGCTCGTCGAGTTCGCCGAGCAACTTGGCATCAAGAAGGCAGTATGGATCGGTCATGACTGGGGATGCCTCATCAACGCGCTCTCCGCTCACTACCCCGAGCTCTTCATCGCTCAGGCAAACCTCTGTGTACCCTACCGGAGCTTAGAGCTCGGCTTGGACTACATCAAGACCACGATCAACCGCGACATCTACCCTGAGAGCGAGACCGAGTGGGGTCAATGGGAGTACATGAGATACTACGAGTTGCACCCCGAAGAGAGTGTCAAGGCCTTTGATGGCCACCTGGATGTCATCACTAAGATCTTGTACGTAAAGGGTGACCCTAGCAAATGGGGACAGCCATCACCCACGAGCCGGGTCTTGAGAGATGGCGGTTGGTTTGGTGGACACCCGGAGCAGCTTCCCGACATCCCGCTCGAATATACATCGCTCGATGAGTCTCTCTACTCAAGCCTGCTCAGGAGCAAGAAGAAGCATGGCTTTTTTGGTGCGAATGCATACTACTTGAACCACAAAGCGAATGCCGAGTATGCCAAGAGCGAGAAGAATGGTGGTGTGTTGGAGTTTCCATTTCTCTTCATTGACGCGAAGTTGGACTCTGTGTGCTCGCCTAGCACGGCACCAAAGATGGCTGAGATACAGAAGCAGTATGTGAAGAATTTGACGTACAAGACGATTGAGGCGGCGCATTGGGTGCATTTGGAGAAGCCGAAGGAAGTCAACGAGACATTGGAGAACTGGCTGGCTACTCTGTAGAGGGTATAGCTCTCACAGATATTTACATCCGGATCTTACCGCGAGTTACCGGCGTAATGTATTTCCATTTTCAAGGACATATTGTGCGAACAGTGTGCCACGGAGAGGTGATCGACAACTAGAAGCGTCATCTTCGTTTCCACACCATAGCGCCATCAACGACTAACAGTCTCAAACGTGTCGCATTTGTAGGATTACTTGGATCGATCATAATTTGTGTCCCGCGAATCCTACGTAAATTCTGTCAACAGCACTTTGTAAAACGATATCAGTATTACGCCTCGAGATCAACTGCAAGTCTGCTTTAGGGATTTGTGCTATGGATGTCAGCTGTTATAGTGTTGTGCAGCCGACAAGATAGAATGTGCTACACCTGTCTACCACATGAAGTACCAACCACTCGGTGATGGAGAGATTCGTTTGTTATCAATCCGACAGCCACTTGATAGCCTATCAGGAGTTGAATTTCAAACGAGACAAGGTCTTCATCCAGAAAGGCGCGTGAATTCTGAGCTCCTTCATCGCACCTTTCACAACTGTCGCATGTCATCAATCTTCTCTCTTGAGGGCCCGGAAACCGCCTTCGTCACTTTGAGTTATATCTGGGACAGCCAAGATGATCAGGAATCGATCTATGTGAACGGAATCGCGATCAAAGGACGAATGGATCTCAAGAACGCCTTGGAAGCATTGCGAGGGACTGGCGTTGTGAAGAAAGGATGGGTGGCGTAGGCAGATGCAATGTGCATCAACCAAAGAGATCCCAAAGAGAAGAGCAAACTGATCCCTAAAATGGGGGAAATATATCGCAAGAGTTGGTGTGTGGTCAATTGGCTGGGAGATGCTACCGCCGGCAGTGACGAAGCGTTCGATTTCATCAATGAAGTATACGAGGCTCGTGGCCGAGTCTTGACGCGACGATTGAGTTCCTGGAATATATGTCAACTTGTAACGTCTATGTACAGTATGGAAAAGCCTGAAGGACGGTGTATATCGACCGTACTTTCCTCGCCTGTGGATCATGCAGGAACTAGCGATGAGTTGCGGCCGAAGTCTGGTCCTGTGCGGTAGAAGGATTATGACATGGGGACGCATGAAGAAGGTTTACTGATGTCTCATAATACTTGAACGTGACTTAGACGACGAGAAGTTAAAGGACGTCCTCAGAGACGTAGTTTTAGGCCACGACGATGTCAAGAGTGCTTACTAACGCATACTAAACTATCATTAGAAAGTTCCTGACAATTATCATGGTGTTGAGGCAAGGCGTGTAGCAAGGGCAGCAGCTCGATCAATAAGGCAGGAGGTGAAGGCTCGTGGGGCTGCTGATCGAGCCTTGGGACAGGCAGCTCGTGGGGCGCAACAACGACTCCACAAGCTGAAAATAGACTACCCAAAGAGGCAAAAGCAAGATTCCTGAAGTATCTAACAAGACAGTCTCGTAAAAAAGAGTAGCTGCACAGCCTCAAGGTAGTGGTGAGACCTCAGGTGCTGCAGCCGGCCCACCACCATCTCAATCACGACACGGCCGAGCAATCAAGCTCCCGGCCAAACACAGATAGCTATTTATATCAATTGAGACCTATACAGCTCAAAAGTAAGATAGATTGCGATACTGCTGATTGTACGTAGCTCGATAGACTCATGTTGTGGTGTCGATTTTGGTGTTCTGGGCGCGCGTTACGCCGGGCAGCACAGCAAGCATCACACGCCAAAATCGGAAGACGGCACTGACGTATCGACTGGAACAACCACAAACCCCGGATCGCAATCTGACATCCTCGCCACGCGCTAGTCAGATATGCGCACATTCGGATGGAACGGCTACTGACTTCAATCAGGCCACCCACCATCATCACCTATAATAACAACCTGCTTGTCTTCCCCTCTCTGTACGTTACAACTCAAGAACTATGTCTTTAAACGCACCGTATGTAATCGCAAAGCTACTCGAAGGCGCATCCCTAGGATACAGCTTCCATCTTATCCGTGATGTATTCAGATTCGGACGGGATGTCGAGCGTATATCCATGCCTCACAGTCCAAACCTACTACAGGCGCAAAACGGCCTACCACAGACCAACCCTTCCGCCAATCCCAACAACAACACCATGCCCACAACGGTCGAAATTCAAAAGTACATCGCCAACGCTCGCTATTGTCGGTCCGACTGTCACGCGCAAATTGTCTTACAGATGACTGCCTACATCCTAAGGTATTGGGGTCATGATACGTTTACGACTCTGAACAGAATACAGGCGGTCTTGGGCTTGGGTGGTTGTGCAATTATCCTGTATGCTTTGTGGAAGAACGAGAAGAAATTGAGGGGCATGTTGGAAAATGGAGGGGGAAAGGATGTGGAGACGGGGAGGTTAGCTTGGGAGGGGAATGAGGGAAGGGGTAAGGATATAGAGAATGAGAAGGTTGGATTTAGAGATGAAAAAATAGAGCTGCTAGAGGGGAAGGAGGAGAGGGAGAAATAAAAAAGATGCACTTCAGGACCTAGAAGCGAGGCAGATCGATCACTACCAAAGTTGCCTCATCACGCGTTGTCGCATAGCAAAATGCCGACGCCCACAAGACAAGAATCATGGCATGTTGGCCCTCCTTAGAGACGGTCTTGCGTCACAAATCGGTACGAATCACGAACATGACCTTCAGATGGTATATGCAGATTTCACTAGAAAATGGATCGAAAGCACGGATGATTTGAATCTTCGCGGTCGTTGCGATGGGTATGGCAATCATTACCGACATGAAGAAGCGCTGGATTGTTCGTGGGCTGTCAATCTGTCGAAAGAGATCAAGCTGCAGACAAGAAACTACCACTGTCGTGATCGCGCGAACAGAGACATGAAAGCATGCTATGACTCCCAAGATACCGATCTCATCGTACGTGGCGTGATTGTCGACAAGATCGATGGGTTCAGTGGGCGGCGTCATTGGGATGATGACTCCGGTGAACTTGTAGATTTCCTAAGATCAGAGTCCCATAGAAACCCATATGGAGCAGACGCAGACTATGAGAAAGCTATCTGGAGGACTTTGGTAGGTGACCGCAATTATGAGGGCGACCGAGCACCTGGAAAGTATGCTTGCGTACTGGATACCGCTATCCTCGACAAATCATGTTTGTCATCCGATCCCACCGGGAACGGAAACATTGATGATGTTCAATACAATCTTCATCTCTGGTGGGTACGAAACGCAAAGATAAGAATTAAAGGCAAACCACTGGCATCATATCTCAAGAGTCTGGGAATCTTACGAAAGGACCCGAAAACGTATAATGAAGCTGCAGGGCGGGTTGACAGGTTCCTGTGGAACAGACGATTGGTTTCAACCGCTTTGGGTTACATTGGAATAACGCCTCATTTTATCCAGAAAGGCGACACTACAGCAGTCATCGGAGGCTGCGCTGTACCTCTTGTTCTGCGACCACGGTGGCAGCAAAAGCCAAAACATCTCAAATATGAGATACTTGGTGAGTGCTTCGTTTACGGGATCATGGATGGGGAGATTGAACAGAGTGTGAGGGAAGGAAGGCATGCTCTTGATGATATCATGATTTCGTAACCTCCTTGAGTTCTACTGGGGGCGTTCGTGAAACCAGGCTTATAGCCAGCAGATCATTGATTGTGTTACACTGAGACCATCCGGATCACAAACGTGACATGCACAATTGGAGTATAGAGCGCGAATCATGCTCCAAGATGGCGTCTCTGCTGACATAAGTAGTCCTTGTCGCAAATCATGACAATGCTGGGACAGGAAGCACGGTTCTTGGATGTTGTGTTGGACTACTGTCGACGCTGTGCTCCGAATTTCCAGCCTTATGTCTTTCGCACGTCGTCCTCATCGAGATGACGACAGCGATCAAACGAATGACTTACCAAGTTGATCGTAGAGACACACGGGTGCCTAAGGCGTCTTTGATCAAGTTGAAAGAGTGTCTGAACTGTCTGATCAGGCAGATAAAAGCTCCTAAAAATAAGTATTGGTTCAGAGACGTGACAGGGAAGAGCTGGTGAGCCCCGAACCATGGCCAGCTAGGACTGCCTCTGGTTCTCCTTGTTACATCGCTTTAAGTCGTGCCTGCAGGAGCGTGCTAAGGATAAGGCACCATTGGTCTGTGCATATAACGAGTTCTTCCATAAGTCTGAGCGTTGTTAGTACCCCTTCCTTGTGCGTATGTGATGCTCGATATCGATGACCACCACTTTCGAAGGAAGAAATCGATTGTTGTGCAATGAAAGCTCTTGCATCTGAAACACTCGTCTAAAACCGCGGATTGACAATATCCGCGCGACTTCCTCCATCTATCACGCCTGACCCAGCCCGTGTTGTATACGGATATCTAGTGCTGATGTCGCGTCCGCGGATGCAAAGGACTCAATGCAAGTTATGGAGGTGTTTCAGAAACCAGATACGTTCGAAGCACGGCCACAAGTCTTTTCTGTTGACGATCGTTGATGGGATCGATGGCAGGCCATGTTGAGGCAGGTTTGTTATCGACAGGTGCGGGTCACTGCCTCTCTTGTCGCTAGCGCGCTGGCCCCTCCCGTGCCTCTGCCCACTCGGCTCTCGTTCATTTTATCCGAGTCGGCGCCACGCGGCGATCCAAACCTATTGCATGTTGATTCCGTCTTCTAGAGCTTCCTGAAACATGTCGCAACGCCCTCTACACCTGTTGCGTGAACGCCAAACGCACAGATGAATAGTGTGGGGGCGGAAGCGTGGCGCGACAAAGCGTTTGATCGACTCAGCCTCCTGAATTTTGGAATCACTGACGAGTCGTCACTCGAACATCGAAATCTTATCAAGCTTGTAGGCGGGTCCTGTAAAGTATTGAGACTTGCTGATCGTACCATCTCAGAAGAATATGCCGATTGGCAATTGCTATACTTGTGGTTTGTACAAGCACATCAAACTCCCGCACACATTGTTGCCCCATGCCATTTTTTGATTACACAGCTATGACCATGTGTAAGGCTTAGAGGAGTACTGAGCATGGATTTCGCGACAGCAAAATACGACGCGACCTGCAGGGGAATCATTGTGCATATCTTAGCGCAGCCACAATATCAAGACGTGAGTGAACCTGGCTCCTCTGCTGTACGGCAGGAGGATTCATTGGCATATAAGTCCCAATCAGACCCCTCTTGACATGGCGCGACGCTGCAACGGCTATGGAAGGGCTCTCGATCGCGGCGAACGGTATTTTCGATAACCTAATCCATTGTCTTTACTAACAGGTGCTAGGCCTCGCTGTCATATCTGTGGCTTTTCAGCTTACCGAAGCGTGTATCAAACTCTACACGTTCTGGGAGGCAGTCGAAGATGCTCCTCAGGAGATCATCGCGATCAAGGAGGATCTGCGCTACCTGATCTCAGTCTTCAAAGGAGTCGAATCTTACGGCGACCCTCTTGGCGGTTGTTTAGGAGAAGGTGTACAACATTGCCGAGCAAAAGTTGCAGTAAGCGCATTCCATCCGGAGACACAACCTACGGCTGATCGTTTCAGGATCTGATATCCATTGTTGAAAAACTCGATGGTGGTTTCCAATCGCTGTCACGGAGGAAACGAGTACGTACAGCCTTCAAAGCTGCTCTTCACAGCAAACATATTCAACGGTTTCGCGACTCGTTGAACGATACGAAGTCGACACTTACACTTGCTATGGCACACGAAAGGTACTTTGAGATACAATGCATGAAAGAAATCTGATTGCTAATCAGATATGCTAAGCGTGATTCAAGCTCACATCTTCCGTCAAGAGTCAAGAGTCGAAGTGCTTAGAGAGCTCGAGCAACATAGTACGATTAAAGCCATTCAAAAACGCTCACTTCGTTCGTCCAGGATTGAAAACGCGTCTAACTTTACAGCGGTGCAAGATGTCTCCCTGAAATTTGTTGACCAGCGTTCCTTTCACCATATGAGGTCTTCATCCACAGCGAGCCCACTTCAACCTTTGGGCAAAGTACGAATGGAGCAGCGCTCAATCAATTATGGAGTACAAGAGCTCATGTTGCACACTATCGCGCAAACTGCGGTCACCACTTTTCAACCAACATCAATGGAGATATTCGCACAAGACGGTTATACGATCGATGAATGTGGTCAGCTGCGGACCGAAACTTTTGTCTATGCTGAAAACAGGCGGTATCATATGAAACACCATGTTTCAACTTTTCGAACGGCACTAGGGTGTACTTGGCTACGCACAACGACCATTCACCATGGCAACGAATCTTCCAAAAGACACAGGAAGTCACACGTCATCAGGTCGCTCATCCTATACCCTACAAGATGGCAACAATATATGGGCATCCAGAGCGGCCTCGAAGCTGTCGTAGCATCTGGGGGTCGAAGCTGGCTTTTCAATTGTAACATAACAGTAACCCGCCCTGTTTCTGATGATTCACTCATCTTTGAGCTCTGTCGCACGGGTCAAACTCGTGCTGTGGAAGCATTGTTGGAGAAAGGAATGGCAAGCGTGGTAGACACGAGCCCAAAGGGATGGAAGCCACTGCATGTAAGACGTTACTCTTTTGTGGAAGGTCACCTCTACAAAATAACACTGACTCAGCCAGTTTGCTGCCGCAGCAGGTCACGTCGAACTCTGCGCTTTGCTTATTAAAGGAGGCGCAGACAAGTCCGCACTGGCATACGAAGGACCTTCTGACGCGATCCTGTAGGTTCTCAATGCCAAACAATAGAACCTCTGCTAAGAGAAACAGATCACCAATATCGCTTTTCGTAGCATCTTGCACTGATGAGCACGCTGATACCAAGATCGCCATGCTCAGACTGTTTTGTGAATGCATCGACATAGCCGATGCTGATAGCGATGGTTGGTCCGTTCACGACTGGCTCAAGAGAGCATACGCAAAGGAACGAGTTCCAATCTCGCAAAACAGCATCACATGGCTACTTCACTTTACCATGCACGAAGAGTACGTCGGATTCAGCGCACGCAACATCTGGTCCGCCTTGCAACACGCAATGAGATCTATCCTCAACCATGCGCGTCATAGCAACTACCTTCAGCAGATCCTCTGTCTTTCCAAAGACGAGCATTCGAAGGTCAGCAGACGCCACTTAGACGCTGTAGGTTCTTGGCTTGCTCTACGCGTAAGTGGTCGAGTTGTCCTGCCGATGGTAGTGAATGCTGGCTCATTCCTGCAGATGAAGGGCTTTGATTGGATGGAGGACAACTTGACACACAAGCAATTCCTACAAGCACTGCCGAGTATCTACTCAGCTTGGTGTAACGCAGTACTGGATTGTGTCGAGCAAGAGGAAGCCTACATGCGAGAAGAACTTCATGGCTACCTATGCCAGCTTGGCATGACACGAGGGGAATTCGTTGATACACTCATTCAGACGAAGAGTATCTTGCATAGCGCAAATGTTGGAAACCTACCACGGACCGCATGCACATCCTGCAAAGATGACTATGGTCTATTGACTTGTGGACTGGTCGAACCTGCGCGCATAGCTATTACAGAGTGCGTCAGATCTGGACACAACTCGAATTGTGTGTGCGGAAAGATCCCAAAAAGCTCAACAGTGTCGGAAGATATTCCGGAATACACCGGGACATTTCGAACGGACGACAAAGACGATGCTACACATGCAGATGACGAATTCTTCGACGCACAGCCGTACGTTTTCAGTGATGCTGGTTCCCGAACCAATTCCACATCGAGCATGTTCACTGACATAGCGACTTTGCTTTACAGCGCGCAAGGCCGAATCTGGCTCGGTGAACACTCGTTCGGAGAGCGCCTATGCTCAACTTGTTTCTTACTCAAAGAGAAGTACATCGGTGAAGATGGTCTATCTGCTGACTTTCCACCAATACCGAGGAGCTTCGGTGGCCTACGTGTGAAGTAATGAATATCAACAAAGTATCATAGCGTAAAGCCAATGCAAACCGAATCTACCTTTCGCGCGAACCTATGAAACGCATACACATATACGGTCACGCAGTGTATCCAGTCGTGACACCGACAACTCTACAATTTGGAAAACATGGTGATCCCGGTTGCTTCGTTTATAACCTAACCTGCTGGAGCTTAGTGGATTTTCCAAGATGCTCTAGTGCATTTACGCTACCCTGTTTATGGCAACGACGTTCGCCGAGACTCCACAGATCATACGAACGGTCAGCACCCGACAGGACCGGTTTCGTCCTGTCGATCCTGGTATTGACCGCTCGAGCCTGACAACCAGAATCGTACCTTCTGGTTGTACGTTTGGAATCATCCTGCTATGCTTTGTAATCCCGAGTTTACTTATCAGCAGACATAAAGGCACTCTCCACATCCTCGTACAACCCTGAATCTGGTTATAAATCTTGTACGATAGTTGTTGTATAGAGCCAGATTACCATAAAGATAGACCAGTATGCTACCTAGCGATCTTGAAAGTTGTTCACTCATCCATGTTCTGTGTCTTGTGTATATGCAATCCTACAAGCATCTGCTTACCAACATTCCACTGCTCACTGTTGTTACCATGGCCCAAAAGACACTTCTCTTTCTCGGCGCAGGACCAAACGATGGAGATGCGACATTATCGCTGTCCAAAACCAAAGGATACAAGATCGCCACTGTAGCTCGCACGATCAAAACAGATATCGAGGCCAATGCAGACATCTGTCTGACTGCTGATTTCAGCGACCCAGGCTTGATGGGGCAGATCTTCGAGAAAGTCGAGCAGAAACTAGGAGTCCCAAATGTTGTGGTCTACAACCGTAAGTCATGATTTCTATACACATTCAGGATATAAATCGCGTCGTCCAGAGCTTGCCTTTGCCCATATACTTGTATTGAAAGCTCATATTGAAGTAGCCTATTCCTGGTTCATGGGTCCTGATCCTGAGAACCCTGTCTCGGCGCCGCTTCAAGATTTCCAGAAAGACCTTGCGATCAACAGTGTGAGCGCCTACGCTCCTGCGCAGGCTGCAGTAGCAGGTTTTAATAAGCTCCCCAAGGATGTAAAAAGAAAACCTTCATCTACACCGGTAACAATAGCAACACACTGGTAAGTCGTGGCCATGTCTTTGCGAAGATAGCAACGTGCTTACTTCTTCAGGTCACACCCATGTTTCTCATGCTCGGTGTTGGTAAAACGAGTGCGTGGTACATGATCCAGACATTGGCTGCCTCCGCTAGCTTGGCTTCAAAGGGATGCCGTTTCTACTATGTCGACGAGCGTACACCAGGGGGAAAGGCTATGTTCCATGTCTCAGGGCCTGCACACACTGAATACTTTTTGGGATTAGCAGAGAAGGAAGGTCGAAGTAAGACATTGGCGACGTTCGTCAGGGGCAAAGGTTATACGAAATTTCCAAGCAACGAGAGGGCGATCTTGCCCCACGTGTCTGTGCAAGATGCGGCGGATCCGAAGTATGGAGCACCAGGAACTGCAGAAGCGAAATACGGCTACTGAAAGAGCGAGCTCCGCATGAGATCAGATAACTATATATAATGACATGCAAGAATCCCGGGAGATGCGAAGCTGTGTATGTTGTGCCGTGTCGTATAAACTTGGATTTGACATTGTTGGTCATATCTTACCAGACGATAGCTTATAGCGAGATACAACTGGGACTATTTGACCAGACCGTTTCTGGGGGCACAAAACCAATCACTCTTGTCCAACAACTTTAGGCCTTTAGCAAACCTAGAATCATTCCTATCGATTACATGTGCTGCACGCATCCATTGCGCACAATGGGAAGTGAATGCTAGATTTTGAGACTTGCGTTCCGCCACATTGCTCGGAGGGTCCGTCCTATCCTTAGTGTAGTTCATACGAGCTAAAGCCGGATGCATTGTGCAAAGATGAACCCTGTATAGGTAAGCGATGTTCCCGGGCCGGAAATCTATTCGGGCCGACCCGACCTTGTCTTGGCGAATTCACATGCTCAAAAGGGAAAAAATGTAAGCGAAAGTGCAAATCTGGGGAACGGGACTTGTCTTGAAGCTAAACCCAGAAATTCCTGGAATGACCAATCTTCTTGACCGATCTTCTTAACACCGACACTACACCCGCTGTGATCCCGGATTTCTTCCACCACGCACCGTGACTAACGGACATCTGTTCGTCCGACCGCGTGTAAGAGAGATAAGCGCTTCCAGCAATTCTCTAGGTTCTCAGTCGAGACAGGAGTATAAAGAGTTTGTGGCTCCATTCGAAAGATGAATCACAAATCCTCCTCATCACCATCTTCACTACTATCACTTCCTACCCCAAGATCTTTAAGTCATTCTTAAACCACAATGTCTCGTTACGCTGAAGCCCATGCCAATCCCGCTGGTCCAGGAGATGCTCGCCCAACCGCTCTCCAGATCATCGAGGATGAAGGAGTGGAGGGCAAGTTGGCCGGAAAAGTCATAGTGATCACTGGCACTTCTTCTGGAATCGGAATCGAGACTGCCCGCGTCCTCAAGCTCACGGGAGCAAAGCTGTTGTTGACTGCACGAAACCTCGAAAAAGCTAAGACCGCTCTGGACGGAATTCTCGAGCCAGGACGCGTTGATCTCGTTGAGATGGACAACACCTCTCTAGAAAGTGTGCGCCACGCAGCAAAAGATATCCTGGAGAAGTCGAATAACCAAGTCAACATCCTTATCAACAATGCTGGTATCATGGCTATTCAAAATCTCGAAAAGACCAAGGACGGATTTGAAATGCAGTTTGGGGTCAATCACCTCGCACATTTCCTGTTGTTCGAACTTTTGAAGCCAGCTCTCCTTGCTAGTGCCACCCCTGAACTTTCTTCTCGAGTTGTCAATCTCTCTTCTTCAGCCCATCACGTTGCCTCGATCAACAAGTCTGGAAACTACAACTTTGAGAAGACTGAATACAACGACTGGGTTGCTTATGGGCAAGCTAAGACTGCAAACATCTACATGGCCAACGAGATCGAGAGGCAATACGGATTAAAGGGGCTTCACGCAACCAGTGTTCACCCTGGTATGATCGCAACAGGACTTATGCAGTATATGGACCCCAAGATCGTTGAAGGCTTCCAGGGCAACCAGGAGGTGTACAAGATGATGAAGTCGCCGGAGCAGGGCGCCGCAACGACAGTATGGGCCGCGATCGGAAAGGAATGGGAAAACAAAGGCGGAGAGTACCTTGCTGAGTGCGGGAAGACTACCCGCGGTAACGACAAACATGAGATCGCAGGTGTGGGCTTTGCAGGCCATGCTTACGACCCCGAAGCCGAAGCGAGGCTTTGGAAGGACTCATTGGCAATGGTGGGACTCAAAGACGATTAGTAGTTTATCACGAGTGAGCATGTTCGACACTTACATCTGGAATCTCATAGCCGTATAGTAGCGAGGCGAATAAATTGATCACTGATCTCAATCTTATGTTCTTCTTCTGTTGGGTAGTAAGAGCTAACGTTGTGCTTTGTAGAACTTACAAGATCTGGTATCTCAATCGTATCATATCCGCCGTCTAGAACCGAGCAGTAGATTGTAAGATTATCTTGTTCTTGGAGATGGCTCTGTAGGAAGCGCGGGGCTGAATTTGGAAGCGGAAATAGGGGTGCTGAAGGTGCGATAGCATTATTGCTGCATCAATGCATTTGGAAATCATGCCCCGCTTTCTCAGCACTAACATCAACGTTGATCTTTGTCGCACGGTTAGGTGCGGGTATTATGCATAGAACAAGGACGAAAGAAATCATAATTTGTTGTTATTTGTAGCCTTGTAGCGAAGCTTATATGAAGACTATCGCACAGCATTACTAGTAACACGGTGTCTGACTGCGCTTTGTCTACAATTCTAATATACTAGCCTTCTCCCAGAGCGGTGACCATAGCTCTCAAGGGTCTTTCGCTAATCACAGAAACCCAACGACTGATCTCACTTCTCAGATCGAGGGTGCTGGTGTGTTGCCTTACGTCACAGAGTGCTCTGTCTGCAATTCAGATTTGCTAAAGGAACAGGTTGTATACGTGGATCAGCCTCTAATACCTCTGACGCGCTTCAAACGATCTGATCGTACACGCAAGACTAGTAAATCGATCGCCCCTTCACCTCAACGTTGGGCACTTCTAGGCTACTCGGTGACTAGCATCCTCTACGTAGATTGGTAACCATGCTCTCTCGGAGCACTATTACAGGCAATGTTCAAGCGCTTCTCCTTTCTAATGACCAAAAGAAGCATAAATGAACAAATTCGTAGAGCAAGCCTAGCTACTCTATAGTTCTGAGTTATTCAATATGCACAAGGTTATTGGGATTCTGATCCGTGTTCTTTTTGTTCACTGCGGAGATAGGATCAAGTAGCAATTGAGTGAACAGCTTGGTTGTATCCAAGAGCAATACCAGCTTCAGATCTTGTTTCAGTTACTTCAGAATACCCCACGTTGAGCGCACGTAACGGCTTGGCGTCGAAGATTGTGCTACGCTCCCCGTCAGTTTAAGACTTACCCCACGGCCCCAAGACGCGATATCAATCGGCGTGTCGGGCGACTGCGGCGGAAGTCCAGGCAACAGCTCTCCGCTGCTCAGCTAAGCCCAGCAAAGCTGGCCGTCTGTGCTCCCTGGTGCGGGGCGAAGAAAACGTTGGCGTCCTCGGCGTTGTTGACCACAATCATGCCCGCTTCGGAGTCGTTTAGACGGTTCAATCTCGTCGCATCTGCAAATCTGTGGCATCCCTCTTCTAACCTCGCCTGCGTGCCTATATTTATGCAAAAGATCCATAGCGTCAGCGACGCGCCGCGCGCCCGGTAAATGTACTCAATGGCAATCTGCGTCTTTCTATGGCTCGCCGTCCACGCCAGGGCAGCGCCTCGAAGGCCAACTAGCGCTGCGCCACCCGCCAGCCCAGCGCATACCTTATCGATCTTTCCGATGCTAATATGTAGGCATTCAAAGTCTGCTATATCTATTTTGCAGAGTGACATTGCCACAGAAGCCCGACTGCGCTCCAAGACAGCTTTCGCTGGCAATGGCGGCTGGCGGCAGTAAGATGCATTGATCTGCTTGATCTGTAAACTGCAGCTAAAATACAGAGTAGCTGTTAATCGCCTTCTGTAACTGGATACCGTATAATGAGTGGTAGTGATTTGAGATGTTGGAAACCAGGCCTCGTATGCCTGTCGTCAAGACAAGATCATTTTTCCTACATGGCAGGTAAATCTTGAGCCAACCGCGCCATGCTTACGCGGCTGGACTAACCTACCATGAAAACGCATCTACATGCAAATTAAATACAGTCTTCTTGCCTCTCCCCAGGCCGGCCACTAAAGCTCGAGCCTCGTCGCACATCTCTGCAGGACCGCACACGATAACACCCACTTTCTTGTAGCCAACATCGATCTCCTTCTGAAGCAAGCCCTTGATAGCGAAGCGTTGTCCGACAAAAATCTGCTTGTCAGCGACGTTTCCGATAGCCGTCCTCATCTCATCAACTAAAGCTTGATCTGACGCTTTGACACTCCACGCCAACTTGACGTTTGGATGGACGGAGAGCCAACCCAGCAGACCGGTGATACCGATACCACCTCCGAGCAACAACAAATGATCAGCCTCCAGGGCCTCAGTGCTGGCTGAATGTGGATATGGTCCATCCAGCATTGTAAGTAGCTGAGCGTTCTTGTTCAACTTTTTCGTTATGCCGGTCCTCTTCTTGATAATAAAAGACAAGCCTGTCGTAGTTGCTAGATCTTTGACGTTGCGTGTCACAGGAGTCACGGGAGTAACCGATGCTATATCGCTTGGACATTTTCCTTCGGTGTGACTGCTCGCCGATATGCAATCGTCCGAAGACGCTAGTTCTGGAGCATGCGTGTGGCTTCGAAACAATACGGACGAGTTGATGGAGAAAGGGTGGTTCTCCCACGGTCGCAGCGGATGCAGAGTTGGAAACCCAATGTAGCCAACATAGCCTGGCTTCGCCGCCCACCGGACACCAGATACATCAACACGGATGTATTTGTCTCCCACTTCGGTGACATGGGCGTACTGCATGCCATTCTTGAACACGCGTAACACGCGGACAGCCCGATCAAAGAACCACACTGCGATGGCAGCATAGAGCCAGTTGTCGTAGAAGTTGTATCCCCATCTTAGGATGACATGGTACCAGCAGCCCACGATGACGAAGACAGCAAGTATTATGTGAAAGATAAGGAAGATCTCATAGGCGAGGCGGCGGAAATAGAGAACGCTCAAGACCAGCATAGCACATGTCAATACAGTAGCGACGATACCCCACGACCAATATGGCTTAATGGACTCGACTGGATAGCTTCCTGATCCTTGATAACACAACAATAGCGTAATGCTGTGTACGATGGCTTGGACGGCGAAGATGCGAGCGATCCAGCGGTGCAGCAAGAGGTACGTGCCGTATGACCAGTTGGTGATCCAGAGCAAGAAGTTGTTGCGGCTTGAGAACAGAATGACAAGGGGCAGAAGGCCATACCCTATATGTCCAGTGCGATAGCCAATACAAGAGAGGATCTCCTCTCTCTTCGAAAAGCCCCATGGATGCGGCTGCGAACTACCATAGTTCACTGAGCTCAAAATGACATTAAGGGTAAAGAAAAAAAGTATATAAGCAGCTTGCCCGACAGTCGGTGCGTTGCCGATGAGCCAAGGTAGCGGACGAACATGATACGAGCCTATCGTAGACGGGTACACAAGATATGGTTTGAGCTTGTCGAGTAGGCCAGTCGCGAACGGCAGCTTGCGAATGAGTGTGCATAAGATCGGAATGCCAAAGCCTAGGACGACAATGACAATGCTAAACATATATTAGAGAGACCTGTCAACCGATGGTGGTTCCACTTACACATATCGAGCTTGCAGCATTTCGATGTGGTCAAAAAGTCGATTGAACTTAAATTGCGTCTCATAACTGGCGTCGCTAATCACCATGGGCATGGTCATGACCTCGGTCGAGCTTGCATTATAAACCATGGTAGGCGTCGAATTTCCGAGTTCTATGAGCGTCTCGGAGTAAGTCCATTTCGGCACAAGGTCGGCAATGAGTTTAGTCGCCCAGAATTCTTCTCTTTTCCAGACTGGAACGTCTGCGCTACATCTTTTGCTCATACAGTAAGCTATAGTCTCTAAGAATGGTAGATTCTGTGCTTGGCAGCTTGGCGTCGGTGCTCCAGCAGCCATATCCATATCCATACCCATGGAGTGACCATCAGAAGAGTCGGTTTTGGGGCACGAGAGGCTGGCCGATGAGACTGCATTGTAGCAAGAGAAACCACAGTTAGGGCTGTACCAGGAGAACCCGTAGCCCGGGAAGTGGTTGGAAGTCAAATGTGAGCGAGCGACGGGAATCGCTGGAATGATGAAGAGCCAAAGCAACTCCATGGTGGATTTTTGACGTGAGCGTAGGCTACTCGGTGAGCCAAAGAAATTCAAGGTAGAAGTCAGACCAGCCGAAGCTCCAGATTAGATTACCTTTTATTGCTGACCTATGACTGTCTTGACCCCTAGGTAGTGCAGCTATTGAAGCCGCATCACTTGAGCAATCTAATAATCTGATTTGCCAGAGAACAAGTCGCCATAGGCTCTACAGTCACATTTAAGAAATGCTCGTTGACCGCGAATGATGTTCCGATTGTTGGGGTCTAGTGCTCTAGCCTGCATTTGAGCATGTTTGCGCGCATTTTTCCGGGAACATGCAGTTTGAATTACCCGGTAAGATAAAGCCACAGACCAAGCATTGATCATAAATTCTCCTGGGAACTTTCCTCATGGCGCGTTTCCATGGACTTATCTTCCAATTAGTGGTAGGTGCCAAGTGAGTCTCGTGGTGGTAACGCTGCTTGTCACGACACTTTCTGATTACCAAAATCTAGCAGTCCGCATATTGCGTTATGTGGAGGTGTTAAAAGGCATTCAGATATCTCTTTCTCCATACCAGGAAGCAAGTGAGTGACGCTCTCACATTCTAAGGCCAAACGAGATATGATGCAGCAGTGCCCTTGCAAGCATAAACCTCCTTAGCACGCTACTGTAACTTACATACGACAATCTAGAGAGGAATAGCCGATTGATGGACTTGAGACGCTGAAGGTCGCTCAAGAGAGAATCTTCGCGATTGGCTTGAGATAATTTTCTTGGCCTAGCATGAGTGGCTTGCGTAGTTTCCGAGGAACGTCTTACTTGTTCCTCTACATTTGGTCTTTCAGGTCCGCGGAACATGCATCCTACAAGGAGTTTGCTTAGTCAAGTTAGCGCACTGTTATGTGTCACATAATGTTGCTTACTTGAGACGGAAGATTGCGTCCGGAAACAAAAAGAAAACCAGTGTAAAGTACGTTCAGCAACAACATTGCTGATCTCGTTTTTACAATGAAAAGATTGCGAGCCTGAAACTTGATAGTGCGCAAATGCAGATTTCGAATCTCATATATTCCCTGGGTAGCAAGGTTAATAGAATTTGAATCAGATCTTCCTTTCGTGAGATGTAAGACCGAAAGCAGCGTAAATACAATGCTGTCTGCTAGTACTTACGAAGTGACTTGTTCACTATTCACTCAGGAAGTGTTTGCTGTATCATCGAGTATTAAGGCTAAATCCCTGCCTCAGTACAGTATTTCTGGTGTGGTCCATAGACGATGGATGCGGTCTGTCGATATGGAGACGATGATTTACTGAATGGCATAGTCTTTCCATGACCCATGCCGGTCGAGTAATTTCTTGTGTACTTCTTCTGTATTGATTGAGAATGTTTGCGAAGCACCAATTTGGACACCAGTCGATCAGCTGTTTCCCCTGGGGCGCTGCACTGCAGTATCCAAACGATCCTGAGGGGCCAAGGGTGAGAACCATGCTTCGGTCTTCTATCACGCTTACGGGAAGATCTCGATTGACAGAAGCTCCAACACCGCATATATCTGTGAGATGTGACTTATTTCAGCGTCGAGCAGCAATTGGAGAACAGTGATCATACTCGTACACGGGTGCGAAGTGGTTCGCATCTTTCTCGTTAAATATAGCCCATTTGATGAAGCTGCGAACGCCATCTGCCCCAATGACAAGATCAGCGATGCTACTCCCACCATGAGCAAATCTAGTTATCGATCTTTCAGATCCTAATTCTGCATTCACAACCTGGCCATGTAGTACATCTCTCTCTCCGACCTTTCCGTAGGAGCATTTCCAGAGTTCATACCTAGAGCGTGATATCGTGAAATTTTTCGGGGAGCCGTCGCCTCCACTCGAAAGAACAGCTGAAGTATGGCCTCTTGCCGTCCTAGATATGCAGTACTTGCTCACGTAGCCTCTCGATTTGAATAGCTTATATAAATATCCGTCTACGTACTTCAACAGGCGCACACTGTAGTGATTAAGCCCGACACCATTACACACCACAGCTGCAGAGTTGACAAGGTCTTTCAAACGTTACAGCGCGTGGGTTAAGGCTATTCTGGAGCTGTTGCGAATTACATATCAAGATCTCGGTTGTCTCAAAGCCAGGCAGGACCTTTTGTGACTGCAAGTACGTAGCAAGGCCGGGGATCCCTGCAACGGCTACGGCTGTCTTTATTTTCTCAACTAGACCCACAGGTGGTAGGAAGGGATTGTTGTCACAACATGATCTATTGTACACGCTTCCGCGAATTCATGAAGATCAGATCCCACCCATCTTCGAAATCGTCGATTTTCATGTCAACCAACTAAGTTACTTTGATCATTTTTCAAAAATGCAGGAGTGTTCATACCTCATCGATAGACTCTTATACACCGGAAGACTCGAATCCACAGACACACGAGATTACATCTATGTTATCCTCCGTCTCACAAGCTACCCGTCATTGTCTATGTCAATCGAAGAATGGGATGAAGCAAGGAGATCGTCACTCCTCATCCCTGTCGACTATTCGACCACTTGGGACGCTGTTGCCTGGGTTACACTCATGACAGAGGGTCTTGCACTGCTACCCAAGTTCAAGGTACTGGACGCAAAGGAAGAGAACCCTACACTTCTTTCCTGGGCTATAGACTGGCACATCACTACACGATGCTTCCGTAGACGACAAGTGGAAGAGAAAACAGTTTTGGCCATAGATCGGTTTCGTCTCTTGGGTCTTTGGAGATACCGTCTGCTTCTGCAAGCACCCTAAACGTGTCCGTTAGAAACCATAATACGTGTCATACGATGTCTTGGAAAAATATCATCCTTCATGGCATCGTAGACACAAGGTTCTATGTTAGTTACGATCACGTCTGGGAACGAAGGCGACATCTGAAGGATAAGCGCCGGTGGCAAATCTCGTGCGATACCAGTGGTGACCATATCGTGGTTTATATACCAGAAGTCTTGGGTTCCGAAATCGAACAGGAACTACTTGGTCATCGACTTCACGAAGAAAGCGAAGTGTCTTGTGGGTATGCAAGTGGAGGTCTATGGCTCTTGCTTCCAGTTGGAAACAACGAACACAGAATCATCGCCTGCCTGTCTTAGGTCCCGATGCATCGACACGTGTACTACAATCATTGGTAGCGGCATGTAGAAGACGATCGTCATCGCCCACTAACTGTAGATTTGGGTAATCCAGCGATCGATCATTTGATGAAAGCTCCACGAGTTGTGAATTGGAACAAGAGGCAGAAGTTCACCATTGTATAAGAAGCTGGAGTTCTTTCGCTGCTAGATCATATCTCTCTTCACTATGACGTCCTTAGATCTTATGTCCCGTCTTCTTCAACGCGCGTTGGTAGCTCTCGGTCTTTCTACAAGCATCCAACCACTTGTTGACATTCGGATACTCCCTGCCCTTTATTCCAAGCTCCCTCGCAACAATGAACTCGGCTGAGAACTGCATCATGGTGTCCGCGGCGGTGACGTGATCGCCGCAGATAAACTTGCCTGACGAGAGCGACAACTCGGTTTCGAGCCAAGACATGTCGTTCTGCACATTAGCCGACATATTCTTCTCGGTGGCTTCAAGGAGGCCTTCAGGCGCATCTTCGGGGATGTGCCATCGCGCGTAGAGAATGGCGAGGGCGTGGAGTGCGAATGTGGCTTCTGCAGCGTGAGTCCACTGGCGGATCTTGATGCGCTCTTTGGGATCGTGTGGTAGGAGACGACCCTCTTTGTCGTACGTTTCGCATAGGTAGCTATATCTGTATTCAGATGCGAACAACAATATAGTCGCTCTTTACATACTCCGTTATTGCGCCACTTTCACAAACAGTTAGGTCACCATCTTGAAGGGTAGGGAATTTCCCCAGAGGATTGCCCGATGCCAACTTGAAGTCTTCAGGCGCCTTCCCATTCACTCTGTCAGAGAATTTGACATTGTAGTCAAGCCCCAGCTCCTCCAAAAGCCATGCAGTGCGTATGCACCTCGATGCTTGGAGAAACCAGAGTGTGATCGTAGGCATGTTTGAAGAAGAGCAGTGGGTAAGAGGGGTAAAGCTCACGACAGCGGATGGCAAAACCCGGCCTATTTGAGGTGTATAAGCTATCCTGGTTGTGTGGCGTCATATAGGGCGCGTCTTTTGAGCGGAGCTGACACCGGCGGGAAAAGGTGTAGCGGATCTACCGAGCCAATTACTAGTTGCTCTTACATATTAATGGAAACAATCTGCACAAGGTGCCCTTCGCGGGGCGATGTCATCAAGCATAAATACATATCCTTTGTTTGAAACGAGGTTTCAATTGGTCCGATATTCTCGTAGAGTTTAATCACAATACTTGCATCTGTCGCTGCGACCCAGAATGCACAATTCGCAAGGGTTCTCGTCGCCGCGACGTAGAGTTGGCCAAAATCTATGTTGATGTTTCCGGACGAGATGGTCTTCGTCTCTTCCACGTCCGCACTCGGCTATGGGTATCATGCCTGATATCAATGAGCAACGTGACCTCTTCATGTTCACAACAACGGTCGTGATTTATAAGTGTGATATTTTGTCGCATCGTATTTTGGGTAACTCGCACGGCATGGTATTCAGGGTGCTTGGCAGCAGCCAATCAACATGACACTTTCGCATAGCCTTGAGCCTCGCGAAACCACAGTGAGAGAGCAGTGTGTCGGTGCTGGCGTATACAAAAGTTCCGGTGGATCAACGGCACAGTGCTACAGTAATGTGGGTACTACCCAGGTATACGATCCTGACCATAGATTCCTGGCCAATCAGAGACCACACGGTGAATCACTTCGATCGCCCCCCGAATACTGTGCCGAGGCATGGTTCGCACCAGCTGACTCGATCGTTGTCGCAACATCCAATACTGCAACAACTCCGCTAGGTTGTTTCTACGCCTTGCGCCATCGATAGGTCCCCGGTTCGCAGCATCGATCAGGACGAGTTAGACTTGACGTCATTAGGCGGGTTGACAAACTGGAAGACGGCTCGTCCCGCGCTCGTGCTAGATAAACTGCCTCGCACCGATAACACGGAGACATTTCCCATGTCCCTACGAAGTCTCACGGTCTATTCTCAAGATGTCGTCTAATGAGAAGCCAATAGTGTTCCACTACGACGGCTCGATCTTTTCTCACCGAGTGCTATGGTATCTTTGGCTTCGCGGCATACCTTATGACGAATGTGTGGGTGTTATCCACCGAGTTGCGATTGGCCTATTGATGTGACTTCCAGATCCAACCTGCATTCATGCCTCGTCCAGACCTTGGACTCATTGGCGTTGGCTATCGTAAAATCCCTATCATGGCTATTGGAAAGGACGTATATTGCGATTCCCGGCTGATCATCTCCACGCTAGAGTCCTTGTACCCTAACAACACCCTCTCGCCCTCGAGGCCAGCCGACGTTGGTATCGGGAAACTTTTCGAAAGCTGGACTATCAATGGCGGTATATTTACCAATGCTGTCAAGATGATGCCATATTGGCAGGAAGCAAGCTTTCTTTCGAATGAAGCATTCATCGATGATCGTCAGAAGCTCATGGGAACACGATTCACTGCCCAAGGAATGCAGGCTGGGCGACCGGAAGGCGCGCAGCACTTACAGCAAGCTTTCGATTTGCTTGAGACTACTTTCCTCGCCGACGGCCGAGATTGGATCCTAAACACACAGGAGCCGTCGCTAGCAGACATCGATGCTGTCTGGCCGTTCAAATGGTTGATATCAGACCTGAAGATGAAAGACAGCCTTCCCGCGGAGCATTTCAATGCTAAGAAGTATCCGAAGTTGTTTGCGTGGGTGGAAAGATTTGTTACACAGCTGAATGAGAAGAAAGAGACACTGCCAAAGCCGAATGCGCTCGACGGGAAAACAATGGGCAAGCGAATTATTGACACCACTACCGCACAAGAAACCATTCCCTTCGACGATGACAATTCTCACGGGTTTAAGCAAGGCGAAGACGTCGAAATCTCACCCTCAGACTACGGACAAACGGGTAAAACTGCCGGAACGTTGATTGGTCTCACAGTACATGAAGTTGTTATCCGAAATAGCAAAGGCATACATGTGCACTTTCCGCGATGGAATTTTGCCATTTCCAGAGCTGCGTCAAAGTCCAAGATCTAGGTTGCGCAAGCTAAGAGTATCGTAGTTCGCGATTGTAGCAGTCGACATATATTTTGATCTCTTCTGCGAATATACAGTGTTTGCTTATTGTCACCTCGTCCAACCCTGTCGAACAACGAACAATCCAGCAGTGCGAGCATTTGCACTATGAGCACGAAGCCTGCAGCAAGGCTGACAGCTTACGTGGTAGGAAACTGACTGTTTCCAATTTCATTAAATAGATTCGCAATTGCGTCCGGAGCTTCAGTCACAGCAAGCAAAATGCACACATGCTCACGCAGAATTGCAGCAACATACACATTGGGATGCTCGAAAGACATCAGATGAAATAGGTGTGATCATACGGCAAGCATTGTATCTATCGGATTACATTAGCCATGCCCGAGAACGTTCTATGAGATGGCATCCATCGAACACCGAAACAAGACGAAGAGCCCAAAACGTCCATCCAGTCCACCGAAACCCATCCTCTCGTCCTAATCTCTAGGATGCCAATGAGTCGCCGGCGCCGTTTTGCGTGCAGTAGTAGTTCAACTCATCACCACCAATATGGTTCTCCAGCGATTGGCAAAGGTTCAGCTTGCCGACTTCGGTCTACATTGTGTTAGTTTTCAGAGAATATGGTGTTCATCAATCGGCTTCATTACCATCTTGCAGTCAGGGCATTTGTCCCATTGCTTATCTCCGGTGTTTCGGTTCAGGTATGCGTCGCATGCCTTCTTTGTTGCGTCGGCGTTGTACACGTACTGGCCACCAATCTTGTCGATGCAGAGGCCCTCTTTGTGAAGGTCGGCGCTGACGAATGAGCCCATGAGGACGAAGAGAGCGGAGACTGCGACGGAGAAACGCATGATGTTTTAGAATCTGAGAGTAATTGCAAAAAAGAGCGTAAGTAACGACAGAAGCGAGTGTGAATACTGGTGTATATACAAGACTCAAAAGAGCGTGAGTTTGGTGACCTTGAAAATCAAGAGTGCAGAGGCAGGATAAATAGTCAAAAGAAACAGTGATTATAGAACTTGCACCCCCCTTCTCCTACTTTTGTTATCATCACCTGAGCCTGTAACAGCACAGCCAGAATCCTTCGTCCGTTCTCGGTGCAATTGTGGCGAACGTCACTTGCTCGTGAAACGTGGTCGGGCCACCACTGTATTAACGAACCACGCAAGAACACGCCGATAAACCCAACTCCAGTTCCAGTCGGCAAGTGAACCGAACCGCTTTACCCAGCAAAGTGTTCTGTTAAGAGTCAGGAACCCAATACCCCATATTATTGCAGGTGGGTGCCGAGAGCCCGGAACCTGTTTGTACGTCATGCGCTTCGGCCCGAAAAACGAGGCGAGCGTGTTTCTGGTACACATGAATTAATATCGGGCCCCCCCCCTAGCAAGGTCCGCTGCAAGGAACCACTGACTTTGGTATACGTACACATACCGTTGCTAGGCATGAAGGACCTATTCTTGGTTCGAGACAACAAATCACCGGACAACTATGCGGCCAATCAGCCTTGCACATGAATACACTACCTGAATACGAGCACTCCACCACCATTGATCCTTATCAGTCCCTGCCAAGTAATTTGTCTACGTGAATTTTCCTGAAAGAATACTGAACTGTGCAGATCGTGTCTCAGACTCCAAGTAACGATTACTAGTACCGCCGGGACGGACAAAGTGGTGCCACACTGCTAGCATGTCTTGACGATAAGTACTCCTAGTCTTCCGGACGACGAGTGTTCATCTCACCAACCTCACAAGTCGCTCATTCACTCTTTTTGTGACAGAACTCCCACATTCGTTGAATCATAATCTGTATATAAACCCCCGCCACCATGCACTTCACTCCTCTCCTCGCTCTCGCTTCCAGCGCCGCTCTGATTGCGGCTGCTCCCGCACCCGTCAACATCGGCATCGATGACGTTATCCTCCACGGCAACGGCCGCTTCACCGTGATGAAGCGCTCCGACTTTGAAGAGCTGGAAGCCGCGCGCAAGTCCGGCGTGGTACCTCCCAAGCCCGCCTACCTGGACGCGAACCACTACTCTGGCAACGAGACGGGCGTGCCAGCCAAGAAGACGCTCAAGCGCGATACCCAAATCATCATTCCCAACCCCAACTCGCGTTTCCTCGGCTGGGACGTGCAGGTGAGCCAGGTGACCAAGGGAGCACCGACCACCATTGCCGTCGCCTCTGGCTTCTCCATTAGCAACACCATTTCCGTCGGCATGAGCAGCACTTTGACGCTGGTCAAGGACTTCCTCCAGGTCGCCATGTCGGTTGACTACAGCCAGTCGTGGCAGACGACGCAGACGCAGACCTTTACTGCTACGGTGCCCGAGGGCAAGTACGGCGCTTTCGTCACCAACCCGTGGACCGACCGTGCCAGTGGAAATGTCTGGAGCGGTACTATTGGCGGTGATGGAGAGCTGTCTTACTATCAGGCTGACTCGTTCACGTCAAAGCAATATGACAGCATGGAGTGGGTCGATGGTGTTACTAGCCTCTGCGTAGGCGACACAGTTCCTCTCCCAAGGTGCCTGGGTGAGGGTACTTTGTAGATATACGGGGATCGCAGGAAGAAGTATGTAGGGTTGAGAATACAGGAGAAAGTCGCAAATGTCTTTACCGAACCTGCATTATAGCATCGTTCAAGTAGCGCTCTTGTTGTAGATGAGCCATTGCTAGACCTATCGAGCATTGTATTGTATAAACAATTTGCAGACATGCATTCTAGAAAGAACGATTTCTTTCATCGATCTCCGTACCATGATCTACCAAACCACTTCTCTTTGCGAACATGAGACCTGGACGATAACCAACACGCCAACTAACCTGGCCTTGGTAACATCAATGCACCCGCATCACCAAGTAAGAAATATATATGGGATCTCGCAACAACAACAACACTTCAATCCATCCCATCAATCCAAGGCTTCAACGCCGCCAGCCCAATAACAACCGCCTCCTCCGTCCTAATCGTCCTACTCCCCTGCTTCGGCACCAAATTAACCCAAGCATCAAAAAGCTCACTAGCCATCGACTTGTCCAGCCCCTTCTCCGCTAGAACAGGGTCATTAGCCACAGCCGGCTCTATACCCGCTTGGCCACCAAACACAATGAGGAGATGTTTGAAAGAATTGGGAGCCTTTACTGTTGTTGTCGCAGACCTGTCGCTACCGGCGTTGTTGCCATGACCAGAGAAGAGCGAGTAAACCGACTGACCACGTTCCGAGGTTCCAATCGACATGTCGTAGCCATCCGGGTATTCGCAATCGGAAAACACAGCGCTGATGGAGGGGGCGCGTCGGACGGTGTAGCCCCAGTAGTAGCCTCCTTCCTCGCGAGGGAGGCTGGCTGCACACGCAGTAGCATCTAGATTATCGCATTCCAGCTGCGATAAATGGGGCCAGTTGGGCGGTTCCTCAGCGTCTGTAAAGCGGACGGTTGTGCGCATGCCTTGTTCGACAGGGGCTTCCTTGGGTACGGGGACGCGGATTGGGTACGGCAGACCGCACTTGACGTATGCGTACTCTTGATCGTCTGACGACGGCGACTTTTTCGGTTTTTTGCTCTTGGGTGTGGGCGCAGGTGCAGGACCGACAAACACGCCTTCGCGGTACCGACACCACTCGTGACTCCGAAGATGATGCGGCATATCCATACTAGGCAGATTACCAACCCACTTCAGATTCTGATGTTCCTTGAAGATGCTCATTCGAGGATCCTCGGCATCGTACCGGAGATGGGGAGGACATTCGGCATAAGACAACAAGTGGTAGAGGAATTGGTCGGGATTCTGCCAGGCTTCGTCGTGTTCCATGATGGAGTCGAGAACTTGTTGCTTGGTGCGTCCTTTGCGTATGTACTTTGGATCCACGACTCTGGTATCAACGTTACTTGGGTCATCGTCATATACGACGATTTCATCGACGCAGTAAATGGCGGCTGCGCGGGCGATTCGTCCGACTTGGATGGTCTTGTGATCAGGCTTCTTGGCGTTTAGAGTCCAGCTACCGGGCAAGGCAATAGTAACGGTCCAGTCGCGACCTTTGGTAGGATTAAAGATGGCAGTGGGTTTGGAAGTATCAATGTGTTCTATATGTTGTTCTTGGACTTCGCCCTTTCTCTTCTTGGCAGGACTGGCGTTGTCGTAAGAGTTTTGATGAACGACAACAGATGCCGACGCTTTGCGCTTCTATCACAAGGTCAGGACCCAATTTTGCCCAAACCCCAACATGACTTACCTTGCTATGGTCTGCTCTCTCGTCAGACGTTTCCTTCTTCGACCGTGGTTTGGTGCTGACCACAGCATTATCGTTGGAATGTCCCATCTTCTTTATCTTCTCCTTAACAGATGGTCTTCCAATCAGTGACGTCGTAACAGTAATCGCAAGGCAATCTCTTCGGTCAGCTGGCTGATCGCAGGAAGATGTGAACAGGCCGGTGCTACGATGTCGAAGTGGAAGCCGCAGATATCGCCAGCTACTTTTTGTCCTGCATTAGCGCGATTCGCGTGATCCACCCGCGCATGCCTGTCATCATCAGCCCTAACGCAACCTGCCGCAATGCCGCTCAGGCAACACTGCAACGGCGCAACCCGACCACAATACAGACAGACTCTCCCACCATCCCGACACCTCCTCTCCTCCCCCACCACCATCGCAGTCGCATCACCCGCCCTCATCAAACCCCCTTACTTGACCAACCTAAACGCCCCAAAATGGAGGGCCACAAGTAAATGCATCCGCCCCCATCTATCGCATCCACCAATCCGCTAACGACTCTAGATCACCCACCCCTCCTCTCACAACACACACGACATCCACGCTCTTCACCTTCCTCGCTCTCTACCTTACCACCCTCTTCTCTCTCGATACCTGGGCCGCCGCACGGGGCTCACCTTACCGCGCACCAGGCAACACGTCCTCCTTCTACCGGCCGGGCGCCACGCCACCGGCGCCGGATAGTTACCAAGGCGGTATGCATGGGCGGGGGAACGCTGGGCCTGGAACGGGAAGAGGAAGAGGAGGAGGAAGGGCAGGGGGTAGAGATGTCGGGAGGGTTGCACAAGCGAGAGATTCCAGGCCGCCGATTAAAATGGGTGGGAGTGCTGCATGTGGTGCTTGTATGATCTAGAGAAGATGCAGCGGTAACAGGGCGTTTCCCGGTTTGTAAATGTGTTTACAGATGGTGTTTTCCACCACCAAGGCTGACTCTAGATGATTGGTGTGGTTTTTGTGAGTACGTGTATAACTACCTACTACAAGTGCCTTGCCATCACTGGAAACCGCGACGTGATTCACATCAAAATACATTCATTGCTCCCTTTCGCGCCATGCTACTCAGTGATGCGAACGAAACTAACTATGCTCCCCGCCTCACATTTGTACTCATCAGAGTAATCTTCTTTCCCTTCTTCTTCTTCCCGCCAGCCTGCTTCTTCGGCGTCTCTTCGCTTTCACCCAGAGACATGGCCTGTGCTTGGGCAATCATGTCTTCCTCGGCAAGCAGATCCTTCTCCCAGCCCTGTAGCCATCCATCATCGCCGTCGTGATGATCTTGTGGCCCAAGAACGGGGGATGCGCCAGCAACTACCGCGGTACCCCATACTGTCCGTGGCGCTGACGGGCTTGACGAAGGAGATGCCAATGAAGCGAAACCATCGCCACGGCGCGGTGGCCAGGGCGGTGACGTCGAAGGGTTGTCTCCGTCTATTGTCGGATGTGCGTCAGACATGCTTCCTGATGCTAGAGGCTGGAAGTCGTCGGCAGAGAACCTCTCCGTCATGCTCGGGCGCCTCCTGCGCGCGGATGCAAATTCGGCGTATTCGGCCTTTTCTGCACGTTGTCGTGCCTTCTCCTCCTTGGTCTCTTTTTCGGTGTGCTTCTTTCGCCTCTTCTCAATCTCGGGCCTGAAGCGCTCCAACACTTCCGGGGCGACAGTGTCGGTCCAATCGCATTCGAGAAAGCCAACCTCGCAGCCATACGGTAGATGCGCTAAGTACTTTGTGCGCTTCCGCAACTCATCGTCAACTACATGTCCTGTAGACACGTGCTCAACCCGAGGCAGGATCGTTGAAGGAAATGACGCAAAATTGCCGAAAGCCGCTTTCAAGATGCGAATGTCTAATGGAGATAGATAGTAATGCAGTAATGCTTGGTAAAAGAAGTACTCGGATGGCGTCTTGTGGTGCTCGTGTTGTTGTCGATTGCGAAGCTCCGCAAGCGTAAGGGACATCCCATGACTTGCCGCAGAGGAGTGCGATGACATGGACACCGTCCTGTTCTTGCTTTGAGTAACATCAGCCTCGGAGGCGTTCGGTATCGGGGTGAAATCCTGGCCAGACTTGGAAGCGTTCTGTATCGTGTACATCTCTGGTGCGGCACCCTCGTCGAAAACGATGGGTGCTCTCTTCATCTTCGGTTCTGCTGGTTTGACTGGTTCTTCTGGCGGATTTCCGATTCCCTTTAGCTTTTCTTTGGCATCTCGTATATTTTTGATTGCCTTTTTCGTCCACTCCATGCTGTCTTCGGCAAACATGACCTCATCTTCTTTCCCTTGCTGCTCAAGCTTCAGAATCTCCTGATCGAGTTGTTCTAACATGTAGTCCTCCCCGCCTCGCATCACACGGGCGTAGTCGGTAACCTCGGCGGCATGGTACCAGGGAATATCCTCGTCTTTACTCAGAGCATCCGCTCCATCACGAGGCATAGCCAGGGTGCTTCCAGCGGATCTGACAACCAAGCGAAGTACAACGTCGCCTCCCTCTCTGGGGGGCTCACCCTCCTGTCCCGTGTACCAGCGCACTGGTCTAGTTTCGGACGCATATATGGTGTCAAAGCACAGCGGGCACTTCTTTGAACGTGCCCTTTTCTCGGGTGCCTTGCTTTCGTCTTCGGAATGCATGTAGCGGATGAGACATGGGAGACAGAAGATATGGCCACATCTGGCCATCCTCGGGGCTACTGGAGTCCCTAGGCAGATAGGGCAGGAGGCCTCTTGTGAAAGCTCCGATGCCAATATCTGCAGGACGTTGTTCCAGTCCAGGTGGATATCAGCATCGACGCTTTGCGCGCGATAATCGCCGCGCGGGTCTACGATAAAGCGGTAGTTGGCGTGCACATATCTATCCAAGGTTAGCTGAGCCCTCTACAGCGTTCTCGGGCAGCTGGAACTCACCTCGCCTTGTCGACGGCGTGGTAGCCCGAGCCAAGACCCCAGGTCGGGTTGCGCCGATAGTTCCTTGCATAACCATGCGACTGGTGGTTGGTTGGGCGTGGCGGCAGACTAAAGTTCATGAGGTGGGTAATAGACGTCTGCCCCTTGCGATTGTTGAATGGACGCATGGCGAGAGACTCGACAATTGCATCCTCGTCCGTCTGCCTGAATCGCTTCGAGCCTTTGTGCTGCTTCTTCTGCTGCTGCGTGTTCCGGGGAGTGGGTGATGATCGCGCCGGCGCGCCACTACCCCGCGGCTGTGCGAAGAAGCTACTGGTACTGATGGACGGTGTCTGGTTTTGGGCGGGTGAAGCGGGTCCAGAAGGTGCAGAAGCCTTGGACGAGGACACGACGGGTGGGTTGCTAGACATGACTCCCAGCTAAGGGCTCACGATAGCGCGTCGATGACGATGACGACGTCGGCCAGAGTTTCTGTTTTGGCGGGAGTAGCCGGAACTACGACCAGGGTAACAGAGACAGGACTGAGCGTCTCCGACGGCAGGTCAGGGATGCTGTCTGTTCAGCTATTGCCTACGGTGCTGGCGCGCGCAGTGCTGGCTGATGTCCGGCTTGCGTGCGACGCGAGAGGAGATTCAGGGTGCTGATAGAACGAACGTCGATATGGCAAGGATGGAAAAACAGAGGAGGAGAGGGCAATATGGGTGTAGTAGTGTGTTGATGCGAGTGTAGGCGTCCCCAAGAGGGTGACTTGGAGGGGACAAGAATCAGAAGGTGGAGTGGCGATGGACAGCCTAGGTAATGGACATGACGACGTGCAATCACGTGGTTCGTGCGGTTTGCGGTCCAACTCGCCCACCTGCAACGTCTGGAACAGCTGGCCTGCAACAGAGATTGCGTTGAGAAGACGTAGAAATTGAAGACCAGCCAGCCAACTTGAGCTGATGGATTTCAAGACAAACGTTGTGCAGCACAGCGAATGTCGCGGCGGTGCTTGGGGGGTAAACCTTGGGATCCATCTCTGACGACAGGGTCTCCGCACAGACGGTTGCGATTGCCCTTTCGGATCGGCTTGGGACTTTGTCTACAACCTCATCCCAATCCACCCTCTGCACTCTGCACCCCACCCATCTCCTTTCGCGGGCAGCCTCTGCTGCGCTCATGTCATCCTGATACCATGACCCCGCGGTCGTCTATTCGCCCATCCACACCTCAACCCGCCTCGCCTACCGCCGTCGCGCGACCCTGCACCGCATCATCCAAATAATTATCCGCGCATCTCTCTACGCCGCATTGTCGCCCATTGCCATCACGCCGGGCGCATCTCCTTGTCGTTGCAAGACAAGATTGTGCTAGAGGCAGTCGCACTCTCCCCGTTGCCTCACAAGTTGGCTGCTTGGTCTCCCGCCGGCGCCGACTGTCGAGGCAACACCGCGTCTGCCGCTCATGATGCCCGGCCCTTATATGCCTGGTAGGAGGCAGGAGCAGCAGTACTACCACCACCATATCCCGCCCCAGACACACTCGCCCGTCCACCACAACCCCTATGCCGCCCCTTACCACCACCTCCAGCAGTACGGGCCTCCCCACGGCTATGCCCAACACATGCAGCCTATGCAGCAGCAATGGTACCCTTATCAGCAACCACCGCCGCCTCCGCCACAGTATGCCATGCCTCCGCGCCAGTTCCAGCCTCAACCCCATGCCTCGCCTGTCGTAGTCTCTTCGCACCTACACATGGCCCCGCCAGTCAATCGCGCCATGGGTCAAACGCCCCCCATCGTCCATTCGCGCACTCCGCCTGCTCCCCGTATGCCCACTCCCCAGCCGGCGCCGTCCACAGCTTCACTGCAGTCGCACACCCAAGTCACCTCTCCGATCCCGCAGACAAGCACCAGCCTCGACACCTCTCCCCCGGTTGCTGACTCAAAGCCTACTCAGGCAGCCCCGACCACCCCGCAATCCATCGCATTCAAGCCTTTCTATCCGCCTCTACCCTGGCTGTCCGTCCCCGAATCAGAGTTCCCGGCGCGCGCTGCGCGAGGGCGGAGAAGGCGACGGGCCCCCGTGTCTACCGAAGAGCAGGCTTTGGCGCTTCCCTCACGCGAGCAGGCTGTGGATGAGAATGACGCCAACGAATTTGAGCATCACACTGAGGGCGACCTGACTCCAACTGAAGAGCCTGAAGAATCACAGGCTTCGACTATTGCGGGGCCTTCGGACGCTGAAGTCGATACCCCGTCTACCTCACATCCGCCTTCCGAGGCCGATTTGGCGCAATCTATCACACCATCTACTACAACACCATCCGCTGTGCAGTCGCCTGCGCAGCCCTCGGCTACCGTCAAAAAGCATGCCCGCAACACCACGATCCCCGCCGTACCCCGCGTCCCTGTCAAATCCGCAAAAGCACCAAGTGCGGCTTCTACTACACAACAGTCGGTCAAGTCGCCCGTTGCGACCCGCAGGGAGTCGACACAGGCTGAAGACGCAGTGGTGACGACACCGGACGCGAGCGCAAACGCCGAGGAGGTGCCATCAGCATCTCCGCCCAAGCCGGCAGCGCCAAAATCATGGGCAGAGTTGCTTCGAGCAAAGAATGCTCCTGCTACAGCGCAGCCAGCTCCTGTGCCCAACGGCGCTGTTGCTGCTCCCAATGGCCCAGTCGTGCCGAAAAACAACACACTTGCCGATATTCTGGCATCTTTCTCAGTCGATTCAGGAAAAAAAGTTTCCTTCATCGAGCCTCGTGGTCTGGTAAACACGGGTAACCTATGTTATATGAACTCGGTATGTCTTGACGTGTCGTCGCCCTGAGTCCTCTGCTGATATTTGTCCAGATTCTTCAAGTACTTCTATTCTGCGTTCCTTTCTACGACTTCCTCGATCAGGTTGCTAAGCGCGCTGCTCATAGCTTCAAATCTGAGACACCTCTTGTTGACGCTATGATCATGTTTCTACGCGATTTTCGACTCATCGACTCTGCGAACAATGTCGAACAACTCCGACTGCGGCTAAAGGGCAACGAGCTCGAGCAGTACGGCGACCCACTTACGCCCGAGTACGTTTACGACGTTATCAAGCGTTTGCCTCGTTTCGATAACATGAAGAGGGGTCAACAAGAAGACGCTGAGGAGTTTCTGGGGTTCTTGCTTGCTGGGCTGCACGACGAGTGTGTGCACATCATCAAGAGTGGGAAGCAGAGCCAGCCCGCAGAAACCAGTACATTACCCAATGCTGAACGCTCAGGATCCATTGACGGCGGCTGGGAAGAAGTTGGACATAAGCAGAAGACCGCTATCACGCAGAACTCTGGTGTCATTGACATTGAGAGCCCGATCACGAAGATATTTGGTGGTAAGTTGCGCTCGGAATACAAGAGACCCGGTGAGAAGGCTTCCGTTACGTTGGAACCGTACCAACCGCTTCAACTTGACATTGGTGAGCCCAACATCAACAACATCTCTGATGCACTCAAAAACTTGACACGTTTGGAGACATTGGACGGTGCGGCTCGCGGGGCCAAGGCCTCTACAAAGCAAGTGCACATTGAGACTCTCCCACCAGTCTTGATACTACATTTAAAGCGCTTCCACTACGATGAAAAGGGACCGCAAAAGATCTGGAAGAAGATTGGGTACCCCCTAGAGCTAGAGCTTCCTAAAGAGGTCTTCCCGCCACACAAACGAGGCAGCTATCAGATTCAAGGAGGCTTCCCGCGTTACAGGCTCACTGGCGTTGTGTACCACCACGGCAAGAATGCGAGTGGCGGTCACTATACCGTCGACCTTCGACGTCAGGAGGGCAAGGAATGGATTCGTATGGATGACACCATTATCCGTCGTGTCCGTGCAGAAGAAGTCGCAGAAGGCGGTGCCGAAGAGGATCCCAAGGTCCTGGCTGCCGCTCTCGAACAGCACAAAAGCGACGCTGGCAAGAGCAAAAACTTCTTCGCTCAGATCGACATGGAAGAGGAGGAAACCGACAAGGGAGGTTGGAACCAGGTCAACGGGACAGAGAAGCAAAAGGATGGGGCCAAGAAGTGGGCTGTCGCCGTCAACGGTGCGGCGACACCCAACTCAGCGGGTAAGAGGACGCCACTACCCAGGGAGAACGTGCGCGACAACAAGGTGGCATACATCTTGTTCTACCAGCGTATCGAGACTTGAACCAAAACCAAAACATGTAGTGAAATGGTCTAGCTAGGTGGGGCGTATGATGATCCAGCGTTCACATACACACATGAACCATCTTTGACATGTCAACACAAAAGTTTACTGCAGCATCTACGACCTGGGAAGAAAACAAATATGGGTCACGATATTTATGCCAGCGACGCGTGGATTAATCACATGCATCGCGTCCTCACGCGGTATATGGGGGTGGGAAAGAGTTAGGAGTAGTAACGTCACGTTCGCATGAGAGATACCCCTTGTGATGTGTCTGGGGGGGTTTTCTCTAGGATATGACGGAATAATAAAACAATTCAACATTTTCACCATCTTACTTTCCATATCTCTCCCTCGTGATCGGTATGACTGAGCTGCTTGTGATTTGCCTTCATGGTATCTCGATGAATTGCTTGGGAACATTGATGTACGTGAAGATTATTTTTTTTGTTGTAATCTGGTGAAATTAGTGTGCTGGGGAAAGGGAAAAAAAAAGCTAGTTGGGGATCTTGATTCGGTCTTGATTAAAGTTAAAGGGTGGATGATGAGTGCGTGAGGCGGATGGGAGCTGGAGGGTCGAATTAGATATGATTTTCAAGAAAGGATCTCTATGTTGGCTGGATTGAGTTTTGGAGTAGGTTGGGGAGAATGCGTGAGGAAGAGAAGGTAGAGGTGTTTTGTAGCTTTGGATGATACTTGACGGCCGAGTAAGTTTGGATGCGAGAGGAGGGTAGCATTAATTGGAGCAGAGAGAGGATGGGAACTACTACACGGCGAGATAGCTGTTTAATGCTATTAGAAAGAACCACGAGTGGAATGGTAGAAGACAATGGAAGCAGATATGAACGCGCCATGATGTTACAATCAGCAATTTTGTCCATGCAGTCCACGAAATTGAATTACAAGTTCTGAGATTGTGCGTTGAGATAGGTGACAATAGTGGTCGAAGGATACAACCCGGGCCCGTCGAATATGCCCGCATTAGCGTTACGCGGGGAAGATACCGAAGATACCTCGGCTCCAACGCGCGCAAGCCCAACCACCATCCTCCCAGCAGCGAACCATGTAGCATTTCACACCACTCCCGGTCGCCCCAGGCCTCCCTGTACCATTCAACTCCCCCAATCGAAACAGTAACAACAAGCCCCGACGACAGCGACCCTCCTCGACGAAACCTCCATCTCGACGCGCCCCTCTCCCATCTATCCACCATGTCGTCCATCAAACCCCAAACAGCACCACCTCCCACCACGCACGTCCTCCTCTCTTACCCAGCCGACTACGTCCTCCTCGTCACCATCAACCGCGAACGACAGATGAATTCGATTCCCTTCGAGGGCCACCTGGAAATGGGCCTCGTGTTTGACTGGTTCGATCACGAGCCCAATCTACGCGTCGCCATTGTTACAGGAGCCGGAAAGAAGAGTTTCTGCGCAGGCCAGGACCTCATTCAACTTGGCAAGATACGGAGTGGGGAGCTCAAAGCGAGTCCGGGGTTGATGAGGCATCCGTTGAGTGGATTTGGGGGGCTGAGTAGGAGGATGGGGAAGAAGCCGGTTATTGCTGCTGTTAATGGATTTGCGCTGGGTGGAGGGTTTGAGATTGTTTTGGGCTGGTATGTTCTTCGCTTTCCTTGCCTCTCTTTTCCTTCTTTCTTTCTCTAGAGATAAGGAGTGTACTAATTCCTTTCTACAGCGACATGGTAGTAGCAGCACCACACGCAACGTTCGGTCTCCCAGAAGCGCTTCGCGGCATCTTCGCCGGCGCGGGAGGCCCGCCCCGTCTCGTCCGCAACGTCGGACTACCCATTGCATCTGAAATGGCACTGACAGGCCGACCCATCACCGCACAGCGAGCCAAGGAGCTCAACCTCGTGAACCGAATATCGCCATCCCAGGATACCGTCGTGGAAGAGGCATTGAAGCTGGCGAATGAGATTGCGGCCATTTCACCCGATTCGGCAATCGTCACACGGGCAGCGCTAAAGGAAGCTTGGGAAACGGGCAGTGTAGAGCGGGCTACGCAGTTGACGATTGAACAGTATAATCACGGTTTGAATGCGGGTGAGAATGCGCTCGAAGGGCTAAAGGCTTTTGCTGAGAAGCGGAAACCGAATTGGCGGCCTTCTAAGTTGTAGATGTGAGATTGAGAGATATTAGGCCGCTGCATCTATGCTTTAGCAGTAGGTAGCTTACCGTTTTCCACTTGCATTTTTGAAAAAAAAAATGCTTCAGGCGTTCTTGCTGGTTATCAAATGGCTAAGTCATTCGTCGTAAGGACGAAACTTTGTCCGTCATCATGTATAATGACAAAAATTGGCAATGTTTTCCCATACAGGTGCTAAGTAGTCCCGCAGGGGCTAGAATATCTGATAGATATAAGCTTCTTTGTACACTACTTGTCTACCCTCATATACATGAAGCTGATGGCTTCCATAAATCCCAAGGTAGTATCTCAGCGCCAGCCTTCTCGAGCTGAGATTCTACCTCTCCTTCAATAGCCCCCGCGGGCTTGTCACCAATGTCGTAAGTAGAGTGCGCATCCCTCAACAAGACGACGTTGAATCCAGCCGCCAACGCACCTCTGCAAGTCGAAAGCACACAGCATTCGCTCTGTATTCCAAAAGCCACAATCGTCTCTACACCCTCCTTCTTCAGCTGATCCGCAAGTTGCGGGTTGGACTCAAAAGCATCCCCTAAGAGCGTTTGTCAAAAATCAATAGAAATGGCGTCAAACTTCAAAGACTCCGTATCACTCACGGACGTTCTTTGACACCAATGTTTCCCATCTGTCATTGTATCGCGGCTTGAACACGAGCTCCCAGGGTTTGCTCCCTTTCACCAAAGGTCCTTTCTCTGCAACCTCCTCATGTTGCACAAACACAATCTCCAAATCTGGTGTTCGTCCATGCTTGTCAGCCGAGTCGATGGCTTGACGTGCTCTTTGCAGGATCCTAGTTCCGGCTTCTCGAATTCGCTCCGCGTGTGGTATCTCGGTCGTTGCATTTTGCGCCAATTCGACTTGTATGTCGATCACAAAAAGTGCTGTGCGTGCCATGGCGGACTCCGCGCTTTGGAAGTAGTGGTCGCGATCTTTGTGAGAGTCGGGAAGCCTTTGTAAGGTTGTGCATGCCCATTGCAGGGCGTGTGAGTCATTGTATCAGAGGAGCTACGATACTGCGAGCGGAGCGCTGGTAACGTGCACGAGCTGCTTGAGAGATGTCTTGTCGCCAATCTGCTGTTCTCTGCAGAGGTGAAACCCAACTGATATTTAGCAACTGATTTCATTAGTATCTCAATATACTCTTTCAATCCTCGCTTAGAAGCTGGTCTACTTTGGGTTACTATCGCGGGTGTCCTTACAAGGATCTCACGGAATCTTCGCTTGCGCAAAGGATGAGGACAGTCTTGCAAGGCACTGTAGCACCTCATGTTGATCAGCAAACCAGTGGCCGAGTTACCTCTTGCAAGGACGAAACTTCGTCCGTCGTGGCATACGAGGACAAGCTTCGGCAATGCTTTCCCCAGCACCCGACGTCAATCAGCGTCTTGCTGATCTCTCTAACCAATAGTCGTACACCAAGCTTCATGAGGCTGTCTTGCCAAAACCCGATAGGGTTAGCAAAGGATGCGGGAAAGCGTAGTTGTCGCATGCATTCTACCTACCCCATAACCCCACCTTCCCCCGCATTATGGCATCCGGATGCCGCTAGCTCAACATGATGTCCAAAACCCGACTGAGGGAAAGTCCCTCGGTAGGCGCTATCAGAGGCGGATTATAATGGAGCTTTTGTCGCTAGGATAATTAGTATTGACTCGGTTACATTGACATTGTATTGGAATAAATCTGAATCGTCTATCACTGACTTGCGCTGCGCGATTCGAAAAGGAGCTAACAGACTTGCTTTGACATCATACTTGTTCTGCCATGGTGGACCGACGAGCTAGCGACGCAGCTCCTCCACTTCAGACGCCCATTGCCCCCGTTGCAAAGCGGAAACGACGTGCCTCCTGCCTGGGAGAACAGGAGCGACGCGAGAGGAAGAGAGCTATTGACCGCGAAGCCCAGCGCTCACTAAGAGAAAAGACCAAGACGCATATTGCAGAGCTGGAGCGAACAATACAGATACTCCGAGATCAAGATCGTAATGGAGCGACCGCGAGTCTACTGTCAGAGATTGATAGCCTACGAGTGGAGAACGAACGGCTGAAAGATGTAATCGATAGTGTCAAAAGCGTGGTAGGACTGGACTTTGGCGTGTCCGGTAAGACTACTGCGACAGTAGTGTCACGACCACGAGCAGACGATGGTGGCGATGAAGCCACCTCTCCTGCTGCGACCAGTGCCGGTACGCATGACTTTTTATCACTGACTCTTGATCCTGCGATGGCTCACTCTAGATGGTAGGTCATCAGTCACCTAAGCCATGCGCCATCTCGTCTAGCAGTGCGACGAAACCATGTCCCTCAACGCCCATCGATCAAGTAACTACTTTTGTTCCGTCTGCAGTCAAGCGACCGCTCGATCTCGATGGCATGACAGTCATGGCAGACCTGCATCCACCGGCAATGCTAGCAAATCAACGTCAACAAGTTGAAATGGAGCTCGACCTCCAACCAGTTCGAGAAAGCTCAGAAGAAGGGGAGGTAGAAGACTTACCCTGGGGCAATGCACCAGCAACAGCGACCTGGGCACCCATGATGGAAGAAGTACGCTCTTCTGTGTCTATTCGTTGTTTCCCCTGCCGACTAACCCGCTCTTTCTGCAGATCTTCGGTCCAAACTGGCGTTGTCCCTCGCCGACTATCCTCCATATCGGCAATCCAGACAACCCAATCTCGAACTCTTCCTCCATCTGCCCCGTCTGGAAAAAGAGCAACGAGCTCTTCGGCAAAGTCTTCACCTACCATCATCGTTCTCCAGGTGCCACGAGCAGCTCTTCTTCCTCCAACAATAGTCTAGTGCGGTCTGATACTGCAGAAGCAGGACTGCTCTACCTAGGCATAAAACAGGGTTGGGACAACTTGCCCTCACTGGAATGGATGAAGAGTCCAGCGCTCACAATCTTGAAACAGGTTGACGAGCTGCTATTCAAGCATCTGCCCAACGTAGAGAGGTTGGCTGTAGCGTATAAGAGTTTCAAGTTGCTCAAGGTACGTGAAATTCACTTTGAACATTGAAGAGACATGGAAAGCAATGTCGGAAGCCACAAGATGGGAAGCTAATATAGAAACAATTGTGCAGTATTATCTCAACGCGACAAAAGAAGAATTGGATAAAGTGCCGCACTGGCTTCGCCCAAGGTAAACTACCACACCCACCCATCTACCCTGTGTTCCCACTTATCCATCTCCCCAATCGAGCCAAGTTCCCCTAACACCCACGTCTCCAGTTTCTCACAATCATCCACCTCTCACCCCATAGCCCTCGATTTCTTCGCCTGGCCCACCATCCGCTCCCGCTTACTCAACCACCACACCACAATCTTTCAAACCAGCGCAGGTGCCGATCTTTCCAGCTGCTACTCGCGCTTCCTGCGTTTTGACTGGCCGTTTGCCTTTGAAGATGCTTTCTTCCTCGACGAGGATACTGGCATGCATTACCCTAGTCCGCTGTTTGAGCGCTATCACGGAGACTTGAAGTATTGGTCGGTAGACGAGCAGTTCTTCGATACATTTCCAGAGATGAGGGGCGATATTGAGGGCGATCAGAGAAACGCAAGCGCAGGGAAGGTGTAGAGGAGAGCATCCATGTCTTGACTTGATGCGCGATTCCCTGTTTCGCGATCGTGTCTACAGATACAAAAATCTTCAAAGGATACATTGCAAGGGTCTTTCTGGGTCTAAATATATTCTGCTACTAGGACGTTGAGAAAGATGATAACTGTACATATCAAGTGCACGGACGCGGTGGTTATCAGCGGCTATCGTGTCTAGTAATCTGAAGCTGCGCTGCGATGGATGACCAATGCAAACTGACTCAACACTCTTTGAAAGCTTGTAAGCTGATGTCCCTTGGCACACCGACCGTCCATTATCGTTTCCAGGGAAAATAGATCAATATGTCTTTACGACGAAAGTCGTGCAATGCTTGCTTCAAGAGCCGTCGGAAATGCAATCGAGATTACCCCACATGCGCATCCTGTCGGAGGACCAAGAAGGATTGCCATTATGCTTATGCGATAGTTTCCCAACCAGGCCTGCCGGATGATTTAATTTCGACAGAGAGCGAAAATACAGATGGCGATGGCCGCGTGGATACTCTTGTGACAGCCGAGATTGGGGACTTTACAGCTACAGACATGCGACAGCCGGATAATGCTATAACGTCAAGCCAATTCAGCTTTGCCAGTCAGCAATGCAGTCCCGCTATGTTCCCGACGCGGATACCGTCAACATCACCAACATCGAGCATACCGAGTTTCCTCGGCGGTCTTGGTGAGTTGCAGCGCGTGGAGGGCAGCACAGAAAGCTGGCAGTGGGTCATCAACGAGCTGAAACGATGTCCACGCGATTTGGCCATGCGCGGCGAAACACTATTTCTACACAAGAAGCTATATCGTAGCATGATGCCGGCGGCGATCCGAACGGCCTTGGGCCTGTCGGCGACGTATTGCTTGCTCAACGAAAGTAATCGACATGTCATGTTCCAAGCCATCGATGCCGAGGTATTTGACTTACTCCAGACGCCTTCATTGTCAGAAGTAGAAATAGCCAGAGCGAAGAACAGTGGAGTTCATGACGGCATGACTCTGATCGAGGAGCTGGCGCGGCTGCAGGCGCTCATGGTGTATCAGATGATACGTATGTACGACGGAGGGCTCGAGCAGCGCGCTCTCGTTGACCTTCAAAGGGGCATAATGACCACTCGGGCATTACAGCTACTCAGGCGATTGCGAGCAGAGCGTGACAATGACTACGGCTGGCACGCCTGGATCATTGCTGAGAGCATTCGTCGCACTGTCTTAACGGTCTACATGTTCTATGCCGTGTACTCTATAGCGATACATGGTTTCTGTATCGATTTCCCTACGATTGCAAAACTTCCTGTGTCGACGTCACCGGAATTGTGGCACTCTGGGGATGTTCATCCGCCGCAGTGTTGGAGCAATGAGATGGAGCAGACGTTGTCATATGAGAATTATACGGAAGCATGGATAGTGTCGCCACATGTCACGCTACTTCCGTTTGAGAAATTCCTTGTTGTTCCTTGCAAAGGACTCGAAGGCGTTGCAGCGTATAGTGATGCGGCGTTGTAGCCGTTACTCACTATCTTTTTAGTTTCATGTTTCGTATTTCTAACTACTCCATCTCGCCGCCTCTACTTCTGCATTACTGCTACAGCACTCCCTAACAGTTATTACCATCGGCCGTTTTCTTTTCGGTACCCCTGCTGCCTGTAGTAGAAAGCACTGTAAGGCGACAAAAAGCTTCCCTTGTTCACTGAGGGCTACATCATATATGCCATACCTTAGCGACAACGCTGATTCATTGTAATAGATACCCATTAACTCCGTTACTTTCCATCGAAATGCTTAGTCTTTGGGTGACTTTCATATGCTCATCATTAACCAACTACTAACTACCATCAAACACAGTCAGCTTGAGGAACTTAGCGGATGACAAGCGAGTAGACGTACTTAGACTCTCAGACGATGGACAATCTTGTCGCTCAGTGCTATTTCCATTTGTGCAACAAGAATTGGAAGACTGGTACTTGCCAATCGATCATTCATACAACCGGCCCTTGCGAACCCTCGAATATCCCGCTTTCTCGACGCCCTGAGCAGCGATCACCAGATTTCCGACATCGGACTTGCTTTCAGCATCGGCAAAACGGAGCCTCAGATCTTTGAGCAGTCTGAACCGGTCCGAAGCAGGAAGGAATGATCCACCGGCAGGGATTGGTACGTGGGGATTGTTTCTTGTGGCTAGGCTGGAAAAGTTCATCGCTATGTCTGGGCCGTTGGTAAGGAAGTGACGGACAAGAAGTGGAATGAGGCCGAATGCCATGAGCACGAGTGATGTAATGGCAAGCGTGATAGCCCAGGGTTTGTGGGCTTTGATAATGTCGATGTACTCTACTTTGTGGCCTTGTGATGACCACACTTTTGATTTCAGGCCATCAGTTGTCCAATTGTGATTGGACAAGGAGTCAGGATTGGATTCATCTTGGAGTGGCTTGCTGAACGTAATGTTTGTGTCCCAAAAGTAGGAACTGGCGGCATGAATCCCGCCACTTAAAGTGTTAGTACTATACGCGCAAGTCCAGAACGAATTTAACAGATGACCGAATCGATCAGACCAGGCCTCGTCGGAGATCGGCTGTCTTAGGTACAATTTTCTCGAGTCCGTGGGCGTCGCGAGCGCAGGATACCACAAGAATTGTTTAAGGATACTTGTGATTGGGAAACTCGCTCCTTTCTCACCGTAGCCTATACTCCACATCAATCCAGCCAAAAAATCTCCTACCATGGGGTCCATAATCGTAAATGCGGGCGGGAGTTGGGGTAGTCGCGAGCGGCGAACCTTGACAGCCTGACATGGAGAACCGACAGCGCATAGAACTCCAACTTCCACATAACTGTTCTTCACTGAGCATGAAACGCTCGTCGCATACTCCGGAGGTTCTCCACTCTGATTAGTCGAAATGACATAGGAAAAGTTCATTGGTGTTAGTGCCTCAAGCGCATTGTACCATCTATTCGCGACCTCGTCATCGCTTGGATACCAGAAAAGATCATCGTCGCCTTGTATTTCTCCAAGATCCGAAGGGGTGTCCCCGTAAGGCTGTTCGGCGCTTGCTGTGCGGTTGATGGAAGCACATGTCAGCTGAAGATACTCCGTTTGTAAATAAAATTCGTAGTCGGTTGGAATAGTACCACTTTTGACACCCTCAATGGGGATGCCTACGAAAGACGTATAGGTAGCGAAGTCATCATCGCTTAACGTAGTGTTGTACCAATCGCCACTGTCTGGGTTGGCTGTCTTCTCGTAATGCTCGATTTTGGGTATCTTGACATTACCCCATAAATCGACTGGAGAAGAAGTTCTGGCGCTTAATGTAGCAAACATAGCGCTGGTGAGAAGAGTGCTTGCCGTTGGGACCCATAGATCACCGACTAGCCCCATCCCCAAGGGTTTGAGTGGTACAACATATTGAAATGATGCATCACTGCGTTTCACCGCCCCAATAGACATTTGCCGGAGCGATGCTTGGCCGCCAATCGGGGATAGTGCCCACACAAGGACAAGCAATACACTCAAAACACTAATTTGACGAAGCTGAATCTGTGAGATGACTGTGCTTGTGAGTGATGTGCTTGTAGCTAACGTGTCGAGGATGTGGATCCGTTCGCCCTTCTCCAGCCGCCAAATGAGTATTGCGTGAGTTGCTCGTCCAACGACGGAAGCGAAGAGGAGGGGGAAGACAGTGGGACCCTACTCATGATGTTAGTTTCTTGTCAATTCTGACGTCGTGCGCAGATTTATACATATTTAGTGGCTCTCGTTAGAGCGGTAGTAGCCCTTGGATTCTCACTTGTTGGAGCGCCATCATAAGACATGACTACCAGCGAAAAGACGAGGAAGCATGACGAGAATGCGAATAGAGCTATGTCAAAGGCACCGTCTAGCAGTGCTGGGAACAGAGGGTGCTTGATACGGCTTGGCGATGTTGGCCAGCCTTGTGGGGCAAGAGTGGCATCGCTGGATTCCAGAAGAGGTGTCGCTATCGAGGCCGGTTCGTGTTTTGGTTCCGTTTGGACCGATAGCGTGGACTGGCTAGCCTTGCGTTGGAGACTCTGAGTACTCTCCATGATAGTTTTGGAGTGGCCGAGATGTGATGAGAGGAGGAAAGAAGAGAAGGGAGCGAATCCATGGATACTGCGAGACCAACAAAGATAACGGCTTACGACTGCATCTACACAGCCCTGCGCTGACGTTCCATGTCTTTAAAAGCACTGTTGTTCATATTGTGGCTGAACAAGGCTGGCCTATCGCACGAGTTGTATTCGATTCAAGGATGGGAGGACGGGGCATAAACTCCAGACCAGATCATAGTCGCCACCTGGAAGATATATCACGAATGTGATCCGAAAAGGGCTTGATTGCGTCTCAATAGATCGAGAACCTGTTTAGTGATGTTCTCTCTTCAACCTGAACGGCACCCCAGCAAAAGGAATGCTTTATCGCGACCCATGCGTAGCTCGTGCGGCACAGTTGTAGAATCCAGTTATGAAGCGAGCCACTAGGGTACTGGTTACACGAGTGGCTTGTAGACGCGACGAAAGCTGCGCCTGTTTATGCCAAGCGATGACGTTGTTCTATAACAAATTGAGAATGGAAACAGGAAGGGAAGGGCTTTGAACAAGGTCATTTAAAGTAATGCTGGGGTGGGTATCATTACTATAGAAAAACTTGCCAACTCTACGTGCTGCCTCCATGCATATCTCTCTTTGAGGTCGATAGTGAACGTATTAATGTAGAAGCAAATCATGCTCCTGAGATTTTGGACCATGTGCGAAAAGCTTTCGCACAGCATGATCTGTACTGGAACGAATCCCATGACATCTTTTATATTCCCATAACTGTCGCCCATTAAATCACTTCCCCCTCCCCTTCCCACCCCGTTTACCCCCTCTACCCCCAGTCTTGCCCTTCTTCTGCTTCTCACTCAACGACCCATCCAGCAGCGCAGTAAAAGTCTCGCTACGCGTCTTAGGAGCATCATCCGGCGTCGGAACTACAGACTCCTCATCCTGCAAGTTCTGCGTCGAAAGCCTCGTGTTCCTTCTTCTTGTAACGCGCTCCTCGGCTCTCGAGGGCGTTGCTTCAACGTCTGTTTCTTGGGTCGGTGTCGCGACGTCAATGGTGTCCGAGTCTTGTTTAGCTTTTGTTGGTACCTTTTTGTCCTTTTTGGGGGGACGGCCGCGCTTCTTGGGTTGTGGTGTGTCGATTTCTGGTTCGGGTTCTGCTTGCGATCTACCGTCGTCCTCCTTGTTATCGGCGTCGGCTTCGGTGCTCTCCTCCGCGCTCTGTGTTGCCTTCTTCTCAGCCTTCTTGGCTTCTTTCTTCGTCTTTGACTTCTTGGCTTTTGTCCCCTTCTTCTGCTTCTTCGACGTTGTCTGGCTGGACGATGTGGCTTCCGAGTCGATTTCTGTGCCGTCGGCTGAAGTAACGCGGGCTTTCTTGGTTGCCGGCTCTGTCTCCTCCAGACCTTCCATTACCTCATCATCCGAGTACTCTTGCTGGTCGTCGACTTCGTCGACAGCCCTTTTCTTCGGTGTCGCATCCTTGGATTCCATCTCCTTGCCCTCGTCGTCGAATTTCTTGTTGATCTTCTGAGCCTTCAGGTGCGCTCGGGCCTTTTCCTTCGCTATGCGCTCCTGCCTCTCGAGATCGTACTTGTCGTTGCCAGCCAGTCCATGCTTGATGAACCTCTGGGCTGCGCCTACATCCAGTCGCGCCCTGCCTTCAGCACTACCCATTATACCTCTGTCCTTGATGTCCTTGATCTTGCTGTTGTACTGCTTTAAGCGCGCAATCTCCTTGAAGACATCGTGCTCCATCGCATTGACGCCCGACGCCTTGAGCACGGAAAAGAGGATCGCCTCGACGGCATAGGCAGACATGCAGTAGAACTCTGCCTTGTCCAGAAGCGGGAGGGATGACGCGGTCGTGTGCAGCGGCGTTGCTAGTAGAGGCTCGAGTGCTGTGGTGAGCTCGTCGATGTTGACTTCCAGGTCCTCGACGAGGTCGGGAAGGTCTGTTTGCGGATCCATGATGATATGGTGGTGGTCGCGAACACCGAGCTCGTGTCTTGGGAGGTTGCGACAATTCGCGACAAGTGCGGGTGAAGTTGTTGGAGTCGCGGTCTGGAAACACAAGCCAAAGAAAAGTTGCGGGCCGAGCGTAAATCCGCGCTAGCTCCGGCATCCAAACGTTGGATAGCTCATAGCGTCATTCACTCACCTCTGCCGACTCTGAAATCGCCTTCGCCCATTGTAGACTTGGTCGCAAAATACACATGTGAATTGCAAATCATTCAAGCTGTCTTTCTCCTCTGTTTCACAATTCCTCCCCAGGCTTCGGCCTCGGATACCACACATAAAAAGAAGATGCGACTCCGGTAGCAATTGCGCGAGCCGGGTGGCTTCCTATCAGACGAGGGCCTTCATGACGAGCCGGAAGAAGTCAGAAAGCGTGGGCGCACAAAACGAACTGGCAGATGGGTCCGTATTCATGGCGTTACTCGAGAACCACCACGACTTACGAGATGCAGCAAGGATAGACCAGATCAATCCGTCCCCTCACCAGCTTCTCACAACACAGCCGACTTCTACCGCAGACAACCTGTACTCGACCGCCGGATTCATATAATGGGCATTGGAAATGTGGGCAAATTCATTGCGCATGCCCTACGTGGAATACCGAATGCGCCTCCAGTAACGCTGATCTTTGGGGGTTGGGAAAAGTACAACGAATGGAACAATTCGCAACAAAAGCTGACGCTGGTCACCGAAGGTGATGCAGAGATAAGGGATGGTTACGACGCCGAACTCGCAATACCGCGTGTCCGATACCATGGTCAAGAGGTGGGCTTGAATGCTTCCTCTGTAGATGCTCCAGGAGGGCCTCGAATTTTGCCTGGAGAATCAACCGAACCTATAAGCTCGCTGATCATCTGCTCAAAAGCCCCGTTTGTTCTGCAGACCATCTCTTCTGTAAAGCACAGGCTGCACAAAGACTCTGTAGTGTGTTTCCTGCAAAATGGCATGGGGGTAATCGAGGAAGTCAATAGGGAAATTTTCCCAGATCCAGAGACCAGACCACACTATATGCTCGGAATCAACTCGCATGGCATGCACACCTCGCGAGACGGTCGTTTTACTACCGTCCATGCCGGTTTTGGGACGATTTCCTTGGGTATTTTACCCCACGAACGAGACCGCAACCCCAACGAGCCCTATGTGCCCGAGTTGAGATTCACCGCACCAAAAGACAGCAAACCAGTCTATCCCGACGAGCCCGACAAACTCAACCCAGAGTACCCACCCCCGAGCAGCGGCAAATTTCCCTTTACGCCCAACCAACGCTACCTGCTCCGAACCCTCCTCCGCACCCCAGTGCTAAGCGCAGCCTCCTTCTCACCCCCAGACCTTCTCCAGATGCAACTCGATAAGCTAGCCGTAAACTGCATCATCAACCCCCTCACCGCCCTTCTGGACGCGCGAAACGGCGCCGTCTTGAACAACTACGCCCTGACCCGCACAATGCGCCTCCTGTTGTCCGAAATCAGTCTCGTCATCCGCTCCCTTCCAGAGCTCCAGTACATCCCCAATGTATCTCAGCGCTTCGATCCGGGGCGTCTGGAAACCGTTGTCGTGGCAGTGGCACACCGCACCAGGGACAACGTGAGCAGTATGCTAGCGGATACGCGTCAAGGTGCACAAACAGAGATTGATTACATCAACGGATGGGTTGTCAAGAGAGGGGAAGAGCTGGGAATTCGATGTGCGATGAATTATATGATTATGCAGTTGGTCAAGGGGAAGAGGATGGTGGTGCAGCATGAAATGGAGGAAGGGGTTCCACTTGTGGAGGAGAAGAAAGGGGGTAGGGCGGATGCAGACTTGGTGGTGAAGAGGGGTCAGGCGGAAGCTAGTAAGGAAGACGCCCGTGAGAAGGAGAAGTTATAAGGGGATACACGTTTTGAGTCTTGTGGCTACGGTCTTTGTGTAGTTCGGCCACCTAGCTTCTCAAATACTACCAAATACAACAAATGTAGACGAACAGATGGGCAATGCCCATGACTAAAGTAGGTAATCGATGGACAGCGATCTGCGGCCCGCAGAGCAAGATACGCCGTTGACCGCAGTCCTCACTTCAGACACCATACGCCCATACGAAATGACCATGCCCGTCGCTCAAACTCAATTATGGCCCACCCGTCCTCCCATCGTTCGGATGTCCACCCAAGAGCGGGTAGGCGTATATCGCAGAGCATACGCCCCAAGCAAATACACCGACTACGAGCACGAATCCGATTAGATGCGGCACTGTGCGGTGCGCGAGCACCATGCGTCCATGGCCGTTGATATTTGGTGGGAAGATGTAGTAACGTCTGGAAGGTGGATAGCCTCGCTGTAACGGAGTGGTAGGGCTCACTTCGATGCCGGAGTCATGAGCAGAGCCGGGTGAAGCGATGGTCCCGTACACGGCGTCTCGAAAGGAGGGTTTCGGTGGTTCATCGCTTCGTGTTGGGTCCATCTGTGAGGTTGTCAGCAATCGAGTTGAGCGAGCCAGAGTACATGGGCTTGCGTATCTTACCTCATCCGCCATAGTGTAGCATTGTCTTACTGGATGTGTACACGTGGAAAGGTGTCTAACTCGCTGCGGACGCTCGAGCTGGTAGCTATCCCGCGTGAAAAGCAAGGCCAAGCAAAGCCGCAAATGTCCGGTGAGTCTGAAAAGTGCCGCAAGGGTTGCTCAGCCTCGTGTCAAGAACGCCATGTATCCTGGGTAGTACCGAGCATCGGCCGGTACGAACGCGTAGAGGGCGTTCGCGGGACGCTGCATGTTGATCAGTGACTAGGATGGCAGCGAGACGGGCGAGGCGCTTGCACGGCTCAGCTAAGATGCAGGTGGGTGAGTCTTGGTCTAGTTTCGTGATGCGATGCCCCGTCTCCGCAGATCGTCAAAGAGCCCACACAGCGGCCCCGGTCTCCCCGCCCAGGAAACTAGACAAATTGGGCAAAGAGCATGGTGCTAAACTGTGGCATGGCCCATCATCTCTGTGCATCATGCAAGTCCTTCTCGCGAAAACAAAAAAAAAAATATCTCTCGGTGATGGTTGTGCAGGTCATCGGTTTGCATGTACGCCAACGAGATGATTCGCCTAGTCCAGGCCTTGTGCCATAGGAGGCGTGGTCGTACCATGTGCAGAAAGCGGGGCACGCACTTAATGGCTGATGTGGCGGAGGAGGACTGAGGTCCTGCGCAGAGTGCAATACTCAAGTGCATAAGAGTGCAAACAGGTCTCATACGACATTTCGCGTAATTGACGGCCTCCCGATGCGACAGCGCAGAACTCTGCCCGACACATTTCTCTCCCCAAGGAGAAACCTGTGTATTCTGACGACTCGACATAGATTACACAGCTTCCGACGACTCGGCGTAGGTTACACGGCATGTTTGCTATCTAGGACCTGCCGTACCTGGACGTATTCTTGGAACTCCGACTTCATCTTTTCCTTTTCTTCTGGCCGTCTTTGCTCCGTGGCCTCGGCGCTCTTCTGGCGTGAAGATCGAGTCTGTTGACCGTTGTTGCCAGCCATGGCATCAGCCTCTACAGCCTTCTTCGGTTACATCAAAATCGAAGACAGCCCCGAACCAGAGGTACTCGGCGCTGAACCTACCACGCTTCCTGTGAAGCTACCGGCACCTATCAAAACCAGAGATCCGGAAAACTTCCTGAAACGATGCTCAGGTCTTTCCAAGAAGACAAATCACCGATGCGGCGTTGTTATTGGGAAGAAGTCGCAAAAGGACGCTCATCCCACATTTCTGCCTACGTGCAGCTCGCACCGTGATCAGCAAAGCCTTGCTGGATGGTGCCAGTTCATGTGCTCGGATGGAGAGAGGTGCGGGAGGCTTTTCAGATGGCGGCCGTACGTTGCATTCACATGTGAACCGTGCATGGAAGATGTACTGACCACGTATCTCCGTCTATAGGCCATACTTTGAGCTTTGTGATGATCACCGAGGTCATCCAGATACGCCCTGTTACTTCCTCGAGCAGCTGCCACTTGAGCTGCGACACGAAGTCTACCGCTATCTACTGCCTACTGAATCAATCGGCTCTTCAACTGCTGCTGTTCATCGAGAAATTGACGGGGATTCTTTTTCAACCCGCATGCTCAGCTTTCGTACAAATAGCCGCTTTCTGCGGCAATCATCGCCATCCGTGTCTTCGGGTCTGGCACCACCACTCGTAGCTGCATTTCCCATGCGACTCACAGACCTCCTTCTTGTATCCCGTCAAATCCACGACGAAGTAAAAGACCTGCTCTTCAGCATTGTCACCTTCAAGATTGACGTCCGCAAAGACGGTGCGTTCATGTGTGGTCGTCGACTGTTGGAACCAAAACGGGCAGATGGATCTTCGCACATGATGGCGGAAGAGGCCGACAAAGCAAAAAAGAAGTTTCTCACAAGCTTTGCTTGGGCATCGGTAAAGAATTACACTGTGGATATCTTGTTGGAGAATTGGGGTGATGCGTATCCTCGCATCAATCACGGTCTCAACCCTCCTTGGGATGAGGAGGTCGAAATCTACGACATCAGAGGTAGGCAGCTGATTCTTACTCTCGACGTCTCACTAAAGGAAGCAGATTACGTCTCTGTGGTCGTCTCCGGCATTCTGGCCAAATCGAAAAAGCTCTTCAAGCTACAAGTCCGACTTGGGCTAGATGATTTCCAATGGGACGAGTATGAGATTTTGTCAAACGCCAAATTATTATTTAGCCCGTTTGAGCGATTACGAAATGTACGACAGCCGAGCATTGGTGGCGTTTTCGATGGCCGACCGAATAATAACTCGGTGTACTCCGTGATACCGGGCACTTCTCAGATCTATTCTGCGCCAACAGGTCACTACGAGAACTGCTGCTCAGTGCCCTCGATGCCTACCAACAAACCAATGCTAGTAGCCGGTATGCCAGCTTTTGATGCTTATGCCGCCGAATGGAAGCACCAAGTCTCCTCAGAGAGCTCCAACGCCATCACGGAGGAACCGCCTATTCGGAAAATGTTTACCGAATTCCGCAACTTTTACAGTGAACTGGCCAACTACGTACCAGATGTAGCATTTAGGAATGGAAGGCATACTTTCTTGCATCGAGCGAGGGTGGCGCGCGAACAGGAAGACGTCGTAGCATTCCGTGAGATAAGAAATGAGCTGATTCACTATTGGGAGGCTTACAAAGCTGATGAAGAGCGGAAGAAGCGGGAAATGGACAAACGCTTGGGAAAGCTCCTCGAAAGCGACATGTATCCTTCGCACGAATGGGAAGATGCGAGTCCAACACGACCTCAGTCGCCGTTTGGTCAAATCGCGCAATCTCCCGTGCTATTGGACCCTGATAAGATGGCTCAAGAGGGTATCCCTATGACGGGAAACTCTGGCGAAACGAGACCATATACATCGGACCAGCACATACGCATGATGAAAGCCCAGCAACAGCAAAGCAAGATTAAGCCATCAAACTTTGGAAGTCAGCAGCCGCAACAACAACAGCAGCCACAAAACCACACTTCTCCTCTCCCTCCTCCTCCCCCTTTCCCTACCCAACATCAACACACGACCAATGGATCGACGAGCGTCCCAAGAAGAGGCCATCCGACACTCTCAGACTACGCATTCCAACACCAACAGGTCCTTCGAGCCCAGGCGCAAGCCCAACAAGCCCAACAACAAGCCCAACAACAAGCCCAACAACAAGCCCAACAACAAGCCCAACAACAAGCCCAACAACAAGCACATCAGCAGCTCCATCCGCGCCTGACAGGAAAACAGCAATACCAAGCCAAACAATACGCTCTCTTCCAACAATCCCGCGACTGCCTCGCCAGACTGACTAGACTCAAGAACGAAGAAGGCACGATTCGTCAACACGCAAACCAAGTACTATCTTCAATGCGCACGAAGCAGAATCCTGCAGACGTGGCCAAACTCCAGCACAATTACAAGTTACAGGCCCATGGAATGACGCTGGCTGTGCTGGAGGCACAGAGGAAGTACGATGAGGTCGAGAGGGAAAGGAGGATTCTGGAAAACTGGTTATCGAGGACGACAATGGCGGCGGGAGCGCAGATGCATACCATGTTGGAGGTGGGTGCGAGGAAAGATCAAGTACTACTGGATACAAGTGAATTTTTCAAGGAAAAGACGGATAAAGACTCGTCGGGGTCAAAAGAAGAGGACAAGGGAGATGAAGAGGACAGCTCAAATGTTGTGTTTGAAAACGAGGATCTGTACTCTGATCCGTTCCACAATGACATTTCTGCACGGCGGACAAAAGAGGAGGAGGAGGGCGCAGAGCGTGAGAAGAGGGGGCGCGAGTGCGATTCTGCGGGTACTTCTATTACTACTACCGTCGACACCACGACTCGAACCCCCGATTCCTACATGGGAGATAAAAGGCCAAGCAGCCCGGGCATGTCTGAAGAGGATCTCGACGGAGCGCAAGTGAGTGTAGAAGTGGGAGTGGGTGTGCCAGGTCCGTCCGTGACCAAGAGACGGAGGATCGACTCAGGGTTCTATGAGACAATGGAGTGTAACATACACTCGAGCTCGGATGACGAGCGGAGACGAGAATCGGAAGATGGGTTGAGGGTGTCGCAATTGCGGATCCAGTGTGAGTGGAACGGCCCGTCCTACATGGGGAAAGGGAAGGGGAGGATGCAAGGTAATGGCGATGTTGAGATTGCGTCTAGCCGGGATTGAACATGTTGTTGGGTGAGGAACATAGAATGCAGGTAAAGGGGACTTCAAAAGTGGGTGCGCGCAAGGATGGAAGCGGGCTTCTTAAAAGCGCGGAAGCAGGTAATTGGATGGGACATGTTGACTTGAGGAATTTCTCAAATCGGAACTTTGGAACATACAACACAGGTATGAAACGAAAAACTGTACGGGCAAAACACTTTGGTTGAATGAGAGAGAAAGAGCATTTTCTCTGCAGAGGCAATATGCGTGTAACCGAAGTGGGGTGGTTTGATTCCCAATATGAACGACTATGCCAAACACCGCCGCCGTCTCAGGATATATGCCGTGTTCGCTATCTATGCATCACAAATACAGTCCCTGCATCTTCCTCTACACATCTCCCTCCTTCAAATTTATACAATTGGCGTCTCCTTTATTCCCAATCTCGCGTGTCTTTTGCAACTAGTACTGACCGGCCGCCGCCTGGCAGGCCTTGAGCTGGTCCAAGTACCAGCCACAGATAGTCAGACTACCCTGGTTCTCGTCCATGCACTTGCGGAAGCTCTGGACATCGTTTGCGCAAGGACCCGACTGCGCCATCTGAGCAGACGCCGCGTTAGCGGGCTGGTGCTGAGCGGAGAATTCAGTGTTTTGAGGCGAGGCTTCGGCGGGGGCCGAGGAGCCGCCTCCAAACCAGCCGCCGACTGCGTGGCCGATGGAGGATCCTACTGCGACACCGCTGTGAAAAAAGCGCGTTAGTCAAATGCATATTGCGTAGTTTGTGGCCCGAGTCTTCTTTGCAATGTTTCTTCGCATGACTACGTCATGGCAATGGGGTGGCGCGACATGGGTTCGTGATGGGAAAATGGAGTGCTGCCTAGGGGTCCTACTTACGCAGCGGTGCTAGCCATTTGTCCGAATAGGCCGGGTCCCTGAGGCGTAGGGGCCTGAGCCTGCTGTTGAGGAGGCGCATGAGCGCTGGCTGGTGCGCGAGGGGGAGCAGCGGCGGTCGAGTGCGGGCGCGAGGAAGCGGGCGCAGGTGCAGTGGTTGCTTGCTTTGCAGCCGGGACCTGCGGGCGGCGAGGGGGAGCGGTTCCAGAGCGCTGGCGAGGCATGTTTGATGGATTCGGTGGTGGTGGTGGTGGTGGTGATGTCGGGATGAGTTGAATTGCGTGTTACAGCGGTTCGTGAGAGCAAATGCGTCAAGATGGCGAATTCAGATGTTTTGAGCTCCGAGGTTCGAGAAGCATCGGTGTTAGCGCAGTTTAGAGGGCTTGGCGTGCGTGCATATCGCCGGCGTCCTCATTGGCCCGTTTCCCTACAAGTCCCAGTTGTGTCAGATCACACGAAAAGACTGAACACTACTACGTAGTAAACTAACAGATCGCCATGATGCCATATAGCCAGTCTTGGTAATCCTTCCAACTGCTTGCTAGACAGATTTGTGCCGCCCGAAGTTAGTGTATAGTCCTCATTGAACTATCCAATCCGCAATCGCCCTACCTTTCCCTACAGCTAGACGCCTAGAGTCGATTATCAAACGGAGACGCAGTAGTAGTTGATGTTCATCCAAATAACCATACTGTACAACTGTTTTGTCTGAGCCAAGTACTACGTATAGGCTTTGCCACGGAGAAGGACCTCTAGCTTTTTACAGGTTGAACGTCCGTCAGCTTAGCAAACATCTTCCACCTCCATGTCACCCCCGCTCCTCGGCCCCAGATCACTTCGGAGCGTCCGATTGAAAAGCTCCTTGAGCATCTCAAAGCAAATCCCCGACAACGCAGCATCATACCGACCCTTGCTAAGTTCGTCACGGATGAAAGCATCTACAACATGTTAGTGCGCATTCTCTATACCGATTTTGAAACCAGACTTACGTTGTGCCCAAGCCGGTTCGTAGAATGAAAACGTCACTCCAGCCTCATGAAGCGTCTTCCTAATCAGATCCCTGCCCTCGGGTGGAACATGGGTATCCATTTTACCAAAGATCATGACAAGCTCCCCCTTGATATCCTTGGTGCGGGCAAGCGAGTCGTCCTTCTTGCCTTTGCCTAATGTAGAACTGTGAATGTCCGTCGCGAAGTAGCAGATTGCGCTGGATATGCGCGGATCGAGAGCGCAGCGGTAGGCTAGGTGGCCACCCAGGCACATACCTATTCATGGTTAAGCTGAATTGAAGGACAAGCTGGAGTGGAAGGCGGATAAGTGGGGACAGCAAACATGACGCGGGATGGGAATAGAATACGAGGGAGCGGTAACTTACCAGTAGCGCCAACCCGTCCGTTACACGTTGGCAGTTCAAGCAGTGTGTCAATAGATAGTGTGGCATCTTCGTCATATGCTTCAACTGTCTTGGTGATTTTCCATTCATTTCCGGCATCCGTACCCGGACCGTCGTAGGCAAGAGGTTCTGGACCTGTGAACTCGTGATAGGATGAAGGAGCTGCAACAATATAGCCTTGCGACGCTATTTGGCGGGCGAAGCGGGCTACAGGTCCAGTGACTATTCGGAGCTCAGTCAGTAGGTGTGACAGATGGAGTGGATGACATTATGCAGCTGAATAGGTGATTTCAGCAAATAAGAATACAAATGACGGAGTTTCTACAGCCAGAGAAGGAGATTCAAAGACTTTGAGATATAGGACTTGGTGGCCACATCTACTCTTGGATCAACTACATCAACTTTGCAATATGAATAGGAACAAAATAGTACTAGTTAGGAAGACCACACATATTGGAAACAAATCTCAAAACATGTTGAGACGACGCAACGTACCTTGGTATATCTCGGAGAACACAACGACACCCGGAAACTTGGCTTTGGGGTAATTGGGGACAGTGGGATGGAAGATGAAGATCCCTGGGTGACGAGCGTACAAATCAGCTTCAGTGTAACCAAATGACATTTTTAGCAGCAACGTACTCATGTCACCGCCTGCCTTGGTCGGCACATCCTTATGTGTCTCTGTGATGAGCATTGTGTGTTTCTTGTCTTGTTCGACCTGGGTGTTTGTTTGGCTGTTGGTGAGCCTATGCGTTTGCGAAGGTGATGTTTGAGGTGGGGTGGTGGGGTAATGTTATCAGCACGGTCCAAGTTGCTGCAAGACTCGACAGTACGAAGCAGATGCGACGATGGCAGGGCTGGCGTCTCCCACAGTTTGCGTTTGAAACCCATTAGAATGGCAGACCAAAGTCATGATTTTGGATCGAATTCATGTTAGTATTGCAGATACCACTCTGTACGTAGCAAGGTCAACAGTGCATACACACAAGCTCCTACGCATACTCATACGACAATTATTCTGTAATTGTATAGGACACTCTGGCACATGTTCGCTACGAGTGCCACAGCAGAGTACTTTTAGCGAAAGATCTGAGTAGGACGTAAATACGTGCCTTGTTAATGCTTAAAAGTGGCCTTTGCCAAGTGTATTTTGGCCTAGGCTATGTTTGGATAGTATTTGGTTAATGGAACTCGGTTCAGGGTCTAAGAAGGGAACAGCCCAGGAGGAAGCCATCCAGCCTATGTGACAATATGCAGCCCTGGAAAGGTCACACTCCGGATCTGATAACATCTTCATCGGAGTCGCGGGAATCCATAAAAGCTTGTCCTAGCACTATGAGTGCCCAGTGGGGTCAATTGGGTAGCGTCAGTGGAGCCTTTCCGGATGACACATGCGCGATGATGTCATCTTTTAGCTACTTGTCGCCAGTGGTGGTAACGAACGACAGAAAAATATTGTAACAATATCATCCGACAAGTACGGTTGCAGCGGCACACGGGGCACGGAGACGTGCCGGCTTGGTATTACGAACCAAGATGTGACGAAATAGTCGCATGGCTTTTGAGGCCTCACCGCTAATGGCGCCATTTCGGCGGCGATCTTCTCACTGTCGAGAAGTAAGTGCGAAAGCACAGCAACTGGTCGAACCCCGGATGCAAGTTGTGCGCTGCTCCTAGGGTAGACATAACAGGCCGGAAACATCGCTGTGCACAATGTTTCGGTAGTTGCGCACCCCTGTCATTGTAAGCGTTGAGGCTGCGCGGGATCAAGCGATGTCGCCTCAGATACGATTCGAGATAGGACCAGCTGCGTGGCTCGCTTGCTCGGTTAATTATGGCGGTGAACAGCGAACAAAGCCGAAGCATACGGCATGGTGTAACGACTGTGATAAGGCTTCTGGGATGTTGGTAAATGGTTAGGGACGTTTGCTGCAATTTGTGTGGGTTGCAGCGGCTGTGTGTATGCAAACAGAAAAGACAGCCGATAGGCCGAAGAATTCATGGAGTACATGGTGCAAATCTGGTGACTTTGAATGACCCAAGACATGGCATGCGCATCGTGAGATGTTGGTGGTATGGTGTTGTAGGCCAGGGTGGGGTATGGTGTTGAGGGGCCAGGTGCAGGGATATTGCGCCTGTCATATAACTGGCAAGTGGGGTTGCAGTCGACCCAAGGATCTCAGCCTCCAGAAACGTGGCTTGAGCCGCAGGATGACGAGCCCGAATTGTGTATGAGTGTGAGATGTGCTCTTCTCTGGTGCTTGGAGCCCAAACCCACCCAATAGTTCTGTGCTCGCTGAGTCGTAATACCGCCGGTCGCATGTCATCTCGCAGCAAAATGCTGATGCCATTAAACGGGCCCACAAGGATCCTTGCTCACTTTCTTGGTCTGTGCACGACCGCTATGCAAGAGAGTGTCTTGTATGGTTCCGCTAAGCGGAGAAAGAGTGGAGGGTCTGGCGCTACCATGGTGTTCGATACCGAAGTCTTGTACTACCCGCAGTTCGTGGTCGAACACCCGGGATAACCGCAGCCTTTGGCGAGTGTCAGGTGAGCATTGTGGCATGCCTGCTTCTGGCAGTTTCCAACAGATCAACAGTAAGCCGGAAGGTTTTGCGTTGAGCACCTGAGAAACATCAAGTACGGTAAACACGTTAGGTTGGGATCAGGGTCCAGCAAGTCGGCGTGGTGTGGCACGGTCGTCTGTACATGCTTGGCCCCTCATGTGACGGCTCTGACGCGACGTGTGACAGGCATGCGCATCGCCCGCTGCTGTGTCAGGCAGATGATATGACGGGCAAGGTGAGCAAAAGTTATTGTGATGCAACCTTAGGACATTGCAATTGGCCCAAGTAACAAGCGTCGGATCTCATGCCAGCTAGCTCCTGCAGGCAGTGCTCGGCAAAAACACGACTTTGCAAAACACGGCAGCCGTCTATCACGACATTCCTTCAGAGTCAGGGTCTGTAGTCGTTATCAGCGGGTGGTTGATGAGGGGTAAGCGTAGACGACAAGGTGGAGGAGGATTAGAGTAATGGAGACAGCCTCCTCGACAGTTGGGTCTGAGCAAGGCCGGATAGGTCTGGACGAGTGCCTCCCCGATGAGGTGGTCGACCAGCGATGTGCACCCTGCCTATCTATTTCTTCGAGTGTGATATTCAGAGCAGGATGAGGGTGAGGGTGAGGGTGCAGGGAAGGCGCGTTTACTAGCGCTATCTCCGTGTGAGCCAATCAGGCGCTGCAGGGGTCCTGCCCCAAGTTGGATTTACAACCTGGGAGCCAGCTTTTGATGCCCTCTCAATGCCCTTGGGCTGCGTGCCATCGCACCTCTTTCAAACAAGGTCCCTCCCCGCGACATCATTCACCGTTGCCCCTATCTTCTGCTTCTTCCCGCAGAGACTCACCACCGACGGCATTGTCAAAGCCTTGTCTACCAGGCCCCTCCAGATCACCGGGCGTTCCAAGGCGGCAAGCCGTGTTCGGGAAGCCATCTAATTTCTCAGGTGCTCGTCCGCCCTCCCCACCCAAGCCCATTCACTGTTGTGTTTGTCCACAACGGCCCCTGCGCGAATCAGCGCTGGTTTTTATTTTTCCCCCAGCTGCACCTCGAACCAGCGTGCGCCTCGGGTCGTCTTTTTTTTCCTGGCCAGTATCTGCATCCCGGGCCTCCGCTGCAGTCGCTGCAGTCGCTGCTGCACCTCTCTTTGGCTCACATCTAGAACACGCCGCTTGGCCTCCAGCTCTGTGCTACGGCCGGCCGCCCGTCGACTGCTCTCCTTGCGCCGCTGCGTATTCTTCTGCCCGTCCGACTGCCCAAATCCTCCTGTATGTCGAGTCCATTCCCCCACCGCCAAGACTTTCTTCGCCAGCACCGTCGACTGTGACTATCTGTCCCGTCACTCTCCTGTGTGTTCTTTACTGACTGGCTCAGTCCCTAGGTCGCCGCGTCCCCCAGCGGAGGTACCTTGCCTACTCGTAGCTCACGGCCCTCGTACCGCGCCTTCCCTCTCGGACAACATCGTCTTTTGCTACGACAGCCGCGGCGCCCTATATGCAGTCGTTGTCTGCGGCTCTTTCATCATGGATACCGAGGATGGTCACATCTTCATAAGGGTGCGATTCTCAGTGACTGGCTCTGCACGAGACGCGCGTTGACACGCTTCTAGAATTTGGCCTACTTTGTACGAACACACGAAAAGGCCCTGGCCAACGCCCTACAACTGCAGCGGCAGAACCCCAAGAATGGCCAGGCCATCACTTCTCCTTCGTCGCCCAATAGCCCTGCCAGCCCGCCCTCTTCCTCATCCTCGAGCGTCTGGGCAGCAGCCCTGTCTTTGCCGTCCCTGACCTTTACCTCACAGTCCATCAAGCCAGCTAAGCTTACACTGACACCCCACCATCTCTTCTACATTCTCTCTCGCTTCGAGGAGCTTGGTATACCTGTTGGCCCTATGAATGTGCGGCTGGAGAATATCCACACGGATGCTTCGCCTGCCAACTATGTCTCGTTCCTCGGCAGCGCCCAGCGCAACAAGACCAAGCCGTCCGATCGCGACTCAATACATTCCGTGTCCAGCGTCCGCAGCGTGATGTCAGGCATGTCCTCGCTTTGGTCTTCCCTCCGTATTGGTTCAAACAGTGAAGCCAAGGCAGAGAAACAGAAAGCCCAGCTCCAGGAAGACCTGCGATATCTGTATTCTGCCTTTACCAAGATTCCATGCCTGAGGCTATCTCCTGACCACAAAGCTCGCCTTATTGCTGGTTACGAAGAGTTTCCATTCGACACCGCGGTCCCTCTGTTCGCTTTCAAGAATGTTACTGCGCTTGAGATTCACGATGTAGACTTTCGACAGTTCTATGGCTGGGATCGCCTGGCCGAAAATCTTCGCAGCCTTACTGTCAAGCGAGCTGGTGTTGACGATCCCGCTGACCTTCTAATCAATGTTGTCCTGGACGACATGGACAAGCGCCGCAGACGCTCAGCAAAGACCAATGCATCTTCTGCACCATGGTCTACCGCAAGCCCATCCGCTAAAGTTAGTCAGTTGGCGCGATCAGAGTCTCCGCCACTCTCTCCTACCACTGCAAGCAAGCAGAGCACAAGTCCGAGAGGCGCTGCGGTAGCGCGAGACAATTCTTCCAAGGCTAGTCAGCGACAGCGTAGTACTTCTCCAACGCGTCCCCCAAGCTCCCGCCATGGTTCAACTCATGTCTATGGCCGAAGCACTACAAATGCCCCAAACATCCGCCGGTCATCTGGTAGCTCTAGTTCTAGTGTACGCTCCACTACTCCGAGGGGTAGTTCTTCTAACCTACTCTCCCTGGGCTGGTTCCCCGCAACGAAATGGCGCTTCCTGCGACATTTGAGTTTGGCTGACAATGCTCTCACCAACATATCAGTTGCCAGTCTTGCTCCTTTGGCCAACACACTACAGTCTCTTGATCTCTCTGCCAATCTGTTTGCTGAGATTCCGGACAGCCTTGCCAGCCTGACCTGTTTACGCGCGCTAAACCTTTCCAACTGCATGATCGATGGTCTGCACTCACTAGGTCGCAACCCACTGCCAGCCATCACAACGCTCAACCTTCGCTCCAATCGCTTGACATCTTTGGCAGGTGTCGAGCGGTTGCTGTCTTTGGAGCGAGTGGACTTCCGTGACAACAGGTTGACTGATCCTACAGAAGTCGCCCGACTTACTGGTGTTCCTGACATAACCGACATCTACGTCAATCGCAATCCGTTCTGCAAGACCCATACCACCTACAGGGTCACCATTTTCAATCTGTTCCGTAAGACACCAGGCTACACAGAAGATATCGTCATCGATTCCACGGGACCCAGTAATGCTGAGAAGAAGCAACTTGTTGATCGAGTTCCTGAAAAGCATGGTGTCCCCATTGTTAAGCCGCCACCCGAGGACGATGTGCAGCCCTTGCGACATGTACCCCCAAAGGTCGTAAAAGCTATTGATGCCCCGTCCGACGTGCCTGGGGTACTTCAGCGTACCGGGTCTCTACAACGTACCAAGAGTGGACGCAATGCACAAGGATCTCAGAAGAAAAAGAAGGGCCCCAAGAGAAGGATAGTCGAGCTTTCCCAGAATGAGCCCCTGCAATCATCGTCGCAGTCGAGTCTGACAGGCTTGGCATATGAGGACACCGCGATTGGGCAGGCTCCCAAAATCGCCAAAGGTGCCAGCAATACGTTGGTTGCAGACACGCCTCGGCTCGCAGAGCCACCTAGGGGACAAGTATCAGGAGACCCTATGAAGAAGACTGCATCAGATGAACGCACTGTTGCGGATGAAACCCACACAAGTCATCAACAGCTGCCACCCATCGATACCACCAACTCATCCAAATCTCCGGAGCCAGAAGCTGCAGAGTTTGACGTCAACGAGGACATGTACAAGAAGAAGATCGAGGCTCTCAGGCAAGACTTCGGTAATACGTGGCTGAGCGCGCTAGGGGACGAGAATTGGGACAACACGTCCGTCACTAGCTTTCCTTCCGATCGCGGATACAGCTCCCCTACCATTCGACCAACACTGCCCCGCACACCAAGCCAAAGCATTGTCTCTGGTCGCACACTTGGCTAACATAATTCTCTCTGATCTATGCACTTGCGATACCCAAAAGAATATTTCAATTCGTCAGACTCCTATTTCAGCCCATGGAGGCTGTCACATTTCTCTCTACAGTTTGTTCATCCTCTAGTTTGTCAACATTTGGGCAAGGCGTTGGATGGATATTAGTCGGACTGAGCGTCGCGATTTGTCACGCTCGTTGTATCGATAAAGTCTATCTCCCATGGCTGTCTCGACTTGTTTGTGGTATGTATCCCTCTCTGATCAAAAGGCGGCAGTGTTGCATTTCTGCGTATTCCTTTGTTCGGGGGCATAACGACCATGTTCTTGTCGAAATGGGTTCTGTATGATATTTCCATGTCGGCGCATTGTGGGTCGATTGCTCACTCTCGTGGGCAAGGCATGCATGGTTTCTTTTTCCTTGTTTCTGCTGCTTGTTAGCGTCGTTCGAGTTCTGGTGCGGAAGCAGGATGAGGGCGTTGTATGGTTGGTCTATTGCATAATGAAGCGTGCGTTACGGATGAAGGCTCGCATAAATACAAAGATGATGTTGATTGAACGGCGGACGACGTGCGTGAGTGGAGCGTACGTGACACGTGAGGTGTTGAGATCAGCACTCTGCGTCTCTGAACTGATGGCTGGTTTCTAGGGGAGCACGAGAAGGCCGAATCTTCTACCACTTGCTACATGTTCAATCACATTCAATCAATTTGGAAAACTCGGCCTGTGTCGATGCAATTTGTTCCAGACTTGGGCGGCGGGAGTTTATACATGGATCAAGCAGCTGAAGGGGTGTGGCGATAGAAGACTAGATATGGCTGGGCGGCAGTTGCACTCGGTCATGTGCAGTGTGCAAAGATGGCACGCCCCGGTACCTGTGCCGCAACCGTGGTATATTATGTGTTTGCTAGATAGCCGAATTGCCATCCGCTTGCCTTTTGCATGCATGCGGGAATCGAGGCCTTTTATAAATCTCTCGACGCGCGTCTGTGCCCTCGTGCCAAGCCAGCCCTAGACTAACTGAAACGGAGGCTGCCCTACCTCTGCAAAACTACTCAGGCGCCGCGATCTTCTCACCACCGCAACCCAACCCGGCCTACAAGTCAGTGTACAGCAACAGTTCTCACGCTTCCTCCTAGGTCTCTTGTGCATAGCAGTTCGCACATCATCAGCCGCCAGTCTCTTTCTCGTCACGCCTGTCGTCCGCTTGTTACAGGCGGTGAAGTCACTCTCAGCATCCCACTCGACAGGCTCCGGCCATAACAACGCCTCAGCGCCCTCCCCCGCTCCCACCGCGCTCGCCTGCCCACAACGTAGCAGCAGCCCACACAGGTATCATCGCCTCCACGAGCACAATTGACCAGCGCACATCGCAGCCGCCCCACCCGTCGCGTGATCCCAGCTCTGCCGCCAGGCACTTTTGAGGGGCTTTGAGCCATACTCCACCAGCACATAAGCGTCCACCAACTGCAACCCCACCCGGCCGACTTGTTGAGACCAGAGGTACGTCGGCACCTGGACTGCAGCCCGTTGTTGACCCGTGGAGCGCTACTAACGCACAGGGTGCAGGAGAATTATCGCCAGTGCTACGCGCAACCCTTCCCCACCCACCCGCGCGAGGTCTTCCCGTGCATCTTCAGCCACCTACACCAGCGCCAGTAGCAAGCCACAGCTATGGCCGAAAACGAGGTGGACTTGGACTCCATCATAGACCGTCTGCTTGAGGTCCGCGGCAGCAGGCCCGGCAAGCAGGTCCAGCTGCTCGAGACGGAGATCCGCTATCTGTGCACCAAGGCGCGCGAAATCTTCATCTCACAGCCCATTCTGCTCGAGCTCGAGGCACCGATAAAGGTCAGTCACAACACGTAGTGCTGCGAAGCCCACGATGCGGCTTCTGAGCACCTACTGACTTGTTTTGCCCATCAGATTTGCGGAGATATCCACGGCCAGTACTACGACCTTCTGCGGCTCTTCGAGTATGGCGGCTTCCCCCCAGAGGCCAACTACCTCTTCCTAGGCGACTACGTCGACCGTGGTAAACAGTCTCTCGAGACGATATGCCTTTTGCTTGCATACAAGATCAAGTACCCCGAGAACTTCTTCGTTCTCCGCGGCAACCACGAGTGCGCCTCCATCAACCGCATCTACGGCTTCTACGATGAGTGCAAACGAAGATATAACATCAAGCTGTGGAAGACTTTTACCGACTGCTTCAACTGCCTGCCCATTGCCGCCATCATCGACGAGAAGATCTTCACCATGCACGGCGGTCTCAGCCCAGATCTCAACTCCATGGAGCAGATTAGGCGCGTCATGCGACCCACCGATGTGAGTCAGGTCCATGTCACAGTCGACATGTGAGTCTCGGTAGAGTACACAGGCTAACCATGATAGATTCCCGACTGCGGTCTTCTCTGCGATCTCCTTTGGTCCGACCCAGACAAGGACATTACTGGATGGAGCGAGAACGATCGAGGTGTCAGCTTTACCTTTGGTCCAGATGTAGTTTCGCGCTTCCTGCAAAAGCACGACATGGACCTCATCTGTCGTGCGCATCAAGTTGTAGAAGACGGTTACGAATTCTTCTCTAAGCGCCAACTCGTAACACTGTTCAGTGCACCCAACTACTGCGGTGAATTTGACAATGCAGGTGCCATGATGAGCGTCGACGAGAGTCTGTTGTGTTCTTTCCAGGTAGGTTTTCCAGTACGACATGACAGCAAACCCCTACTGACAGCCTGTGCAGATTCTCAAGCCCGCAGAGAAGAAACAAAAGTACGTCCCCAGCCTTGGTAGCGGCAGACCAGCGTCTTCTCGCACCAAGAAACCCTAGAAGTAGCCACCACTACACTCATTCAGAATCAATACGAACTTCTCTTGTAGCAGGTTTGGGCGTCGTTAGACGACGACAATCGTCAGCCCTCCCCGAGTCCCGATGTCGAACGAACCGAAAGACGCGCCATGTCGATTCCGTCACCCACTTTTCGGCTACAGCTACCCAAACGGCCTTTTACATTTGTAAAGCAGTCCTGTCCTTGATTTTGTGTCATTCCAGTACCGTTGCGCACGCACCATGACAAAGGGCACCCCGGTCGACTCTTGGACGATTCGATGATGATGGGCTTGATGTTTTGCACTTTGGCGGTAACACAAGATGGCAGATATCAGAGCATTGATCATGTCGGCAACATGGGCAGCAGCAGCATTTCAGAAAACATGCAAAAACCAAGGAAAGGAAGGAACATGATACATGGCCTTTTTTCGTGAGTTATCTGGGTAGCATAAGGGTGGGAAGCGTGTGGGCAATTCATCGCTGGCCTTTGTTGGGGCTTGTGTAGGCTTATTACTCCATTTTCCATCGGGCTCCTGAGGCTTGTCATGTCGGGGTGCGAGGCTTACATGCGATAATGTCAGTCTTTTTTTTCTTTTCCTTTCTTTTCCTTTTTGTCGCGTTCAACAAGCAACCTTTTTAGGGATGAAGGATGTAAGCTAGTGGTCTCGAGAATGGAGTATGCGTATCCCCCTTGCACCATCATTGAAGTTTGCTCGGTGAAACATGCAGTTCGTGCGCAAACGTCTATATAGCATGGCCGTGGCAGCATTGTGATTTTGGAGGGTTCTGCTTCGGTGTGCCACTAGGTGTATTGCGAGATTGTTTGAGTAATCAATTTACGTTGTGTCAGTGTTGGGTAAGCGAGATGCGTGTGCTATCAATGGCTATTTCCACGATCAAATGCGACAGCTGTCAAGCCTTTGGTCCTGTCTGTGTCAAGTTCGTACCTGATACGAGACATGATACGAGGACGACCAAAAAAAGTAATTGACACCTCCCAACACGAACACGAATATTGATCAAAGATTGTTTTTCTCGACTGTTTGTAACAGATGAGAGAGAGAGAGAGAGAGAGAGAGAGACAGGCCCTGGCAGTTCTCCGTGCTGATCAGCTAGACAAGGGATGGGTTGGGACGGGCAAGGCTTGGCTTGTGTGCGCGATGATGTCAACGGGTAGCCAACAAGCCGTTCTCGGATATTTAAGATGCATGCACGTGGCAGAGACGAGAAGAGCAAGGCAGAGAAGAAAGCAGTAAAATATGCGAAAGCATCATGTGTCACATGGTTCAAGGAACGAGAGCAGAGCGAACAGGTCTAGGCACGGTACTTGGGGTGTGGCAGTGCAGGCGGCGCGCGCAGCGCAGCGCAGCGCAGGAAGAACTATTGAAAGGAAAAGGAAAACGGGCCAGGGAGAGGGACCCTCGTTGGGCTGTCGTCGTCATGTCCGGTGTTTGATTGGCGACGGCGGGGCTTAGAAGACGATCTGAGCGTAAGCGCCCGAGCCGACCGTGGTTCCGGTGCAGCGCAATCGCTGTCGTAACTGCACTGTGCCACCACCTGCCCGTTTCTATGTAGTCATTCTCTCTCTAACGTTATCGATTTCCGTGCACCTTGGTTCTCTGTTGTTGTGTTTTTGCCTGGTCATTACCTGCGGTTGTTGAGGGATGAATGCATGTGTGTGTAGCGTGTAAACACTGGATACTCCCCGACGCTGTCCACGCCTAGCCTTGTCGTCGCACGCTTCGCCTCGTCGCTCCGCTCCGCTTCGTCACTTCGCTCTCCGCGACTGTCGTCACGTCACTCCTTTGCCTTCCCACTCGGCCTGCCGCGCCTTCCTGCCACCCGCCTTTGATCTTGTAATGCTTTGGAGGATATAGTAGATTGTCTGCGTCGCCCGATACCATGGCCGAGTACGCGTAAGTCAACGCTGGACGAGTGAGGCGCTGGCCGGGCACTGCTAATCTACTTTCACTCAGCAGCTTCATAGCCCATTCGGCCCCCTGGGTCCACGGCTCAGGCACCATGACCCCCTCGCGCCTTCGCTCCTTGTCGCCCATGCCCAAGAATCACGTTACCCGATCCATATCCACGCCACAGCTCGCCAAAACTGCCCGCTCGCAGTCGCAGTCGGAGTCGGAAAGCGATGGCATGAATACTATCCCCGACCCGCGATCAGCCACCCCGCAGCCCCCTCTTTCACGCCACGACTCGACAGACTCTCACCCAGACCTCAGCCAGGAAGTTTCCACACTCAGCACCAAGCTCATCAACGCCATCAACCACTCCACTATGCTCGACGATTCACTGCAGCAAACGAGGCACGAGCTGGAAGCCGCAAGAGAGAAGCTGGCGCAGTTGGAGGCCCAGGTCAGGGAGCATGAGGAGAAGGTATCAAAAGGGCTGCTAATGGACAAGATTGTCTATGATAAGATGGAGAAGCAGTTGTCCAGTGAACTGCACGAGGAGCGCAAGCGACGGGCTCAGGCAGAAGCTGCAAAGCGAAAGACTGACAGCGAGGTCGAGGCTCTGACAGCTGCGCTCTTCGAAGAGGCTAATGTCATGGTCGCGGCTGCTCGCAAGGAGACCGAGGCTTCCGAGAAACGTGGCGAGCAACTCAAGCAACAGCTGGGCGATGCCGAAGTGCTCCAACACTCCCTCCAAGACCAACTACAGGATCTCAAAGGCGTCGTGGAGAAGATGAGCTCCCATGGCGACGACAACGAAAGCCACATTCTCACAACAAACACCGCTCCTTCAACACCAGGCATCACCCCGGCGGACAAGATGAGCAAGTTGTTCGAGGCCATGAATCTCACGCCTAGTACCCCGGGAACCGATGAGATCACCCCTGATCACCCACTCCATTTTTCGCATCTAATTCATCCCGTCCTACGGTCTGACCTTACCGCTTTCAAGGAATTCCAAGACATGCTCAAGACCAGCGCGCGGTCCTCGGCTCCGGCAAGTCGTGCTTCGAGCGGGAACTACAGCAGTTTGAGTGTACTCGGACTTGGCTCACTGACCAACAGCTCCACCACATCTCTACCGTCCAAGTCGTCTGCCTCCGTCACCAACTCACCTCGTGAATCTGTAGCCACTGCTGGTATGCCCAACCTCAAGGACGAAAAGTTCTACAAACGCGCTCTAGTCGAGGACATTGAGCCTACATTGCGTCTGGATATCGCTCCCGGTCTCTCCTGGATGGCACGCCGTACCGTGCTCAACAGTATCACTTCTGGTTCTCTAGTTGTAGAGCCAAACCCTGCTCCGTCATCCAGGTTCCGAGTCCCAGTCTTTCCATGCTCGTTATGTGGAGAAGCAAGAAATGGCGACCAGTACGCTCGGAAGTTCCGATTCAAGCCCTCGGACACGGAGGATTCGCAGCGCTATCCCCTCTGTGACTGGTGTCTGGGTCGTGTCAGGGCAACATGCGATTACATTGGTTTCTTGCGCATGGTAGCAGCAGGACATTGGCGAGCCGAGACGGAAGAAGAGAAGAAATCCACTTGGGAAGAGAGCGTGCGACTTCGTGAGCGCATGTTCTGGACCAGAGTCGGTGGAGGCGTGGTCCCTTCTTTTGTTCCTTTGCGAGACGGCAGCCCACACAGTCCTACATTTACAAGCGACGATATCAAGCAGCAGCGCGAGGAACGGATGAGTGAGGAGGAGAGTATCATCTCGTTTGAACCTAGAGATATCACGGCGAGTGGCTCGGCGGCGTCAACAATGGGAAACGAGTCTCCCCGGAAGAGCGAGGACGATCCTTTTCAAAGTAAGAGTGGGGACAAGGCTAAGAGGATTTCCATTGGCAATACTGTCATCTCGAGCGACAATGCTGCCCCGGAACTCGGATCTACTACTCCACCACCCGCCGAGCAAGAAGGTGGTGAAGCAGCCAAGGGGAACGACGACCAAAAGATTGAGTCCCCCTTGCCAATACCTTCGTTGACAATAGAGGAAGAGAAGAAGATTGAACAAGATGCTGAAGCTCAGCTTCAGGACGAAGTGAAAAAATCGCTGGAGAAGCCTGCGTTGCAGCGTCAACGCTCATCTTCTAATCCGCCGCCTGTTGCTGCTACTTTAAGGAAGAAGGAAGAGAGCAGTAATCGACTCAGTTTGAGGATTCCGGGCTCTATGGGTGCGGGTATGAGTATGCCTGGAGCTTTTGATTGAGGGGTGAAAGAGAGAGAGAGAGAGAAAGAGACGGGAGAGGTGTTTTGTTGGCGTAAACAAGGAGGAATCATGATTTGGGCCAAGGTTCTCACTACTAATACCGCAAAGTGTGTTTCTTTATTTTCCATATTGGAGGGCCAGGAGGGAAGGTTTATTCGACCCTTGAATTGAAGAGCCTTGCTGAGGTTGGGCTGGGGTCGCGCTGCTTTGCGACAAGCTCGATGTTTGGAGCTTTCAACATACAACATTTGGTTATTGTCTCTTTTTTTTTTTTTCTCAATCTGTTCGAAGCATTGTATAAGGCGCGGCTTTTTCTTTTCTTCTCTGGACAACAAAAAAGGGGGTTTGAATGGTTATGCTTCTAGTATACATAACATACAAACGCTTTTTTCTTCGTTTGGCTTGGGTTGTACCTCGGCTTGAGTTGGGGGGAAGGACGGGGTTTGAGAGGAGTAATATATACCAGGAGTTTCTGGTCTCTTTTTTTTTATACATATCACTATGTGGACTTTGGAAAGAGAGGGACTTTGGAAGAAGGGGAAAGGCTGGGTCTTCTGACTTGAAATCGGTCAAGACATGATGTGTGTCTGCCTAATGTACTATATCTATACCAGGGATGGTGGGAGTGGGAGTGGGAGTAAGGTGGAGAGGAGGAGAAGAAGGACGTCGACGATCCGAGGTCTTGTGTTGTAACCCAGGGCATGGTTGAGTGATAATACATGTATTCGCGAACAGTAATTGTGTATACCTCTCTTGCTTATTCTGTTTCTTTTCCCTTTTATTGTTTGTGATTTGTGAAGTTATGTTGTCTGGATTCCAACTAACATCGCCCTATCGAATGATCGCATAGGTAGCACACACAGAGGCGGATGACTTTACAAATGCGGTGCTGACATTTGACGGATCCACTTTTGACCGCAGTACCCACTGAACTCCTGTACCACGCACTGCGGACTCTGGCGCCAAGATGCCGCATCACCGCTACAACATCAGGCGATCTTTGTCATCTCGTTGGAGAACAGTGGCTTTGTAATGAAATTGCACGGTAAATTCACGTAGGCGTCATGTTCACAAATCAGCCTCGCCGTTATATCTCGCGTAGCATGCCTGGAGCATATATTTAATGACATCGCTTTTGATCAACATGTGTTAAACTCACCACAAGAGAAAAGAACATTACCAGCAAAACAAATTGTCACTTCAGAAATCAATACCGTACTTGGACATACCATCCATACAACAGGTCCCGTCATCTATACTCAGCATGTCCAAGATCGTCACGGTCATCGGAGCCACTGGTATCCAGGGTGGCTCAGTCATCAGAGCGATTCTCAAGAACCCCAGTTATACCATCCGAGCTCTCACCCGCAACGTGGAAAGCTCTGCCGCTCTAGCCCTGAGAGCTCTTGGTGTCGAGGTTATTCAAGGTGATATCAACGACATCGACTCCCTCCGTGTAGCCTTTGACGGCAGCTACGCCATCTTCGCCGTAACCAACTTCTTCGAGAATATCCCCACACTGAGCATCAAAGAAGCCATGGAGAAAGAGACACGCCTAGGCATCAACCTAGCAGAAGCGGCCGCCTCGACAAAATCTCTAGTCCACTACGTATGGTCGACTTTACCCAACTCACGTAAGAATACCAGCGGTACCGTCGTAGTCCCCTTCTTCGAGAGCAAAAACGCCGTCGACGAATACATCAAGACGAAGCAACCGGAGCTGCTGGCCAAAACTACCTTTCTCCGCTTAGGCTGGTACGCAAGTAACATGGCATACCCGTGGTTCAAGCCCAGCAAAATACACACTACAGATAGCAGTAAAGTCCATCTCCAGGTCATCAGCATGCCACCCTCAGTCACTATACCGCTCCTCGGTTGCGAAAAGGTAAATGTAGGCCTCTTCGCAAAGGCTATCCTCGATCAACCGGAGAAGACGCTGCCAGCCGGGACCGTGGCGGGTTTTGCTGAGAAGATGTCGTGGAAGCAGATGGTACATTTTTATGCAAAGGCGCATGGCATCGAGGTCAGATGCGCACGCATCTCCAGAGAGGACTACCGAGCACTTTGGCCAGTGTGGGGTGAGTTGATGGGTGCGGCGAATGAATACTACGAGGTTATGGGGCCTGGGGGCATGCTGGGTCGCGACGAAGAGGAAAATGTACTGGGGAGCGAGGAGCTGGGTGTGCAAGGGCTGGTGGGGGTTGCTGATGCATTTGCTAGGATGAAGAGTCTCGATTGATATGTATGTATATTCAGGAAGTGGTGATGGATATACTGGTTGCGAAAATGGAAAGGCTAGAAGATCAAATACAATGGTTCTTGTTTGCTTAGGTACCGCCGCGAACTTGGGATTTGTTATGAATACAGCATCTTCTACAGTATTAAAGATAATCTTCTAACAAGACATACGAAGACCATGTAATGGTATGCCTACCACAAAGACTCCATGAGTCAATTTTATCCCAATGTGCATTGTAGGCCACAACAGCAAGAGACCGTCTGCCGAACTAGCGCAGATCCTTCAGGACGCCAGTTGCACTCCAAAATGTAGATACGAGGAGAAATGCAGTTGTGAGCGCAACCGCAGCTCCCTGAAGATCATCCGGATGCTTCCATTGCCACCAAATCCACACACCAAAGGAAATGCAAAGAATAGCAACGTGGAGCGCAATCACACGAACACCAGACACAACATATCTCGCTCTTATACCCCAAACGTGCTCGTCTCCTTGGGCGCGCTGTTCCAAAAGCTTCTTGTACTTTGGAATCTTATCGACGATATCAACAGCGGAATCTTCCACTGTGCGGCACTTGTGTGGCATGAGCAGAGATGACAGCCAGCAGGGATCCAAGCAAAGTCGTACATAGACTTCAAATTCGTGCTTGGTGATGCCAGGCTTATCTCTTGTCGCGAGCGGCGGCCTCGGATCATATTCGTAGTCGCTAGATGTGGGCAGATCTGCTTCAAGATCGATGGTCTGAGGGGGAAGTAATGGCAGTCTTTTGAAGCGGAGAAATTCCCAGTAGCTTATGATGCGGAACGAGAAGTAGTGTCGAAACCAACCCCTTATCTCGCGGTGTCTTCTTCCAAGGTTTCGTAGGAAGGCAGCATCGCTCACCAAGTGGAGACCGCCAAGTTGATCTAGCTCCGTTGAGGTCCATGAGCCATCCACCCCAAAATTAACCCACAGCTGCTTGTTGTACGCCGAGTTGTTTACCAAGGAGCTTTGCGTGGTCTGAGCATTAGCGGATGTAGGCTGCATAGGTATATTTCCTCCTGCTTGCGAAGTAGCACTAGCTGCACTACTTCCGGGTGATGACTGCATCGCCTGAGTTCCGAGTGATGGGGCAGCTCCGCTGGAAGGTGCAGAACCGTGAGCACCAGAGGTGACATCTCGATTTGGTTGGCTGGCTGGATTTTGAGAACCACCAACGACCCAGATGAAGCAGGCTGTAATTAGAGTCTGCAAACAGGAAGTATTCTTTTTATCTCGGAGTAAAGCACAAAGTGGTCGAGGATGATTGTCAGCAGAAGACTCGTTGAGAATCTCGTCTAAAATCTCTTGTTGCTCCAGTCTCAATTCTCTCCATCGGTGCATTCCACAAAACTATCCAGTTAGCATCGAGCTTTGCGTAGAAGTGATAGACTTACACACTCCCAATAAACACGCGTTTCACTGGGTTTCAGTGGTCTCATTCTAGGCGATAGTGGCCACCAATCCCATTCCAATGCGGTGATCTCCTCGAGAAATCCCTGAACTTTTGACAGAAGACTAACTTCGGTTGTTGTTACATATGTGATTTTGTTTCTTGGTATTGGTAACAGCTCTTTCAAAAGTCCAGGTGGTAAGAGAAGCTCTTTGAAGCTGGCCAACATATCTTGGAAAGGTTGTCCTTCCACAAGCTTCTGAACAACAAGGTCTAACCTCGGATACTGGGCAAAATCAGATATGTTTTCTTCCCCATCTGACTCGGAATCACTGTCGTCATCACTCTCATACTCTTTACTTGTGTCTGCTGAGTGGACCGCCTGAGTATCGATAATGGTAGAGGAGACGATGGTTCTATCAAGCCAACGTTCCACGTTTGTATAAGCTTGCTTCTCCTGATCACGTAAATTGGCAAGCTCTTCCTCATTCCAAGAGCTTTGCGGAGCTACGTGTCGGGCTATGATCATCCTGGCAATCCTACTTTGGCGTTGCTTAGACCTCAAAAGTTTTGCAAGCTGACGTGTGACATTTGAATTGTCGGATGCTACGAGATTCCCATGGAAAGCCTTCAGTAAACGTCTGAAGTTGTTGATAAATCGTTCTTCTGGCATAAGTTGCAGCGCCTTTGAGTACAATGGAGAAAGGACGGAGCTCTTAGCAAAAACACCAATCATTATAAGTTCCGTCTCGCTAGCCCACGATGGCAAAGGCATTGACGCGCTGGAAGCCGTGTCGCCTTCTTCGGAAACGAGCGACTGAACATCGACGTCTTCGAACTTCTGTTGCTGAACCTGAGTATCGAGAACTCGATGGGATCCTCCTAAATTGACTTTTGTCATGTCATCCCATTCTTCTCGATCACTAGTCGAGTTGACGTATGTATGACTGTTCTTTGTAGAGCTGATGCTGTCATCAGCCGAGGTAACCTGAGATCCATCGACGTTCTTTCTTCCGAGAACATGAGAATTGTCGCCTGCTTCAGGTAGTAGCTCTCGAAGATCTGCATGACGAAGGATGTTGTTGTAATCATCCCCGCTTCTATCAACTTTGGTGAATCTTTCGAGCAACAGCTTTACTGTTTGCCTGTGACCATTCCTCACAGCGGCAACGAGCGCATCGCACGACTCTTCGTTGCGAAAGTCCACGTCTGCGCCCACCTCGAAGAGCAACTGCACGATCGCTGTATCGAGATTCACTATGGGCTCCCATAAGAGACTCTCAGGACCAAAACTATGCCCGATAACGTGGACATTATTTCGGTGCATGATAGTCTCTAGAGTGGTAGTATGACCTTCTTTGATGGCCCACCTACAAACTGTGTCGACCAGTGAAGGCAAGTTCTTGTAGAACTCCGACAAATCCCACTCAGGGAAGAGACATGTAGATTCCCAGCCGTCGTCGATCCTTAGTAAAGCCGCAACAGTGTCTTGGATAACCTCTGCTAGAGACTTTGTATAGTCTGGATGTATCGCTTGGGTATGTTCGTCTCGACAGAGACCAAGTAATGCATAGATCCTATCCCTGGGGTCGGCCGCCTGACCCCCCTTGAACTTCAGTAGGATTGTACTGAAATCTGGGTCCTTTGCCCACCAGGAGTACTTCCGTCCAGGTCCTGGCATGATATCCATGATTGCTTGACAGTAAGAATCGGGTGTCACACCTAGCAGAGATGGCGTGACCACAAATATGGGAGATGATACTGTCTTCAGGCCGCACGCCACTTCAGCAGACCGTGCGTTGACGACTTCTGGAATAATCCATACTCTTTTGAACCAGGGTCGAGACAGGACGTTCTCCAAGCCCTTGCGTTGTTGCAAGAGAAGATCTGTGTGCGCATTTCCAACAATAGACCACATCTCAAACCACCTTCTGTCTAAGGATTCCCAGCTCTTGTATGGATATCTCTGTACCCATTTCTCCAGACGTTGCATTGAATGAAACAACACGTCAGTCTCAGGTGTCTGTTCACCCAACCAGATGATTACTCTCATGGCTCTTCGGAATATAGTTCCCATTTGTTGTACTTGGTGAGCTCGCTCTCGTACGTTGTTAACATCGACGGAGATTGCGTCTATCCATAGGAATCGGTCTATGGTTTCAGAACGTAGACTTAGTAGCGCTATATGTAGATTCCATCCAACTTTGAAGTGCTGTCCGTCCACATATACAGTGTGTCTTGTATCCTGATGCCCCCATGTGTACGATAAGGCCTCATACGGAATGCAGTCATTTTCATCAAGATTTGTGTGAATAAGGTCAATTCGAATAGGGCTATCCTTGCCTGAAATAAGACGAACCAAGCGAATGGTCGCATTGCTTCCATCTAATGGTTCATATTGAAATGTCATCATAGATGACATGAGACAGGTTGGACGTTCGATCCGTAGAATCGATTCGAGAGGATACGTGCGGGATGTATACAGGATATAGCGATAGCGCTATAACATCTTAGCACCGACCCTTGACAAAATTCCAGCGCAGCAGTCAGCTCACCAGGAACTCCAGCTGTAGACACGATACTCAAAGGCTTTGCAGGTCGAGTAAAGGTTGTTGTGTACTGTCGGAATCAGGAGAGCAGGCTGTGGCTGTGCTGGAAGATCAGCCGAGGCCAAAAGAGGCGCCTGTCCAAGTAGGTACGATAGGTACCACTTGTGATTAAAAGAGAAGATTCGAAGCTGAAGCGTAAAAGTTGCGAAAGGAGCCCATGAAGTTCCTCTAGAAGTTGTTCGAATGAGCAATAGACGACTGAAAGCTTCCCGAAAAAGAAGGGAGGAATTGGGACGGCTCAAAAGTCCAGCAGGCTGAGGACAAAAGCAGGCTATGCACATGCAGCTCAGCCTTCAACCCCTCAGTGCTTGGCACAAACGCCACACATGGCGATGCCTAATGCATGGAATCTTCCAGCCACTTGCATCTCGTAAAGAAAGTATCATAACCCTTATGAACAGTAGGCTGTGATGAGGGAGAAAACGGGGTACTGGATTAGGCGGCAACACTAGTGTGGAATGTTGAGCAAGCCCCACATGTACAGGGTAAGACCGATGAACCGAATGCATGAGCGAGCGATGTAGAACACATTGTAATATATGCCATTGTAAACTCCAGATTCTTTCTTCATTCATTAGATGGGCTGGTAACTCAGTGGTAGAGTGCAGGACTGCAGCTCACCAACGGACGAACGCAGCAATTACATTTCGGTTTATTCCGATAGAAGCCTAGGCAGCGGCAAGTTAGTATACACAAGAAGAAAAAGGAAGAAAGTAGGAAACGTGTGCTTTTTCAGTGATTCTGCATTATTCTAAACAATCAGTATGGTATCATCCGGCCATAAACCCCCCTCGTCTAGCCCGGCTAAACATCCGCGTCCCTCAACCCCCTCTTAAACCTGTCCAACGCCCTAGCCTTCGTCTCCTTCCAATCCACATGCGGTTTCGGGTATCCCAACTTCTCGAATTCGCTCTTCGATAACCTCGCATAGGGAGCAAAAACCGCCTTGCCCTGGACATCTTTGAGTTCCGGCACCCATTTCCGAATGTAATCGCCATCAGGATCGTTCCTCTCGGCCTGAGAAACAGGGTTGAAGACGGTGTATGAAGGCTCCCAGCCTTGAGTGTTGTTGGAAAGGTCCCAATCGATGAGTGTTTCGGCAAAGTATCGTTCGCCGCGGCGGTAGTCGAGGAGGAGGTTGCAGTAAAGGTAGGAAGAGACATTCATACGTAGCCGGTTGTGCATGTATGCTTCGGCGTTGAGTTGGCGCATTCCGGCGTCGATGAAAGGTTCGCCTGTTTCGCCTTTGTACCATTTTTCCCAGCCTTCTTCGTCGTCTTCCCATTCTACTGCGTCGAACTTGAGATTTTGCGGCAAATTCATCGAGGTATGGGGTGTCGTCAGGGTAGTCTGTCTGTACAATTCTCTAAAGACGATTTCTCGGACCCAGCCGTACACGCCGTTGGATGCTTTGGCTTCGGTGAAGTCGGTACTGCCGCGGTTGTAATCCACAACCTTCTGCAATGCTTCGCGCACCGAAAACATACCCGCGCTGAAGTAGGCGGACATACGAGATGTGCTGTTGGCGGCAGGATTGGAGCGTGTGGCGGCGTAGTGATCAATCTGCTTGAGGAATGCATCCATGCGTTTTGCTCCCGCAGCATGACCGGCAGGCCACAATTTTCGTATCCTCTTCTTGTCTTCTTCCGACTCGAATAGCTTGTCTTTTGCTGGTTCTGGTGCAGGTGTATCGAACAAATCCTTGAGTTCCTTCTTTGCAGACGATGGATTCGCGGCAGGCGGAGGGTTGGTATCAAGCAGCTCTGGCTCGTCCTTCAGCTTCTCAAGCCAGGCTTTGAAGAATGGCGTAAAGACCTTCATCGGTGTCCCGGTGCCTGTGAGCATTGTGCCCGGTTCGACAACTGTCTGGTCATGGTACAACGAGACTTGGATACCGTCGCCAGCTGTTTTGCATAGCTTCAGATCTCTCCGCATCTCGTCAATCTCATATTCGAAGTTGCCAAACACATGTGAAACCTCCTGCTTCTTCAACCACTCCACTGCTGTTTCCACAATCTTCTTTCTGTCCTTGCATTCCAGGAAGACTAGCGGTATGTTCAATTCCTTCAGCTCTTTCTGCATGATGCGCAACCCCTCACACATAAAGTCCACTCTTGCAGGGCTGGTCCCATGCCATGATTCGTCCGCAGCGCAGTTGATGTAGAAACATACTAAAGGTTTCTTCGCGCTTTGGGCAAGCTCGGAAGCATGATGCAGCGCGGTATTGTCTTGAATGCGAAGGTCTTTGGGACGGAACCAATGCGCTACTTTACTCACGTCCTTGAGCTCATCTTGCGCGCCGAGAGCTTCCTGAACTTGATCGTATGGCAGATCCTCTGGGGTACGGAATCAACGTATGTCTCACCTGCATTTTGTTCAACCATAACTTACCGTCTACCTGTTTTGCGCGCTTGAGAGTCGTATGTCCGAGTTCGGAGCGTTCGTATGATGTTCTCTTGGACATTTTCGTAGGCGACTGCGATTTGTTCGGCTTCGCGGAATTCTTCGGCGATGCTCTACCTAGGAAAGGTGTCGCGTGTCGAAACGTGCGGATCGGTAGCTGTACTTCGACACTACCACGTCCAAGTCGAGTACCTGACGGCCCACAGAGAGTTTGCGATAAAAAGACGCGTTTGGAGTAAAACATTAAAGATGCGCTATGCGCCTAGCGGTGTCTATGTACCTGATCATCAATAAACCTTAGATCAAAGGGTAAGTGGTGACGTCGGCGGACCACCCAACTAGAGCCGATCAAGGCGTTACCCTGATGGACACCTGGCGTCGAACACCAATCGAAGGCATGTCTATCGTCGTTTCGGACGCGAGATCTGGGAAAGATCCTTGGTTCCCGCTGCGTGTCGCGATCTATAGCCGCTTTCTGGGGTTTCTGTGCTTTCCATAGGGCTGCATTTGGTCCGTAGCATGCCTGGGCAGGGGTTTCCGAACGGCGACTGTGGGTGTGAGCACGCGACAAGCTACATTGCTGTTGCGCAATGTCAATGCGACCGAGGTGGTTCCGCTCGGATGCGCTCGATAGATAAGGAATGGACGAAGCTGTCAATTTGGAGTTTTGCTGGTTTGACAGGATGACGGCGGGCGAACCATGCCAGCTGGGCACGGTGCTCGATTGCTGGCACGTGACGCCGGACCTGACTTGACCTTGGAATTGTGGTCGAACCATCCCATGGCTGTCTTCCTCAACCTCACCGGCACCATATCTGTTGACAAGCAAGGCTAGCAAAGCTTTTTCGAGTCGTGTCGCCGGCCGTCACTCTTATGGCGAATAAGATTACGCCGTGCGGAGCACACAGCGTGCATCGAAATTCCCGGCCGCTCCCAATACCCCATTGCCAAGGAGAAATCTACGGAGAAACCGACTTTGGATCCCACGAAAGAACCATTACACAGCGAATCAGACTACAGCTGTCCGGAACGTGATGCCAAGTGAGACCAAGCCACGCCAAGCCCTCATCCTCCAGCCCTCCAACAATTGGTAGAAACGTGCATGTCTACCCCAATCCGGCAGCTCGTTAAGATCCTTAATGATGACAGTGGCTCATGGCGCGGACCAAGCCAGCGGAATGCGGACTGGGTCCAGGTAGCTGGAGTCGTCTTCTCGAGCAGTAAGAGCGCTGCGTTATCGCACGAGGGACGGGTAAACGCACCTTAACGCGCTTTGTACTGCATAGGAAGACATGCCGCTGGCATTACATGTGGATCCTAGTAGCCTGATATGCGGGATATAGTATTATTTACCTGGTTGCATGTATGCAGGTCCGGGGAGCTCTGCATGCTTATAAAGGTTGGGAGAACAGCTTCCCAAGATGCTGGTTCATCGCACTTTTGAGAGCCTTGCCCAATTACCGAACTCTCAATCGCGTTCGTTATGAAGTGTACTTGCTCAGCTGTCGTGGCTGCGGCCCTTTTGGTGGGATCTGTCTCCGCGCAGACATTCCGCCGTCTGGGAGCTTGCCCAACGCTTGGTTGCGTTTTCCCTCCTGACCAGTAAGCATGCAAATTGTATGAGGTTAGGATACACAATTGCTAAACAATAATTCAGGGCCGACTTTCTCGCTGGCCAGTACTTTGATATCCGTCTGGAGGTTCACCAGCCCAGAAATGGATCCGAGTTCATCGGTCTACCTCTGGACGAGCAATTTACTTTCACTCTTGGAAAGAAGGGCGAAGAGGCCAAACCAGTGACAGAGTTCTTCAACCTCGAAGAACCAAAACTGGAGAAGTGGAACTTCACATGGTACGAAGACCTGTTCGCTCGCGACGCGAAGAAGCCGTCCCTCGTCAATGTCGCAGCCAAGGCGTACCGTCGCATTGCTATTTACGAGCCTGGCGAGTACACTGCTACTCTCAGCTACAACAACGGCAGCAAGACGGAAGCCACCTGGCTCGTTCGTGATCTGGCTGAGGAACGCAAGGCGAAGAACATTGTTCTCTTCATTGGTGACGGAATGACTACGAACATGATTACTGGTTCGTCGCCCGTATATGCTTTTACTCGTGAATACAACAAGCGTTCTAACCTACATGTTCACAGCTGCTCGTTTGATCGGCCACAAGCAGATCAATGGCAAATACCAATCCACCATGGCCATGGACAAGTTCCCTGTCGTTGGTCACCAGATGACCCACTCGATCGACAGCTTCATTACTGATTCCGCCAACTCCGCTGCTGCGCTCAACACCGGTCACAAGTCAACGGTCAACTGTTTGAACGTCTACGCGGTACGTGTTGCAGAATCCTTCTGATCTGACAATGCGCTAGCATTTTACTGACAGATGGTATAGGACAGCAGCAAAGATCCATTCGACGACCCAAAGGTTGAGAGCATCGCTGAGATCTTCCACCGTCTTACAGGAGGTCACGTGGGTATCGTATCGACTGCCTACATTGCCGATGCTACTCCTGCTGCTTTGGTGTCGCACACCCGTCTTCGTAGCCAGTACGGTGCTATTGTTGATACTTACCTGAATGGTGTCCAGAACTACACCTGGACCAAGGTTCCTCTTGATGTCATCTTCGGTGGTGGCGCCGAGCAGTTTTACCCGTCTGAGCTTGGAGGCGTTACCTACCAGGACAAGAACTACTACGATGAGTTCGCCGCGCAGGATTACCAGATCATCCAAAACCGCACTGCTCTCCTGTCTGCCAGTAATGAAGACAAGGCTCTCGGTATTTTCACCACCTCCAACATGGCCAAGTGGCTCGACCGCAACGTTTACCGTGACAACCTCAACCAGTCGCTCTCCCCCACCGGAGACGAGACACCCGCTCTTGACCAGCCCGGTCTCAAGGAGATGACTCTCAAGGCCATTGATATCCTCGAGGCCCGCTCTGGAGACAAAGGATGGTTCCTCATGTCCGAAGCCGCCAGCATCGACAAGATGATGCACGCCCTCGACTACGACCGTGCGCTTGGTGAACTTCTCGAACTCGACGACACGGTAAAGGCCACTATTGCCCACCTCAACTCCACAGACTGCCTCAAGGAAACCTTGATCCTCGTCACAGCCGACCACGGCCACGGTTTCGACGTCATGGGTTCAGTCGACACCCACTACCTAGCAGCGCAAAACGTCGACCGCAAGAAGCGCGACGCAGTCGGCACCTACGAGCAATCCGGTGAATCCCAATACATCAACACCGGCAACCTGACCTACACGGACTGTAAGCATCGCCCCTTCGAACTGCATGCGAGACACGTACTGACTTTTCTAGCCAACTTCCCGTCCAACTGGGACCCGCGCTACACGCTCTTCCAAGGCCTAATGGCCGACCCCGATCGCCGCGAGAACTGGTCCGTCCGCAAAGATGGACCCCGCACTCCCGCCGTGGAGCTTGAAGAAGACAGCGGCGACAACTACGCAAACCCCGAAGATGGCGAGGGCGGTATCCTACTCAACGGTACTCTGCCCATTGAGAACGACCAGGGTGTGCATTCTTTGACTGATGTGGTAAGTATCTCTGTACCAACCGCACGTGAGACATACACTGACTTTATATACCCGTATCTAGCCTGTATATGCCATGGGCCCTTGCAAGGAGTTGTTCCAAGGGACGTACAACAGCATTGACATCTTTTACAATATGGCTGAATGCTTTGGATTGGGAAGGGGCGAGCCGAGTGCTGAGAAGTAGGGAGAAGTTTGAGGTGCATTGACGACGGGATGAATGATATTGTAGTAGTAGTAGTAGTAGAACGTATGACTACACTTAGTGTAGCTATAATGAATGTTTAATCATGGACCGAGCATCTGAGAAGAGTATTATGCACTCCTGAGCAGGCTGGACTTGTCCTAAACTACTGCAATAAACTAAGTAGGTGCGCTACAATGAAAAGCGAATGGCTTTTAATTTTTATGATTGTCAGATTTGCATACTTATCTTCCTTCGGCAGCTGTTGGCTACAACGAAGTGGCTAACTTATCTTCTCTGTGCTTGTTAGACCTTTTTGCCATGGAGGGTAGTTCAGACATTGAATCTTGCTAATGGCTTTTATCAAGGTTTCACAATTTGATATTGAGAGTGATACACTTCGTAGCATCACAAGATGCACGGCTACAACTCTAAGTTTCACGTGATTACCGAGAGTACCAGAACACGACTACTCCGCCAGATGTACACATTCGAAGGGAAACACAGACACATGAAGCATGGGTGGATCGCGATCATAACATCATTATGGATATATTAAACAAGTCGTAGCTTTCATGCGTATCACGTTCGTTTTCATCATACCGCGCAAAAGTGTATTATTTGCTTGGATCGCATGCCATTGGGACCTTTCGCACCATGCTTCATCATGGCCAACCTAGAAGATTTCCCCGTGCATACTAAGGTTTCCACGGGTATCTGTAACGTCCGTCTGGCCCGTAACGAACATAAGGCTCGGTTTCACTTGAATGCGATCATTAGCGCCATACGGTGGAATCTATGTCACTGCGTCGATGGCGGTGTGCTCTCACAACTCCCGCCTATCTTTAGCCAGCTCAGCCTGCTGGCGCAGATTCGGCGCTGTCGTAGTGCCTTCGCCGCTCTGGACGCCCTGCTCCATATCGGCAGCCCACAAGGCAGCGCCAACAGTGTTTGTGAAGGAGAAGAAGATACCGGCAATGGGGATAAGCTCGAGGAGGACAGCGGGGATACCAAAACTATGAAAGGTCAGCGAGTTGGCTTTCAAGTAGACATGAGTGGGCTAACCTGGCATACGCAGCCTTGCGCTGCTCAATGAAGCGCTCCTTTTCTTGCTTCTTCATCTGCTTGAGCTGAAAGTAACGAGCATGCGCCGTCGGGCCAAACTTGCGTCCCTGGAGAATGACAAAAAGTACGGTACCGACAATCGGGATGAAGTTGAGCGGAAGGTACATGAAGTATCGGATGATGGCGCTGGGTGCGAACTTTGCAAACGGCTTGGTGACCAGCTTTCCCAGCTTGGCAACAGGGTCGTTTCCTGACTTTACCTGACGTTCTTTCGAAACCAACGTAGTCTGGTTGCGGCTGACCAAGGTCGAGTCAAACGTGTCAATCAGCGCTTCATCGATGAGAAAGTTCTTGCTCAAGACGGAGAATATAGTAGAGGATTCGCTGAGTACGAGCAGAACGGTGGTGAAGACTGCGAGTGGTCCGTTGAATAGGGTGAGAAGTGCAACTTGGGGAATGTAGGTGACGGCGAACATCAGCACGGTGACACCGAGACCGAGTGAGACCGTGGGGACGAGTTTTGCAGCGAGAGGCTTCCATAGCGCACGATGTGTGAAGAAGTAAACAATACCCTTTGGTCATGTTAGTGTTGTTTTCAGATGCTATTGCGTGCTCTGCTCGAGATAGCTCAAGAGCACTTCATGGTCTCTTGGGATGGTAGCACATTGCTCGGTGACTTTCGCAAAGGAAGCTCACTGTCGCGTCATCACATGAGCGGAGCCAGCAAGACATTGTAGACGACAAGATTTTAGACGCGTACCTTGAAAGGGTAGAGATATGCGGCCGAACGGACAGCTTCTGAAGCGAGCTGTCTGGCCTGGTTGAAGTCTTCCTTGGCGACTTCCTTGACCTTGTCAGGCACTCTCATCCTGGACTCGGACATGGTTGCAGCGGATAGATCGGAACGTTTGAGGAGATTAGGAATTGAGAAACCCGTGTTGTGCCGTGATGGAAGAGAAGTGGTGATCCCGTCCCTCACCCACTTGTCGGTGGGGTGAAGCTCTCGAAATCTGGGAAACTACGTCATAATCGCGTATTTGGTCCAAGCTCCAATCGACCAACGCGGACCTCAATCCTGCGTGCCTGCAACGTGTTTGCAGCACATAACTTGGTATTTTCGAGGACTGCAAACTATGATGTTGGTAGACTTTGGTTAGATTGAGATCGTCAATAGGAGATGCTGTGAGTGTAGCTGATCAGTACATAGTACGTCACATTGAGCTGGTTTTACGCGTTCGCTTTGGAGTGCAGGGAATCCTAGGGAGTCGCAATGTCAGAGCAATCTGCTGTCCCGTCGATGCTGCAATAGTCCACCTATGGGCGACAAATTAAGAACGCGTTTCCAAGGCATCAGGCTAGCAAGGAGTGCAGGTCGGATTCCAACGCTTCTAGGCCCTTAACGAGGTATCCACTATGGCTGTTGTGCCTTGCTTAACAGGTAACTGTGGCGGTGTCACCAAGGTTTTACCACAGGAGATCTGCTACCAACACGCGTCAAGTACCAGAAATTTGATCCAAGGCAGTGTAAATCAGGAATTGAAGACGTGGCTAAGCTTTCCAACTTCCCCACCTTTTCATGCACCGGATCGCGAAATGACGCAGCGCCGGGCGCGTGCTAGTCCCCACCACAACCGAACGGGATATCTGCTAGCTGCATCCGTTGCAAAGCCCCTCATTGAGGGTCCAGCTCTCCAGTGGCTGATGTAATTAGCCAAATCCTGTAGCAGTCGCAGACAACAAGGCACGCCACAGCAGGAATAAGCTGAAGTATACAGGGAAAGAGAACCGAACCATTGCCGATTGGGGATTGAATTGGTCACGTTTGACGGAAACATCCAAGTTTCTTATGACGCGCGAGACAAGCCGGAGCGGGTATCCACCTGTGGCGGTGCTGGGAGACGGTATCCAGGAAGGCGGAGGTAGGGATGATGGAACATGATTGACCTTTGTACAATGTCTGCTGATGATGCTAGACATGACGTAGGACCATGGGTCTCTCACTCTTTCCATCACCTGTACTGTATATAAGAGACCATCAGCACTTGCTTTTGTTCAGCATCTAAACAACAACCACTCCAACAACCCAATACAACACTTCAATCAACTCCAATCCAACCAAACCAACCACACTTATACCAATACAACCTTTACACCACAAGCAAGCATGTCAGGAGTAATGGACAAAGTCAAGGCCAAGGTCGACCAGGTGATGCACAAGGACAAGACCCATGGTAAGCTCAGTGGGATACCTTCAGTATGAACAATTGCTTACACAACGCTAGATGATCCTACTGGCCCTCACAGCTCGCACACTGCCAACACTGCCGACCCCACAGTACACAACACCTCCAGCGCTACCACTGGCACTGGTGGCTTTGCTGGCGACCATCACAGCTCAGGTGTAAGCAGCGGTCTTGGTACTTCAGGTACCCACGGCCAGCACACTTCCACCCACACCGGTACCTCAAACCCCCTTGACCGCAACAACGACGGCAAGGTCGGAGCTAGCGATCTTACTGGCAGCCACTCCAACACCACCCACGGCACCACTGGTCTTGGTTCATCAACCACTCACGGTACCTCGAACCCCCTTGACCGTAACAACGACGGCAGGGTAGGAGCTGGCGACCTGACTGGCAGCCACTCCACCACCCACGGCTCTACTGGCCTTGGTTCATCAACCACACACGGCACCACTGGTCTCGGTTCGTCAACAACACATGGCACTACCGGTCTTGGTTCCTCCAACACTGGAGCTTACGGCTCTACCTCCCACAACGACCCCACTGGACCTCACGGTTCTCACATGATGAACAAGGCCGACCCAAGGGTCGACTCTGACCGCCTTGGAACCGCTGGCAACACTGCTGGTGCAGGTGGTTACGGTGCTGGACAGTACACTGAGGGTACTCACGGCACCCACGGCACCACTGGCAGCGGTCTTACTGGCCACTCAACCACCGGCACTGGTCTCGGCCACACTGGTGGCCACGGTACCGCCGACTTCAACGACCACAACAACTCTGGCCTTCACAACACACGCATCGCCAACCAGGTTGACCCTCACGTTGGCGGTGTCGGCAGCACTGGAACTGGCGCATACAACACCACTGGCTCAGGTCTGACTGGCCACAACACTGCCGGATCTGGACTCACTGGTCACGGCACCACCGGTACGCACAACCCCCTCGACCGCAACAACGACGGCAGGGTCGGTGCTGGCGACCTGACTGGTAGCCACTCCAACACCCACACCGCTGGCGGCATTGGCAGCACAGGCGGTCTCGGCCACTCCAACACTACCCACACTGGTACCTCAAACCCCCTTGACCGCAACAACGACGGCCGTGTCGGAGCCGGCGACTTGACCGGCAGCCACTCCAACACCCACGGCTCTACTGGACTTGGTTCAGGTGGCCTCGGCCACGGTGGCAACACCCACACCACAGGTGAGCACACCAAGACCGTTCCTGGTGAGGTTGGCGGATCAGGCCGGGATAACTTGGCACACCGTAACAACGAGACGGGTGACCTGCCCAAGGCCCTTGTCGAGCCTGTTTCTGTCGCCGAGCCCCACTCTTCTCTGCAGAATGACCAACACCACTCAGGTCATGGCACTCACGGTACCCACGGTACCAGCGACGTCCACGGCAAGCCCTCTATGATGGACAAGCTGAGTAAGTTTACCCACGCGATTTGATTCGGTCGGAGCAGATATACTAACGATGGCTGTAGACCCCAAGAAGGACGCTGATCACGACGGCAAGGCTGGCATCATGGACTAGATTCCTTCTGCTCTTCTTACCGGCCTTCTCCCTCGAGACGCTGGGAGTTGGCTTGTGATATAATGATTCTCACGGCACGATCTTAACAGATACCCAAGTAGCTTAATAGCTGTATGAATAGTAATCCCTCGATTAAACTTTTGCTCCCTGATGCTATCCAACGTGTCGTTTACTGTTTGATTTCATTTTCAAGGCTAGGCATTACAATGTAAAGCAACACATCATTACCACAGCAATATTGCGCACGGCACCAAAACCTAACAAGCAAGTAGCAAGTTTCGACCCAGAAGCTAATTTGCATCTCCCTCTCTCCCTAACCCACACCATCACGAATCCTCGCTGTTCGCCATCTCCGCCATCCCCCTTCTATCCTCCGCACTCAACGAATTACTCTTAGCCGCTTCCTTCCACGCTTCCACTTTGCCAAACTGCTCGTCGCCCAACGCTCCCTTGAGCAACTTCAACAACTTGGGCGCAAACTTGCCCGTCGCATACACGACGCCGTCGTTCTGCTTCGCATAGAGCACGCTGACCAATGTCAAGAAAAGCACAGGCCCGTCTGAAGCTTTCTGCTTCTGCAGCCGGCGCAACATGTCAGCCAACATGCTTTGTTTGGCAGCAGCGAGAGAATCTGGTGACGGCGAGGCGATGCTTTGTTTCTTGTTGAACTTGTCTAGTGCGGAGGATAGGTACGTGGTGTCTGCACTCTTTGTGGCGTCTACTATGCTTGATAGTCGAGCGAGATTTTTCCGAGTCTTGCGGCTGAGGACGAGGCCTTGTGCTCGTGCTTTGGCCGTGGTGTCTGGAATCAGGTCTTTGTGTGCGTATGTAGCGAGGAGATCTCCGAGCTGGTCGTAAAGCTTTTGGTCGGTGATTGAGGCTAAGCCGGTGTTATAGACGGCCCAGCGGGTGAGAAGACGGTCTGTCCAGTACATGGCAAAGTCCTCTTCGTTAGGTGTTTCAAAGGCAGATATGGTGGACCAGAAGTGTTCTTCCAACGTCTTCTCCACGGGTCTTTGGTCGAGGAGAAGGCGCTGAACGAGGCCTGTTGGAGGAATCATGGCTTTGACTCTGTCCCGAGCGAATTTGATGTCTTCCGCTCGGGTGGGGTCGTCTTGTAGCCCTCGCCACTGTGCTTCTGCGTCCTCCTTTGCATAGCCAGAAAGTTCGTCTAGTGCTCCATCTCGTCGTGTCTCCGTGAGGATCAGGGGACCGACTCGCACTATCCTTGGCCCTTCGCTGTGTTGTGAGAAGCTGGCGATGATGGCGTCTTTGGCTTTGGCTGCTATGGTGTCTATTGTGCTTGGTGGAAGACGTGAGCCTATCACCTCGGTGACGTCAAGGGTACAACCTTCCTGCTCGAGGATGCGGATACAATCTTGCTCTACCTTTGAGACCCAGCTTTGTGATATGGCGAATGACCCTACCACGTCGATGTCCGAGAGCTGCTGAAAGTGAGACGATACGTCTTGGTAGGTTGGAAATAGCTCAGAGAACTCGAATGCAAACTTATGCAAGTCGAGATAGGCAAGTGCACCAGACTGCAAGTCTTGTACCGTAGTATCACGTTTGGTTTCTAGATATTGCTTAGGTGTGCATGTTACGCTATCGGCGTTTTCTTGGACATTGATTTTGGAGGCAAGGTCTTCGAACTGCATAGCTTTCTCAACAGTGTGAAGAATGAACCATTTAGGAGGGTTGTTATGCAGGTTTTCTGGTTTGATGACAACAGCTCTGCGGTGTGTTAGTGTCTGATGCACTGGAAGTGATGCTTGTACTTACTGAACATCGTTCAGCGCCTTTCTGACCATGCCCTTGACGGTTTCCATGATCTGATCAGCATAGCCTTTGGTGTAGAAATAGCCATCAGTTTCCAGAACTTGATCGTTTTGGTCGGACAAGAGGTAGTGAAGACTCTTGGGGGAGACATCGTGTCGCACAACGAAGTCGGCCTTGGACACAAGCCCTTCTGACAGCAAATCAACAGCTTCTTTCCCTATAGCGTCCCGCTCATCTATGGGAACAATGTTTTCTTCATCCGCGCTAAATATGCATAGTTTAGGATGATTCCTGACAAGTTGACGGACAAGCAACTGATCTATGTCAAGATCACTGGCCAGTGCAGAGAGCGAGATACGTTGCGTTTCTAGGACATAGCTTAGCGAACGCAACGGAAAGTGACTGGAAGAACCTACCCTTTGTTACGTGACTTCTGAACTGAGCTTGAACGAATTGAAGAGTAACAAATCCATGTCGACTAGAAGATAGCGCAAGTCGTGGAACAAAATCGGAAGTTTGCTGTGGGGGGAAGAGAGCAAAGATATCCTTCACATCGTTTTCCGCGAACATGTTACTCTCCTCTTCCTTGCGTGCTCTTGGCGGGGTAAAGTCCTCAATGCACGTTTGGCTTTCACGAGATGGATGGGGGAGAGTCGGAGGCAGGATGGCGCTGATTGGTGGCGAGCGGGGAGGGCGCGGCAGAACATCGGGATTTGAACAACCTCATCGATAATCATCGAGTGCTTCAAAACCCAGCAGCTCATTCCGCCATCCGCCATCATGTCTCAATTCCGCGCGGCCAAGCTCGACATTGGATGCTTCGCGAAGATCCGCAATATCCGCGACCACACAAAGCGGAAGGTGTACTCTGAGAATGAGCCCGAACGGTATGCGCCTCTGCGTCCTCATGTCGCGCAAGAACTGACGATGATACAGGCAAGCCCTCCGGTACATTATTCGCAATACCACCCTCCCGCAGCGAGTCCGCGCGCAAGCCCAGCTTCAACTCTCACAGATGCACTGCTACACACGCTACACACAGATCAAGAACAGGTGTATAATGGGAGGCAAGGGCCGTGGTGTCTTTAGCGACTTTAGGATGGGAAGAGTATGGGATGACATGTTCTTTGAGAAATACGGAGCTGACCATCTCACAGTACCAATTCCGAGTAAACGCCCTCGCTGGAAACCTACCGGGTGTGAAGAAAGCAAGCTGGTAGACTTACCCTGCTGAACAATCGATGGGTTACATGTACAATACGATGAGGCAGACATTTGGCATCGGGCGGCGTAATTGCGAGGAATATACATGGATCATGACACCTTTACCGTCTATCACCGTGCCTTCCGCTTCTAGCATTGTTTGCTCTCACCACGTGCTGCACGTACAAACGACGGCAGCGGCAACCTACGCCAGCAATAAAATTCTGACCCAACTAACCACCGCAACTACAACTTCCGTTGCAACGACGTTCCCAGGTTGCATTACTGGAGCGCCTGCTGCCAAGATTACTAACGTCCTACAATAACCCCAGCGCCTATACCACTATGTTCCGCCGTAAAGAGAATGCCCTGGAGCCAGACCCGTCTTTCCCAGCAAATCTCAAGGAACTCGGCTTCTTTATCAACAGCTCAGGCGATATCCGCATGATCAATGCGCCTGAAAAGCCCTACGTCTACCACGCCACAAATAATGACCGAGTCAATGAGGTCCGCCGTGAAGCCATGCAGAGCAAGTTCCAACTCTCACTGAGGCGACTCCAGCTAACTTATCAAAGCCTGTCAACGCAAGGAAGTGGAACAGCGTCTGTCTTACCTTGGCCTCAATTGTATCCACCTTCCCGACTTCGCCATGACCAAGCCCAACGGCCCGCATGTACCTATCCTTGCGCCGCTACCCGAGGTTCTCAAGACGCGTAAGCGCATCATCGTGCTGGTTAATGACACCATGCAGGATCTGGGCATCCTCGCATATCGGCAGCTGCAGCGAGAACTTGGTATCAACGGCGGTTCGGTTGTGAATTTTGTCAAAGAGATGATCAAACGCTCGTCTGCTGACAACGATGCCGAAAAGGACGCAAGCATCTTCAGAGACGGCTATGTGCTCGAAGACAAGGCTACTACCCCCGCCTTGATCGTATTGAATACGGGCCAGTTGCTCTACTCACACAAGTACGATCAGGCCATGACTTTGCGTAGTTGGTCTGCCATGCCACGCAAGTCAGTCGCTCACGACATGATTCGCATTCACGACGAGGAAAACCGTGTTCCAGGCCATAGAGATGCAAAGGAGCATGTCAAGACAGTCTTCGACCAAGTCATCTGCAATCCTGATCGTGTATCGGCCGATGCAGAAGTCTATGTCATCGCCATTGAGGATGGAACTGAGAGTGTTTTTAAGCTGCTGACCGACAACTGTAAGTACAACAAGTTCGTTTTCTATGATTTGGTACCCCAAGCCTCACAGCCTGCCCTCAAGGTATATATTGTTGCTGTCCCTTCAGAGTCGCAACGTCAGCCGCAATGTAGACCTTCATGGTACTGTTATGTTGACTGGACATGGCGCGCTAAAACTCGGAAATTTTGAACACAACAATACTGGGGACATCTGAAAGACAGAAGCTAACAAGCTATTGTAGTCGACAAGTACGGCACCCGTATCACCGCCATGGCATTGGTCCATTCCCTAGTTGACGATTCGCAAGTCAAGGACCGACGAGTCCGCGACTTCCTCCATCAGCGCGCCCGCCAGTGGAAATTCAGCGACCTCACATCAGATCCCCAGCACTGTACAGATCTACCCAACTCCTACGACCAACATGCTGACCAATGTGTCTCACCTAAAGACACTCCATCTATCATGCACTCAACCAAGCACATATCCTGGCACGAATCCATCTCCACAGGTGCCGTTCCAGTCCTAACAAAAGCCCTCAATCGTCTCGCCGTTAGCATCATCCCCTCCGCCCACAGCACCACCAGAAAAGAAGAAAATGAAGAGAAGATTGCAGAATGGTCCTCCGGTCAAGCAGTCATTTGCCCCACCTTCGCGGGCGGCAACAACTCGGTCAGCGAATGCATCTTCACATATCCCCCCGTCCAACACGCCATCCTCTCCTTCTTCCAAGACGTCGCCCAAGATCCATACCATTACCGCAACCCACCCGGCCTAAAAACCTACACTGCAGCTCCACAACCCAGTCCTGATCATCCCCTTGCGCTTTCCCCTATTAACAACAACGGTGACGACGACGACGAAATAGGAATAAATTTCGGCGCCCCAACCCTACAGATGACTCCCGAACAAGCTGAGCTAGAGGAAGCGCGTGAACGACTCGCCGGACTACGCGTAGCATTCACTGCGTGTCCAGACGGAATTTCAGAATTAGTTCAAGGTCGCGCGAAGCTAGGGAAGAAGATCAAGGTCATGGAAACTCGGGTTGAAGATCTAGAAAACAAGACCAATAAGGCGCTGCTGCTCGGTGGTGGTGGTGGTGGCGGTGGTGACCCTGGTGGCTTGATTGTTCCTGGGGGGGAAAGACAAGAGAAGGACCAGAAGAAGGGCGGTCATTGGAAGATTCAGGTTGAAGGGCCAAAGGTGCCATTTGCGGGGACGACGGTGGATAGCGAGTTGTTGAAGGCGGCGGGGTTGGTAGAGAGTGCGGAGGAGGGGTTGGGCTGGAGTGCTGATGCTGGTGCTGTTCAAGGTCAGCATGCTAGGGGTGGGCATGGAGATGAAGAAAAGGCCTTTGTCTGAATGGTAGCATTGGTGATGGTATATTGGCGGAGATGAAAGAAAAACGCTCGGCAGTCCCAACAGAAGACTAAAAAGCGCTTCTTTTCATTTTCAATCCTTCGTCCTTCCCACGCACACACAGGTTCACGAATAAAGGAACTCGTGTCTTAATCATGGAATGAAACATCTTGACAGATGTTTCCGTCAATCCCTCTAAATCACCCATCAAGATCGATCGAAGCAACCCACTCGACTTCCTCAATCGAAGTCCCTGATAGGAAAGAGAAAAAAAAACCCCCCCATAACAAGCATAATCTTACAGAACCCCCGCTATCACCCCTTTCCGCCATTCCCCTCCGCACTTTACAACATGTTGCCCACCAACGTCCAGACCTTTCCCAAGTGTGAAACCCACAACAACAACAACAACAACAACAACAACAGCCCATCAATCCCTCTTATCGTTATCTTCTGGCCTAGGCTCCGTACTCAACTGATTCCCATTATAAAACTGCTGTGGCTCTCTCCCACGCTGATCAGCCAGCGTCCTCACTCTCATGGTGTTTCCAGTGCCTGTGCCGGCTGAAGGCGGTTGCGGTTGTGGTTGCGGTTGCAGTTGATCGAGGATAGGATCATGCGTAGGTTCCTGGGTAGGTCTACTACCCACTGTTCTCCCACCAGCACCATTACTACTACCGGCACCGGCACCACCACTCCCACCCTCTTGTTGCGCCCCAAAGCCCATGACGGAACCAATCGTACTCCCCACCAACCCCACCGTACTCGACAAGAGACCAAATGCCCCACCCACAATCCCCGTCGCAGCCCCCGTTAACCCACCACCACCACCGCCAGAATACGCATCCGTATACCCCTTGACAGGAACCAGCACCAACGTCGCACTAGGCGCTAAATCAATCTCACCCAGCTCGACACTCTCGTCGCCAGCAGAGAGCTCGCGACTCGGCGCTGGAGCGAGGATATGGCGGAAAAAGTACGGGGGCAGTTTATTATTATGACCACCGCTAAGATTCTCGTCGTCTTGAGCCATTTTGCTAAATTCGGCGTCGATCCAAGAGCGGACGGTGGATTGTAGCGTAGCGGTGCGGGGGAATGTGGAGCGGATGGTACGGCCATCGAAGAGGCGGACGTTGAGGGCGACGGTTGCCGAATTCGAGCCTCGTGATGACGAGGATTTTATCGCTGTGGCTGGCGGCGACGACGGTGACATTGCATGGGAGGCTTGTGTCGCGTTTCTGTTCTTTTCCTTCTCGCGCTCTGCTTTGCGTAACGAGGCTTCTACTTTGCGCGCTGCTTTGTCGGCTTCGATTCGTGCTTTGATTCGGGCGAGTTCTTCGGCGTCTTCTCTCTTCTTCTTTCGTAGCGCGTCGCGGGCTTCCTGTTGAGCTTTGCTCGCGGATGCAGATGGAGCTGTGGGGTTCGGTTCTGGAGCTCTTTGCTTGCCTTTTGCTTTGGTCGACGACGGTGTGGGGGCTGGTACTGGTGCAGAGCGTGTAGCTATCGAGGGTACGGATGGGCCATAGAGATCGTCCTCCGCTTCTGCGTTTGTTGGGTTATCGCTCGGTTCCTGTGTGCTTGTGGGTGGTAGTGAGGACGATGCCGCGCTGGAGCCTGGTATCGGATTCGCTCCCAGTACCTGTCTTATCGAATTGATGAAGTCTTCCTTTGTCGCATCGCTCTTGAGTTGAACTTGTAGCTGCCCATTCTGGATGACGACGAAAGTTGGCACACTCGAAATGTCGGAGAAGGCAGCCAGAAAGCCTGCTTCGGTGGAGCCTGCCTCAAGTCGCAGGACGACGGCTTTTTGGGCGAGCAGATTCGATAGCTACATATTGAATCTTAGCGCATGCCTCGGGCGGGATTCCAAAGAGCTGCGTACCCATCCACTCTTCAGCCACTCTTCTTCCCACTCGTTGCTCGTTGCACCATCATCTATGCAGTTTATCAGTCGTGTCTCTCTCCACATTCCGACAAAGCACCTCGACGTACCTCGTACAAAGCAGGCAACGAGCTTCTGTTCCTGAATTGCAACCGTAATTCCGCTCTGCAAGGTGCCTTGGTGGAACATGGCTGTGGGTGGTTGTGCAGGGTGGGTGGGCCGAGTGGTGATTGTTCGCGGGGTGAAGCTTGGGGACGCGTTGGAGCTAGGATGGTGCCTGAAGCTCCATCTCCGCACTACCGCGGGGAATTAATCTACTTCTGCGGGTAGCACCCGAGGCCAAATGGGGCACGAGCATCATGGCCAGCTCCATTCACGTCTGATGCGCGCTGGGTGTGGGCCTCGGAAAGGGAAAAGATGCAATAAACAGTTCTATCGGTAATGCTAATCCTGTGATTCCTCCACGCCGAAGAAGAGTAATGTCGCAATAAACCAATGCTAGACTCGCCCCATATCCAACCGCACCAAGCCAGAAGATACTGCAGTGCATATGTTATTCCATGTAGATGGTGCGTATGCTGTATGCATCTTCTGCTCGCCTGTGACCTGGGAAGACGCCACATTCATTCCGCTATTCGTGCTGGCTTCCCATTGATGCCGTCCTCATACCATGTCCCAGATTAACTCGCATATTCAAGCTTTTGGTCCTTCCTCGATTACACCAAAACTTTGTCTCATATTCAGTCCTCTCTGCTTATAGGATAGTGCACTTCTTCTTGTTCTTCGTCGCCGACTGCTGAGGACGGGGGCTCAGGACAGCGCTGGGTAGTGTTAGCGCAGACATACAATGGGGCTTTTCTCGCCACATACCGAATCGCTTCATCAAAGACACTCTTCAGGTTGCGCTGTGTGAGCGCAGAGCACTCTAGGTACTTTTGTGCCTTGATCTCCTTTGCGACCATGACGGCCTGCTCGTATTGGATGGGCGCCATCTTCTTCTGCCTCAACGACTCCTTGGTCGCCTCGTCGTCCCTCAGATCGAGTTTTGTGCCGACGAGGATGATGGGCACGCCGGGCGCGTGGTGGTCGATCTCGGGGTACCACTGGTCTCTGGTCAGCGCGTGCCAAACACTCTTCCGTGGCTTGTCTTACCTTTGCTTTGACGTTGTCAAACGACGGGGGGCTGACAATGGAGAAGCAGATGAGGAACACGTCCGTCTGGGGGTACGAGAGCGGCCGCAGTCGGTCGTAGTCCTCTTGTCCGGCAGTATCCCACAGTCCCAAGCTTATTGGCTTTCCATCTACCATGACATTTGCGGAGTAGTTGTCGAAGCTGGGCCTGTTAGCTCAAGCTGGGGGACGCGAAGAGGGGAGGGAGACGCACACGGTAGGAATGTACTCTCCTGGGAAGGCGTTGGTCGTGTACGAGATGAGCAGACATGTCTGCGAGGTTAGCAGGTACGGACGCGGCCGTGGGAACGCGGTGTCTTACTTTGCCTACAGCACCGTCGCCGGTGACGACGCACTGGTGAACGGGTTAGCTTCCAAGTCGAGATGAGAGTACTCAGTCGCAGTCGCGCACCTTTAGGGATTGGGTCGCAGGAGCAGCCATGGTGCGATGTGTGTCGTCGGATTAGGGTGGCTTTGGGGGACCCTGTTCGGCTTCAGGATGGGGCTTCGGGGCAGCGTGAAGCGATTCGCCGAATGTTGAGACCCTGCACGGTGATGGAGTCAGACGCAGAACAGAATGCAGTGAGGTGGCGCTGGCGAGGTGAAGGACGCACCGTGGAGACTGCTCAACAACTTCCGGGTAGCTTCTGTGAAGGCGCGGGAGCTATCTGCAGCGTAGGGGGGCGTTTTATCGCTTGGCAGGCGGCGGGTCAAGAAGCGAGCTCGAAAGCTGGATGATATGCAGCATGCGCGAGTCGACACAGCGCGGGCCACTGGGTCTGGCGGGGTCTGAGTCGCGGATTTTAGATGAGTGCAGCGTGGGTGAGGTCGTCGAGATGATGATGATGATGATGATGATGATGATGGTGATGGGAAGAGACAGACATCCGTCAGTCAAGTAGCTTCGCTAGCCATCTGCCAGCAGGCGCGTACCGTCTTGAAACCAATTTGCAACACGCTTCTACCACGCCTGATAGGTACGGTGCACGGGTGGAACCATTTGCTGCCGCTCTAACAAGCCTCAAGTCAAGAACCCTCGGGACCAACGATATCTGGTGCCTGTCCGTGTCACGTCGCATAGCCCGGCGCCCCTCTGCGAATCGCGTCTGTCCAGACAGACACTGTAAATGTTTGGCAACCGCGTCTATCGTGCCGTCGCATCATGCAGACGACTAATGATTATTCGCTGCCTTCTAGCGTCGTGATTCGCCTGTAGCTGCATAATTCTGCTCGCCAGTGAGACCGTGCGGCCATGTGATTAGCCGTGCTAACTCCAACAACACGTGAATCCTACTTGATTATTTGATTAACTACACGCTAAATCGGGTATCTTTGTCGCTCTCTTCCAACGTCTTTTGTACCATCAATAGAAAAGGAACAATCCGTCGCCACCTTGCTTATCTTCCCCAACAAGCTCTTTCCTCAGAAGTAGCTTGATCACAGCCTCGTGCAAGTCTTTCATGTCAAGAATCCCGCGTTTCTTCTGGTCAATGTAGGAAACGTCAATCACGACTCGTTTCAGGTTTGCCGTTGATAGCGCTCCGTCTTCGAGAAGTGCGATCAACCGATCAGGTGTACCGACTCCATAATCGATTCTGCATCGCAATCAGCGTTGATAACCAGGTCGCAAGACGCACAACTTACTTGGTTTTCTTCAAATGCGCTACCTGATCTGGAAGCTTTAGATGCTTCGCAAACAATTTAGCGACATTAGGATTCTTGATACCCTGTTTAGGCAGACCAGACTTGAGGGATCGGCACACATCTGCGGCTCGGATCCCAGAAACGGTGACCACGAGCGTGTGCGGAGCTCCGGGTGGCTTGGATGGTGTCGGCTCCAATGTACTGGACTGCTTGTTGAGAAAAGCAGATAGATTGTCCGTAGTTCGTGGCTCGGTCCAGCTGGTACCATCTTGCACGGTCCGAGCTATTTGACGTCAGCATTTGCAACACGTCTAGGACAAGCTCAGGCTTACCAGATATGAATTTGTCTTCGAGCTCCACACTGCTCAACTCCTTGCCGTAGAGTCGTGTTCGCGCGTTGACATAGTCGGCAAGGAGCTGACCATCCATGCGCTCAAAAGAGTGATTGACCCCCAACGTCTGATCCAGATCATCTTCGTCAATCTCCTTCGCCTTCTGCTTCTTCTTCTCTTTCCGCTTCGCCTTCTTGGCTGCCTTCTTGCTGTCCTTGCTTGCTTCAGGCTCGGCTTCTCTTTTCCTTTTCTTCGACGAAGCGTCAACGTCAAACTGAGCCTCAATCAGGGGGACGCCTCCTTCTGAATCAGAGTCCGACATGGTGTGACTAGTGTTTTGTGTGAAGGAGAAAGGGCCACATGAGTTCGCGACAAAAAAAGTAGCAGAAAGTAGAAGGTTATCGATAAGCGCTAGCTTAGCTGATTCGCGTTAGTCTGGCTGCATGCTGGGGAAGTTCGCGTCCAGCGACGCGTTTCCCTGACGTCTATCAACACATCCACTGCGCTCTTCGGATGTGTATCTCGTAATGGCCGAGTCTGCGCGCAAAAGGCAGCGTCTCCCCCCAGAGCGTGACTTTCAGCAAACACCTACCAGCAATGCGTCTCTCCAACCCACAACGCCGTTCCGCCGTGCCATAAGTTCGGGCCCCACTCCAGGAAGCAAAAGGACGCCCATTGCTCGCACACCAGGAACGGGCGTGACTCCTCGGGGCGGTCCAGCAACCCGTCCTCTGCCGTCGCGAAGGATTGCGCCAACTACCCCTCATGCGATAAGAGCGCTGAGAGAGCGAGCCAATGCGGCGAGGACACCAGGGAACAACCGCAGACGAAGCGGGCGCATACAACGGGAGACGCCGCGGGATATACTGCGCGATCTTAGCAGAGGTATTGTCCTTGATGATGCTATATCTGATATCGCTAACTGTTCATGCAGCGCTGGCTCGTGATACTCGTCCAGTCGAACCCTCTCCACAGGCCCTGCCTCAACGGACACGCCATTCAGCCCTCGATCTTCCAGACGTTGAGGATGGTCCAAACATGCCTGCGCCCCGGCTTTCCATGCCCCTCGAGAACATGTATGACGACGACGATAGTTTCCACAGTGCCCCGCCGCGGCAGTCTCTACTACCTGACCTACCGGACGATGTGGATGGCGGGACTGTACAATCGCTCGAGTTTGGACGACGAGCCATCAGCGAGGATCCACGGTTCATGTTTGGGGGAAGGCAGAGCGAGCGATTCGGGGATCTGAGCGAACTAGGGGCGGTGGAAGAGGAGTTCGAGGTCGACGGTACCTTCATCAACAGACGTGCAGATGGGCTCTTCGACCCCGCCATCGACGACGCACTGGACGGAGATGAAACAACAATACAGGCATTGACCGGTCGAAGAGATGGACGGGGAAGCGACGTAAATTTGGGCGTGTTTGGCGATGGAGAGGATGATACAGAAGAGCCTACTTTTCGCTTCATGATCCCTGAGCGTATGCGCGTACCAGCTCAAGAAGGTGCACATACAATACAGGATGAGCAGGACGAGGACGAGCAAGAATTAGATGGAGAACCTCTGGGGCTGCCGGATGACTACGACTCACTCAGCGGCGACGACCAGAACGAGGTCACTGCTGCTCTGAACGGCGAAGATCCGACAGAAACCAATGGCATGCTAGGTTGGGAGTCAGATCCGCCTGCAGATGACGACGCCGAACTAGCCGCCTATCGAGAAGAAGCATCAGCCATTGATCGAAGTCTGCAGACCAAGTCACCCGAGCGAGCGGCTGCTGTTGAGCTGAAGGGTGTTCGCAAACCCAAGGAATACATGGTTTCTGAACACGGCATCGGCTTCCCCTCGTTTCCCGCTGCGCCTGTCAAGAAGCTCGCTTTGAGCTTCATGAAGTCGCAAGGAGGCAAGGCTCAGCTTAACAAAGAGACACTTGACGCGCTTGTGCACACAACCAACGACTTCTTTGCGCAGATCAGCATGGATCTCGCAGCGTATGCGCAGCATGGTGGGCGAAAGATGATTGAAGAAAGCGACGTCATCGCGCTCATGAAGAGGTATGTTACACTACACTTCTATACATAACATGCAGATCCATAACATCCATATTTGGTCGGTCCGCTGACTTTTAGACAGGACCCGTAAGACCACCAATAATAGTACATCTTTTTCTCTGGCGCAGAAGATGCTTCCCAGAGAGCTACTTCAGCAGCTGCGTATGGAGCCTCCAGTAAAGCTGAAGGGACAGAAACGGAAACGCCTAAATCCTATCCGTGAGGAAGTTGAAGATGACGACTGAAGAGGCATGACAATGTCTCATGACCAATCGACACTGTGTCGTACCCGCCGTTGGGTCCCCGACATTGGCTTCTTGACAACCATCCAGAACATGACCGAGGTTGCGAGACTGAGCGCATACCTAGGCGGAGTTAGGTGGTTGCTTGTATGGAGAGAGCGAGACGGTGACACTTACCATGTGAAGATGTACTGGGTGTGGTTGTTCCGTAGGTTCACGGTGGGCGCCCTACCAATCGGTACGCCCTTGGGTTCACGTTCATAATTAGTGAGCAAATCAGGCGCTGTGTTATAGTTAGATACCCCCAATTGCATCAATCAGACAGGAAAGAGTACTCACTCATCGTCTCCTCGACCCATACAGCCTGACTCCCACTATGCTGCGCCATCTCCTCGACACTAGGGAAAAACCACTTCCCCTTCTCCGGCTCATTCTTCGGCGTAAACATGTTTCCCTTGGGCGGTATCCTCAACAGCCCCTCAATTGTGACCTCGCCCTCAGGCAGCGCCCCATTCTTCTTGCGGAACCACTGCGGCGCAGCCTCCTTCTTAATCCACCCCCTACACGCCAATATCTTGTGCACATTGCCCCTCGCATCCCGCCGTTCCAGCGGCGTAACAACCGTGTACCCCTCCTCGCCATCCAACATGCGCGGTCCAATCAACATCTCCTGATCATGTCTCAACACCCCCTTCGCATAGACGCGGCGATAATCAAAATCCTGAATCGCAGCCGGATCGATGCGCAGCGGGAGTTCCAAGGGCGGAAACGTCAATCTATCCTCGAAGCGCGCGACGAGTTCGGTTTTCCAGCCGAGGCGCTGCACCTGCCAGCACCCTAGTATGAAGGCTGTGATGGGGATGATGGCCAGGATGATGAGGCCCGGGCCGTGCTGTTTGCCTACGCGCGCCATCTTTGCCGGCCGGTCGAGGATCGAGACGAAATTCGGGTCTAGGCCCGGACCGCCGCCTACGCTGCGTTTGGGCGGCCCGTGGGGGAAGAGGATGCGTGTGCGCAGGCATTGGGGACGGGTGGTGGGTGATGATGGGCTGCGGCGGGCGGGCGTGGTGCGCAGGAACGACGACGTGGGTTGGGAGTAGTAGCGCCGGAAGAGGTTCATGAATGGATTTGGTTTCGACATGTTGGGCGGCTTCGAGGACAGGCGTTGGCGCTCTTGTGCCCTTGCCCTGCGGAAGTCGGGAATCGTTTTAGTTGTATGTTCGGATATCTGAGCTTCGATGTTGCTAGACCTCCATGCGGTATAGTCCCCGCTTCTTAGCCCGAGATGCTCTGGGGATGGTGTTGGACTGTCATTGATCAACTGCTTTTACACCACTGCATTACCACTTCGACGTCTGCGGGGCTGTGGAATCATGGCGGATGTACAGGAATTACCGACGGATCGAGCGGAAGTTGCTGCGAGGCGGGATAAAGACGGTTTGCTTGATCTTTTGGATGCGAAGCTTGAGCACTATCTGCATACGCTGCATGAATATCAAGAGGCCATGCAGCAGCTCTCCAAAGAGCTGTCTTCGGTGAGCGTTCCTCCATCTTGTTCTACAGAGAGTTTTGTATTGATGAAAAAAGGGTTACATGTCACTAGCTCAGGCAAACTTCCACAATTCCTCATCTGCGATCCGGTATGGACAGGACTGCTATGACGAACGTATGCAGGCTTTACGGAAGGTGTGAGTGTTTTTCTTTCTACTGAGAGGCTTTTCCATCCAAGAGTTGTATTCTTTCCGCGCCACAAGTTACACATACCCTAGATATTGTTTTAACACAATCCAGCCACATCGCTGAACATGGAAGCGCCAAAAGTGATCAGCCCTACTTCTCCGTCTACTCACCATTCGCCACTACCCAGCACTCTGATCCCGACAACACTTCAAACTCAACAGAGCAGGCAAACGAAGCTCAAGGATCCGACCTGCCCAAGGCCAAGGGAGATGACGCAAAATCCACTCCGGACCCAAACTCACAATCTTCTCAAAGCTCGGAGAAAGCAAAAGAGGAGTCCAGTTCTACAGAAAAGCCCACAGACCCACTAAGATGGTTTGGTATCCTCGTCCCACCTGCTCTACGCACTGCGCAATCGACATTCGTAAGCGCCGTTGAGGGCCCAATCCCGCAACTTGTTACTATCTTGAGGGACCTACGGACGCAGGAGATCGAGATAGGAAGGATAAGGAAGCAGATTAAGAAGACATAATGTGTCGTGCAGCTCCAGAAGAACAAGGCTGAAAGCCCAAAGCAAGCACTCGTATTTCAACTCTGGAACCCTAATTCCGATGTTTGGGAACTAATGCCAGCACCATACCAATCTGTACTTTCACAATCACGAACCTCATCATGTGACACTCCCAAAACGCCATCCAATGCAACATGTAACCACCCATAACCCTTCTCCTCCTTCCAACCTTTTTTCAAACATCCTTCATGAGTTCTTCCAACTCATCGTCGTCGTCCCAGTTTCCTCCTCTCCTGTTGACGACAATCTTCTGCTCATCCTTCTCCTGCTGCTCTGCTACCGCCCCCAGAATCTCCTTGAGCTGCTCTTCCGTCACCTTTTGTCGTAATTGGCCGGTGCGCGCAAGCATTATGAGGCGGTTTTCGATGTCGGTTGCGCGCGATTCTTTGACAAGGCGGATGCGGCCTAGGCGGTCGGCTGCTTCTGGGAGGAGGATTTGTGAGAGGATGGAGGAGCGTTGGTCGGCTGGCATGTAGGGTTAGTAGCTGGTGGTGGGGGTGGGAGGGGTATGTAGAGAAAGGAGTATGCGCCTGGGGGTACTTCTGAAGACATACCCTCTTTTTGCCTGCGAAATTCTCTTAGTAAACAAGTTCAATCATTTCGCCTTGGTATATTTACTTTCGCGAATCTTGCTCTGAGCCCTCGCCGCCTTGTCCTCCGCCGCTCCCGCCTTGTTGCTGTAACTGCTGCAGGCGCGCGCGTCTGATTTGCTCGAGATCTTCGTCGGACATGTTGTCGTTATGTAGAGATTGCGTGCTCTTTACGCGATATTCTGGTATGGAGAGTAGGTCTGCGGCGCAAGTACTGGTCGAGGAAAAGTGTGTTTATGCGGGGAAGTTCGGGGGTCTCTGCTGCAAGGGCACGGATCATCTCCATCTTCGTCCTTCCGTCGCGAAGGTAAAGCGCAATAGATACACCCAAAGACTTTCCGAGAATTGACTGACTACCTGCGCAAGCCGAAGAAATCATCCACTCGGTCATAAGATAATTACCAGCGAGTGAACTCGCCAAAGGTCGTTTCAACATCTATCTTACGACTTCCCTCTGTTGGGTTGCATTGTCGTGAGGCTATTGATAGGTGGTAAGGCATACTTGGAGGATGTGGCTGAGTTACTGCCCCGCGTGATTGTCCAAGCATCACTGTGTAGCCTTCCATGACCATTAGGACCGCTTCTTTACTTCCTCTGGCCGATTCAAACTCCCTTGTCGCACATTGCGATGTCGGATGACACTTCATTTAGATTAGCAAACCTACGTGTCCCCTCGAAGACCAAAGAGCTATCCTACGCACTCAACTACTACATTTCCGAGACCAAAGACGTTATTCGAAAGCCTATTTATCTCGGCCTTGCTTCTGCTACCAACGCGCTGGAGGCTTGCACCACCAACCGATTGTTACGTGACGTAGGGCGCTCCTCAGCTCCCAGCATATGTCCAGAAGGCAATGTTAGACTGCACGAACTATGCAAAGCCTGTGCATTGTTCGCCCAACGTTCAGTAGCATTGAACTGGCTTGATCGTTCCAACCCTCGTACAGCCTGGCCCCCACGAGGACGTTACCAACTCTGTACTGTAGCTCATTTACGACGGTTGAATGGACACTGTCATCTCTGCACAATCTGCTACTTCCTTGTTGTGAAATCATCTTGGACGCCTGGAGATCTCTACAACAATTGGATCTATCTCGAAATTCTGCCTTGGCGGCAGCACTGGCAAGACAGTTCGATTGTCCTCAATGCGTCGCTATATCCAAGCCGGGGGATTGTAGGACAATTCAGCCTAAGTCTGCTCGCAGGTATGTGAGATCACGAAAGTGAGCAAGCAAGCAACTGACTCTTGCTTAGACAATGAAGCTGGAAATTATGCAGATGCGCTGGCAAGGGCATCTCATGTTCCAATCTGGTCAAATGATAACATTGAACGCGTGCGAGAATGGCTCAAGAGTTGCTTGGAAACCCACGGCGCATGTCGGACACCCAATAACGAAGCATTATCACCTCTGAAAAGACCCAGTAGGATTCTTGCAGTTAACGACGATAGGGTGAGGCTTATTTGCAATTGGTCTGAATCCAGCGATTCCAAGTACCTTGCGTTGAGCCATATGTGGGGTACCGATCCCAAACAGCAGCTGCAACTAGTCTTGTCCCGCCTTGAGGAGTTTCAGGAAAATATACCTTGGACGGAACTCCCTTTCATCTTCAAAGAGGCAATCAGAATAGCCCGACAGGTTGGGTACGATCACATTTGGATCGACTCGTAGGTGTTGTACAACATTTTATTTCTTGGCAAATGTGCTGACCACTTGAACGCTTGGTTTAGTCTTTGTATCATTCAAGACTCGGCGAGTGACTGGGCAGCCGAAGCTGGTAAGATGGCTCACGTTTACGGGCATGCGGACTGCACCATCGCTTATCTTTTACCCCCACAAGACGTGCTTACCAAACCACGACAAGACCCGATGGTCTGGACTCCTTGCATGCTTCGTCATCCCAGTGTTGCATCGAGAGGTATGTATGTTTGTGCTAAAAGGGATGATTGGAACAGTGATTCGGTTAGGACAGAATTTGGTATCGATTGGCTCTCACCAAAGGACTGGCCACTATTTACACGAGCCTGGGCATGCCAGGAGTATCTACTTAGTCCTCGCATATTGTTTGCAGGCCACCGAAACCTCATGTGGGAGTGCTCAGAATTACTTTCTGATGAGCTTCTGGGCCCGATGGATGAAATTACTGGAACCACAGCCTCAAAAACACACTTCTCTGCTGTCAAATCAGTCACACTCCCAGTAACGAACATGACTGAACAGCTGGAATTCGTGCAAAATTGGGGGATGCTTGTCCATCATTACCGCGCAGGCGTGTTGACACAGCCTAAGGACCGTATTATGGCTTTCGCTGGGATTGCACAAGCTGTTCGTGATAGCAGTGGAATGACGTACTTGGCGGGATCCTGGGCGCAGATGTTCCCATTATCCTTTGCCTGGAGCGTCGCTGCTAGATCTGACAACACCACGATGCCAGAATTGGAACCAGTTGTCGAACCGGTGCCTTCTTGGTCATGGTTCTCGGTTCCGATACCCTCACCTGACAAACTTACGTTTCAAGTTGTCGACGAACTGTTAAGAGGATTACATTATGGGGAAGCTGGGAGGATCGAACCGATATATCAAGCCACCCTGATTTCATTCGAGGACCGGTCGCAACAAGACTATACCGATGCCTCAACGACCAAAGGCTTCCACAATTTCACAGGAATGACCCTAAATCTTGCCATCAGGACTTGGACTGGCTTTCTGAAGGACTCCCCGGCCCCCGATTCACGATACGGACTGTCGATGAAATGCCAGTTGGAAAAACTCATGGGAATGCACTATGGTTATCTTCAGTGTGATTTTGACCATCCCGACACAGTGCACAATCCCTTCAACATGGTAATGACTTTTGGGCTTCTCATGCAAATTCGCACAGGGAAACTTCCAGGGCGGGGCGCCCTTGTGCGTGAACCATTCTTGGTAGGGTTGATAATGCAACCAGAGCCCAGTCGCAAAGCTTACAAGCGCATCGGTCTATGGAGGCTATACCTACAACCACATCTATGGAATTGGGATGCGGAGAAATTCAACTCGGCCTCGATTTTTGATCAACTCGAAGGTGTTCGTTCAGAGCACATCAGGCTAGTCTGATAAGAAGGGTCAGCTTAATGCGTGCTGTGCGCAGGTACAGTTCAATAGGCGCTGGTGTGTAATTACACAATCATTAGTGTGAATTTGCTTTATGATAGAACTCGCCGTGCTACCGAAGGTTGCAGGGTTCTCAGATACGACCTTTACGTCTAACTATCCATTTCCACGCTCACGCTCACGTCCACCTCTAACCAGCCGCGAATTTACTAGTACTCCTCAACTTCTCGCCAAACCTCCACAGCATAAACGGAGCCGGAACACCCAATGCCAACGCAATAAACCCCAGGACACTATTCCCCCATCCAAAATCCAACTTATTATACATAGCCGGCGCAAACAACGGAAACCCAAATCCAGCCAACGACCTAAGCACCGTCGCCGCCGCAATAGCACTCGCCGCATACCTCGTATAGCTATCCACAAGATACGTCTGAATACACTGAAACCCTATAATTACACCAGCGCAAAAGATAGCAGCACCGATATTAGGCATGATCCAATGGACCTGAGCCTGTGCACTCCAGCCATACCAGAAGAGGCCAATAGGAACGAGCAGCGATGCAGGAACCATGATAGGAACACGGAATTCAGGTTTACCGACGCCGTTGTTGCGCTTCTTGAGGCGGCGGTAGAGAGCGTCGTTGAGCGGAGCGGTGATTTGCGTGCCGAGGAAGAAACCGACGCCCATTGAGATGAAGTTTAGCGAACCGATGCCCGTAGACATGCCGTAGCGCGTAACCCATAAGCTGGGGAAGGTGGAGAGCATGAGGTACATGAGTCCGTACAGGTAAGCCATGTAGCATGCAAGCACTTGGATGATGGGTTGGGTACCGAGGAGCTTGAACGGTCTCACCATGGCGATTTTGATTGTCGTTGCAAGCGTGCGGTCGGGGCTATCGAATTCTGTGTGTAGTTCTTGGTTGCCGGTCTCCTTGCGTAGCTTGTTTCGCTTCCACTCGAGGAGCTTGGGTGCGTATGTTTCTTGGAGGAAGAAGAAGCCGAAGCATTGTACCATTGCGGTGAAGATGGTGGTGGCGTAGAAACACCATCTCCATGTTGTGTTTTGGGAAATGAAACCACCAGCAATGGGACCAATCGCAGGACCCAGCAACGGGGCTAGAGAATAGATTGAGATGGCTCGGCCACGCTGGTCTGCCAGGAAAACATCGCTAAGAACGCCCTGGGGGAAAGTCAGATTAAAGTTTCGGCATTAATTGTAGACAAGTTACTTACACCACCAATAGCCAACGGTGCAGATCCGCCTAGGCCACTGAAGAATCGGAATGCCATGAGCTGACCAGACGTTTGAGCGAATCCACAACCCAGGTTCCAAGCCAAGTAGAATAGATTGGATAGCTGTAGGACGAGAACGCGGCCGTAGATCTCAGACAAGGGGCCCAAGAATAGCGGTCCAATCGCATATGCTAGGACGAAAATGGACAGAGTGAGTTGAGCTTCGACTTCATTCGTGATACCGAAGTCAGAACTTATGCTACTCAGAGCGGGCGATATCATGGATGACGATATTGGTGAGACAAGGGTAAAGCAGGAAACAATCAGAGTCGCTGCCCATTTCCGTTTCATAGACCCTGCGCGTTGTTAGACCAATCCATATGCATCTAGTAGATCAATGTGACTTACAATTCTTCGGATTACTAGGATCATTTTCTGAATCCCACGTAACCTTGTACTTGTCAGCTGCTGTTATACCAGCCAATGGTTGTTAGGCGAACATACCAGATTCGGATCTTTGACCGACCGCGTAGACTTCTTCTTTTCCAATGGTGGTGGTGCTTCAACATCATGTTCGTATGGAATACCCCCTCGTATCTCTTCGTAAGTCGTCTCTTCCTCGTGAGTGGTATCATCTTTTGCTTCCTTCTCGTCTACGTCATCGCCACTGTCGTCATCGTCGCTACTGGCCGTGTTTGCATCTCTTCTTTCAGTCTCAGTCTTGTGCAACGAACTAGCATCAGAGTCGACGTGAATTCCTTCGCCATCTTCATGGTGGTATACGGAATGATCATCCGGAAATTGGCTGGACAGAATACGGTGTAGTGGTGCGTTGTCGGATCGCCGTGGCCGGGATCTTGATCGGCTTCTGGATGCCCTCTGAGGGCGCGATTGCCTGGGACTCTCCATGTCTATGTGAGGCTGTGATTGCCGTCCGCGAAGGCTAGAGACCGTGTCGTGTTCCGTATAGCAGATTAAGATTAGTGATACGAGAGTTGGAAACCCGAGTTTAGTCCTGTAGATCTTCCGCGTCTCTCAAGTATAAAGAAAGATTTGAGTGAATGAATTAGTATGGCTCGGTGCAAAGCCAAGCGATTAAAGTAGTTTTAGAAAGGTCGTGTATAGGGCGAACTTCGCTATTAGAACGGACTCTGCGCGTTCGGGTTTAAGCAGCCGTAGAACGAATCTCCGTGGGTCGCGTGCCCCACAACGTAGTTCAGCATCATCGGTGCGTCGGTGGACATTATCTCCCGGGCCGAAATGAGAAGCGACTTGATGCGATTAGTTATGCGGTGTGTTTTAGCTGTGGCGTCGAAGCTTGTTGATATTTTGACTGCTGACGAGTTGAGATGACGTCAAGGGTTGCTGATTTCCGGCGCTACTGTCGCGTCGAGTAGAGATATATCCGGTGTCGCGACTCCAGCTCCCAGACCGAGCTCCAGAAAATTTCGAGTTCTGCATGTTTCAACATCTACAGTCTCCATCAGCAACGCGATTAATCATCTGGTTAGCCTAGGGGTAGCAACGGCGAGTGAGAAGGTTTTCGCATTCCTTGACTGACTGCATAGCATACATTTCATGGCGTTTTGTGTACAGCTAAGTGCTACTGAAACATTTAGTTGACGACCACCAAAGGGCGCGGCGTCAACTTCGTGCCGTGGCTGAACAGGTTGTCAGGATCGTACTTATGCTTGAGCTCCTCAAGTCGCTTGACGTTTGCGCCGAAGATCTCGTTCGCCTCAACATCAGCGGAAGCATAGTTCCCGTATTGAGCCACGCCGCCATCCTTTGACCGGTCTGCAGCAGTCACTGAGGCTTTCTTAAGAAGATTTCGTGAAAATGTACGAATCTCACCGTCGAGTGAGGGCTCGAACCTGTGCGTTCATTAGAATTGAGCTCCATAAAGCATTGTATCAACTCACCATTTCATCATCACCGCGACATTGTAGTAATCGCCACGGTTCGAGAACGCCATCTTATCGTTGGAAACCTCTATGACCTTCTGGTAAGGAACAGCTTCGAAGAGTATCATGCTTTCGTTCATTCGTTCGTGCGAAGCTACAAAAGCGTTGAACTCTGCATGAAGTTGCACAGCGAAGCTTGAGTCAATTGGGAGCTTGAAAGCACCTCCGCCGAAAAGCTTGCGGCCGTCAAATCCGGCTCCCTGATTAAGAAGGCTATTCAGCTGTGGGTAAGGTATCATGGCAGTCATATTGGCTACAGGGCCAAGTTCAAACAGGTCAGCGAAGAAAGCTTTTCCTTCTTCCTCAGTGCCGTTATGGAAGATCTGGCAAAGTACGACAGGTGCATTCGCGGGCGGTGGAGCGGAGAAACCCATGAGCATGGCTTGGTTGCCGTCATTTGTGGTGTGGAACTTGTTCAGGAACTCAACGATCTGCGGTATCTTGTCCGGAAGGAAGACCAAAGGTCCTGCAAAGACAGAATTCTTCTGTGCATAGCCCTGGAACGTGAATGCTGTTGCTACGCCAAAGTTCTGACCTGCGCCTCGCACAGCCCAATAGAGGTCGGGATTCGAATTTGCTGATGCGATGACTTGCTCACCAGATGCTAGGACCATGTCAACGGACAGGAGGTTATCTAAGTGATATCAGTTGTGTAAGCTTCGTCGGTTGATTAGATATAGGAGAACATACCAATCGTCAAGCCATACTTTCCAGTGAGATAACCATAGCCCCCTCCTAGTGTCAAACCTCCTACACCGGTATGGTTAACCGTACCTCCGACAGTCGCAAGACCGAACTTGGCAGCTTCAACATCAACGTCTTCCCATATAGTTCCTCCTTCAGCTTTGATAGTTTTGGCATCCACGTCAACTGTCACTTTGCGCATCTTAGAAAGATCGATGACGATGCCATCCTCGATAGACGCAGCTCCAGAAGTGCTGTGACCTCCTCCTGTAACGAAGGAGTCAATGTGTGCTTTATGTGCGTCTGTTACAGGGGCATTCTTACCTCGGACTGTGAACGGGATGCTGTGCTCGCGTATCTGAGCCAAAGTTGCGGAAACGTCATCCGCGGACCGAACTCTGATTACAGCAGCCTTTCCTTGCATAAGTGCATTGCTCCGACATAAACATGACCTTTCAGGTGGGTGTAATCAGGTAAACTCACAGCTCGTTTGATGCAGTGCTCACTCCACCTTTCGATGCTTTTCTCGTACTCTTCGCCGTCACCCGGAAGTAGGACCTCAGCAGTCGTATCCTTTAGCAGCTCTTTGAGCGAAGGATAGTCAAATTTCCCAGATCCTGATACCATCTCGGTGGTTTGGAAGGATAGTCGATGGAGAACGAATGAGGATAATCTCGAAGTAAGCTTGTCTGTTGATTAGAAAATGGACCTGGCGTGACGTGCCGATTGAAAAAGTCCACAGTACCGGATAAGGCACTTATTGATATGATCTTGATGAGTCGTATAGAAATAGCGGGATTATATCGGGCTGGGCACAAGCTGAGTAAAGGTAAGGCTGTTGAGCGTGAGGCGCATGATGATAGCGCATGGTGGGGTACAAGTTCTAGGTGGGTCGACCGAGGTCGCATCCAACGGATCGGAAGCATGACAGATGCAAAGTCTCCTCGTCGATGTTGATAGGATTACTGGACGTCGATACGCACAGTGTCCGCGTTTTCAAGACATAAGCCCATGGCAGATGAAGCATGATCTAGCAATTTGCCTGTGTGCTTACCGAAGGCTTTCTGGAGCCTGTACTAACGCCAGAGTATGCAGCGAACAAGCTTGGCCGAAGAAGTGTCGGCCTGCGCATGGAAAAGTCCCATGGTTTGACATCGAAGTCGGGCGATGTGGGGTATAGAATCAGCTGGCATATGATTGGACGGAAGTGGTGAGGGCAGCAGAGCTTAGCGTGGACCCTGGAGTGAAAGATGCGGCGAACTTTCTCTCCTCCGACGCGAGTGCATTATTCGACAACTTCCAGAGTCGCCGCTCGACCATGCTAAAGACGAGGGGCTTGCAGTCAGTTTGTGCATCATGCCGGCTAAATATCGCAATTTCACGAGCGCGTAGCGCAAGATTGCCAGCCCAGACACGACCCGCGCCGCGACAACTACCTTTGTTCGCCTCCAAATTTACAACGCCACAACGAGCATTCTCCACGACACTCGGAAGGAGACAATTAGAGCAAGGCCATGCGACAAGTACGGAAGATGAGCCTCCTTCTGCGACCGAAGCGGTGAATTACGAAGTCAACGTGCGGAGGGCGAGGCAGCAATTCGGTGATACGTTACCGCGCGACCACCTGAGCGAAGAGGAATACACAATATACAAGAGACTGTACGGCCCAGCAATTTTCGTGGATCCTGCCGCAGACATAGAAGAACTTGGGGATATAGCCGAGGAGGAGATTATTGAGCAAGAACGACCTGATGGTTCTACTGTCTTGTTGAGGAAGGGAAAGGATGGCGGGCTGGAAGAGATTGAGGTCGTCGAAGAAGTCGAGGCTGACGAGGATAATGCTCCTGAAGAAGCTGAGCTGGACAAAGAAACCATGACACCAGAAGAATGGGAGGCGCGCAGAGAGAACGAGGCACAGGCGTATCACGACGAAATCTACGAGCAAAGTCGGCTGCAGCAAGAGGAAGCAGAGGCTTGGGAAGACATGGAAGAAGAGCAAGAGGAAGATAATTTCATGCGTGCGCATCCACTGACCATCGCCGGTCGCTTCAAGCCATCGCCCTCGACCGTCTTCCTGCCCAAAGAAACTCTCGTCGATCCTACAGCGCTGCTTCTGACACGCGCGAATCACAAACACCTCGCCGAATCTGCGAATCGCATCTTTGGCGGTCGCGGTCTGCCTTACTCAGCCAGTACAACTCCTGCACGCTTGGGCAATGAACAAAAGCCAATTCCACTGGACCCATCGCAATCGGAAATGGGCAACATCGAAGCTGATGTATACATGGCTTCCGTACAGCCAGGCACATACGCAAGCGTAATGAGCGCCATGGTCGAAGTTCGCAGGCGACTGGGGACAGGATGGCTCGAACACATGCTACAAAACAAGAAAGGTGGCACTATACTAGACGCTGGTTCTGGAGGCGTCGGTGTACTTGCCTGGCACGAGATGCTAGAGGCGGAATGGCAACGCATGCACGAAGAATCAGGAAACACGTCGCATGGTGCTACTCCGTTGGGAAAGGCGACTGTTTTGACTGCATCTGACACGCTCCGTCACCGCGCAAGCAAACTGCTGGACAACACTACGTTTATTCCGCGACTACCAGAAACGGTGACAGCGGCCGACGAGGGTAACACGCAGCAACCGCGCAAGTACTATGATGTCATCATCGCACCACACACGCTCTGGTCTATCAGGCAAGATTATCTGCGCAGGGAACAAGTTGAGAAATACTGGTCCCTGTTAAACCCCAAGGGTGGTGTTCTCATTCTCATCGAGAAGGGTCTCCCACGAGGATTTGAAGTCGTAGCCGCCGCCCGTTCATACCTTCTGAACAAGCACATCTCCTCTCCTGGCTCAGAAACTCTCGAGACGCTACTTGACTCTCAGGTCTCAAAACCCGATCAAGACACCAGGTTCACTGAGAAAGAGACGGGAATGATTGTTGCGCCATGCACCAACCACAATTCATGCCCCATGTACCAGTCCACAGGTGTCAGCCAAGGTAGGAAAGACTTTTGTTTCTTCAGTCAGCGCTATATTCGACCTCCGTACCTCCAACGCATCTTGAATGCAAAGGACAAGAACCACGAGGATGTGCAGTTCAGCTACCTGGCTGTTCAGCGTGGACGTGATCAACGCCTTCCACAACACGACGTCCTCGGCAAAGGATTCGTGCAAGGCGAAGCCTCTACCGCTGCCGCATTTGAGGGACACGAGTGGCGCGCACGGTCGAACCCAGAAACCGAAGAGCCCGTCATGACCTCGACCGCCGATGTGAATCCACTCACCCTACCGCGTCTGGTTCTCCCTGCGCTGAAGCGACGAGGTCACATCATTCTAGACGTCTGCACACCAGCTGGTATGCTTGAGCGCTGGACTGTTCCCCGATCCTTTAGCAAACAAGCCTACCGTGACGCGCGAAAAGTCCGCTGGGGTGACCTCTGGGCTCTCGGCGCAAAAACACGCATTCCACGCAACGTTCGTCTAGGCCGACCTACCGACGAGTTCGACAAGAAGGGCAGAAAGGTCAAGAAGGCAAAGCAAGTCACCATCGAAATCGGTGTTGGCGAGAGAGACGGAAGGACTGTGGAGGAAGGTCCTGCAAGGGTGCTTGGCCAGGGCGGAAGGATGTTGGTTGGTGATCGCGATGGACGGTATACTGCGGATCGCAAGATTCGGGGTAGCAAGGGAAGAAAGGGGAGGAAGAAGAGGGTTGATCATGATGGTTATGACTTGGACGACATGTAAATGGTTTTGTATGAGTATGAGTGGGAGTATGTTGTACGATATGGTCGACACCCTATTTTTAGCTGGGCTAACTTTGGAACCGAGTTCCTTTCGTCTCACCTCCCGGGTTGGACACGAGTTCACGCCAAACAAAACAGATAGAAAAAGAAACGAAAGCACGTTCAAGCTCAGTCATTACAGCAGTCCCCAGAGGAAAACCGCACAGGCCCGTAATAGTAACGCACGAGGACGTTAAAACTTGACGTACCCCTTGTCCTTGACGAACGTAGCCAACCAGGGTACATCATCCGATTCCCGCTTCGCCAAAGAAGCATAAAACTCTCCATGCGCAGGCCCATCTACACCTTTGACCATGGGCCCACCATCAGGCTCTCGTTGATCCGCATAGAAGAAACTAAGAATCCGTCGCAGTCAGCCTTCAATTCAAAATTCAAAATCCCAAGTCTCCAGAAAATAAACAAGAGGAAAGGGAAAGAAAGAAAGGAAGAAAGAAGAGAAGAAAGGAAAAAAAACTCACCGATACCCTCGTTCCCGATACATAGTATCCGCCAGCCCAACCCAATGCGCACTCGCACTCTTCCCCACCCCCAGCGTCAGAAACAATGGAATAGGCACGATGGTCTGATTCAGCGTATTCCCCGTGTAAATAAACGTCTTGTTGCTCCTTCCTCCTTCGCCATCACCACCCACTTCTCCATCCCACGCTCTCACCGCTTCCATGGCAGCAACATACGGACTCACCGTATTAACATTAAGATCTTTAACAAACTGGTCCTGCGGCAAAGATAGTAAGTTGCCTTCCACAGGCGGCGGCGTCAACGCAGATGCGTTCCAGATGACGACGTTGGGGGCACGACCGAATTCTTTCGTCACGGCGGCGAAGAGGGCAGGGATGGAGGATGGGTTTGAGAAGTCGGCGGCTAGGGAGAGCGTGCCGTTGGCGGGGTTGAGCGCGTTGGTGCCGGAGCGCGAGGCGGTTGCGATGCGGTAGCCCAGTGCTGTGAGGGACGTGGTTAGGGCTGTGCCTACGTTGGGGCCTGAGCCGAGGATTAAGGCGATGGGGGTGGTGGACATGGCTTTCCTGTGGAGGGTGGGGAGTGCTAGGTGGGATGGGTGGTTGGCTTCAGCCAGGGTATTGGCAGGTAAGTGACGATGAGAGATGAGGGTATTTGTAAAAGGTTGAATGGAGTCGATGGTATTGGAACGGATTGTTCTTTTGTGTTTATGACTGTTGTATTCAGACAAAACACACCTTTTTTATATGTCCACTGATCTTACGCAGGTCTCCTCACTTTACCATCTTTGTAATCCCCCTGTGCTACACATATGTGTCAGCAAGATAACTCCGGCCTGTCTATCCTATATCCTTACCGTTTACCAATCGTCGCGTAGACACAACCTGTATTGGAAACCGGAAAGACGAATTAGGAAAGAGGATAGATAGTACATGCATGAAAGGTACTGAGTACGAATCCCGAGTACAAGTCAGGCAAGCTATGCACGTTTACCAATCAACACCGCTCGACGAGTCGCGATGTCCGGGGGCCGCAAGGTCCGCGCCTTTGCTTACGTTAGAAACCGCAACGGAATCACACCGCGCACCATGCCGGGTGTAAGAATGAGCAAGGAACACTGAGTCGAGGTAATAGATTAATGTGTTATGCATATTGAGGAGTATGTTGAGTGTTAGCATAAGGCTATATACATCCGACGCCATTCCTCCGACCAACACGTCTCCAACCCAATGCAGATCCGTCTTGCTATACTCCATACAAAGTAAAATGGGTATATCCTCCTTCCTGGCATGTGACACCAGTACTGATGCTCAAACGAAGGAAAAAGTAGTAGTAACGCCGGTAAACCGAAGAAAAAGCGCTCAACTGACGCCATGCAATGCAGTACAACAAAGGAAAATAGATGAATGAAATGTGTAGAGAAAATGATCAAATCATCAAGCTAGCACCAAAGGTAACTGCGCTCAAGCCTGTCTCGCGGCTATCCTCGCTCGGTCGACGCTTTCCCATCGTCTCTAGTTGGCGCGCAGCATCGACTTTTGTTTGCGACATGCCAGACGGTGATGGTGGGCCCGACGGGCCTGTAGCATCACTAGTCGACTTTGAGCGAACAGGGCCAAGGTCTTCGCCAAAAGTGATGGAAGTGATGGAATCATCGCTGACACCACGAAGAGGCGAGCTGGGCCTTTCCGGCAAGATAGTCGTAGATACAGTCTTGTCTGCGGTGGCCGTAGGAGGGTTGTGATCCGTTGCGATTCTCGCAGGGCGTCTAGATTTCGCAAAGCCGTGTACGTCGTAACGAGGTGGGTGCGGGGTATAGTCGACGAGCATGTGAGCCTTGACGCTAATGCGGAAGCGTTGGCCTTTGCCAAAAACCACATCGCTGACACGTGGAGAAGAAGCAAGCAACACCGGGGCGCAACGGCGACGGTAACGCAGGGTCTGCGCAAACGAAGGCCGTGGCGCACACGTGGACTTGGGATCAAACGAGACGCCACTTTCAGGACGCTCATCGTCGCCTTGCTCGTACTCGTGCGAAGAAACGCGGGCTAGCGAATCTCTCGCAATTCGTGTGGGAAAGCGGACATCCTCCGGGTCGAAATCGTCAAGTTCTAGATCAGCCGCGGGACCTGTGTGGCTGATACCTGGTTCCCGGGTCCCAGCCAGATGTGGATAAAGCTGGCGGATAATCTGCTCCTGTTGTGCAATGATGCGTCGACCAGCTTCTAGACTTGTCAGGCTCTCGAGGTTCTCTCCAAACTGCGCGTTTTCCAAGATGCGTTGTCGTCTGCCCCTGCGAGGAAGACTTCGGTAGCGGGGCTCACTGCGGTCTTCTAGGGGTGAACTGATGTCGATGGCGGCGCAAAACGATTCTACCCAGTCGAGCATGCCTTCCTCGGTCGATGGACACAACAGAAATTGCTCAAACTCCAGGCGCAGCCGGATGGCATGTTCTCGTACAGGCTCGAATAGATGTGGATCCGTCTCGTACAGTTTGGGCCGAGCAGCAGCGGGAACCAAGTGCGCAAAAGGGGATTTTGGTGTCAGCGACGTCTTTTTGAAATCGGATGCCACACCGACTTCAGCGTGCTGTAAAGAATAGGTTCGTATTAATCGTCCTGCGCATGGCTCCTTGCTTTTGCTGAGGAGTCCCGGGTACTTTACGCGGTGTATGCTCAATTGCGTGCCTCGAAGTATGGCGTAAACATCGTTCCACTCACGATGTCCCGAAACTTGGAATGGTGATGAGAGCTCTTGCTTTACCCCAACAAGTCCCTCTATGTGAACTGTACAGGTGTATGGCGGGGGTAATTGTGTGCTGCGAACTGCCTCCTTCTCTGTCCTCGTCCTCTCATCGAGAATGCGGCGGGTCTGAGGATCAATGGCTCGGGCATACGAAGGCGGTGACCCAATGGGAAGTTGCGCATGAGTGTGGTATGTGTTATGGTATCCATATGTCGATGTTGCTGGCGACGGATTCGTCGACCGAGGTCGTGTTGTTCGTCTTTGAGACGTGTGTCGAGTGGTAGACTCCATTATCAAAGGCTGCTGATGTGGGGGTGAATTGATGCAGGCGTCTGCAGGGGAAATTCGACGAGATGGGCACAGGTTTTAGTAAAGGTGATCGATCGCCAGAGTCGTATTTGGAAGCGACGGCGTGCGATGGGAAAGCAATTCGTGGAGCTATTGAGATCGAGAAGACGCCATTGACGGGTGGCTTGCGGTAGTTGTTTGACGACGGAATCCCCGGACTGAATGTGTAACAGTGATTTGTTCTCGCGAGCAAAAAGCAAGTCGAACAAACGAACAAAGCTTGACGTCGCTGTAGAGATGACGCCACAGCAGCAAAAGACGCGGAAGAGGGAGTGGGCGACGCGTTGAGTATATCGGGAAGTTTGCGACAGGGGTGCGCCTGCTGTTAAATGAAATGCGGATGTCACCGAGGAAGGTGCGACTGGCGTCTGACGGGGAGAGGGCAAGAACGACTGTGCGCAAGTGCGCGAATGGACGCTGACGGAGTAGATAACTGCACGGCGAGGCCAGCTCCTAGCGGGCACCCACGGCGTGGTGGCATGATAGAGTTAAGCAGCTGCTGCTATCAGCTGCCCTGCAGTTGTTGGTACTACAAGGGTCTCCCCTCACAGTCTATTCATGTTCCAGATCCCGCTAACATGCCCTAGAAGAGGGCCCATCAGCCTCTTTCAGCATAGCTGACCCCTACACCTCTGCAAGCGATCCGTCGTCCGCATGCCACTGTGCCGCGCTCCACTGCGTCCACAGAGTCCACTCCACCCTGCGTGCTTTTTTGCTTCAGCTGAGTATTCCGCGCACCTTTCCCCGAGCCTAGAATTGCGACACCACCACGTTTCTGCTTCTTCCACATCAGCCTGACCGGCTCGTCTCCACCAGCATGACACGCCGCGGTCCCTTGCACCGCACGTAGGGCCCCCTTCGCCGAGTCAGCATCGGGCACTAAGTCAATTTTTATTTGGGTTCAAGACATGACGGGCTGTGAGCTGCGTCCTCCAGCGATGCGCCATATGCTATCTGCTTGTCTAGGGGTCCAGAAGACTAGTTCTGCTGCTGCATGCACAGTCATAACATGTGTTCACGCCTGCGTGGAACCTTGGAAGTCTTCCCGTCCTGATGATCACCTATCCGCTATCCCACGGCTCGGGTTCGCGGTACGCTGGCGCAGGCGGCACGCGTTCGGCGCTTAACTTTGGCTTTGATACCTCGGCCAGGCTCGCCTTGTGGCCTACCCTGACCGACACTCTCTGCACACCCTGATCGTCAGTTCCAGGTTTCACAATTTGTCTCTCCACGCCGATTATCTTCTTTTCTTCTTCGCCATAATTCAACACGTTCTTCACGTCTTTCCCGTCATATTTCCGTCATTTGCACGTCACTCACAAGAGAACACGACTGTCGCAGCGCCAAAAATTATTTCAATAAGCGATCCCATGGTACCGTTAGTTTTAGGCCAGGAACCAACGACTATCGCAATCTAAACAGTTTTTTAAACACAACTACGCCTCGCACATTGGAAAAATGGCAGGTACAAGTGCATAAGCTACGGGTATTTGAGAAACAAGACTATCAAAAGCCACGTTTCTACATCATCTAGTACGACGATAGTGAAGAAGTTGGGGCCGGTTGCTATTCACACAGCTGTTAGATCTCATATCAGCGCATTAGTACCACGATCGCTCTCCGTGAACACCAGCTCCATCGGGATGTTCCGCTTTGGATCTACTTGAAACAAGTCTACGAAGGGTCGAACTTGATTTTGTCGTAGCAAGGCCTTGCAGTTACCATGTTTGCCATCCGGCTATTGGAAGGTGCCGTCGTACCGATAGCCAGTACAGTAACATTGGTCTTATCGAATATGTCGAACTTGATTTAGTTGTGTTTCAGGGGTTTGCTCGAGGAGACCAGATTCGTCAGGCTGTCGTGACGACTGTCATGCGTGGATGAAGCCGAGTTTGCACCTTGATCGCCCACTCTCCGCAGACAGATCCCATGTCCGGACGGTCGTCGGCGTTTTTGGATCTTGAGTATCGTGTGCAGAGATTCGATTCGTAACTTCGTCATTGTCGTCACCAGAGATGGCGAAAACAAAGTCTTGACCACTGCTGCAGGAGATTTGATATGCTGACGTCTTCCAGCCAAGGTCTCGTCGCAACGTGAAGATGCGGATGGAGATAGGATCACTTTCTGTGTCTGTAATCAAGAATAACGACCTTGGATGAGCGTTTGCTGATGGCAAATTCATGAAATACATGGGTCCTGTTTGGCGATCGGAGACAGGTAGTAATGATTGTGCTGACTAGGTCTAGTTTTGCGACGGTGATGGTAACCCCAGATTTCTTCCAAGTTGCCTTAAGCATTACGAAAGCTGTAAGCTCATTTTTTGAAAGGAGTTGCGAGTGTTTGTAACGCGTTGCAGCGACTACGCAGAGACGCTTTGAGGGGTTTTGCGATCCCTCATGCATTGCATTCAATTCGCTGCAGATGTTTGACCGGTCAGTATGCACTGCCCCGCATCTACAGCCACCACATTCAAGCCCACCCACGTCCACGTCCTCCTGCAGTCGCGCTTCGCCTGCTGCCTATTTCTCCTAACTCCCAGCGTCCAGTTAGCCTTCCTGTCTTGACACCCACCAAGCTCGTTTGCCTGTCCTGTATTGAAACTATCCATTCGCCTACATGATCATTGTTTCCCAAATAGCTACGAGGTCGCCGATTCCTATCCACTGGCAGAGTTCTATCTGATGGGGCAGTTATACTCGACTTTGACGCGTCCAACCTTAACGACCCAAGTTCCTTTGCCTTGGGAAGTAGTGCCGGGTGGTATAAGAATCAAGACTCAAGAATGGGTTTGTCCTCCTGGTGGTGAACGGGCCCAACCAGTTTGCTTTGAGTACAGTCAATTACCGGCAACAAATCGCTCAGGAAGCGATAGACTTTGTTCTACATGTATGAGCCTCGGCCATCTAGAAAGCACACACTGGGATAGCATCAACAACTTTCGTGAGGTTGTTGTAAAACATCACCACTCACTTAGTGCGTTACTCGAGAGCGCATGTAGAGGTTGCCATTGTTGCGGATTGTTATTGATAGCGTGGGAAGAAAATTGTTGCTTGTATCAGGAGCCCGGAGGTGGATGGACTGGTAAGGCAGGCTCTGATTCGGTTTCTTTAGATGGCGACATTAGACTCAGATATCAGAGGGTGCAAACGACAATCCCCTTGACTGGTGTCGAGGTAGATGAAGTCCAAATCACCATACTATGTGGCGGCTTGCTGCCTGGTATGAGTGGACGACTGATCTGTAAACCTATGGACTGTGAGTGCCCATTATCCCCAGAGTGTCACCAGTTTCTCACGATTAACCAATGAAGCAGCCGATCTTACAGCTTTTCCAGAAACATGTCTTCCTACAGGGTGTGACATTCATACTGGCTCCCCAGCAAGTTTATCTAGGATTAAGGCTTGGCTGAACATCTGTACCTCTTCGCATCCAGCATGTTCGCAGGCCGATTCTCAGCCTCCGCCTCTTCCAACGAGAGTGATAGCGGTAGGGCAGAAAGGATCCAACAGATGTTATCTTGTGTCTGGAAAGAAAAAGAGTGGTCACTACGCTACTTTAAGCCATTGCTGGGGAGACCCCAACCATCGACCGTTGTCGACAACTGATGAGACTCTTGCTTGTCGACAGCAGGGCATCAAGGACGAAGAATTGTCGAGAACATTTCAGCACGCAGTTCAAGTCTGCAGGGAAGTAGGTATAGAATACCTCTGGATCGACTCTTTGTGTATCATTCAAGAACAAGAATCACAAGAAGACTGGGCAAAAGAAGCGCCGAGAATGGGACTTGTGTACGGCAACTCGAGGTTGAACATTTCCGCAGCAGCAGTAGCAGACTCCACTCAGGGGTGTTTTCAAGAGCGCCTCGGTCAATTTTCTTGGCCTTGTCCAGTTGTCCTTGCGAAACAGAAATGCTATCTTTCTCGATATCCAACGAAAGAAGAACACCATGGCGATCCGGGAGACCTTAATTGGGAGAACTCCGTAGCTCAAAGAGCTTGGGTTCTTCAGGAACAGGCCTTGTCTCGCCGCTCTATTATATTTTCGAAAACCCGTCTCATCTGGCGTTGCTCAACACTGTCGACCAATGAAAAGCATCCGCTAGGAACACCGCATGCCCCAAGCATATCAGCTGATAACCAGCGTCTACTCCACTGCATAATAAATGGCATAACATCATTCACGTCGAAAAATCTGAAGGTCGACATCTATACCTGCTGGTATAGAATGTTAGAGGATTTTACATCTCGAAGTTTAACATACGACGAAGATAGGCTACCTGCGATAGCTGGAATTGAAAAAAGGTTTGGAGAGGCAGCGGATGATGACTACCACGCAGGGTTGTGGAGGCATGACATGCTTCTCGGTATCCTCTGGCATGCAATCAGTGTAAATCCCGCAGAAACAACCAAATCGGTTAGGGCACCGTCGTGGTCGTGGGCGTCAGTCAATTGTGGAGTGAGCTACGCACATCTTTTATCAGCTGGCGCCGACGCTAGTCGTATCCCTCTCTCTCCACTGGCCGACATGCTTGACGTTTCTGATCCACCGACTTCTGAGGATCATCCGTTCGGAGTAGCGTCGAAAGCCTCGTTGAGGATGTCTGGCATTTTGTTAAAACTGGTGGAAGTTGATGATGAAGACTACGGGCTAGCTCTGGCCGAACACGGCACTCTGACCGAAAATGGCACCCGTCTTTTGGGCGATATTGAAGATGACACCTGGGACGTCTGGGATCTCGAACCGTCAACTCAAAGATCTTTATTCTGTTTACCTGTCTGCGTACGTCATGATCCTTACTATCAAGGCGAAAGAGGCGATGGCGAATTGTACAAAGCCTCGTGGGAAAAGTCCCTGGAGACAGGAATAGACGAATTCGAGCGATACAATAAGATATACTGCTTGCTCCTACAATCTGTTGAAGGGAATCAAGGCACATATAGCAGAGTAGGGCTATGTAATCTGGACAGCCATAAGACAATCGAGATCAGCAGAATGACCTTTCGAGACCGTAGGTCCCTCACTATCATTTGATGATCCTCGAATTGGTACAGATGCAGACCAGCCAAAAAGAATTTCCCATCTCTCGGACCGTCAAAAGAAACACAACAGACCTGACACATGGAGAATAGAGACGTTGTAAATGGGATACGCTGCACCAAACTCTTGCGAACTCTGGCGATGAGGCTCCGACCGCCTTACACAGGAGGAATCATCAAACAAGTGCAGAAACAACAACCTCTCTATTGCACGCTACATTGGTTCGATATAAAAAAAAGCTTAGCTAGTAATAGCACTCCAGACTTCTAGGTCATGTTTTGGTTCTATCTGCTCAGGGGCGATTCAGGTTGTCTACTTTGCAATCGCTGCGCTCAAGGCCTGTAGCCGTGGCGGGTGTGTTGAGAACGTAATGAGCATTAACAAAATTACTTTGTGCAACTTGAAGACAGTTGCGAGTAACGGCAGACACTTCGCATATTGGGGTGATCGTCAGCTGGGAGAGCAAACCAACAGCAGCGTCGTTGCTCTAGTGATATTCTTCTTGCTCTACGTTATTACGAGCGCTTACTGTGAGGTAGGTCTGATCCTTTGAATCGAGAATATCTTTGTTGACTTCAGAGAAAGGGAGCGCGGATGTCGAACGAAGGAGCTGAACTGAACGAAAGCAAAAAGATCATCTTCACAAAAAAGAAGGGCCGAACCGGAGTCGAACCGGTGACTTCGGGAAGGCGGTTTATTGGTGAACTGCAGTCCTACACTCTACCACTGAGTTACCGGCCCGTCTGGTGAATATGGAAAACTTGGGAAAAATTACACTAATAAATGCAATGCATGAGAGGCTTACATCTTCGAATGCATCCAAGATACCCCCCCGTATATTACGCCACGTGGGGTATGCAGGTGTTCCAGTGGGGTCTTGCCAAAATCATGTTGTCAGCACTGTTGCGAGAGCCAAGATAATACGTTGCGCACTTTCCCGTTCTACAAGCGTTGTGACACTCAGCGCACGATGCGATAAAGGCAGCTCACCATGTCGTCGTGGCAGGTACACTTATACACTGTCCCTGTATATCTTGTTAGAAACTTGTCCATAGTACTATAGAACATGCTCTGCTCCACATCAAATCCAAAGTTTGTGGTGGCACTAGAGCAGCACCCACTGGGTCCGAGCATTACAACCTGCCTTCTCGCAAAGCGCATTGCATTCTCGCTCGAGTCCAAGCAACTGCTCACTTACTTAGTCAAACCTATCGTGGAGTAGACGTAACAACACTGATCACGCAAAAGCCACTTGCTTACAACCGTATTCGCGTCCTACTAAGAACGAACGAAATAGGTGCATACCGCCGTAGAATAGATATAGCGACAAGGTGTTTATCATTATATATGGGATGTAGCCACTGATGCTTGAGAAGAGCCTACTGTTCTGTTCAGACCTGCAATTGCTGCATGTGTAATTGTTAAATGTACATTCTCTGTGATGTGTTGTAGATGGAATGTACATGTAAGCAATTGAGCAAGATGTCATTCGAGGTTGGCCCGAGCGCGGCGAGTTCGCATCTCGAATCATGAGAAAAGTCTCCCGGAACACCAATTCGCAACACCACGTCGTCATACACTCCCCAGCAATACCGCCCAAATGGCTGCACCTGCCAGATGTATGGCCACGGCCACGAGAAGTATCCAGAGCTCACAAGCGGCGCGCATCACGTATCGAACATTCGCCTCTAGCACATCGAGTCCGGCCGCATCGTCGCGGAAAGTAGCGGCGGCAAACACAACATGTCTGAGGCAACTACAGACAGCACGGAACGCTTCTGGGAAGGCAGCGACGAGCTGCCAGAGTCAGACAAGGAATTTCTCGCAATCGGCATCGCGGAGCAAGCTCAAGACGATAGATCAGATCCGGGCAAGAAACAAGGGCGGGGTATGTTTAGCTGTCTGACGGGCCATACATGAGATGGTAGAAACTCGGGCATATGATTAGAGGCTGACGATATCTGTAGCCATTCAACCTCACAGCCGCGATCCTCTTCGTCGCAGCCGGTGGAGGACTATGGGCCTACTTCACATACGAGAAAGAGCGCATGGCACGAAAGCGGATAGCAGAGCAAACAAAAGGCATTGGCAAGCCCAAAGTAGGCGGACCATTCCACCTCGTAGACCACAACGGCAAGCCCTTCAGCAACGAGGACATGTTGGGCAAATACTCTTTGGTACGACAACACCTCTACTGCCTTCTCAGCTCTCATACTGACAGTAGTATTACAGGTCTACTTCGGCTTCACCCATTGCCCTGACATCTGCCCCGACGAACTCGACAAAATGGCCCTCATGTACGACAAAGTCGTTGCCGAATGCGGAAACGTCCTCCTCCCCATCATGATCACATGCGACCCCGCGCGCGACAACCCGAGCGTACTCAAGGAATATCTGGCCGAGTTCCACCCTGATTTCATTGGATTGACGGGCAACCACGAGCAGATCAAGGATACTTGCAAGGCGTATAGGGTGTACTTTAGCACGCCCAAGGATACCAAGCCCGGTCAGGATTACCTGGTTGATCACAGCATTTACTTCTATTTGATGGGTATGTTATGTTGTATATGCAGCGTGAGAGTTTTGGACTAACAGATGATAAACAGATCCTGAAGGCGATTTCGTCGAGGCCATCGGACGCAATTTCACGGCGGACCAGGCTGCCAAGGTCATTTCGGATCACATCAAGGACTGGGAGAAGCCGTTGAAGAAGGAGATGAGATGGGAGTAGATGGTTTAATGACACGAACAGAAATTCGGAGGTACAAATAGATTGGGGGTGGGTGGTTTGCATACAATCACTCCTGAGAAGTGAGCGCAGGGTGCATCGACTGCGAGCAGAAGTGTAGAACTGCTGTGTACGAATATGATGGGAGTGGACTTGTACTATACCACGGGCGAAAATGTGTAGATTACCTGTATGAACAACCATGTCGCAGATATGCAGACGCCTCTTGCAAGCATAGAGCTGACAGGTGTAGACGATAGTTCGACTATACTACACAAGCATAACATCGCAGACGCCATAGTCTTTTCTCATGGATTCGAACTTGACTTCTGCAAGATAATCAAACATTCCGATGCGCTCATATGCACCTACGCAAGTGGCTGACCGCCCGAGTAGGAGTCCCGTTACACCCCAGCCATATCTAAAGATTGGAAGAAGCATTACTGGGTAAGGTCCGCCTGAGCTGTCTTCCTGTTTTCCCTTTCGCTTCGTTGTACTCTCTTCAGTTCCATCCATAAGTCGAACATCCGTCCGAACAATAGGTGTATCTATGTAGGAAATCGTACCGGAAACATTGTGCCGCAAAGTTGATAGCTTGGTACTCTCCCAGAGACCTTCTGGTGAAGGACCAGCTTCGAGCGATGCCGAGATTAATATACCCGCCAAGTGTATTGTGCCAGACGAGACGGGACCGTACGGATTAGTCGTCGAAGGCGTTACTTCTGTTTGCACGTTGTAGACTAGTATTTCTTCTGCAGCGTGATTTGATATAACGGTAGGATCGAAATCGATCGCATGAGGCAGTTCCAACGACATCCAACTCCAGGTAGGGGCAAAAGAGGAGGATGGACATCCCGGCGGTTTAGAGAACCATAATAACATTTTGCAGAGATCTTCTTTCCACAAGCCCGCGAGATATGTACCTTGGTATCGTGAATGAAACCGAGCGGCAAGAGCTGAAATTGCGACTGGTGTGTCCGTCATCCTCGTCAGTAACCTCCGGCAATATGGATATACAACACGAGTACTCCACAGCTGTGCAAAAGCTTGTGGATTAGTGGTATCCATCCTGGCCCCAAAACTGCCTTCCAATTGTGAGTTCAAATCGCTGTCCAGGTTATTCCCGTGATGCTCGCAGCAAGAAGACTCTTTGCATTCCCAACTCATCTCCCAGTTGCCGTACGCGAGGAAGCGACGAGCACACAATCTCTCTTGTAGAGTCCATCCCCGCTTGTGCAACGGCTCCTCGATGAAGTCATGCGAATCGGGCACTATTCTGTAGGTGAATGTAGTCTCGCTTCCTTTCACATCTAGACTAATTGTTCTTTCACAGGATTGCCTTGGTTTTCGGAGGAACCCTTCATTTGCTGATCCCGCTGCAACACCAGCCAAGACCAGCTCGGCATTGCTGTATATGCTCGCCATTTTACTTGATTGCTGCTCCCAGTCCAAGTCGTCGTCTTGGACAATGCATAAACTATCGATCCAGATATGCGAAAATCCAAGCGCTCGAGTGATATATATGGCATCCGAGAATGTCCGGGGAAGATCATTGGCAGGAATTTGCTCTTGAAAGCCAGCCAGAGATTTCAACGTGGTTTTAAGTGGTTGGGAACCGCCCCAGCAGTGGCTGAGCGCGACATAGGAGCCCCGGGTCGACTCCTCTGGATTTACTACAAGCTTAATGGCATCGCCCCGGAGTTCGACAAGCCGAGAGGGACCAGCTGTATCAAACTTCTCATCGCACCGCCGGTGCCCATTCTGACAGGTCGACAACCATTGCTTTGCCAAATTCAGGCACGCAGAATCTATGGCTTGCCGAGGGATCGGCTTGTATCTCTCCAAGCGAATGTGAAGACCGGAATCTGCGGTGTTGGTTTGGGAGAACATATCCATCGAAAGGGCTAGCTTTACCTTCTAGATATATGGCGATCGTTGCATAAACGCCGCGATCAACAGTATGCGGTAATTTGGAGAGTATGTTGGCCAAACGTAGGGAGTACTGTCCGTTTGTAGTTTGTCCAATCTTCACATATCCTGACCTATAACATCCATATTGCTGTCCTGCATCCGCCCAAACCGCAGCTATAAGGCGACAAAATAGGCAGCCATTTGCTGCACCTTCTTCCCAATATCTCTGTGCCTCTTGCTGGTTGAAGTATTCGGCCACCGACTTCAAGTCCAGATCGTCTGCAGAGAGGTCGCTGTTACAATTAGAACATCGCTTGGCCATGTCCGTGGGCATTATCGAAGGCGCAGGACGTGTGAAAGCGACGTGTTCGCTACCCTCATACTGCATAGCTATCGATCGTGTTGCGATGATGCAAGAGAATGACTTGGACAGGAAGAATAAACGAATTGGGAGGAACAAATTAGATAAGCCTCTGTGATGTTTGTATCGCGAACGTTTTGTCGTGTCGGAAGGTAGGATAGAAGACGTCAGGCTGAGGCAGAAGCTGAGCTAACATGCTAAACCCGCATGCTGCGTGATGAGTTGGCTGCGCGAACCCAGCCAATATAAACCTGATTTACGCGCCCTCCCCTGTACACTAGTAACAGCGCTATACACTCTGTTAAGAAGAAAAACTACATAGTTCTTGAAGTACCCCTTACCTCGCCCTACTATAGCGATATATGGTGAGAGCGATGTATGTGTATATAAAGAATATAGAAGCCTACAATGCTTCTAGTCACTTTAGGTTTTCTCTTTTGAAATCAATGTAGGCTGTAAGGTAAGGTCTCACATCTATATACTTATTTTATCTTCCTCTTGTGTGCGGTAACAGAGGACCATGTTATCTTACCTAATACCAATGGCCTTCAGAAGCTTTTCTTTCTGTGTTTTTCCAATCGCGCCTTCTGTTTCAACGTCCTTTACGACCTCGCTCATACTCTCCACCTCTATGACGTCCATACCATGTGCAAAGTGCCATAATTCTTCATCTTCATACCGTACCTGGAATGCTTGCCAGTTCTTTGCTTTTAGATCATTGACATGTTCTGTGACAGCTATCGATGGACCAGAGTAGACGAGAACACCGGGATAGCCAGGCTTAGTGATTCCACATACAGGAGGCGTCGCCGCTGGAGGTAAGAGAGCAATTTTGCGTTTATTCGTGTTCAGAAGATGGTGCAGCCAGACGATGACAGTTTTCGAGGTGCTGCCGTGGGCGCCTGCCGTTGCGTCGCTATTTACTGAGACCGCGTTTGATATGGCAGGAACAGATTCGATAATTTGCTGAAAAGCAGCGACGATGGCATCAAGCGCTTCCTCTCCTTCAGCTAACCCAACGTCCTTGACCGCGACTTTTACACGTGTCCGCAAGTCGTTCTTTGCTGCGTCAGTCGCAGAGATGATGTCCGGCAATCCTAATTCCGGATACGACTCCGGTAACCGAAGAAGGAGCGATGCATGGTTGTCGTGTGAGAACTTTAACTCCCGTGACTTGGGGTCATAGTGCGTCTGCTCGGGATACATGGCCTCTAACAGCTCGAGCTCGGTTTCAAGGCGGGTGGGTCCATGGTCTGACATGGTAGATGCAGATGCAGCTGGAAGTTGGCGAAACGGAAAATTCTACTGTATGCTTTTGTTCGGCAACGATGGACAGGGGATTGGGGGTATCTGGCATATAACCTGCTTTTGTTGCAAATCAAGAGGCACTGAGTGGACCGGTGTATCAAGTGATGCTTCGTATTAGGATAGTGTGGATGGATGTATTGGCCTCTTCTTCTCAGGATCGCGATCTTCAAGTCTAGGCCCGTGCATAGTGTCCTGGATGACATGGGGACCAAAACAATGGGTCAGTAGTTCGTGCCGCATAAATGATAAGAAACGTAGCTCGTTGTTGGATGCATAAGTGGCGCTGGAAGAGGCCCATATCTCGCTTGTGTCTCAGCTTTTAGCCCGCTGCTGTCACCGGGGTGATGAAGGGGAGGGATGTCAACAATCTTGCTTCGCGGCGGCTACATGAACAGGTAGAGTGCTCGTCCAACAGCAGCAAAGCTGCGCGCAGGAATTAACGCCTCAAGACGCGTCCTTGCTGCAAGATACACCCGCTTTATAGAGAGGGCGTCGTGCCCGGTGCATCCGACCGTGAAACTAAAACCAATAAGCTTTCCTGATCGAGCTAGCAGGCGACGCGGAGTTCGCGCGCTACTGGGCTCGTGTGCAGGCCGCCCAGAGAGGTGCTAACCACTCCCAAGACGCATCAATTACCTCAAAGACTATCTCGAGAGATCTGCACGCTCCCAAAGAAAACATTGCATTCCAGACCCGAGACCATATCCGCTGCCATCCTCTCGTGAACGCTCACAAATCATCTTCTGCAATCAGCACTCACGGCACCCTCTCTGCAGCGACGCAATCATAGTCTTACACCAACAAACCAACATCTTACGCATACCTCCACGTACACGCTTCCATACAACCGACGATTCAGAATCTCGATTCTTGAAAGGGCCCATGAGCCGTAGCCTCTCCGAAAATGAAGGCTGCTCCGCTTTTGGTGTCCTGGCACAACGAGAACGCTCCCATATACTCAGCTCACTTTGAGCCGCACGGCAAGGGACGTTTAGCAACAGCTGGCGGAGACAACAATGTCCGGGTGCGTCGGCATGAAAATACCAAGGACCTGGACTTGCGCTAATACATTCAACAGCTTTGGAATGTCGAGACACATGGTGAAGAGCGCAGGGTCACTTATCTGTCAACCCTCGTAAAGCACACACAGGCCGTGAATGTGGTACGATGGTGTCCACGAGGTACTTCTCTTCTGCATATGCAAACAAGAATAGCAACTGATCTCTTATAGGCGAAATGCTCGCGAGCGCTGGCGACGATGGCAACGTCCTGCTATGGGTTCCAGCTGAGAACCAGACCACACACAACTTCGAAGAGGGTCTCGAAGACAAGGAGACATGGCGGGTCAAGGCCATGTGCAGGTCTATAGGCTCTGAGATTTACGACCTTGCCTGGTCTCCAGACGGCGTCTTCTTCATCACAGGAAGTATGGACAACATTGCCCGCATATACAACGCTCAAACCGGTACGGCATCTGCCCTGGTACCACCTGTCCGATAGTCGCTCAATAGTCTCTAGGAAGCATTGTACGCCAGATCGCCGAGCACAACCACTACGTTCAAGGCGTAGCATGGGATCCCATGAACGAATACATCGCGACCCAGTCGTCCGATCGATCCGTGCACATCTACACACTGAAGAACAAGGACGGCCAATTCTCGTTGGCCCAGCATAGTAAGGTCACCAAGATGGACCTACCCGCGCGACGTGTGTCCTCGAATAGTCCTGCACCTCCAGACTTCGGCGGCCGAGCATCCTTCGTTGCCGACTCTACAATGGCCATCGGCTCGCCGGTGCCATCGATGCCTGGCACACCGCAATCACTGGCCCTCCCGACCATGCATCCGCCGCCAACTTCACACAGTCGTCGTTCGTCCTTTGGCTCCTCCCCATCGATGCGCCGCTCCGCCTCACCCGCTCCCTCAATGCCACTACCAGCGGTCATGCCGAACTCTCCTAGTATTAGCAGTATCGGCACGATTGGGGTTCGCAATGCACCCATCTACTTCAACGAAACTTTGACCTCGTTCTTCCGACGCCTTACATTCGCCCCCGATGGCAGCTTGCTGTTCACGCCCGCAGGCCAATACAAGGCGATACACCCGTCCATTGGCGAAGCGAAACCAGCCGAGGACATTACAAATACAGTGTACATATATACTCGCGCGGGGCTGAACAAGCCTCCGGTTGCATATCTTCCGGGTCACAAGAAGCCATCGGTTGCTGTTCGTTGCTCGCCAGTGTACTATACCCTACGCCAGACTGTTCCACCAACAAGGCAGATCACCATCGATACTTCAAACATGGACGACGAGATTCCTTCCTTACCCGAGCCAGTCATGCCTTCAAAGCCTCCTACGTCTCATTCATCCATGGATCCTCCGCCCATTACAAGTGCACCTTCTCCTTCTCCAAGCCTCTCAGCACCGTCACCAAAGCCCACCGATGGCGAAGCTTCCTCCCAATCTGGGGTGCCAGCCGGGCCCCCATCAGCTTTCACTCTCCCATATCGGATGATTTATGCCGTTGCGACACAAGATGCTATTCACATCTATGATACGCAGCAACAAAAGCCACTGTGCATTGTCAGCAATCTGCACTTTGCTACTTTTACTGATATTACTTGGTAAGTGATTGAGAACGATATTGGCCTGTGACGCGACTGACATGTTCATAGGTCCAATGATGGCTCTATGCTGCTGATGACTTCCTCCGATGGCTTTTGTTCATCGGTCACGTTTGCTCCTGGCGAACTTGGAGAGAAGTACACTGGACCGCTAGCTGTCCATAGTCGACCACAGCAGACACCTGCTGCGATCAATACCACAGGGGGCCACGCATCCAACAACTCTACTCCAACCCCCACACCAACAACTGGAAGCATGTCAGCTACTGCAACGGCAACTGCGCCACCTATGCAGAGGCAACCATCTGCAGGCTTTCCAGCCTCTCCGAGCTCCTTCGTTCCCGCAAGACCTGGCAGTCCCACAAGGAGCAACTCTGTTTCCAGCATTGCTACTGCTTCGTCCTTTGCTCCAGGTGCAGGTGACCAGAGCAACATGAACGCCCCAACCCCAGCTATGTCGTCTGTTCCTAGTATAGCTGCTGCCAATTCTGGGCCTGTGCCAATGTGGACGCCACCCCTTACGCCAGCTCATGGACAAGGCGCGACTCACAGTGCAAGCAGCTCAGTCAGTGGCATACCCAACATCGGCCAGGTCGGACGAAGAGAAAGCGAAATGAGCGAGTCTGATCGTGAAGATGTATCTTCAACCTCGAAGAAGCGAGAGTTGCACGCGGTACCAGAACCAGACGTGGATGTGCGAGAGAGTAAGAGACGACGAATTGCGCCAACACCAATTACAATGATGGCGGAGGGCGACAGTGCAATTGCCAGCACCGAAGAAGATACCCCCACGCAGACGCCAGGCCAGCAGTAGGCTTTTCATATTGTTCAACTGTTCCTCCGATTTGATGGTTGCGTATACCTTCCTTTAAGCATGGCGTTTAGGATATGAGGGTTTCACCCGCGGCGATATCAAGTACAGGGCTTTTCTTCTGCCTGATCATTATACTAGCAGGGCGTGTTTATCATCCGACTGCACGATGATACGTGCGATTCATGGTTCAAAAGATAGGTCACAATCAATGCAGGTAAATTCAAGTAGAGTCACTCTTTCTTGGCGGCACGTGCAATCTTCGTCTACATTTTTCTTCTCCCAATCAATCTCTCTGACGTCGGCACCTCTGTCGCATGTAGCCGATCTCCGTATTCAATCACCTCGCGCGCGCATCTCCACATACACACACACATCCGACATCCGATCATACAAACCGTTCATGCTGCAAACACCTTCCCACAGTGGTATCGGTATCGCTAGCGACGCAACCCCCCAAGAGATTCCAAGAGATTATCCCCTGTCACGACCAGCCCGCTTGCCATGTCAGCCAATCACAGCCCAGCTGTGAGCTTAGCAACCGGCTTCCTTGATTTGTCGCGTTGATCGCTGCGTTCGGCCCAAGCGAAAAAACGTGGTGAGATCGGACATTGCATTGGGTAGGAAAAGCGGAGGAGAGGAAATGTCTTATGCCGCCGGTGAGATGTCGATGCTGTAGATGTTTAAGTCTACCTACCTACCCCTCTGCGTTCCCTGGCCCCTGTACTCCTCCTTCCCCCCCTCCCCCACCTGTCTGTTTGGGTACGACGCATCATTCCAATTTGCTTGTTTCCTTGGCTACTTTTGCCGTGGCTTACTGGGTGTCGCGTGCGAACTTTTTTTCCTTTTTTTACGTCTGGGTAAAAGTGTTTTGAACACAAGGTACTCTTGGTGGTTGTGTCGCGTTCGTGTCGCCCTTTAGCCCGTTGCGAAGATGGAGGATACGGCTAAGATTGGAGATGATAAGAAGGTGGTGCAGGAGCAGGAACGGGAGCAGGATCACGATGTTGAACAGCAAGATGCATACGGTGAGACGAGGAGTTTGGGTAAAGACGATATCTTGCAGCTCGAGCATACGGATCCGGCGCTGAATGCAAAGATGCATTTGGTCAACAATGCTATCGACGAGGTGAGCTTTGATTTTAGGAAGAGAGTCTAGTTGTGTGTACTGATTGGTTGGGTGTTTGCAGATTGGGTTTACGACGTATCAATGGAAGGTACTATTTGCCTTTCCACAATGACTTGGACGACTCTAATCTCATTCAGCTCTTCGTCTTGAATGGTTTCGGCTACGCTGTCGATTCACTCATCCTACTTATACAATCCGTCATCGCTGCCCAGGCCACCCTCGAGTTCAATCCTTCCTACCAAAACGGGTTGACTATCGCCGCCTACGTTGGTATGCTCACGGGCGCTTTATTCTGGGGCCTATCTGCCGATATTATCGGGCGGAAGACGGCCTTTAATGTTAGTCTGCTGATCTGCTCCATCTTTGCGATTGGTACGTTTCAATTGTACTACATGCTTGTGAGATATGAACTAATTTCGTACGTGCAACTTTGCAGTGGCTGGTGCAAGTCCGAATTGGGAGGTCTTGGGCCTGTTTGTATGCTTGAGTTCTTTTGGCGCTGGGGGTAACTTGGTGGTAAGTTGTGCCTATACGAAATGCATGTGAGACATACACTGACTTCGTAATTGCAAATCTGCAGCTGGACACGGCGGTCTTTCTAGAGTATTTGCCTAGTTATAGGCAGTGGATGCTCACACTCATGGCGGCTTGGTGGGGTATGTAACTCCTCACTCTCGGTCGACCAGAGTGCAGCAACAAGGTCCTCAGACATACTGCATGCTAACAGCCCACACAGGTGTCGGCCAACTCGTCGCCGGTTTCTTCGCTTGGGCCTTCCTCCCAAACTTCAGCTGCGCAGATCCATCTATTGACCCAACGGCCGGACCCTGTACAAAGTCCAACAACCAAGGCTGGCGCTACGTCTGGTACGCTTCCGGCTCCTTAGTCTTCGTCATGTCCATCCTCCGCATAACCGTCATCCGACTGAAAGAGACGCCCAAGTTCCTCGTCAGCGAAGGAAAAGACGCAGAATGCGTCGAAACTCTCCAATTCATCGCAACAAAGTACAACCGCCCTTGCAGTCTCACACTCACCCAGATGCAAAACTGCGGCACGGTAGATCGCGTCGCAACACGAGGAAACAAGAGTAAATGGGGTTTTGGAGAAATCGCCATGCACCTACGCGGTCTTTACTCGACGCGAAGAATCGGTCTCTCGACGTCTCTAATCTGGCTCTCCTGGACACTGATTGGTCTCGCTTACCCTCTCTACAACGTCTTTCTCCCCGCTTACCTTCGCTCCCGCGGCGCCGCTTTTGGTGAGCCCTCGCCCTCTATTACCTGGCGCAACTACACGCTCGTCAATTTCAGCGGTATCTGGGGTCCAGTGCTAGCTGGTTACATGTGCCATACGCGTCTTGGTCGGAAGTATACAATGGTCATTGGCGCTTTGGTCACTATGGCCTTCTTCTTTGCGTATACGCAGGTTCGCACTGCGGTGCAGAATGTGGCGTTTACTTGTATCATCAACTTTTGTCTGAACATTTATTACGGAACGCTATATGCGTATACGCCGGAAGTGCTACCGAGCGCACACAGGGGTACTGGCAATGGGATTGCGATTGGGTGGAATCGTGTCATGGGGATCTTGAGTGCGGTTATTGCAACGGTTGCTGATGTAAGTCTTCTCTCTTTTTTTCCCTTGTCAACCTTTCTCTTTCTTCTATTAAACGCTCGGTACGAGGGTCTTGCGGGGTTTGTCGCTAATGTGTGAGGTCAGACTGGGACTGCCGTTCCGATATACATTTGTGCAGCGTTGTATATCTTTATGGCATTGATCGCGGCAATTTTCCCATTCGAACCCTATGGCAGGAGAAGTTCATAAAGAGTACGAATAGGTACTTGTCAACTACCATCTGGGTTGCAATATCTCAAGCCGAAGCAATAGGAAGGATCAGGCGATATTATTTTGCTGCCTGCAAGCTTCCATTAATTGTTTCTGACGATATAAATGCAGCAAAGTCACCGGAGAACCTACATGAAAGCCAGTTCGTAAATACCTCAAAAACGTTTACAGTCATTTAGTGCTACCCAAGCCCAAAACATGTTGATAAAGTACTCTGTCCTACCATGCATCTTCCAACATTAGGTATGTTTCTTTTCTTCATCTCTCAAACCGTTGTGATGCATATGCTCGGCTGCCAAACCAGCTCCATCCGCTGCGACATGGGCTACAGCTTTAACTGCCATCTGATCTGCCATAGTGACGACTCCGTGTTCTATCCCTTCTGCCATTAACACGTCAGCACCCCAGCCTCCGACACCCAGCGTTGCGATCCCCACAGCGCCACTGAACATTGCAGATCCCATCACATCCCGTTTGCGAGTCCTGTGCTGCTCTTGGTAGCGAGAAAGATGTCGATCGATGATGTCGCGTTTCTTCCGGGCATTGTGTATGCCTGCACCTCCGATCAAGACTCCGATCCCGCTCATGCCGAATGTGAAAGGTACTGCAAGGCTGGAGATGGTAGTTGAGGTGGCCGATCCGGTGATGAGACGTGTATAGTGGTTCCATTCACGTTGCAGCTCTTCCAACGACATCTGAGAGCATTCTGCATCATACTCATCGAAGTTGAATGGCATCGCCGTGATTTGAGATGGGTAAGTTCTGAAACGAAGGATGAGATGAAGTTTCCGGAATGCGCTCGTTGTGGGATGCTGGATCTATTCGAAAGTGACCGATGAATCATCCTGCTTTATACAATTTGATTCCCGCTATACTCAGTATCTAACATCAATCTACTCACATGGCGCGTGGGCTGTGGCCTCAAGCCTCTGTGTAGCGAGACTCGCACCATATGCTCAGCTGGGGCTGAGGTCAGCTTCTTTCATTTGTTCTGTTCTCGCAATGAATCTGAGCCACAACCAGAAGCTTCCATGTGTGGCCCATCATATCAAAGCTCTCAGCATAGCCTCTGGGTCGAAGTAGTCAACTTCACAGGCGAACGGTATAGTGGCGTCACGGTACGTTAGGCAGAACTGAGATATGGATGTCAGCTGAATCGAAAATAGCAAGTCGCTGGCCTCTTCTCCCATGGTCTTATGGCCGGCGACTGGAAATATCTGACCATGAATTGGTTTCTGTGATCTTGAGATTCTTATGAGGGCTACCAAGCCTTAATTTTGACAGTACTATGGTACATCGAAGTGTTTGAGCAAAGGATGTTCGTGATCGATGGGAGACGCTGGGGCTGGAAGAGCACATGTCCGAAACAAAAGCAAAAACAACTAAGCGAGATGATACATAAATGCATTACCAATGAGTTGAACATTCCATCTTTGGGAGGATTACTATTTTGGGCTCCAGGACTTGCTATTGATGCGGTACATGATCTAGTATAGTCTCGCTCTGCTCTCAACGAGCGATCGAGTGGTTTAGCAGAAGCCACCCACCTGCCAGCGCTTTCTTGCATTCAACTTGGGCTTAGAACCTTACTTGGATATGGTGTTTCTAGCTTCAGCACCGCATGTCGTACATTTCCGTCTTTGCAAGCCAGAAGTACTGTACTGGTCGTTCGTCTTGCACCGACATTTCTTTTCGTACTGCTCTTGCATCTCGTCCTCTAGTTCACCTTTGCACCCTATTTCAGTTTGGCGAAAAAAGCCTACGCTATACCCTGGAGGTATGCATCGTTTCTCTTGTTTACACCGGTAACCACAGGAGATGTTGTACATCTTCATATTGCAGTATACCGTCGCACAACGAGCTACAGACTCACCTAAAGTTCAGGACGCGCGATCAGAACAACCGGATCAATGCATGGTGCAATGCACGGAATATGAGGTGTACAAACTAAGCTTACAACCAGCTTTCTCAAGACTGAGTCTGGAACGAGGGAACGCATCTTGAGGGGCACTTTCCGGAGTCACTCGGCCTCCTCAAAAAATGTCACGTTGGGCGTAGTCAATGGGTGAAGGGTGAATATAGGTTTGATGGTATATGAAGCACGAGTGTACGAACTCACCCACTATGTCATTACGCTAGCTAGTTTTGCCAGTATCCCTATTCATAGGCGCTGATAGATGCGCCATGATATCTGCAATAGAAGGGCAGCCCAGTGTCTCCTCATTACTCATGTGAATTCCGTTCTCTGAGTATTCGAAAGCGAATGCGGCAGCGGCTACACTGTTATCCCAGATTTCATAGAAGGGGGTCTTGTCGGTGAATCCAGGATGTAACCTGAAGTCGGATCCCAATACTGATTCCCAAGCAGATAGCACTAGCTTCTCCAAAGCTTTGGAATATTCTGTTGCTCATATTGATGACAGTATTCTCCGCGATCAGGAACAAGGAGAAGGTACGTGCAAGGCATCGTCTCCCTACATCGCGCCCACTCACAGAGTGAAGGGGACAGTGTACATCGAAAAACTGCACGTAGCCGTACGATGGGTCTGGCTCACCCTACCAGTGCTCTTCACGCTTTTGACTGGGTTTCTGCTCGTATTTACCATATTGGGCAGCCATAGGCAGCAAGCGGGAATCTGGAAAGATAGTTCGCTTGCCCTACTGCTTTGTAGCAAGTGGCATGCGGGATCATGGTAGAACATTGCGACAGCTAGTACTACAGACGAGATTGAACGGAATGTGAAAGGACTTGGGGCAGTTTTAGTACATCGCGAGGATAAGGAAGAAGGGGTGAAGGGTATCGTCAAACTTCAGCTGCTTTGGATGTATATGTCGCATTTTGCTCGGGTGGTAAAGTTCCCGTTTCGAGAAATTATTCAGGCATGAATAAGCTGATGACCGTATGCATCGGCAAGATCGGTATGCTTAATAGAGTACATGTATGTGAACACGAAGTACATGGTCAATGAATTTTGAGGTAAACAATTCATACTGGCCTCTATCCGTCTTTCAATCATCCCACAACCCCCATCGGCGCCATTCCGTCCGGCGCCATTCCATCCGGCGCCATTCCTTTCTTTCACGCACATATGTCTTCCAACGTAATACAGCCCGTACGACGGATGCCACGCGTTGGAATCGTGATATCAAGGTATATCTCTTGAAGTCAAGTAAATCGACTCTACAGAGTGGGACGATTTCCGGATCTATTGTCCTCGTCAAGGCGTGCACAAGATGTTTAATCTGATCGCGGTTCAAAGAGTCCTCACCGAAGGCAAGGCCTAATTTGAGATAGCCGGAGCTCAAGTTCTGGTCGCAGACCATTTGCATTTGTGGTGGCTGTACTGGTGCAAGGCAGATGTTCTGCTTGTTGGGAAGCAGTGACCAGAGCATGAGAGGTGTTTCAGATCTTTGCGTATCTTTCAAGATCCACTTGTGCAGATCCCGAGTTGAGAAAGATTCAGTCCTGTGCTTCCTCAATGCGTCGGTGAGAGATCGGGTGAATGTCTTCCCTCCAATACCGCCCAAGTCTTCGCCGACTGTCATCAGTTCGAATCGCCTCCTTTGCTTCAATCTCTCCTCACTCTCTATATATGCTACGTCTTCTTCTACATCTCTTCTTTGATCTGCGCCTACCACACTAGTGTAAGGCGTGTCCAATATCGCAAGGATATCGCCTTGGATATGGCGCAGTTGTGGTGAAAGGAGATTTGACTGGGCTCGCCGCAAGACCATGTGTTTTATATCTGGAATGTACCAACCGTTACCGGCATAGTAAATGATGAGTAGGTTTCTTGAGCCATCGTGCAGGCGGACAAAAGAATCGACATGGAGATCAAACTGGTCCCGTGCTTCAAACTCATTTTGAGCGCTAAGTTCGACAATATTCGTGCGGAAGTGGAAGTGTTCGTGAAAGACAGATTCGAGCTCTTCAACCTAATAGGTGTTAGTATTCTCTATGACTATCATTGTGGACAAACAAAAATCTGGCTGTTCTAGTACTGTTACCCGTTTTCAAATGAAATCAACGCACCTCTTCATAGGTCTGAAGCTCGTCAAACTCGTTAACCCATCTGATCAGCAGGACTGAGACTCTCTCGTGGTTTAATTCTGGGGATTTGCCGTCGCTGATCGCCTCTCTCCACCATTTCTGATGACGCGTACTCATGACTGCAAGGGGATCACGAGTTATGGTGAGATGTGTTCTTGTGGTCTGGAAAGGCTCGATATGATTTGGACGGGTCATTTCAAAAAGTGGAGTATGCAAGTCGTTTACCTCTTTGTTATCCGAGGTGCTTCGAATTTCCTTCCGTAGACGGATGAATGCTTTTGCCCGGCCCTCCCCATATATGAGTGGCATATGCAGGTCGAACAGACCGAGAAGCGAGTAGGCCGCGTCCTCTTCCCGTTTGGTCTCTCTCCCTGCTGCCCAGGATAGACGTTCTTCAACGCTGAAATTGTTCATAGATAGATGGCTTTCTAGCAGAGCGTGAGCGGGTATGTTGGTTGTTTTTTGAATGTCTGCCAGAAGCGTGTACTTGTTGCCAAGATAATACCCGTGCTGAGTGAAAAAGGTGACTGAGGTAGGGGCGAGTAGTTCTTGTAAAGTCCAGCCTCTTGTGAACCACTTGCTCTTGACGAAGGTTGATCTCCATGTAGACTGCGAAACATCCGCAAGAAAGACGTAACATTTAGCTGCCTTCTTATACCATGAGAACATTGAGTTGATCGCTTCCGAGAGCTCTGCACTACTTGACTTATCAATGCAGCACGTATCTACCTTCTCAAAGTCAGCTGGGTAGGACTGGGGCGAGCTAGTCAAAGGTTACCCAAAAATATGCTAACCCATCATGAGCAGCTTGCGTAGCGCAAAATCGGAGCTTTTTGTATCCGGATTTGTCTTTGCCTCTGCGTTTCATCAGATCTTTAAAGGACACCTCCTCGCTATCAGGACCCCATGTATGCGATAGCACAGCATATGGTGGGATTTCTCCGAAGAACTCTGTAAGGCTGAACTCGCCGTCAGCTTTGACATGCAGGAGGCGCATAGCGATTGATCAACATGGGAAGGTCAACTATAAAGACATTGCGGAAGCCGCGAAGACGTTATTGCGCGCTGTTCGGAGGAGGTAGCGGTGAGTTGGAGAAGTGGCCATAATCGAATAAGCAGTGGCGTTTTCCAAGCCATACAGTCGAGATGCAGCCTTCAGAGAGACATGGGCTGGCGTCGCGTGGAGCTGAGGTGGGGGCGGGGCAGATTGGCAGGGTCCATGACGGAGCTTCGCGTTCCTCGAAATATCTGACACTCCAGGCACCACACTTCTTCCACAAAAACATCCTCCCGCCCAAGCTCTGCGCATCAATTTCATACTCAGATTATACAAACGAGTTCTGCATTCAAACCGCCATCATGCAGATGCCAGACATGCCCGTCAACGTCCCCATCGACGACCCCAACGCCGACACAGAATGGTGAGCCAGGCGACCACCAACCCCAAGCAAGAAACGATAGCCTTAACAAGCGCGCAACAGGAACGATATTCTCCGGAGTAAAGGCATTATCCCCGAAAAGCCGCCATCGCCCACGCCCATGATCCAAGAAGCACTCGAGCAAGCCCGCCAACTCGCCCACGAAAACCGACTAGAAGGCAAAGATCTCGACGAACTAGCCGAGCTAGAGGACGAAGAAGACGACGACTTTCTCGATTCGTACCGTCAGAGGCGCATGGCTGAACTGTCGTCTATAAATACTGCCTCGGTCTACAATCAAGTCTACCACATCCAGAAACCCGACTACTCGTCCGACGTGACCGAGGAGAGCAAAAAGGCATACGTGCTTGTCCTACTTACGAGTTCTACTGGTACAAACACAGAGTCAAGAGTCATGATTGAGCATTGGAGGGACCTTGCGAAGAGATTTGGAGACGTCAAGTTTTGCCAGATGAGGGCGGATCTGTGCATTGAGGGGTATCCGGATAAGAACACACCGACGGTACTGATCTACAAAGATGGAGATATCAAGAGGCAGATTGTTACGCTGATGCAATTGAGCGGGCCGAGGACAAGTGCACAAGGTATGTCATGCTCACAGGTATAGATGGCAGTTTTGCGTTACAAAGATGCTGATTTGCTATGATAGATCTCGAAAGAATCCTCGTGGATGTTGGCGCGGTCAAGCTAGGAGACACCCGCCTCCAGAAGAAGAAAGACGAAGACGACGATGTCAATACGAGCAAGATAAGACAGGGAACCACCGCTGGCGACGATGACGATAGCGATTGGGATTGAAACAGCCGCGATTAGCTATCGTTCCTCGGCTGTATCATATGCCTCGTTGACACATCGTGTCACAGCAGGTGCATCTTCAAACTGAAGAGGAAACATGTTGCGAGGTGTGCATCACAGAGGGGGCAAGCCTAACGTCGTCCCAGCGATGGGTATGCTTCTGCCCCAACCATAGTCGTAGCGATACCTTGGAAGCACAGCCAATGACACCGCACACGGAGCGCAATATAGCAGGTTTGAAGATTGCCTCCTAGGTAAAATCTTTTCTTGAGACGTTGTGGAGGATACGCCGATGGTGTACATGCGAGATGTAGTTGTAAATCTGGGTCGTAGCACGTATGCATATGCACTCGTGGTACCATGACGACGTGGAAAAGCTCCCAGACGACCTGTTCTCGGCGTTTCAGCCATGCAAAATGTTTATGCTAATCTCCTTGTACACATTCTCAGCGTGAAGTTACCACTCTCACACACACACACGTCCATGTGCTATAGACGGCATCATCGACCGCTAGCTCATGACTTAAAAGAGCTGTTGGACAGGGATGAAGTGTGCATATGCTCTGTTGGATGACATGTTGAACTTTAAAGACTTCTAAGTTGCTTCAAAAAGGACTTTGCGCCTTTGGGAACGCTTCCCATCCGAAGCTTCATGCATAGATGTGGGGAATGTAGGCTGTTTTGACACGTATTACCGTATCTGGATATTGGTCAAGGATGACGGGTGATTAGCGAGCGTGGGGTTCTGATAGGCTCTGGTATACCTTGGCATGTTTGTTTAGTACTTGGAGATGTTGGGTGGGGTAGAGTGGTGGGCGGTGTTGGTGAAGTGTGTCTTTGTTCATGTATTGGTCTCGCGGCGATGAAGTCGCTACGTTGTTTCAAGTATAAACGTGTAGTTTGGTTCATAGAGACTCTGTTGTACTTGATGTGAATACTAGCGATGGAGAAGTGACGGACCAGGAACATGTTAGTTTCCTGAATTCGGTTTTCCTACATCAAGCGCCATAGAATGACTAGACACTGTATCGAATAACCTTTTTTTTTCGCAAGTGCAGACCGGACGCCTTGCCTTGTATCGTTGCCTCCTGATGGTTCGAGCGTCCCACTTCATAAGACTGCTCATCAGGCTACAGTAATGCCGAACGCCCAAAGCGCCCAAATCCCGCAAAGCAAACTTGCCAGCCCAAATGGTAAGGAAAAGACAGAGGAAAAAATGGGGTATTGACGAGAAGAAAGAACGTGGCGGCAACAGCAGGTCAGCCATCATATAAGTTCATCACCGCCGCATCGACGCGACTCTTCGATTGCTTGCCAGATGGTGCTCTCTGCAAACACAGGTCCATGGCCATCGCACGTCGTCTTCCCTTTGAGCCGCTCACATACATCAGCCACATCGACGAGACCCTGCTTGACGAGCGTATGCGATTGTATAAAGTCCCAGGCCTGCGCAGCCGGAATCTCTCTCCCCTTGGCTTTGGTCCTTGAATGCTCCCTACCAGCAGAATTCACAACGGAGCTGTTGGTCAGCGACTCGACGCTGTAGTCCATCTCCTGTTCATCGTCTTCCTCCGTGGGCAGATGAGCGCCGGGCGAGGGATAGCTCGCAGACACGGGGCGCGAGGACGCGGAAGAATGGCCACTGGTGGCGCGCAGGATCTCATTCTCAGTGCGGGCGCGATGCAGCGCGGCTTTCAAGCGCTCGTTGTCTGATTGAAGGGAGCGAGTGCTGGACTCGAGGCTCTCGAGCTTCGTCTCGAGCTCCTTGACATGGCGTTCTTTGCGCTCGCGGAATGCGCGCTGGCTGTGACACGCAAGTCAGCATTCTTGCCCGCAAGACGACAGTACGGATGGGACGGAAGAAAAAAAAACACACGCTGCCCTATTTTGTGCCTTGCGCCTGCTCTGGGCAGGCGTCAGATTGTCCTTTTCTTCGCTGCTGCTTCGCGTTTGGTTTGGCTGGCCATCTTCGAGCTCGGCGCCAAGTCCAGAGTCTACGCTGCCGACAGGCATGGGGGTGTGTGCTGCTATGTTCTCTGGAGAGCCCTGCTGGGGAGTCGGCAGGCCGTTGTTAAGGCTAAAGGCATCGTAGCATGTGGAATACAGTCCGGGGTCGAGAGGTTCCTGGTGCCGCGTCAGGTCACATTACTAAGGCGGTTTGCGGGGTCTTCCGCCACGCCCGCCGCCCGTCGTCCCTACTCACAATGCTCTGCGTCGTGTCTGTGTCGAGTCGGCCGTGGGCGAACGAGTGTGGCATGCCCAGGAATTGGTTGTAGGGCTGCTGGGGCCCGCCAAAGTACGAGTAGTCCATGGTGGTTTCGACGTTGCTGGCTAACCCGGCTGTAGCGCGACAGAGGAGCTCCACGCTACTATGGGTTGCTAAGTACTGACTGAGCCCTTGCAAAGCACCGAATAGCCCCCGTAGCGGATTCGACGCAGATCGAGAGTCGCAGCGTCGAGGCAACACCAAGGCTCAAGTATCTCCACGACACGCACAGCTGGACATCTGGGCCTTATAACCCAGCAAAACGGTAGGGGTAGAGCCTAGAGGTGCTCACTTCCGCTGCCATGACGCCCAACGTAATTGGTCAAACTAAACAGCCATGCAGATGGTGGCGCGAAGGCCATCTAGACGACCCCAGTACATGGTTTGCGGCCCATGGACTGCTTAGTCGGCGCTTCTTCAACCGCCCTGCGGTGCTGCAACCATGAGCACGCCTTCGACGCCTGCATGTGCCTGTTGTGTTACGCTGGCGACTCATCATGGCCCTGGCCCATCTCTTCACGTTGGACTCTTCAGCCTGTCAACAGCGCCTGCTTACAGTGTCGCCCAAAGCCGCGGATGACCATCTCCAGTCGCAACTGTAACAGACAATGGCCACATTGTTGCTGATGGCGGCCCTTATCGATCCGAACGCACGAGTTTCGCTAAATAGCCCAAACGGGTATTCTCCAGCAGAAGCAATGCTGACTGCAGCTTCGCAAGCATGATACTGTGTACTGTTAGGGTAGGGAACGGTGGCATCCTGGCATGAAATGCACCCAGACTCGCTACAGCCATGTCTCGCACGTGTACCCACTGGACGACGGTGCTGACTGAGTTCCATCGACACAAGCTGCATGCATTCTCATGTTCAGAGCATGCTGGGTGCATTGTGAGTACCGCTTGCGTCTGGTAGTCTGCATCTTTTCTGGAGAGCAATTTTCTCAAATCGACACATTTGGCAGGGTTACTTTACCACCGTAAGCCAGCTGTAGTACCCTGGCCCTACGCATCAGCAACCCCGGACACAGATCGCTGCTTGATCTCCACAAGCCAAAGCTGAAGCTGAATGGTGGAGATGAAAGCGTGAGAAATTTCCATGAGCACTCACGACATACCATCCCTCAGCGTTGTAAGCACTAGCCTCACATCATTTAGTGTACAAAATCGTCGCCCGTGGCGTACGTTCATCCTCAGCAAATCGGGTCTCACATCATCCTGCAGCCACAGTGTACGCGAAGCTTGCAATTACTGTGTCCTTCTACTGCTCCGACTACAGGACGGCATTCCCACTAGGATCAATTGATGGAGCCTCAATGCGTTTGCTCACGGTGTGGTTGTGTAGTCTCATTGACAAGCTTCGCGCCGTCATGCGCTCTGCATCGCAGATCAAGCTGCTGAACAAGTTGAGACTGTTAGCAGGGACGCGGCAAGACTTTATAGTAAAGGACTGTAGCGACACTCAAGAGATGCGTTCTCATAATGCTCGAGCTCCCTTGTGACACGTCTCTAGTCTGCTTCAGGCTTCTGATAACTTCTCACCATCCTAGTTGCTTTTGCTTCTAGTGAGAATGCACATACCTATTTTTCCTCTCCACTGACTGTGCAGAAGACTGTGGACACAACGACAATCACTACATTGGAGGTACCGTACGAAGCTGTAATCGACTAGACTGCGACAAGCTTCAGAATCTGCACAAGACCCATGATCGCCACATCATGCAGGTATCGCTAGAGCTTACTCGAAGTGGCCAAGATGATCTTCGTCTCTCCAGATCCGCCCGGGGCTCACGAGCATTCCCCAGTGTCGAATAGCGAGAAAAGTAGATTTTGTCTAAAGGCTGTCACTAATCACCTTTCATGCTCTTTTACTTCAACTCACGCAGGTAAGATGATTTGGATGCTTGTAACGCACTTGGCTAGCAGTAGTGCTATTTGTAGCAAGATAATTCTCGTTTCAATACGAGTACAAGGTGGTAACTTCGAGTCATTGTTGCCCTTGGTACGCTAGCAACCATACTTTCGGAGTGTACGCCACGTGGCGAGAACTACATCGCTCCATCATGTATCGAGTTCAATCCGATGATCCGTCCAGCATGATTGAGCTAAGTAGCCGTTATGGCTCCCAAAGAAAGACCGCCAAGGTCTCGACCAGGCCGTTCCCGAGTTTCGGAGCTTCGGATATTGACGCCAAGCCAGCGAAAATTTGCATCTAATCTTATCAATCAGTCTTAGCTGGACGCTATATCTCATGCAGGGCAGCATGCACGATATCTCACTGGATCGCCATGTACGAGAAGCTTTCCGGTGGTTCGGGACATGTTCCCAGAGAGGAAAAGTGATGGTGAATGTACGGAGTTGTTTGCCAATTCTAACCATGTCAGGCCACCTGGGCATTCACCTACCCATGGTCGACTCGCGCAGCGTTGGTACAAATAAGAAACCTCGCAGCGCACGCTGAGACCAGTATACTCTCTCACTGCAACCTCTCGTTCCAACCAGCCAATCGCCATGTCTCACCGTAGCGATGCTGACGTTGACAAGAACGTGCAGCTCAGCACCACGGTGACAGGCCTCGATTCACATGGGAAGCAAGAAAGCGACTTCACCACCTCCAACCAGAAGCCTCGGTCTCCAGCAGCACTGTCCAGTGCAAAGTCTCCCGGTGTCCTACGTATCGAAGCGCTCAATGCACACACATCTTTCATCAACCGCTGCTGCATCTTCTTCGGCATCTTCCTCGTCGCGTATGCATATGGTTTGGACGGCACGCTGCGGTACACTTACCAGCCTTATGCCACTGCGGGATTCCAGGAGCACTCGACCTTGGCCACGATCAATGTTCTGAGGAGTGTTATTGCTGCTGCTGCGCAGCCTACTGCGGCCAAGATCGCGGACGTGTTCGGCCGAGTCGAAGTCGTCGTCCTTTCCATCTTCTTCTACATACTCGGTAGGTCCCCCGGATCCGCATGGATATGTTATAGTGACGAGATGTCCGCCTCCTATCGTTTTTGCTAACACGGAAGTTTGCAGGAACGGTCATCGAGGCTGCTAGCAAAGATGTCGAGTCTTTTGCAACAGGTGCCGTTTTCTACCAGATTGGGTACACGACTATTATTGTTCTTATCGAAGTCATCATAGCGGATATCACATCCCTTCGCTCACGTCTCTTCTTCTCCTATATCCCCGCCATCCCGTTTTTAATCAACACATGGGTTAGCGGAGACGTCAGCCAGGCTGTGCTCATTAAGACGACTTGGAGATGGGGTGTAGGCATGTGGTGCATCATCTACACTGTGTGCTGCATTCCCCTAGTTGCTTCGCTCATGTGGTCGAGTCGACAAGCCCGGAAGGCGGGCGCACTCGACAAATACCAGACACCGTATCAGGTCCATGGCAGTAGTGTCAAGAATCTGCTAATGGCGCTCTTCTGGCAGATGGACGTTCCTGGCATCGTGCTGCTGATTGCTGTGTTTGGCTGCATTCTAACGGTGAGTTGGCGCACTTTATTCATCTATTGAATGTTTGCTGTGCTGACTTGTTGAAAAGCCTTTTACCATTGCGGGTGGCGAACAGTCACAATGGGGCACGGCTAAGGTTATCGCCCCCCTTGTTATCGGGTTCCTGTGCCTTCCCGTCTTCGTCGTATGGGAACGTAGAGCACCGCATCCAATGCTTCCCTTCTACCTGCTGAAGGACCGTGCGGTCTGGGGTGCTCTGGGAATTGCTTGTACCCTGAACTTCGCATGGACCATGCAAGGCGACTTTCTGTACACCGTACTCGTCGTTGCGTTTGACGAATCGGTCAAGAGCGCGACTCGCATCAGCTCTTTGTACAGTTTCACGTCCGTCATCACTGGGCTGATCCTCGGTGGTATTGTTTTCAAGGTCCGCCGTCTGAAGCCCTTCATCATTGCAGGAACATGTCTCTTCGTGGTGGCTTTTGGCCTCCTGATCCACTACCGTGGTGGCTCGGGCGACTCTTCGCACTCTGGCATCATTGGCGCACAGATATGCTTGGGTATCGCGGGCGGTATGTTTCCGTATCCTGCGCAGGCGAGCATTCAGGCTGCGACGAAACACGAGCGTAAGTACTTTCTTTCCGTCGCCGCCTGCCGTTGAATCGATAATACGCAATGCTGACGATTGATGATAGATGTCGCCATCGTCACGGGCATCTACCTCGCTACCTACAACATTGGAAGCGCGCTTGGCAACACGGTCTCAGGCGCCATGTGGCAGCAGATCATACCGAATGAGCTGGTCCGACGAACCGGTGATGCATCACTCGCGGCCACCGTCTACGGCGATCCGTTCACCTTTGCGGCTTCGTATCCCGTGGGTACGGTGGAGCGTACTGCTGTGATAGAGGCATATCGGCATGTGCAGCGGCTACTCTGCATTGCGGGCATCTGTCTAGCAGTTCTTCTTGTCGCCTTCTCGCTCGTCATCCGAGACCCGAAGTTGGGCAAAGAGCAGAGTTTGGAGGATGCGGAGGAGAGTGCTGCTGTGGTGAGCTCGAATAGTAGGCACTAAGTGCCGTTGGGACCTAGAACGCTGCGTTTACCGTAAGCAGTATTAATGGATGTTTTCTGTGACTACAAATGATGGGAAGGTGGTAGCTATGCGGTGCCTGTAGCTCGTGCTTGTTGATACCATGACAATTAGCTGTTGGTATAGTCACGCCCGCATTCCAAGGGCTCGATTGCGTCAGAAAACCATGGCGAAGCAATTCCTATTGGAGGGAGGTGTGTGCACGTAACTATGGAAGACGTCAATGGCAAGTGTACGGGTGTTGGAGTGTAGGAAGGCACTACCACGAGAATGTCGAAGCATCTCCTCAACACGACCAAGGAAATAAGGATGTACAGGTGTTGTACAGTTGTATTGGAGAAGCTAAAGGAGTGTAGTAGTGCCTCTGTCAGCTGCTAATGTACAAGATGAAGTTCAAAAACTGATAGGCCTCGACACCTACAATCCATCTGGAAAACATTCTACCACTTGGTTTTACTCAAAATCGCCGTCACCCTCACCACAGTCGTCGTTTTCGCCAAGGTCGTCGTCTCCGCAGTCGCTGCCGTCATCATCGTTTTGATTGCCACTATCGATGGTCCTCAACTGCTGAGTAAAGGATTGCGACTTCGGGGGATATCGGCCAGAGGCATGCCCATTAAAGCCGCTGCCGCCTTGTCTGTTGCAAGTCTAGTGTCGGACGTGTGTGGTATATGCTCGTCGTAGACGCCATCGGTGAATGCACAGCATGGAAGACCAAGCACTGCACAGTTCGTACACAGGTCGGCAAAGAGCTTTACCGGGACGCATTCCCTGTTTGGGAAGGTTTTGGCCTTGGTCGAGAACGAGAGAAGCCTACAGGTCTCACAAGAGAAGCCACGATTCTTATTGGCTACTCGAGAGAGCCCATATTCTGATCGAAGCATTTGAGCGATGATATTGTCATTGGGTCTCCTACCGCCAGGCAGCATGACGATATCATTGTTGGCATCTTGGAACCGAATGGTCTGGCTCATGAAGTCGTACTCGGTCTGTACGACAAGTGCTGCTCCCTGAGTCTTAGGAATCCAAGCATGGTTGTGGTTTGGTCGAGCATTGGTTAAACACTGGAGGATGTTATGGCTTTAGCATAGTTTTTCAGTGATCCTGGTACTTGAGGGTCGATTCGCTCCTTGCTGATGTTGGATTGAACATACTCAAATTGCCACTTCCTAGAGGATACTGAAAACTCCCATTCGATACGGACTGCGAATGAGTTTGCCTGGTCCCAGTTCTTGAATGAACCAATGGCTGCTACTCGTGCCCAGGCATGTGGGTGTGTCGTTCCATCCTTTCGGACCTCGATAACGAAGTTGAAATGCGACCCAGGAGGAGGGAGGTGAACATGCTCCTTCTTGCCATACCTAGCGCGGAAACTGATAACCCCTTCACGCTAACCATTCTTGTAGACACAGTACTTGAACACGTTGACTCGTTCCGATTCGGCTGGGATTGAGACCTGTTCGGCACATCGATATACGGCCATAGGTATGAACAAACCAGTCTTACTGTCTGTGATGTTGTCGCCGGTCCGAATGAGGAGGTGTTTATGTTCAAGCACTCCGTATTCGTGTAATAGCGAGCTGCAATTCGCGCCGTACTCAATGCCACTCGAAGCGAGTCCACGGCCGATGAAACCATGCCATCCAGTCATGCGGAATACTTACTTAGGCATTTCCTGTGACACAGCGCTGAAATCTCGCTATTCTGTTCACAAGTGTTGGCTGAAAAGTGGGTCCAAAGTCTCTTTCACCTCTGCTACGCAGTCTGCAGGTGAGTGAAATTGACTCATACCCAAAGTGTATGGTCCGTCACTTGGAGAGCAAACGCATCTTTTCATAAACTTCTCACTGCTTCTGTAAGATCATCATCAGTATTTTTTTGCATGGTCTCCTCACACAGCTTCGAGGACCTTCGTTTGTTATTTAGACATAACAAGCTACCTAACGTCACAAGGCGGAAGTAAGTACCACGAAGGTACTTCCGCAAAACTGCTGCATTTACTGACACTTCAGCACTTCGCAGAGATAAAAACGATCATAAGTCTTCATATGGCGCCCTACGTCCCGAAAGAATATCCTCAAGAGCGTGGCTGGAAACAAGCGGGTGATGCATTGGATGCACACGAGATCGAGCTCTGCAAGAACGGTCCTGCACCTCCCTATTATCTCGTTGAACGCCGAAGGACAGTTGAAGGCAGATACAGAATCGGTTACACGGGACTGTTCACATCTTCATAGACTTCGGAGCGCGCTCCCCGCCCCTTCTCCGCCGAAAGTCTGCAGAAAACTCCGACCCCAAAGATGGCTCAGGAGTTCGATCTCAATCGACCGGATTATCGTGGCGTCTTCCACGTCCCTATCACATATAAAGCTGGCCCTGAAATCGAAGGGCAATTTTCCGGGTCTCCCGCAAGGGCGCTTGCGTCGGCACTTGCTGGTCGTGGCGTGAAGTGTAGATACGGTGACCTCACACAGGTGGTTACAGAGGCGGACGTCAAAGCGACATTTGCATCAATTTCCACGAAAGAGACGCAATTATCCGACAAGTATACACTGTACCATCCTGCGGACCGCAACAGCCTTGTCTTCGAGGTCAACATTGCCGTAGTCGCGCGAGCGTAGAAGCAAAGCTTGATTCTCTTCTATCCTTTTATGAACGCTGATCGCGCTGGCTACAACCATTTCTACAACATTCAGAATCGGCCACTCATTTATGCTCAATGGTCAACAGGGCGGCAAGCGTCGTTCCCGCCAATAGTGCTAAGTTGTCTGCCAAAGTTCAAGTTGGCCAAGAATCCAACCTATGAAGTCATGCATGTATGCATCGACACTCTCTGGATCATTGCACGTACCTTCTTCAACGACGATTGTTTGTCAACGAAACCGATCCTAGCTTCGCCACGAAACTGCTTAGGAAGGAACCATTGCCAACGTTAAATCATGTAGTGGAGAAGAATGAAGAAGGTGTGTTCCATAGTTGGTATTCCCCGAACGTATTGCGAATGAGACTAACAGACGACAAAGAGCCTAAGAGGCAACAGGCCGGTATGTAAATCGAGCCTCTATTCCTCAGCAATGCAACATTTCTATTCTTTGTTCAAAGTTTTGTTTATAGCTTGCGTACCTTGCCTTAGAGATTTCGCCTTTCATCTCACGTGATGACCATCTCTGTGCTACTAAGATCGTCGTATCGTTGTGTCGTTTTGCTGATTATCTGTAGTTGCCATGACAATTCAAGAGCAAATCGAGCTCATCAACACCGTTCTCCCCAACGTGTGCGCCAATGACGACCCAGGTTAAGAGAACATGCTGGTGGATTTATGCCAGAGGCTATCAGGTGAGCAGTGGCAAAGCGAAGCCGATGCTGAAGCGCCAGCGAAACGTGTTCGACAGGCTGGCTGCCCTAAGCCCAAACATCGCGTAAGTTACATCGTCCTCCATCGTTCCTACAGTACCCCAAGCTCTTGCACCCCGCCCAAAGTAGATTCACTTGCATGTTAGCATGACTGCACTACAATTATAAGATGTCCGGTGTTGTCTCAGTCGCACCGCCAACTTCACCAAAGGGCAAGGAGAACGAGGGCCGCACGACGCCCAAGAGAGAAACTACCTAGGTAAACATCTCATTTGAGCAGAGTACTTCTTCCTACTACAACGACGAGCAGTAGAGCTATGTAGACATATACAGAGAATCTAGAAGCTTACAATCCTATTAACTTCTATAATCTCTCCTATTAGGAGCTAATGTAAGCTGCAAAGTAGAGCTTACTATCTCTACCTATTCGGTTTTTCTCTTGTCTAAGGTGGCCGGCCAAGACGCAAAGCTGCTCAATGAGCCATCGAACAAATAAACATATCCTACTCTCTACAAACGTGCGGATATCTTGCACTTGGAACATCTAGATAGAAGTATACATCGCATCATTTGAGGTGTTCTAGCTTAGCTTATATAACAATAATGACTAGTCAGGAGTAATAGGGGTGTATATCAAGTAACTCTGAGAAGCTTTGGTTCTTTGGAATGCAGAGATCTTTCGGTCTTTAGGTTGAGTTGGATCGTGTTAGGCGATGAGCTGTCAGAGTACTACAGACCATTGCTTATTTTATCCGCTTGTCACAAGGTACCGTCGGGTAAAGGCATGGGTAGCGCGTGATTCGTGCGGGAATCTATTGCTAGAAGACTTTCCATAGCGCACCGTTCTGAATGGAGAAAGTGAAGCAGGTGAAGGAGGCGATGGGCCGAGAATTCCAAGGTTTCCATCAGACTTGGCAGCGCTGTCCGTGCGCAGGCATCTATCGTCTCAAGCCATTCGTGGCAGCAGGGTAGCGAGGCTCCGCTCTTTGATCGTTTCTCATTCGTAGTCGGCAGCGCAGCTGCTTCATCGTGTTCGCATTCATCAAATCCGTGCGCAGGCAACACCCGCCCAGCCCTTAGTGAATCCTTAGAGCCAGCACAATACGCGACTACCGGTGCCTCTCGGTTGCGTCACATATGTGCTGTCCTTGACTGAACTATAAGTTCGCTGAGTCGGGCTACGCTTGAGCTGTTCACATCAAAGCAACCGCATCCTTACTACATTCGTCAAGTTCGGGCCCCTATATTGCACTTGGCATCAGATCAACTTCTTTCGCGCCACCACCATGAATAACCTTGCCCAACCATGGTTGAGTGAGCTTTCCATCCCTTCGGAATACAGTTTTGTCGGCTACAGACACTGGGGCTTTACCATTTACCGCACCGGATACGGACCTTCTTCCGACCAGCAATGGCAGCGACTTCTCGAAACCATCCAGACTAGTGCGCATGACGAAGCAAGAAGCGTAACCGAATCTACCAAAGACGATCCTGCATTTCAGGTATTGTGGTCGCTGTTCCGTCTCGATGCACGCTCAGATCCTGCCCTAGCCGGCCTCGACATAGACCAACTTCGTCAGTTGTACAACCGTAGCAGTAGCGAAGGTAGCCAGCCAATGAACGCAGACTTTAACTGGCACCGAATATTCCTTTTCGCTGACGACGAGGTTCTGTCAGACCCTGCCGCTTCTATCGTCAAGTGTGTAGATGCTGAATACCGTGTAGAGGACTATATTTCGCGGAACCCAAGGGTGGGTGGACAACGTTACTTTGGCTGGATGCGAATAGAGCCTAGAAGCGTAGCATAGCTCTGGGCCGAATTAGGTCAATCTGAAATGAGTGATATCGCACCTCCGACTATTGGGGGAAGTCACTCGGTGACCTGGAAAGGACAGTTGCCACGCGGACGAGCACGAGAGTCTTGATCCTTCATAAACGAAGCATTTTAGGTTTAGAGCCACTTCAGTCCAATACTGTCGTCATGAACGTGTCTACAATTGTGAAGAAGGAGGACTTTGTAGAGTATGATGAGTATCTGGATACGACGGGAGGGCTGTTTGGGCCAGATGTTGTTGTGCGTGCGGTGCATGATGGAGGATTGAACGTATTGGTTTCCGTTATTTCAAGCGTATAGTCGTAAATGAATCTGTAGCAGAAGGCTGTGGTATATTCCGAATACGCATAATCACTTGGGTAGGTACATCTTGGTCGCAAGTGTACCGCGTAGTCGTCGTCTCCTTTACGATTAAGTTTGGGATGTAGAGAAAGCTCCTCAGATTAGTGTAGTCACGCAAGGTACGCGCATCTTGCAGGGGTAGCGCTGATGTGTAGGTGAGCTTGCTAGATTAGAATGTTTTGTAATGGTGATGTGGTCCCAGCGTTGAGGCGAAGTCAGGCTGTTCTGACCCCGCACTACATAGACAGCCACCTCCACCGGAGGCTGCAAGTCGTACGGTGGTGCCACCATGCCACCTCAGAATATGTGGTATGCTTCTGCCTGTGGAGAAGTACTCAGTGCGACTTTGTGGAAAACCAGAGTTTTTTGATCATGAGAGCGTTGGTGATAGCAGTCTTGGATCTGCTTGAGTCGCTTTGACCACTTGAACTCGAAGGATGGAGTCATCATGCCCGCACTCGGGACAGAGAGAGGTGGTACTATATTTCTGCAAAAGATGGAAGCTACACGTTACACTTTCAGTGTCGTGTAATTATCTGATCTGGCGTTTTGTTATATTTGCATCCCTTTGCGTATATACTTTTGGAGCAAACCCACTCATACAAAGCCTGCAACATTACCAACAAACCAACCGACTTATCACGTCTATCATATTCCTACAGACATGTCTCATCACACGCTAAACAACTTCCTTCACCACCCCAGCATCTCCAACCTTGTCGAATTGTATGAACCAATACGATACTTTGGTCGCACCCCACGGACAGGACAAGAAAAGCCCCTGCTCTCTGACGGACACTTTAGAAGAAGTGCTTACCATGAAACGAGCTTCTCGTCCGACTTCGATCTTCGCGAGACATCCGAAGCGTACTTTCTCGAAGGCGAATTTTCCGGTATCAGCGGCGGCACCGCAATCAAACTACACTGGCTAGACGAACGAACACTGCGTGTTGAAGGCATCATCCACAAAACGGACTTGAAGACAGAATGGGATGCCGGTCCAGCAGAGAATAGGTCACAAGACCAACCAGAGTCACCGCAGTATGGGCGTGATGTGGATGACGAAGGTAAGGGGCTCAATGTACTGGTGGTTGTTCAGGGGCCGGAACAATGCATTGATGGTGCTAAGACGCCGGCAAAAAGATTAGTGACAGTCAAGACGTGGTGGAATGAGCGTTGAGATGGGCTTTTTACTCGCAACTTTTCGTTTCCAACACCCGTCAATGTAGATGCTGTTCGAGCGAAACTAAGTCGAGGTGTTTTGACAATCATGGTGCCGAAGATTGATAATAGTCTTTTGAAGACCAAAGAGATTCATGTAGGAAGTTTGGATAATGAATAAGCCAAGCAATAGGTACTGTGGTACTTGCGCCTACTGCACCAATCTCGTGGGAACAAAAGAATCCATGAAATCTGAACATATTCTCCTGACTCTTATTTGCCGGCGTTTCTTTCCCATGTACCCAATGTTCGAGATCATTATTCAGTTCTTCACGTCATCTTTTGCCTCACCGTACTAAATACTTTACCCTGTGCTTGAAACATATAACAAGTCAGTACTACAAAGTAGTGTTTGATATCTAGCTGTATACCTACTGTTATCCTACTACTGCAATTCTACTTCTCTTATCTTATCGCCTCTTATTGCTCGCTAACAAAACAGCGCCATTGTACTAGAATCGTAGTTGTTCTCTAGGTTAGAATCTCTTTCGATTCTTGATCTTAACGAAGAAGTTGTTCTGCTTTACAAACCACTTGTTCTCTAGAGTCCATTCCTTTTCAGGGTGTGCTAGTTGGAACTATACAGTTAACACAACTTCTAAGCTAAGCGTAATAGCCTTGACCTACTTCGAATTTCCAGAGTAACTGTGGGACGATCTTACTCATTTCGAGTAGCGATATGTGCTTGCCGATGCAAGTACGCGAGCCTGCTCCAAACTGATCCGTATCAGTGGTGACCTATCGATTGTGTGATACTGAGTTACTGAAATACTGACCGCTAGGATGGATCTCTGCATCACTTTCAAAACGTCAGGAGATGATTCCAACCATCTTTCGGGTCGGAATAAATCCGCATCTTTTCCAAAGACTCGCTGATCGCGATGCAACACCCATGGACAGATACCAACGACTGTTCCGCCGGGAAGCCACTGGCCCGCGATGTGGAGACCGCCCATGGGTAATTCGCGTTCGAGGAGGAGACCAACTGCGGGATGCAATCTCATGGCCTCTTTGATGACTGCTTGAAAATATAGCATTTGGTTTGACTCCCCATATGAGATAGGATGAATATCGCAATCCCGGTCCCCGACAACAGTGTCTATCTCAGCAAGAACCCTTTCCAAAACGTATGGATTCTTGAGCATGTAATAAAGGATAGATCGTAATGATATGGCAGTTGTATCACTCCCTGCAAAGACATTGGAGTTTGCGTATGACAAAACCTGACGCTTGTCAACTAGTTGTGGGTTTTCCTTGTGCGCTTGAAGGAAGAATCCCAGAAAATCCTTACGGTCTGAAGGCTCTGATGTGCGAGCCTGCACCTGTTCTAGTGTAAACTTGACGATATGGTTCGTCGAGAGCATCTTCATTATCAGAGGATTCTTGAGCAGGAAACGGTCAAGAACAGGCATCTGGCCAACCTGGAAACCATTCTTAGCGCATGCAGGGAGAAAAAGTGGTTGCAAAATCCTCACCACAGCAAAATATCCTAGTCTCCACTCGATATCCTCGATGACTCCTTGGACGTCTTCTCCAGTATCGAGGAACCCCAGCTTTTTGCTAAACGTTATTTCTCCACTGCTGTACGTCAGTACTGCAAGACAGTACGATTTGCCCGTATACTCACATAACGTCAAAGGCATAGAACTGCAGCCATTTCCCCAAATCGCATGTTCTGGTTTTCTCCACATATTCTTCAGTGAGTCTCCGGCAGAACATTTGAGACGTGGTATCGACGAAAGGTTCATACTGCAACAATGATGTCATACTGTATGCGTGTGCAACTGGCCGCTTGATAGAAGCATGGAAATCTGGGCGAGTTGTATTGAAGATGTTCTCGAGCGGCTTCCCGTCGCTGATATTTTGCTGCACGTGATAAAAATCAGACTGAAGGACATCAGCAGGTACGTTCAATGGACTTTGAGTCAGGGATCAGTCATACCTTTTTGAGGGCGCTCTTCAGGCCATACAGTATCTGCACCGCCTCCGGATCGGCCACAGAGACCGTGTTCGGTCCGATACGCACCATGTCTGATGAGTGTTGACGGTGCAGCCGGATCAATGTGTCCTGATGACTGTTCCCTAGAACATCGTAGAGACGCCAAAGATTCGTAAACGAAGCGGCGAATGGGCCAGGTAACTGTCGTAGTCCTGCTTGGTAGCGTGTACGTACTAGGTGAATAGAGAACGCAAGGGCAACTAAAGCCGCCCCAAACACTAAACGTGTATGTAGATAATCCATGTCGAATTCCGTCCGAGAAGACTCTGCGTCAATTGAATACAAGATTATATCTCAATTCGATTGCTGCACGCTTAGAGTATCAAAACAATCTACGAGCAGTGTGTAGGGCGGTTTGACAAAACAAGCTGAAACGACGAGCTTTTTTGAATGACTTGGCCAATAGCTTGTCATATGTGCACAAGTGGAAGAACGGTGTCCTCCAGATTATTACGACCGGTTTTCTTGATCTGGTATTTTAAACATTTCCTTGCGCAAGCGGTAGCAGAATGCAAGACTTATCGACCCCGCCTCCTAACCGCTTTCCGCTTTGCGGTGGTTCGCCACGCTCAGGATTTCGCCTGAGCGTGCGAAAAATACAGAGGGTCAAACGAACGACGATCTCGGCTTCGGATCGAAAAGTGAGCTTGTATTGCCGCAACCGATATGCGAAATAGCATCGGCATCTTCGGGAACCCATATAGCCTCGGTCTCGCCTGGTAGAGTTTCTTGGTTCCGGATGAGCCGGTGGTCGCCGTTCGCTCGTAAGCCCACGCAATACCTAGGAGTTCAGATTTAGTGCCGAAACTCCACATTACGGGAAGACGCAGCTTGATTGTCGGGATCTATGCAACTGCGGGATCTGCCATCCTCATATCCGGTGAGTTCCAGATGCAGAAGCCACTATGCAACGCACGAATCAATCAGTAGGAACTACCTCCCACTGCCACGTGGTTTATGAATTCGAAATGGCTTCGATCGGATCGACGTGGAAACAGACAGTACTACTGTATAAGCTGTCGTCGCCGTGTGGCGCTTTCTCAGGCCTGCATGTGCACGCGTCGGCAGTTGCAGCGGTAGGCATCATCTAGAGTCTCCTTCCGACTTGCACAACATGATGAAAGCACACAGGGCCAAAGTCTGCTTCTTTCTAATATCATGCTGCATACATTCGTGAACAATAAAGGCGCTTCAGTCATAGCACAATGGTATGCGAGAGATAATATCATCAGACATCACACGGACTCGCCTTCGCCAGTCACGATTGACAATTTCCAATGCCATAGCGCGGATTTTTCATCCGACCATCCGTCCGCCATGGCTGTACTATCCGATCGTTAACTGCACGTCCCGTGGCGTTCGAGTGCTGTTGGTTGGTAAGATCAAGCACGATCGAACTTTGCGGGGTATAGCTGTTGTGGGGGTATCTGGGGTAAGGTAAATATGCAATATCTATATCTGGTGCCTCTTGCATGCGATGATTTGGCAATGATCTCAATGCGTCTGTGCCTGAGCTGATACTTCAACTGATCAACATGTCGGATATGCCGAAAACTCTCGAGAAGCCAAGCACGGAAGTTGAGCGTCATGAACAAGTCGACATAGTCCCTAAGAACTCAGCCGTCTATGCAAAGGGAGAAGAACAGACGATACACTTGAAGACGGCGATTGCTCTGATAGCAATGGGTGTCTTACAATTCACTACACTGTTAGCACTGGTTGGCCCACCTACAGTGGTAAGCTGAGCTCTGTCTCATTGTCGTTGTGTCCTTCGATAGACTAATCACTGGACTATAGCTCGACAATATTGCTTCAGCGTTTCCCAATCCGCAATTGAGGTACTGGATAATCAATGCTTCCACACTGGTTCAAGCTGCACTCGGTCCTTTCTTTTCCTCGGTTTCAGACGCGTTCCAAATCCGGAAAGGCATAATATTGGGCTTGGTCATACTGGCTATCATCGGTTCGGCTATCATACCAAATTCTGAGTCCATCTACCGAGTTGTCGGTGGGTCGATCATGATTGGTTTCGGACTCGCGTCAGCTCCGTTGAGCTACGCTGTTCCTAGTGAAATTGTGCCACGAAGATGGAGATCAGGTCAGTCCCCTCTTGGCAACAACTGCAGCTGTACTGTGCTTATAGATTGAGACAGTCTGTCAGGGTTTCATCAACATGTGTGGCACTTTGGGGGCTATCACAGGGCCTCTCGTTAGTAAGTTGGCTTGCTAGGACCATTTCCTACATGGAGGTCTGACAAGCTCTAGTCAGTGCATTTACAAAGAACAATCCAACTCAAGGTTGGCGTAACTTCTACGTGAGTTTACACTACTACCGGCATGAGCTATTGGGACCTCATTGATCGATGATAGTGGCTTCAAACAGGGCTTTGGGCTTTCAGCGCCGTTGGCATCTTGATTGGCTATTCGCCGCCGATAAGGACCATGGACGGATCCACATTCCACTCGAACCTTAGACACATAGATTGGATCGGATCAGTGATTCTTACTGCAGCTATCACATTATTCTGCGCTGGATTCAACTTTCAGTCCACGTATGGATGGAGCAGCGGACAATTTCTTGGCCCTCTTATCTCTGGATTCGTGGCTTTTGTTGCTTTTGGTCTTTATGAGACATACGGTACAAAGACAGGCATCATACCACACGAGCTCTTCAATGGAAACCGCAAGTATGGCTGGGCCATTTTGAACTTCGCAATCTTGTTCTTCATCGAAGGACTCACATTCTTCGCCATTATAACGTTCTACCCAGCGTTGTAAGTATAGATCTGCTTGTACATTATAGCATTACTAATGTGAGTTCACACAGGACAAGCGCGCTGTTCACTCCAAACCCTATACAAATAGCTGTCCGCCAGCTTCCGTTCTACTGCTTGATCGGTGGGGTCACGTTGATCTATGGCTGGGCAAGCAGCTACTTCAGGGACATCAAGTACAATTTATTCGTGGCATACATCATCTATACTGGCGGCATTGTCGGGCTCGCCACCGTACAGCCTGGACAATCTGCAGTGGCACTTGGCACTATCGCTCTTGCAGGCGTCGGTCTAGCTGGACCCTTGATATTGATCATTACTGGTGTACAACTTGCAGTGCCGCACCATCTTATCGCAACAGCAACAGCGATGGTGGTTTCCTGCCGCACCTTGGCTGCATCCATTTTTGTTGCCGCGTATTCGACAGCACTCTCGTATCGCCTCGGCACATACATTCCCTCGTATATCGCGAGAGCGGTCACTCAGGCAGGACTACCTGCTTCGTCCATAGGGCCCTTTATTGGAGCGTTCTCGAGCCACGATGACGCCGCACTGGCGCGAATTCCCGGAGTCACACCGGCAGTTCTCGGAGCGGCTGGTAAAGCAATGCAACAGGCATTTGCCGACGGCGTTCGCGTTGTTTTCATGATTGCCGCTCCGTTTGGGGCCGTTGCTTGTATCGTCTGCTTGTTCCTCCCAAGTTTCAAGGAGGTCATGGATCGAAAGATCGACGCACCAATTGAACATGCGAAAACGCATCACGGAGAGAAGGAGATGAATTGATGGCATCCGTAGTCTAGACGATGCAGCAGCGCGTCGCGAGCTACGAAACTGACCTTTGGCATGGGATAGAAGAACAAGCACAAGCACATCCCCCCGTCCTTCCCTTGTGTTACATGTACTGGCCTTCCAAGGCACAACATTATGTCAGACATTAAGGTCAATTTAACTAACGTGCTAGTAATAAGGCGCAGGCACAACACTGTTAAGTAACAGCGTATTGTATTATAGTAGAAGTGTGTTTCTAAACACTTACTTAGCTTTACTATATACAACTATGTATATGCTTATTCGGAAACTTTATTAATTAAAACTGAAGCTATAGATCTTATATAGTTTTAGAGAGCTACTATAGAGCTCTAGATAGTTGCCGTAAAGCTCGACGTTGAAAGAAGAGTGCGGTTTCGCCAGAGATAACCGTGGTTAATGGCAGGGGACCAGGTCAGACATCAAGATGGCTGTAATAGAAAGAGTCAATCAGCCTATTAGCGCTTTTCGTTAGTAAATTTACATGTAGTTTCCAAAAATTTGTTTGTGGGTAGATTGCTTCGCGCGCAAGCTCGCTTCACAATCAACATGCTGCAACATAATGCCAACACTTATACTGAGATTTTGAGGTCTATTATGTTACTATGCACTCTGCACTTGTAGTACCAAGAAACTGGATCCCTATCTAACGTTACTATCAATAAGCGAATAAATGTCTAGAAGGCCCAAATTTCGACGTCCATGTCCTAATTCTGCCGCCGTATTGATAGAAAACGATTGCAAATAAAGCAAAAAAGTACTGAATTGCTGCCATCTGTCCAAACGTGTTTGCAAATCCTTCTGCAAGTACCCAATCATATGCGTACAATGACAACAAGCAACCGGTCACACCACGTACGAGGAACACAACGACCAACACTTCCCCCGCTAGCATCGGATACAAATCGACGTTGTACGTAACAAGGACATTACTGGCGGCTGTAAGACCAAAGCCTTGCATAGCGTGGCCGACAGCCGGACCGATCCAGTGAGTTTTGTGTGCGAGACACAGACCGAACGCGGCAATACCCAGCGGTCCAATCACGGATGTAATTAGCAAGGGAGGGAGCCGATACTCGGGGAGGCGGACTGTGTTGTTACGTGCCGTCCAGTGGCTGCTTATGATGTCGATAAGACGGCCGCCAAAAAACATGGCTATCAAAGCACTTATCAGCCCAGCAAAGTTGAAGACACCAACGTCCCATAAATCGAAGCCGTAAGGAGCCTGCACAAGAACCCTGGCTGCTGTGACTTGAACAACGATGTTCCTGACTATCGATCAGCACATTGTCGTCGATGTATGTATTGCGGTACTACTTGCCATCCCACAAAAGTACCGATGGTCAGGCCAGCCCAAAGAACACTAGGATACGCGGCTATCGATACCATGTTCCAGACCACGGTTCTAGATTGCAACTCTTTGTTGTAACCAGAAGTTATAGATAGCCGCTGTGAGAAATCTTGCCGTGCATGCGTTTGGTTCTCGGCGTCTGCTGAGATGTCATTCTGGGCCGTTGCCAGATAAAAGGTCTCCTGAATCGTGAATATGCCGATGGCAAAGTTGACGGCCGCAGCAATTGCGATCCAGCCACAAAGCCAGCGCCAGCCGACGAATTCTGCAATAGCTGCATTGATTGCTGGACCCACGAAAAAGCCGCACGAAAGAGCGACGTGGAAAGTCATCATCATCGCCCCGCGTTGTTGAACATGGAACAGGTCCGCAACAACCGTGGGAATGGGAGCTTCGCCACCACCCGCGGCTATACCGGCAAGGACAGTAGCGGCCATCAGGGAGCTGTAAGATTTGGCGAAAGCAGACCAGCAATTGAAAACGCCCAGGCAAAGGGTTGCAAGCAGAAGTGCTGCCCGGCGGCCGCAGAGTCGTAGCATGGCCACCCATATGAAGTTTCCCAGACCGAGGGCGAGAACGCTAAATGATACTAGATAACCGGTTTCGATAGGCGTTTTCTGAAATTCTTCAGCTAAGGCTGTGATGGCTACCGTGAACTTGCTGGTATTAGCCGTTGACAGGAAGCTGAATAAACAGATTGTCCCGAACGTCAAGTACTTCTCTCCGTTTGGCCAATGCTGTGATGTTCAGTCACACCATTTGAGAAGATGGGATGTGATTTAATTTCAAATGCATACCAAAGGATTATTGGGATCCGGTAGGGTTGGATCTAAGGTTTTACGAAGCGTTGTGTTCTCTTTACTGTTTGAGGAGTGCTCGACATTATCCACCTCACTATGCTGGACTGCCGGCTTATGGTGCTCCATGATGAGGCCAAACAGTCTAGATCGCTTGCTGGTGAATCAAACGATAGGCGAGTAACGGTAAGAAGATATGTGAAAGATCACGAATAATAGTTGCGGGTACTCAGGATCTGCACAATCTAGTGTGTCTCTTTATCGACGCTGGCGATGCACACCTAAAAGGTTACTCGAAATGACCTAGACTGCTAGAATTTTGTCCGAAACCCCGCATCTGAGCTATTCAACATAATGATTCAAGCGAGGTCATCATAGCTCGATGCATATAATGCTGAGTCTGGCATTCTAACTAGATCGCCGGAAAGATTGCAAGTCCCTGCCCGGTCAACTAGTCAGATCCCCGGAATAGTGTAGAGTCAAATTGTCCCGAGCCGGCACATCGGCTTAGGGGTTAGCCGATACGCTTGCGCCTTAAACCCGAACTTAGAAACAACCAAGAGTAATACTGCTACAACATTCCGATGGGTAGCCGATAACTCATCCGATTCTGATTCCGAGCCGACTTGCTAGATTGTCTTGACAGTGGGTAGAGTTCGCCGGTTCTCGACCGAATACTTACTGTAGCTTACAGATATTTCTACGCTGCGAACTTCATGTTGTCTGATACCGTGTGACATTGTGAATTGGATAAGGAAGTTTTAGCTCCTCTTCTGTTGCTAGCCATAGTGTGTTGCGTGATGCATTACACGTAACTGTCATAGCATTCTTGGTAGGCCTCAATAATTTTTACTTGCAAAATTTACTTGCCGAGATCGATGTGTTCACTTTATCTTGTCGCATGGTGCAAACAGCGTTTCGCTGATGATGACGTCTCCGTACGATAGCCCTTAGGTGTGTGCTTCTACCCCACCTTTGCACGTCTTCCATTAATTTCGTGAGCAGGTGCAACGCGAACTGGGCTGAAACATCCTCACGAGATAGGCTAGACAGATGCCGAGGCTTCTGGCGTTCAGAGATCTGCAAGTCTCCCTCGCCTAAGATGTGGGAACAAAGGGCGGCTTACCCCACACACCAGATCCGATTCATGTCCTCTTCCCCGCCCCCGCCATAAAGTCCGACAGTGTCGCGCAAGAAGTCTCGTGGCTTTTCCACCTTTTGTTGTTCATTCTGTATGTCGGCCGGTGCTGATGATGCTGGTTTTGGGAAGGGCAATCCCGCTGACTATGAATGCCCCCACTGTGACCTGTCTTTTCGACGTCGCGAGCATCTTAGCCGTCACCTAGACCGTCACACTGGCAGCCGCCCTCATCAGTGCGGCATCTGTACGAAAACATTCCCGCGAAAGTGAGCTCGTACCATTGTATTCCATCGATGACGAGCCACTAATCCCTCTCGCCTCAAGCGACACGCTTAAACGCCATGTGAGCATACACGGTCCTGCCGCGCTGGCAGACTGGGTACACAGAAGTTCAAATCGACACCGACGCGCCTGCAAAGCGTGTGCAAAAGGAAAGCAACGCTGTGATGGCAACGGAACAACAGTGTGCAGCAATTGCACAAGCAAGAAACGTCGATGCCTTTACCGTACTTCAACGTCAGAGTCTGTGAATGATGTGGTTCTCGATGAGACAACTAGTATGCATGGACTTCTCCACGACAGGCTAGGATGCGATCCCTCGCCCGTTCTGCAATCATCCCAAGAGGAAGAGATCATTACCATGGTGCCGGACGACCTCTCCACTGAATCTGCGGCGGACGAACCCAGGCAAACTTCGATCGCGGATATCCAGGTTTCATCATATCCAGACACAGACGGACCGCTGCTCAATTCTCAGCTAGAGCCTTTAACAGAAACTTCGATGTTCTCGTCAGGGTCATTTGCGCCCGTCAATGCACCGTTTGCATATGGATTCGGCGGTATACCGGAATTCTACTTTGGTAGCGACGATCTCTCAAACGCGATGTTCTTATTGCCTGAGCAAAGAAGCATCAGCAGCGACAGTTTAGCATCTCCATTAGAACCTGGGTGCCTGTCATCGAACAACAGCAACAGGCAAGATCAATTCCTGGCGGATGATGAAGACACTCTTATTGCTGAATTTGTGCCTCATGTTCCGCGCGTTGACGGAGAAACCCGTAATCACATGTTGAAGATGCTGACCGCTGATATGCCTACATCAGACTTCAACCACACAGTAGAGACATTTCCATCTCTACAGTATCTTGACGTATACGTACAACTCTACTTCGAACACTTTCACCGACGTTGGCCGGTTCTTCACGTACCAACTTTCGAGGTATCACCCGAAAGGTGGCATGTTGTCTTCTCTGTGGCATTTATAGGTTGCCAAAATTCCGAGGCGATTCAAAAGCACAAACACCTGGCGTTGTTTCGCCAACTCAGCCCAAGGATATTCGGTAAAGCTGTGGGTGTGCCTTCTCTTGCTCGCCGCGATGCCTTGCTGACAACACCACAACGGCGACCAGTCCGATGAAATTTTCGATTCAGATCTACTTGCTTGCATGCAATCTTTGCTGTTGCTCCAGCACTGTATGATGTTTGATGGAAGCCGTAAGACGTTCATAAGACTTCAGCTCAATCGTAGTGTGCTTATCACTCTCTGTCGCAAACTTTTATCACAAGATGGCTCGGTTTTGAACAGCCACGAAATTGCCGAAATACCTCCCGACCCTTGGTCGCAGTGGGTACGAATTGAGGCCGAGCGTCGAGTCCTATATTTCACCTGGAGTGAGCATTCGAATTGAATGACTAGTCTATGAGCTGATCAGACCAGTGACCGAGTGCCTACAAGGAATATTGTTCTTGATCCCACCACTGCTAACCATCGCCGAACTGCAAGTTCCTCTACCGGGACCTGAAGCACATTGGGAAGCTGATCTCCAGCAATGGCAGCAGTTAGCTCCATCACGACCTCAAGCTACAGTGTGCGTCGCCCTTGCTAGTATTGGGCTCCAAGGTCAAGTGCCGGACAACTTCGACAGTTCTGCTCGATTGATAACGCTACTTTCTGCTTTCGTTCAGTGCACTGCAGCTCAAGACTTGATGCGAGCAATGATGCTGTATACCGAGAATTCTAACACCACACGATTAGCGTCGAGTTCCGGTACGGTGGCGGACGTCTCGCGCGCAGCACTCGATGTGCTTTGCAGGTATGGTGAATCGCAGTTCCCGACAATGGCAGAACCCCGCTCTATTTCCGACGACCTTCCGACCATCGCCCGCATACTGACGATTTTCGATCTCACTCCTTTGCGACTCTTGTATTCGTTCACTCGTTGGCAATCCTCCGAAACTGGTGTTAGTAACGCTCGAAAAGAGTTATCACGTATCTTGAATCATCAGATCCGACAAGCAAGGCAGTGTATGCACCAGGCAGCGCAATTGTTCCAGTATTTCCGCACCGCCAATACGCTGCGACACGTTGACACTATCGCTCTGCTCGTCTGTACGCTTTATATTCATGCTTACATCGAGCTTGTGGCCGAACAAAGAACAGACCGAAACGAACAAGTAGATGTGATCCATGGAAGAACAATGATCAGAGTTGACCAAGCCTCTGATCATAGCCAGATAGGTGACTGGCTGAACCTTGAACATGACCACCTGCCTCATGTTACTGGAATAGGCGTTCTTGGAGCAGATCGGAGCGTGGCGCGATTGTATAAAGAATCGTCAAGAATCATGGGGAGGAGCGCTTCAAAATCAAGCTTCGCGGCAGCATTGCAACCTTTGCTGGAATCACAAGCCGCTGGTAATGCGCCAGCCCTCCAAGACAAATAGTGGAATCGATTGAGTTGCTTTCACTGTATTTTCCCATGTTTCGTGATTCGATCTGCTCATGTCCGTGACCCTGCGACGGTTCATGTGAGCCATCACTTGACAATATGACCGCCGGCTTTTTACCGGCCGTGCTAGGTTCGGGCGTCAGCCACTTTACGTTTCCCCAGTTTCTTCCAATTGTGGGGGTGGGGAAGCCGACTCGATCACCATGGATCACATTTTTGACCCTAGCTGAGCTAGCATTCGTACAAATCATGAGGACAGTATGCTTTACGACCTCGAACAAATCTTCCTTTTTTGACTGTCAATAGTATTTGTCCTCAATCGGATCATTTAAAGTGAGGTCTTTGGCAACACTCAATGCCCAGCACAGCATCTGAGATACGCCGAACTCCAAAGACAATAACTCTATCAATTCATCACCGCATTCGCATTAAGCAATGTCAGAACGCTCAGGACGTTTTTCTGTTCCGGTACTTTTTACATCATTAGACCATGAGCCTAAGAACACGTGGGTGGAGTACGGTGAGGCAGAAAGGCGAATTCTCCCGAAGGGATGGACCAAGGATGAAGGTCGTCGGCCATTGTCCGAAGACATGATTTGGGAGAAAGATGTTCGTATCCCTCTTCGTGACGGTGTCGAGCTTCTGGCCGATGTGTTCCGTCCTTTGTCGTCAGATCGACAACCTGTTCCCGCGATCATGCCATGGAGTCCGTATGGAAAGACTGGATCTGGTATGCAGCAGCTTGACATGTTTCCTTGGAGAGTAGGTATACCTCGCAACCGAACAAGCGGCCTCGAGAAGTGGGAAGCACCTGATCCGGCTGAATGGATTCCTCGAGGCTATGCGATAGTCAATATCGATGCGAGGGGCAGTTTCAAGTCAGGTGGCGACTTTCATGTCTACGGCACTCAAGAAGGCCGCGACGGTCACGACAGCATTGAGTGGATCGCGCAGCAGACTTGGTGCAACACAAAAGTGGCCATGGCTGGCAACTCATGGCTCAGTACGACGCAATGGTTCATTGCTGCTGAGAAACCTCCACACCTTTGTTGTATGGCTCCTTGGGAAGGCTTAGGAGACTATTACAGAGAGTCTATCTGCCGTGGTGGTATTCCCGACCATGCTTTCTGGGACGTCCTAATGGCGTGGGCTTGCGGTCAGTTCCCTATCCGGTGTGTTTTGGTCTTCTCTGCTGAAACACCCTTCTGTAGGTCCAAATGAGCGGGAAGACGTAGGTGCAATGGTCGACAGATATGGACTCTGGAATGATTACTGGGAAGACAAGAAACCAAAGCTCTGGAACATATCAGTACCTATGTATGCCACAGCCAGCTATTCTACAGGTCTACATACAGAGGGATCAGTTCGTGGGTTTCAGCTTTGTCGCTCGAAAGAGAAATGGTATGCTCCAACACCCTTCAAAGTTTCGTTATGTTGACATAGGAGGGACTAGGTTACGATGGACTGCCACACAAGAATGGCATGACATCTATCAAGAGGAAAATATCGATGATCTACAAAGGTTCCTGGACAAACATACGTATGGACTTGACAACGGGTGGGAGAAGACACCCAAAGTTCGCCAGTCGATGCTCGGTTACAACCGTCCCTCCGTGATCAATCGTCCGGCATCGGAGTACCCACCGGTGGACTTCCATTATCACACACTCTTCCTGGACGCAAAGACCAGGACTCTGAGCAAGTCAAGACCCAACGAATCGAGCTCTGCTGAGTATTATGCGGAGTCTCAGACCGATAACGGTCTCTCCTTCAGTTACAAATTCGATCGGTATACTGAACTCTGCGGCATCTCCAAAGCTACTCTATATATGTCTACAGATGATCATAACGATATGGTAAGTTCCAGACCCCCTAACCAGTTCCTCACACTGATTTTGGCAGGATGTATACATCGTCATACGCAAACTGGATCAGGACGGACGAGCACTTTGGCATCAGAACATTCCTATGGTAGATCTCCCCGAAGGAACTGAAGTGGAGCAGATACCTCGAGAGAACATCTGGTGAGTACTCTGTATGGTAGGTTTTCTTGAAAAGCTAAGAAAGCCTCTTTACAGGCGCTATATTGGTCCCAACGGGCGACTTCGTGCGTCACATCGGGAGGTAACCCAAGAAACTATCGAGGGCATCAGCCAAGAAGAATACCGAAAGCTCATGGGCCCCGCCTATGTATATCATCCTCACACTTCAAAGCAGCCGTTACTTCCTGGTGAGATTGTTGAGCTCGAGATCAGTCTTTGGCCTGGAGGCATGGTGTTCGACGCTGGGGAGTCGATGAGTCTTGAGATCAAAGGCCATCTGCCCATTTTGCCTGAGTTTGAAGGCTTGGAAGAGAAGCTTGTCAACTTCAATGTCGGGCGCCATAAGTTGCACACAGGCCCCTACTATGGATCGCAATTGTTTGTGAGTTTGCGGGAGGGTTGACAGTCATTTACTCAAACAATCAAGAACCAATAGTATTTAGCCTCCAAGTAAAGCAGTAATATTTTTAGGCACACCTAAGCATGTTTTGGTGAAATACTGGCGCTCTGCAGTCGATGTATGCGTGCTGGCAATGGAGTATCAAGGTGCCTAGGTAGAGACCTCGGGAGACACGAGCGCGCCGACGTTATCCAGGAATGGCTTGATCAGTACGAAGCTCTCGTACAGCAGTAAGCTACGGTGTCAGGCAGTACAGATGGGAATGGTCTTTGCGGGGGCGATTGTGGGAGTCACGTACGCGTTGTAGTTGCGGTGGGGAACTCCGACTTGACGGATTGCGCGTTCTTTGCCCCACCAAACGCTTGATCTGTCGGCAATTTGAGGGCTTCGAGACCAGCATAGGTCTGCCATTAGCTGCAATCTTGTCGCGCGGAACTGCAAGTTCCAACGTCTTCATTTACTGTGGTATCAGGCATAAGTTTTGTATGTGGGGACGCTAAGTTCGGCGTCACTTCGGATGGAACCAAACGTCTTCTATCTTAGTGATCTGCAAGCCACTTTTAGGTCTCACCACCTTGTTGTATGGGCCCTTCCTCTCCACTCACAGCCAATATGGACGAATCCAATACCCCCAAGCACAGGAAGCAACTAAACAGAGACCAGAGACTTATGGTACACACACTATACAAAGCCGGCCACACATAGAAGTGGATCTCCGAACACCTGGGGTTTACTGAGCGGCAGGTGGGATACGTATCAAAGCGCCCCCTTACTCCCAAAAAAGGCCAGGCAGACCTCCAAAGCACTTACAACGAACCTGTACCACAATGGGTACACCAAGGAAAAGAACGATTTTGGTTGATAACGTCGCAGTTCCGCGATTCGCCTTCGGACTAGGATCTTTGATGCAATGGGCTCCCAACCATGCTTACCCCCTCCCTACTGACAGTAGTAAAGACGTATCGCAGGCGCTTAAAGCGGGCTTCCGACATATCAACACCGGCGACATTTACACCAACAACGAGTCCGCGGCAGAAAGCATCGAGGCGTCCGGGATCGCCCGCAAGGACTTGTTCTTCAGTTTAAAACTCAACACCTATGCTGCGCTTGGATGTAGAGGCAAGGAGAGTATGGTGGAGAGTACCAAGAGGGAGATTGAGCGCTTCGGACTAGACGGCTATGTAGATCTGTTGCAACTTCATTTTCCGCCCAGAGGCCATCCAGGAAATTTGACCAACCGAGAAGCATGGAGAGTTCTCGAAGAATTCAAAGATCAGAAGATGGCAAGAATCATCGGCTTGTCTAATTGGTAGGTGGATGCGTAGCAAATTTTTGGACAGAGCGTTCGATAACACGCGAGACAGGACACTTGCGGACTACGAAGATCTCATGGATGCTCCTGATATCAAGTACAAGCCGCAGATCAATGAGTATGAGATGAACCCGTTCTTACTCTCCGATCCTAAACTACGGGATCTTAGTTTCTACGAGATGAAACATGGCATAGTTCATATGAGTGAGTGGGGCCCAATGACGACCAAGTTACATACCATCGCTGATCACGAGGGTAGACTACGGCTTCTTGTCTATTCTGTCCGGCAAGCTGCCACATGATGGAGCTCCAGCATTGCTGAAAGAATTAAGACTATTATCAAACGAGACTCATCTTACGGAAACGGAACTGCTTCTTGCTTGGGCATACGACCGCCTAGATGGTATCGTCATATCGTCATCATCTCAAGAGCACCGCTTGGTGGGACTTGCAAAGCTGTTCCTGGAAAAAGACCAGGTTTCTTTAGAGCAGAGTGTCTACGACCGTATCGAGAAGGCTGCAAGCGAAGACGGTTATGAGGGGAAGACGTTTTACAAGCATGGCCATATGGATGCTGCTGCAAGCAAAGGTTGATTACGTCGCAGTTTGACTACGCGCGACGAGCTTCTCCTACGTTTCTCCATGAATACATGTATTATATCCCGTGCTAGCATTATGATACTATGCAGGATTTGAAACGTCGACCACCCGCCACAGAAGAAGTTGTCCACGTCCGATAGAGTCTGCACGTTTAAAACCAATGCCTGACGAGTAATTGCTCGCTAATTCTACGCTACCTCCCATCGCAGTAAACCCGGCATCTCTGCATAATGATAACGATGTATCCACTTCAATTGCAATTGTGGGGTAATCCCTTTCGATCAGGCTAGTGCGGGGAAGCCGCGAGTCCAGACTCTATTTCGTCGGAAGGTTGATTCGGTACCGTCTACCGTCGTACACGAGATACGCCAAGAATATGGAGCAGCAGGTTCTCTTCGGGGGGTATATCTTACCTAGGTACTATTTGGAAGAGTGCAACATTCAGCATTTGAAACGAGTCCAGGGCTGGCCCACACAAGGCGGAGTAAGCCAAGGCGACCCCGCAGTGCATATACCAGAGAGAGGACTTGCTTATGAACGTAACGATTTGTCTAGAGACGGTACAAATCTCTTAGCACTGGCTGAGAGTTTCCTCACCCGACCCTGACCGTGATACCTCCAGCATTTCTATCATCTTTTTATTCTTGCATTCAGCAAGGGTAGCAAGCCCTCCATCTCGTGACCACAATGACGCAGAATGAACAAGAAAATGTCGAGCCGGTCGTTATCGTCGGCGGCGGGCCCGTTGGTTTAACATGTTCCATCTTACTCTCCATCCGAGGAATCGCGCACACATTATACGAGAGGCACGCTTCAACATCGATACATCCCAAGGCATGCGGCATCAACCAACGAACGATGGAAGTATTCCGCGTGGTGGGAGTGGAAGAGGAAATATATTCACAAGCTACCCCAACCGAGATTGCGGGACGAACAGCATGGTACACGTCTCTCGGCGACGAGGGCAGAGAAGTGTTCTCGAGAGATGCCTGGGGAGGAGGCCAATACGCATCCGAATACGCCACGCACAGTCCATCAAAGTACTGCATCTTGCCTCAGATTCGTCTGGAACCCATTCTGAAGCGCCGCGCTATTGAGCTGAATCCGATGGGCATTCACTCATACCACGAAGTGTTGGAAGTGGACAACCAGAAGGATTTCACCGTGGTCACTGTCCATAACCGGAATACGAATGAGGTCTTTCGACGCAGAGCTCGCTACGTGATCATCTCCGATGGTGGCCGGCAGTTTACCGATAAGCTTGGAATCAGCTGGGCAGGCGAGGCAAACTTGACGACCATGATCAGCGCGCACATACGTGCTCCAATTCGACCGCTTCACCACGATGCTCGTAATTTCATCACTTGGTTTACCAACCCGGCCATGGGAGGCAGCACACGAACAGGCTACCTTTACCAACTCGGCCCATGGCCCGAAGCTATGACAAACCCGCAAGCTGAAGAATGGATGTTCGTTTGTGGCATCACCGAAGACGATCCGCAGATATTCGATGATGAGACAGCACTAGATCGGGCAAAGAAGACTATTGGTATTCCAGATCTCGACATCGAGCTGATCAGTCTCACCCATTGGACTGTGAACGCCGTGTACGCTTCGGAATGGCGTACCGGTCGATGCTTCCTCGTCGGTGACAGCGCCCATCGTATCCCACCTTGGGGCGGTAAGACCAGATCGCGCCCGCGTCATCATCACAGATTACTGACCCCGTACAGCGCTCGGTATGAACACTGGAATCCAAGATGCACAAAATCTCATATGGAAATTGTGCCTCGCACTGGAAGATGAACAAAAGTACAACGCTTTACTCGACACATACTACATTGAACGGTCAGAAGTCGGAAAACGAGTCGGCCAAACAAGTCTCCAAAACATGCGCGCACACGCCGGCCACATCGACAGCGCAATCGGCGTCGACGCAAGGCAAACTCCAGAAGCCAACATCGCAGCCGCAAAGTCCTTCTTCGATCCCAAACATCCAGACTATGCACGCAAGCGCATGCTCATCAAAGCGGCATCGCAAGAGCTGGATACAGAGTTCAAGGCCCCCGGCTACGAAGTCGGTTGGTTCTATCCTTCTGCAGATATCAATTCTGAAGGTGGGGCGACTCATGGTGGGCAGCAGCTCCCGGATGGGACGCTGGTACATCATACTTACTACATGTCTACGATCCCAGGTCATCATCTCCCGCATGTATGGCTAGAACGTGATGGTAATACCGTGGCCATTCGGGACCTCCTAAGTCTGGAAAAGCTTACGCTGTTCGTGGAAAGTGGCAATGTACTGAGTATAGCCGATGAGAGGGTTCAAGTCATCACGATTGGGTCTGTAGGTTGGCGCGATGTGGATGGAACATGGCAGCAGCACCGCGGAGTGGGTGCGATAGGTGGTGTTCTCGTCCGACCTGACGGTATCGTTGCATGGCGTGGTGTATTGGCCGCCGCTGAGGAAATTGGGTGGACACGTCTTGTAGACATCTTGCTCAGGGCGACTGTCTGACTTGAGCGAGCCCATGTACTATGCGAATACATAGGACCCCCGTCGAAGCCGGAGTCATACATGCCACGTCCGACTCTCCCATCCTTGGTGCTTTCCAATCAGTATCTCAGACTAACTCGCGGATTGACAGCCTCGTTGACAACGCAGGTATTTTGAGGGCCGCAATGGCCGGCCATCGCCGGGAGCTTTTTGAGACGTGTGCAAGAAGACGTCCGACACCGCCAAGTTCTTGTACACAGAAGGAAGCATGAACTTATAATGCAAGCGAGCTACACGTCGCAGCGAGATGGTCTTGAGGTGTCTATACGACTCTTGTCTTCTAGGTCGCTTCTACTCTATCGGAGAGCCGGAGCTGCAGCCGCAGCTTCCTCATCAGCGGCCAGCATCTTCTGTATAGCTGGTCTTGTCACGCAGCGATCCCACCAAGCACTCACCGCCTTGCGACTTCGTATCACGTCGCCATACCCGCACACAAACAACCTCTGCATCAATGGAATATAGTTGATATCCGCAAGCGAAAAGTCATTTCCAGCCATGTAGTCTCTATCCTGTAGCAGGCGTTCCGCCACGTCCAAGAACGCTTCAAGCGACCGCAGCGCGTCTGACACGACGGCTTCGTTGGGAGGCTGTCCCGTGTACTTCTTTTTGACAAACATTTCAAATGCGATTTTACCCGCGGGATCGGCAAAGTAGAGTAGTTCTGTTGATTCTGCTTGGTCAAAGAGCGCGGCGGCTTCGACGTCGGTGCCCTGCGGCACAAGCGGGAACGAGTACTTCCTCGCTAGATATTTGCAGATTGCGCGGCTTTCGTAGAGAGCGAAGCCATCGGGGAAGGTGACTGCGGGAACTTTACCCCATGGGTGACGCTTCATGTGTTCTTGAGACTGCGTTCAGGTAAATGTTAGCATTAGACAACTTCGCCGCATCTGAGGCAACAAGTCATGTCGTCTGTAAGCAACAACGCGATATACTCACCTTCTGTTCTCCTTTCTGCAGGTTCACAAGCACAAGCTGGTAATCTGTGAAGCCACCTTCGGCAAGAGTCAAGCGAACACGATCGGTGTTGGTCGAACCGCGAGAACCATATAGGGTAAAAGCTGGCATCTTGGAACTTTACAGTGGTTTTGATATAAGGTTGGGGCTGTTCGTGATAAAGCTTCGACGGGTGCGAGTACCTCTCTCGGGGTCTTGGGCCAGTCACCACAGTATATATGTCGATACAGATCCTTCGACTTCCATGCAGCGCGAAGTGTTAGGCGTTGAATGGGTCTTATTGGTGGGATCGCTCCCGTACATCCTGAATGAGTTAGCGCTGATGCTCGCCTTACCAGCGACGCACTTCAAGCGATGTGAAACCAACTCACTAGCCTGTTCATTCCGGTGTTGAGCTGATATCAATCATCTGATTCGTCTGTTCATGCAGTTTGCTTTCTGTGACTCAAACAATGGTGACTAGGAATGGTTGAGGGCTGATTTGATGTGAGAATGCATTGATCCTTCTACTCACTGAGAGCATCTCTCCCATCCTCGCATGTACGTATCATATCCGCCAACAGTGCGAAACCTAAGATCGTCGAATGACGCCTGCTCGTTTTCTTCACTCCATGTTCACCCCCATCTCTCCTTCACTTCACCCTTCCATGTCACCCCAGTCTCAAAAAAACCTGCCCTTGCTGCCAGTCTCGACGCTATGCTCGAGCACAGCCTCGCCATCATGGTCATCAAAAGCACCAGGCCTATTGATGTTTCGCGGGATAGGTCGATCAAGCGCGTCAAAACGGCGACCCTGAACCCTAGCCTTGACCCAAAGGAAACCAATGCGAAGAGCGCAAGCAGCAAAAGCCCAGAGCAGACCTCCAAACGGAGCCGCTACGAAAGCGCCTAGGAACTGTCAGCACCCACGCCAAGGCAAAGAAGGTAAATGGGAGCAAGTTGGTGACTGCGTTCAGTAGGAACAATTGGAAATTTGTTGTTGCCCTCATCGTGTTTAGGGAGTACAGAGTTTCATCATTGCAGTTGGGAGAGGAGAAAGAGATGGGGGAATGTACTTACCAAAAGCACTCCAGTCATTCGCATACAATCCACCCTCCAGTAGCAGCAAGTTCCCCGCAAGTGTAACATCGCCATCGTAGTACACGAGTCCGAACAAGAAGATGGTGAAGATACCCCCAAGTCCACCGACAACAAAGTCGAAACCGCGGTAGAAATAAAACTTGTCGCTCAACCCAATGACAAGGCAAGGCACCACGGCCGCACTAACCAAATCACTAATGAGGAAGATTTGCAAAATATCCGGACTGCGCAGCGCGACAACAACAACGGGGAAGATGAGTGCAACGACGCAAGCGCGAATGATCCAGATATTGAGCTTGTTGCGGAAGAAATCGTTGCTCCCCGTGCTAATCATAGCAGACTGGAACGAATCAAACGCAGCCGTCGAAAGCGAGATGGTCATGACAAGAACGACGCCAACGACCCACGCAGGCAGCTGCTCGAGCAAAAGGAAAAAGGCCAAAGAACCGGTTTCTTCGTCGCCAATGGTGTATGCGCCAGACCATGCGGCGAGCATACCCCCGACACCCAGCAAAGTGAGGATGATTAGCACACCGACGCTAGCAAGCGAGACGCCGATCCAGAGGTCCTTGTCCGTGCGGGCAGCAAAAGTGCGCATCCAGAAGCCAGACAGGAAGAAGTCGTTGGACAAGATGGCGACGGGAAGGATGTAAATGAGTTGCCAGCCCAGGAGGCTGGATTCCAGGTATCCAGATTGGTCGATGAGGGAGCGGTCAATGTTTGTTTCTACGCCTACGGCGATGACGCCCATGATGATGAGGCCGATGACCATTACGCCTTGGATATTGTCTGTTACAAAGGAGACTTTGAAGCCGCCGAGCGCTAGATATGGTCAGCTGAGCCCTATCGCTTTATTGGGTGTTGATTCGTTGGGGGCTTACAGGTGTAGATGGTCGTAACGGCACATTCGACAATGACGACGGGGAGGCCATTGAGTCCGGTGAGTAGAGTGACGATTTGCTGGAGGGCTGAGAGCTCAGCTACCATGTACAGGAACATGGTGATGAGCGTGCAGACGCTCAGGAACAATCCTCCAATGGCTCCATAACGCTGTCTCGTCCACTCTGTCAGGACGAACCCTTCTGGACATTTCCGCCTAATGATTGGGCCGAGCGCACCAAACACCAACAACGGCAAAGATGAAGATAGCGCGTAGACCAAGAGGCCTTGCACACCCGCAATCGTAGCAATCTGAGGATAAGTGAAGAGAATCCCGGATCCGAGGGCTGTGAGCGAAGGAACAACCTAGGTCAGCTACTTGCATCAATGAGAGAGGAGTAGTTCTAAGAAGGGGGAAAGTAGCGGCAGCACGTTCCTCACGCAAGTATTATCTTGATCGAGTTCTTACGGTACTTCTCAGCTTCTCCTCCACCAGGCTCCAAATTGTGACATGGACAAAAAAAACCACGTGTCTTTGGAGCCCGGTTTTGGTATCAGCGCCCGCAGTGTAGCCGCACAAAAGACCGCTTCCCATGCCACTTGCGTGCAATGAGAACTAGGATGAGTTCTACCGCGGCAGTGCTGATGGGAAGCGGCTTCTGTGAGAGATCTCAATACGAACCTGGAGGATTTCAATCAAGCTTCATTGGGGCTTGAAGACGGGTCTTGCTTGCAGATGAAGCATTTCCCTGTCGTCGTCGAACGCTGAACATGGTCGCGATAAAAATCGATACTGCCGCTGCCTTTTTCATGTGCAAAGAAGCACACTGGGTGCACGAATGCACTCACCACTAGCGATGAAATTGAAAGCGAGCGGGACGCCTGTCTCAAAGTCAGTCAGGTCCTATTAGGATAGCATTGATGTCGGCGCAAGTTGCGCAGAGTTGGTGGGGAAAAGATTGCTGCAACTGGGCGCTGAGACGGTGTCTGACCCTTCTGTGTGCGATTACTAGAAAGCCACTCGGTCTTGGACTGGTGTCGCAATCGCCATGCGACGTAACATCCCAGGACCCTATTCCAACCACGTTAGTTGCACCGTTCCCATTTGCCTTGCCCACAAAGCGTCGGCTTGACTCACAGGAATGCGCCGAGGGTGAGGTAGATGATAGCGTTGGACGCTGGTTGCGACGGAATACCCATGACTGGCAAGATGGTATCTGCACGAGCTGGTGGTTGACGTTTGCAAAGATGGGTTGAAGATGAACCGGGGCCACGAGGTCGGGAACATGCAGGGTTAAGACGGTTCGGCAGCCAAAAACTTTTGCTTGCTACTAAACCCCGCGCCTTGCTTGTTGCATCGCTAGCGCAGCGCGGAGGAGGTTCGCCGCTGATGTCAATTTCTTAGCAATCCTTCTAGCCGGCGCGCATCCCCAGCCATGGACGCAGAAGCTCGTGGGGGTGCGTGAACGGGCTCGCATCGAGCTTGATACGTGTGACATGTGACGACGGTGATGAAGCATTAACATTTTGCTTGTGACTACTCGTGACATGGGACTAAGCCTCCCAAGTGAAATCTCGACAAAAAAAAACGCCCTATCGCTCCGTAACGCAGCAAATGCGACAATCTGATATTAAGTGTGCCGTCATGTCATAAGTCGTGCGCTTGACGTGCTCCGACCAGTCAGTCTACCATGCGTGTCGGTCCCAGTTGGGATCTGCCAGTCGTCAGTCATTGCTCGTCCAGGACCTGGTAGACACGCACCCTGTACGAATGCGGCCAAGACCTTGCTGCCCGTCTGCAGCAGCGGGTGGCCCACGACAATCTGGAGGAAGCGCTGTAGGCCTTCGCGCCGGTGCTCAATCACATCGTCGGAGAAGCGGTTGGTGAGGACCTTGCCCGGCAGCGGAGGTATTGTGACGCGCGCCGACTCGCGCTCGAGGATATCGCGGAAAGCCTCGAATTCACTGTAGCGGCGGCGCACCGTCGACGACTTGAGCTTGAAGGCGGGGATGTTGGTTCGCATTACGATTTCGTAGGTTGTGTACATGCCACGGCCAACGCCTGGTGCAGCGCATTAGTCGACACTCGCGCGATACGCCGCATCTCTCTGCCTGCACTCACCGTGTGTCATTGGGTTTCTGACCTGTGCACGCGACAATTGTGAGCAAGGCTGGGGGACAAGACCAGGGCAAGGGAAGCGTCTAGCGGGCCTACCTCGATCTCCAGAAAGTTCTCGGGAGGGCCGTAGAGCTCCTCGAAGCTTTGCGATCGCGCATCGGGGAGCGACTGCATCGTGGGCGGCGGGTGCGAGTGTGGGGATGGGATACGGGCAGCTGGGCGAGAGTTGGTTGCGCGAGAGTCGGTGCTCTATGGCGGGGCTGACGCGAACCAACTGGCCCGGCGCTGTGGTTTGCAGAAGGTGCTGGCATCTCAACCCACGTGCATGCATACACTCCGCCCTCCCAACCGTGGGGTAGTCGCCCTCTCCAGACGCTCCAGTCTTCTCTTCTTGCACCTTCACGAACAAACACTCGAGTCGCGGCCCGTTGTAATGTCCCGCCAAGACACAACCTCTGGATCCACCTAATTTGCCGACTCTTGTCGTCTCACGCATCTAAGCAACCCCTGTGTTCTAATCGTCCGTTGTCCGAATACGTCAACCGTACTAAGTGCTTACTTGCAGTCGTTCATTTCACGTCGCTGAGCCCCGTACGTCATGCCGATGGTGTTGGCCTTGGCCTCTGCTCAGAGTCATTTACCTAGACATCTTCGCTCGTTAGCTGCAAACACATCATTCGATTCGAAGCTCGATATGCAACTCCGGTTCGAGTATATGTTATTCTCGTCCCCGTTCTACAATGTCGTAGTAATTCTGTTTTGATCTCGATCAAAGACCAGTGGGGCTTGTCGTCCCTGCCCAGGTGCTGTATCGTTGCTCGACCGTCTTACACCCGCACACCGCAGCAGCGCCGAGCACTTTCCGATGCCATGATAGCAAACACAGGTGCAATATCGTAGTTCAGGTCTAGCTCAGGGGCTACAGCTTGTCGTAGGAAGACTCTGCTCGAGTACATAAGAGTGACCTTGTCCGCGAGGTTTACCATATCCAAACCTTACGCGAATCCGGCTACCTAATAGTACATACCGCACAACTCCATTCTTTTGTCCTAATTCCACCATGTCACTCTTTTTTTCAAGCTTGCTTCTCGCCAGTGCGGCGTTGGGTGCTCCTTTGCAGCCCTCTGACCCAGTCTTTACCAACGCGACCATCACCCCGCCCATCAACGGTAGGTTCTCTCGATACCCGATTGAAACCATATATGCCGGTACCAACTTACTGTTCTCCAGGCACTACCCCTTCTCCTCTTCAGCCCGGCATCGTATCCAACTGCGATGAATACTACTTCGTGAAGCCCGGCGATATCTGCATCGACATTGCCAGTGCCAAGGGCATCACTCTCGACGATTTCCTTACCTGGAACCCCCAAGCCGGCGAGACATGCACCAACCTGCTCGCCGACACTTACGCCTGTGTGTCCGTAGTCGGACATACCCCCACGCCTACCAAGCCCTCAAACGGAATCGAGACGCCGCGGCCTATCCAGGAAGGCATGGTGGACAACTGCAACAAGTTTCATTTTGTCGAGAGCGGCGAGAGCTGCCCGGCTATCCAGAAGGAGTATGGAGTCAGCCTGGAAGATCTTGCCAAGTGGAGTAAGTTTCTCATATCTTGAAAATTGCTTTGGAGATGATGGCTAACGTCATGTGCGTGATTAGACCCTGCCATCGAGGATGACTGCACAATGATGTGGGCAAACACCAACCTATGCGTTGGAGTCATCGCCTGATCTTCTTGTTGACTTCGTCCGCTTCATCACTGCACTGAGCTGCCGCACCTTGCATCCAACTACAGCCTTCGCCAGGTGTCCTCAGCTTTGGTTGTAGAAGCCTCAAAACCTTGGTTTTACAGTACTATCGACTTCCAACGTCATCATAGACAATCCTTCCTCGCAGCTTGACACATGCTCACTGTGAGGTTAATCAATCTAATATAATGTTTGATCTGCTGAGACGCGCATGTATACCCTCACATTACATAATCCTGGAACACTACTATGCTTCCAAATCATACATTCTGGAAACATGTGATTGCGGGTGGCTAGGCGACTTGCGATCATAATCTCCAATTCGATGCTCTCCATTGGTCAATTGCAGCAGGCTAGATCGACGACGCATGCAGGAAGGCTTCCCGGAGCAGCTTCCGACCACACAGTGCACGCGTGAACATCAAAGAACTGGAATCATTCGCGTGTTACCCCGCATCATCTAGAGCCATCTCATCCAGACTGAAACATGGAGAAGTCGACACTGTCGGCGAGGCGGAAGCTAAATGCTACGCATTGCGGGGTCGCCATGAGGACCACGCTGGTGGCTTAAGTAGACCGTCGTCCGTATACAAACATCAGTCAGAAATCTACTACTGCTCCATCAACATGAGTGGAACCAAGATCGAAACATGCCCCATGGGCTACCATCGGATTGAGAACATCCATAACGGCAGGGTAGCCAGCGGTACCATCAAAGCTGGTGGGCAAGACAAAAAAGCTCCCGGGACATACATCAAATGGAACGCGCCCGGTGTTGAACATATCCCAGACGACGAAGAAGAGAAGATTAAGCAGGTGTCTGCTCAGTTCAATCGGTTCCAGATGATGAACTTCAATGAGCATATGCATTGTCTGAGAGGCACGCATCTGAAGACACAAGGTGTAAGTACATTTTGATCTTTCTTTCAAGTATTGAATATGCTAATCGTAAGTACAGTGCGTTATGGGCAAATTCACAGTTCATGATAACCTTCCCGAGCATCTTGCCCAGGGCATGTTTGCCAAACCTGGTACCTACGACGTGATCATGCGCTACTCATCCCTGACACCCAAGATCTTACCCGACAACCTTGCAGCACCACGCGGCATCGGCATGAAGGTCTTCGGCATCGAGGGCGAGAAGATCTGGGGAGAAGACAAGAAGACGCAAGACTGGACTTTCAACAACTACCCAGTCCTCGAGCTACGCGATCCACAAACCACATACGACATTGCAGACGCCTTGGAACGAAACTGGAACGACCTGCCGACGTTTGCTGACGAGCAGAGCAAAAGAGTAGACGCAGACGTCGCAACACTGGGTGGACAACTACCAAAGCAGCACATGGTCGCCATGCCAGAGTACTCACAATCTGCCTACCGCCACGGCGCCTACGTAGCCAAATACGGCGTCTTCCCCGCTAGCCAATTCCAAAAGGATCTCGAAAACACTGAAGTCAAGGACTCGGACCCCATCAACATTCTCTCCCAAACCCTCCGCACACACCACCTTAATAACACTATCTCCTACAGCTTTTGCGCACAGCTCCTCCAGGACCTCACTGAACAGCCCATAGATGACATTGGCATCGAATGGGACCCGAAAAAGTACCCGTTCGAGCAGATTGCCACCATTGAGTTTCCGCCGCAGGACTCGTGGTTGCCAGAGTTTAGGACTTGGTGGGATGATCGCATCACGGTGAATAGCTGGCATGGGCTCAAGGAGCATCAGCCGCTCGGAAGCACGAATCGGATGCGCAGGGTTGTTTATGCGGAGAGTAGGAAGTTGAGACTCAAGGTTAATGGGTACAAGGAGGGGGATTATGTAGAGCCGGAAGGACTAGGTGATGTGCCTGCGAAGGGGGTCGAGGCGCCGCAGTTGGATCTGAAGTACCAGAGTGCTGTTACGACTGCTGGAGCTGCGTAGTTTGGTTGCTGGGTAGTTTGTAGATTTTGATGTTGCTTTTTTTTTGTTCTCTCTCTCCCTCATTCTCGCTATTTCGCTTGTTGTGATGTTCCGGATGTTTGCGCGTTCATTTTCGGGTGACGTCTATCCTATGCATCAGTAGTCCCGATGTATGACCATGTCTACTAAGCTGAAGGACTCTAGATCGCATTTCTAGCTTCAGAATAGGTAGGAAGCAGCAAAATACAAGGTACAAGTGCGACTTCCCTGGGTGGCGGCTCCCCGCACATGCGGGTACTAGTTACATGGAGCTAAACTTACTGATCCAGCGACAACGACAACAATAACAACAGTGATCAGGGTCGCCTACAAAGATCTGCAAGACATAATAAACATTGTACGTGCAAGACTGTGAGTTGAGCTACACCTGTCAAATATGCGAATCCCTTCTTTGTCTTTACTGACGTGTGGGATAGCCTGCATCGTAACGACCACAAGCGCTAGCATCATCAACATCTTTCCCCACATCAGGATGTCGTCTAGTGAGAGGATGGTGAGTAGCCGCAAAGGAGGAATGAAGCTTTGGCTTGCTCCGAGTACTCTGTTCTGGAGGCAATATGACTAACATAATGGAGGCATATCCCTATGGGAAACCGTACCCAACGCCTTCGAATGGTACACAACATGACGAAAACAAACTCTGGATGCAGATACAATACGAAGCATATGTTGACGGCATCGATCTGACTGTACTACCCTTTGCCAAAGAGGCTATTGCAAGCATCACTTCGCTAGCCAGTAATGCGGTGGACATGCAAGAATTCGACTTTTCGACTTCAAGAAGAGTTGATACGCATACCCAGTAAGTCCAAAACTCAGCCCATGACCGCTCCAGCAGAGTACAGATATGAATTTCTACTAACAGAGATCTTACAGCCCTATTCCGGACTGGTTCCGTGCTCTCGAATTGAACGCCGCAGGCCGCGCAACACCATCTTGGAACGTATCCTCCCATCTCAAGTTCATGAGCGAACACAGCATCGCCCATTCTGTACTCTGCATCTCTACGCCTCAAGCCAATGCTTTTCTGACCGAGAAAGACGAGGCACTAAGGAAGAAGAAGACGCTTGCCCTCGCCCGCCTGCTCAATTGCTTCGCTGCAGAACTTTGCAGAATATATCCTGAAAGGTTTAGTTGGATGGCTATCATGCCTTTGCCTCATGTGCAAGAGTCGATCACGGAGTTGAAGCGCATGTTTGGCATGGTTGGAAGACAGCCAGTGGGCGTCGGCGTGTTGACAAACCACGAGGGCTTGTATCCCGGCGATCCAGCTTTCGATCCGCTCTGGGTGTTTCTCCAAGAAAGAGCGGGGAAAGCCGAGGGGAGTGGTAAGGAAGTAGTCTTTGTGCATCCGACCGAACCCATCATCAAGCTCGACGATGGCCGACTGATAAATTCACGGCCTTGTAAGTTTCTTTTTTCTCTCTTCCAAAAGCCACAAGTCGTCGCATGACAAAACAAGACCAAAAGAAAATCAAAAGTTGACCTACCCATAGCACCTTTACGTTCCGGTCTCGGAGAATTTTACTTTGAAACCGCCCGCGCAATCTCCAGTCTAACGGCCTCTTCCACCATCGTCACCTACCCATCCCTCCACTTCCGCATCTCCCACGGCGCAGGCGCCTTTCCCGACATCTCCGAGCGCTTCCTCCTCGGCTTCCCCGAAATCTCTTCCGCAGCAAGGGAAGCGTACAAATCCCGCTTTTGGTACGATAGTGCGGGCCCTGTGTGGCCGAACCAGATCAAAGGCCTGACGGATGGAATGGGAATCCCGATTCGTCAAATGGTGTTTGGGACGGATTATCCATATGGCATCGGGTTCTGGGACGTGGATGCTAATATCAACGGGCTGGCATGGTCGGGCGAGTTGGGGTTTGAGGAGAAGGAGATGGTGTTTTGGGCGAACGCAAAGGAATTGTGGAGTGGGAGGATTGGAGTGTTGGATCGGATGGAGAAGTAGAAATCGGGGTTGATGATTGTTCTATTAGATTTGTGCGCTGATGAAGCTTGATGTGTGCATGACGTTGATGAAATGATGGATATGAGGTAGGTGTGTCAGTATCAGATCCCATCGGAGCGGCGACTACAGATTACAGTGATGTGCAGTCACACATTGGTTGCGAAGCTGGACGTATAAGAATAAGAACGAAGCGATGAAAGGGTCTGATCGTATACTGAATGATGCAAGCGAAATGCAATAAAGACCTTATATCAGTCCACCAATAAATGTCCGGCCAAGAGGATTTGGCGGTATGTCACGTTCTCCGAGATCATACAAAGTAATAGACGTAGATGAGCTTCTCGCATCCACGGAGTTGGACAGCTCGAATCAGTGTAAGAATTTACTGTCAGCAGTACAATTTGCTAAGTGCGGCAACAAGTCCCATCCAATCGATGCAGAGCCGCAAACCTTACCGATTAGCCGCGGGGCGGTTTAGTGTGCAAAGGCCGAATTCGTTAAGACAACAGCGACCCCGCCGTGACATCCGCCACATTCTTGACAACAACTCGCCACCAAGCGTACAGATGAGATTGTGTCGCATTGCTACCTCGCATAACTACCAGGGAAGATGATACAGTAGTGCATTGTAGATGGGAAGGTTGGATTGCGCACGCAGAACAATGCTCACGCCCCAGAGCGACAGGCTGCACTGAGTCGTGCACAAGGCCAGAATTCTTTCAGCCTCATGCATAGACAGCTATAGGTAAATTTTCTAATTGCCGTTCCACAACAACCCGCACTAATCGATGATTTTGTAGAAAATCCTGATGCGTGTCGCAAGTCTTCTGAGCGAGGCCCCGGACGCGATCGCCCGGCGCTTGCCGATGGACCGGGGCACTCCACCGACTCCATATTGCCAACAAAGACAAATATCAAGAGAAGGTCAAGATGAGACAACATTGCATGTTGAGATTAGCCACCAGCCGCCTGCCTAGTCCGTCAGCCAAAGCCAGATCACTATGACTTCAACCTTCCGCATTGTTCGGCAGACGTCGACGGGATGACGTTGATGACAAAACCTCAAACCATCGGGCGATTTCCAACCAACGCACAGCCGCGGAGTACATGAGCATAGACGTCGTCCGAGCCTCAGATCTAGCAAAACGTCTACTGCCGCCGAATGATTGGCGAGACTGCCTTACATAAGGCTGGCAGGAAGAGTTTTGCTCCACCATGTACTAGCGCGAATTGCGTGATCGCACGTCTTCACCCCCAACTATCGCACCTTGCGGAGATGGGTTACAAAGCGATCCCGATGGCGGCGCCCAATATATACTCCAGGCCGTGGTCGCTCTCCCTCTTTCCACCTCCAGATCCAAACGATTGATAATAGTAGTTTCTTTCGGGAAACCTCCATTATACACCAAATCAAAAAGACATTCTGCTTCTAGTTTCTCGGCACGTGCTTGCCATATCCCAAACTTCCGCCACACAATCTTGAAACATGTCGTCACCAATGTTTGCAAGTGTAGACTCTTTCAAGCAGCCTACACTCCGTGAGGAGTCAGGCTACGCTTCAGCCGAATCCAGCCAGGAGAGTCTGCCTGAAGTTTATTTTACAAAGCCTCACTTGAAGTTCATCAACGCACAGCTACAAAAGCTCGAGCCTCAAGGTATGTGGTAGTGATTCGTTCTTGGAAAGCGTCGTGGATTGACTGGAAGTAGATGTTCTCCGATGGTGCATTACATCTCTGCCTGGACTGTTCCAGACTACCGCCTTTGGACTCACTGGCCTCGTCACTGTGGACATGCTTTCGAAGCTTGACGGACCACTGAAGCACAACATCGACTTGATCTTTTTGGACACACTATACCACTTCGATGAAACATATGCCCTTGTCGATCGAGTAAGGAGGCGATACGGAACACCGGTCCACGTCTACAAGCCTGCCGGCTGCGACAATGTCAACGACTTTACTGCCAAGCACGGTGACAAGCTCTGGGACACCAACGACGAACTCTACGACTACGTTGCCAAGGTAGAGCCCGCTGAGCGTGCCTACTCTGAACTCCAAGTCAAGGCCGTCCTGACTGGCCGTCGACGCAGCCAAGGTGGAAAGCGAGGAGACCTAGACATCATCGAGATCGACGAGGCTGGCCTCATCAAGATTAACCCTCTAGCCAACTGGAGCTTTGCCCAGGTCAAGGAATACGTTGACGCCAACGACGTCCCATACAACGACCTCCTCAACAGGGGTTACAAGAGTGTTGGTGACTGGCACTCTACACAGCCAGTAGCTGCAGGAGAGGATGAGCGATCAGGGCGCTGGAAGGGAAAGGCCAAGACTGAGTGCGGTATCCACAACCCCAAGTCACGATACGCTCAATTCCTTCAGGAGCAGGCGATGAAGCAACAAAACGAGGACCTAGCCAACAAGCTGCAAGAGGTCTCGTTGAACGTTTAGGTTGCTGGGCTGTCATATTCACGTTTAGTTGCATCGCATTAGCATGGGCGTTTGGGTTTTTTTTCCGGGTCAAGGCATAGCATGGGGTTTGGGACATTGAAATACTGGGTTTGCGGAAGCCGCATCCGATGATGTATACGGGGCCGAATTGCCACCGATGTACGAGCCAATGAAGCTCAATTATGAATCAAACGAATATGAACCAACGCGCTAGACCTGTCATATACGTGATGCGTTCCTGAAAATCGCTAAAGCCCATCACATATTGCAGGACGTGTTACTGCATCTCCGCCCCGCTCACGTCACTGCGGTTACTTGGCCCAACGAAAAGCCGAGTGAGACAGGCTCTAGGTATCGCGTGCAATTGCGCAATCGCTCCCAAGATCTGCCGACCCATACAACAACCCGCTTTGTGCCCTAGTCTCTGCAAGCAGAGAAAATCCAGAGAAGCCCATGGTCAACAATCGGGACTGGGATCCTGATGTGTCCGCAGAACCCGGGGAATAAAAAGCCCTTTCCACCCGGTCCCGCCTTGTAGTTACTTAGTCGCGCATCTTTCTTTTTGAGTGACCCAAAACATCCTTTGCGAAGCCAGCCTTGCATAGTCAGGAACGACGTCAAGCCTTCGCTAACATAATTCACCAAAACTTGCTACACAAATCCTCTATTCCTCACGACATTCCGTAGAGATGGCGAACGCACCCCATGGTGAGACTGCCTCGCAAAGCTTGAGAAGCTGGTCATAGACACTGACAGCGGGTGACGATAGGCGGCGTCCTCAAGGACCTGATCGCGCGTGATGCGCCCCGACGCAAGGAACTCTTCGACGAGGCCGAGAAGCTCCCCGCTATTGTCCTCTCGGAGAGGCAGCTCTGCGACTTGGAACTCATCCTAAACGGAGGTTTTTCACCCTTGGAGGGTAAGTCGTCATGCCGCCCGCGCTAGGCGAGGGGCACGGAAAAGCCACCCCCTCGTGTTTGCCCTGTTTGCAGCAACACGACCCCTGACAGCAACCATGCAGGTTTCATGAACCAGAAGGACTACGACGGTGTCGTCTCGGAAAACCGTCTCGCCGACGGCAACCTCTTCTCCATCCCCATCACGCTCGATGTCTCGAAACAGACAATCGATGAAGTCGGTGTCAAGCAGGGAGCTCGCATTGCCCTTCGTGACTTTCGCGACGACCGTAACCTCGCCATCATCACCGTCGACGATGTATACCAGCCAGACAAGGAGAAGGAGGCGCGGGAAGTCTTCGACAAGGACGGCGACGTAGCCCACCCCGCCATCAAGTACCTCTACGAGACTGTCAAGGAGTACTACGTCGGCGGCAAGCTCGAGGCCATCGACCGCCTGGAGCACTACGACTATGTCGGTCTCCGCTACACGCCCGCCGAACTGCGTCTGCACTTTGACAAGCTTGGCTGGTCCAAGGTTGTCGCTTTCCAGACCAGAAACCCCATGCACCGCGCTCACCGTGAGCTGACGGTCCGCGCTGCCCGCGCCCGCCAGGCCAACGTCCTCATCCACCCCGTCGTCGGCCTGACCAAGCCCGGTGACATTGACCACTTCACCCGTGTCCGTGTCTACCAGGCCCTCATGCCCCGCTACCCCAACGGCATGGCCGTCCTGGCTCTTCTGCCTCTTGCTATGCGTATGGCTGGTCCTCGCGAGGCCATCTGGCACGCTATTATCCGCAAGAACCACGGTGCAACCCACTTCATCGTCGGTCGTGACCACGCTGGCCCAGGCAAAAACTCCAAGGGCGTCGACTTCTACGGCCCCTACGATGCTCAGGACGCGGTCGAGAAGTACAGGGATGAGCTCGGTATCGAGGTTGTGCCTTTCCTCCAGATGACCTACCTCCCCGACTCGGACGAGTACAAGCCCAAGAACGAGGTTGAGCAGGGCATCAAGACCCTTGACATTTCCGGAACTGGTGCGCTAATCTCTCTTTTGTTCCCATCTTCTTGCCTATTCTCTCCGAACTAACAGAGTGTGAACAGAGCTCCGCAAGCGTCTCCGAACCGGCCAAGAGATCCCCGAATGGTTCTCGTACCCCGAAGTCGTCCGCGTTCTCCGCGAATCACACCCGCCTCGCAGCCAACAAGGTTTCACCGTCTTCCTGACCGGTTACCAGAACTCTGGCAAGGACGCCATCGCACGCGCTCTCAACGTCACCCTGAACCAACAAGGAGGCCGATCCGTCTCCCTCCTCCTCGGCGACACCATCCGCAGCGAGCTCTCGAGCGAGCTTGGCTTCAGCCGATCCGACCGTGACAAGAACATTGCCCGCATCTCCTTTGTAGCCGCCGAGCTCACCAAGGCTGGTGCCGCGGCAATCGTTGCGCCCATTGCTCCTTTCGAGGACTCGAGAAAGGCGGCCCGCCAGACTGTGGAGCGATTCGGATCCTTCTACCTCATTCACGTCTCTACCCCACTTGAGCACGCGGAGAAGACTGACAAGCGTGGCGTGTACGCCAAGGCGCGCGCTGGTGAGATCAAGGGCTTCACCGGCGTTGACGACCCGTACGAGGTGCCTACCAATGCTGATTTGACGGTGGACTTGTCCACCACCAACGTCAGGACAGCGGTTCACCAGATTGTCCTGCTCTTGGAGAGCCAGGGTCTTCTGACACAGTTGTAGATGATTGGCGACAAAAGAGGTTTTCTTTTTTTTTCATTGTTCTGGCATTGATGCGATGAAAGCTACATTTTTCTTTTAATGGATTATGATTGGATGGTTATTGTATTGACCTGGCTTTACGATTTGCTGGGGTTCAAGATGCACGGCATAGATGATGTGGTACCTAGACATATGGTTTAGACGATTGGTAACGAAGAGCAGCAAAGTTGCTTTCTGTATCTGGAATATACAGATGGAGTCGATGAATGTTGCACACATCAACCTTGACGTGATGACTCTATGTTGCTGTTTAGAGGAGTGTCTGCAACTACTTGTCGCTGACCATAGACTGGATATGCTGTGTGGCATACCGTTCTTAACATCCCACTCGCACTTCATGTTTCTTCCTCCATTTCCCTCTCAATCTCTGTGTCTCAGACGAACCACCCAGCAGCAACAGCTAGTCCCCCACCAACCACCGCAGCAAACTGCGCATCTAACAAACCATTAGCATACATCCCACCCCCCGATCAGCGGTAGGACTAGAATCCAAAACAAGACAAAAAGCATACCTTTTGTAGACCCCGCCGCACCCGTAGTAGGCGTCGCACTCGGACTCTGAGCCACCCTTTCGGAAATACTACTCGCAGCCGATGACAACGCCGAAGAAAAGGCTTCGGAAGCAATCGACGACGCTGCTGATTGAGCGGCCGAGGTCGCTTCTGCGGGGGCTTGCGTGGAAGTGTTCAGCGTGTTTCCTGACGCTGTTGATTCGGCGTCGGAAATGGCTTGGTCTTGGGCGAGAGATGGGGGGAGTGTGGTGAAGATGGGGAGGAGGAGTGTGAGCATGTTGAAAGAACGCATTGTGGTTGTGGGTGATGAGCAGACGGGGACGGGATGGGGTGTTGAGATGGTAGTGTTTGGTAGTCTGGTTGATGGAGATGTGAGATATTTTGCGTATGTATATTCACTTAGGAGTGAGAGTTGATTAAGCAAAAAGTGTGCATAGGAACATCGTCTCCTTATACGTACATGTTAAATCCTCCAGGCTGTTCTTTCGCACCAAAATCGCTAAAGAAGAATAACCCGTCCCTATTCCATCTCATTCCGTCCGTCACCTCCCTGGAAGAAGCCCAAGACCATTTTCCATGACGCTCAGTTCCTCACACCAAGCCACTCAGCACGCACAACCTGCGTGCATGCCCTCAGCCTCTTGTCCCAAATCGTCAGTAATAATAAGCCACAATACCTCTTACAAGCATGCAATCAATCATGGGCGGTGGATCTACCTGTGGCAGGAAGGTTCCGTGGTCGTGGCGGAAGGTTGGTCTCAGCCATAGATGTACGAGTATGGAAGCACATGTTTTGATGCAAGGCTGTTTTGTGGCCTGGAGTACTGGGACGGGCTAGGATCTGATTGAGAAAACGCGGGTGGTGATGCAGTGCAGATCGGAGACGTGATGTAGATGATGACGTTTTAGGGGTCCGCGGACGCTAACGCGTGGGAGGGCTGGGGGTGGTTTGCTTCTTTTCGTGGGGTCGCGATGCAGAACTTTGATTTGATAGTCGTAAAACTCAATGGTGTGTTGCCAGGTTTCGCCCTGTATATCATCTTCCTGCAATGCCTCATATGTGCTGCAAAGGCGTTGTGGTACATTTGCTTTCGCGACTTGGCCTAACGCACATCGCACTTACATCGATCGATGCTTGTTTATTCACACAGTCGGTGCCTTGTCACACGTTTGATCGTCCACCCGTCAGTATCTCCGACGGAGCCTACTGCAAGCCTGCCGACCTCAGAGGTACTCTTCGCGTCTCCGAACCGTATTTTGACGTCTTTGAGAATACGAGCCCGGTCTGAAGCCTCGAGGAACGATCCAGTAGGCGGTAGCGCCACGTAAAGATTATCCCTCATCACGAGGCTCGACATGTTCATCATGATGTCCGGACCGTTTGTTAGGAATGTGCGAAAAACTGCAGGGACAAGGCTCGCGAGGATCAAAAGTGATGACGCAAATACCAAGACGGCGGCCCAACCTTTATGCGCTTGAATAACAATCTCTTCGGTGTTCTTCGTCCCTACAGTGGACCAAGCTCTTGTCTTGAATCTTTCTGTCGTATTTTTAGTTTGGTTCATTGCCAGACCAGCGAAACTCGTATTGTCGTCAGTGTAAGACGTGGCATTAGTCAACCCGCCGGTCAGGGCATAGAATCCGTTCATGCAAGTCCAGTAAGCATTAAAGAGCTGTCCTAGATTGTAAGAATATGCTTTGTCTAGCGCAGGTGGTTTCTTGGTGAACGGTTCATATTCGTCAAAGCTTTTGTGTGAATAGTCCGGTGTTTGCAATACAAGTAAAGGATCTTCAGGAGCCATAAGATAAAGATCAAGCATAGTTGGAAAATCCTGATACCCAGCTTGAAACGTGCGTATAAAGTATGATGCAAATTTCGGCCAATTCGAAAAAGCCCCAGCGGTATCGAAATCGAGTTGAGTTTGAGCTGCTGGTGGATGACTGAGTCGTGAGCGGCGAATTTTGGAAACAGCGCATGTCGTTCTGATTGGGCAGAAGACTTCGACCTCGACGTACGTTGAAGTCATTTGGCATTGCAGATTACCATTAGTGATATTCCACCAACTGGATCCGAAATAGAATTGGAACGGTATCTGGCGTACTGGTCCAGGAGTGCTCCCGTTATCCGCAATGGCGATAAAAAACGTGTCGTCCCAACCTATTGCGTTATAACTTGTGTTGGCGAGAAAGGCACCTTGTGGCTTCCAGCCAGTCTGGTACCTTGGAACTCTTTTGCAATCTAGGGATAAGTATAATGTCTGGAGATTCATATTCATATTGGCCGCGTCTTTGTCGTCGAGGCCAGCCATAGGAACTCCAAAAAGTGATGCGAAGGTCGTTGTACTGGTCTGCTCCGTATTCACTTTGAACCATCCATCTTTGTCTGCGCTGACTGTGTCTTCAAGCGCCTCGACCAAGGGAATCTTTACATTGCCCCACAAATCGAGTGGTGATTCTTTTGTAGCCCTGGGACTCACGACAGCGGCCTTGTACATGGTGTCAATTATTTCCCACCATAACATGCGATCCGAACAACAATCCAACCCAAGGTTACCATCAGGTACCATATAATCAAAAGACGTTGTGTGGTTGGACGTCATGTTTCCCGTCGTTACTTGTCGGAAAGATGCTTGGCCGCCGATAGGCGACAAGGTCCAGGTTATAGCTAAGGAAAAGCCTAGAAAAGTGACCATGCGCAGTTGTAGCAAGGACATGATCGTGCTGGTGAGTGAGGTGCTACCAGCTAAAATGTCAAGTGTGCCGCAACGCTCCCCGGATTCTAGTCTCCAACGAAGGACGGCATGTGTTGCACGGCCAAGCACGGCTGCGAACAATATCGGGAATACAGTCGGTCCCTTCGCATCTCGTTAGTGAAGTCTTTCTAGTCAAGTTTCCTATATATATATAGCTTACATATTTGGCAGCACTTAGTAATGTCTGTGCTGGTCCAGCATCTGAGTGAACCGGAGTTTGGTCGTACTTTATGACAGCGAAGGCGAAGGCGAGAAACGCGACAGAGCAAGCGAAGAGCACCAAGTCGACAGTAAAATCTGTCAGTCGCTTGTAAAGCGAAGTTTTGACACGCCTCGGTAGTGCTGGCCAGGCTTGTCGCACGTCGTTGGTCGATTTTGGTAGTGGGGTGGTATGAATGTCGTCGGAGCCAATTGACTTAAGAAGGATGTCAGTGTCATTGGACTCAAGTTGAGTATGATTGCGTTCCATGATGTTACGAGATAAAGACGTGTTCACGATAAACGCTCTCAAATTTATCTCATGAGACAGGCTGATTGTCCAAAGTTGGAAGATAAAGCGGTGAAGAAGCCTTACGTCTATTCTGCGAGTTTGGGGGCCGCAAGACTGTGAGGCGTGGTACTGTAGTAGATGACGCCATTTTTACGCCTAGGACGAATGGTGAGCATGTATGGTGGCATATGCAAGTGGCAAATATCAGCAGATGCAAGCCTTCGTTAGATACAGGTGGCACAGCCCACATTCTTTCAGATTCAACCACTTATGTCTCACAGTAGCCGGAAATAGAATCGATAACATTGCAGCAAATATCACATTGTGATGTGTGAGGGTGTCGTCGAAATGCAATCCCCCACCTCGACACGCATACGCCTACATCCGACATTACCCCTCTTACATAAACGCATTCAGAGCCGCACCACCAACACCGAACAAAGCAGCATATTTAACTTCTGCAATATGTCAGCCTTCCCGAACTCCGATATCCATATTTCCTTTTCCCGTGTACTGCACCAGTAAGCAGGAAACGCGCCCACCACTCACCATGAGCATTCGCACCGCCCGTACTTGTCGCCTTAGCCGAAGCAACAGACGCCGACGAGGCTGAGAGAACAGATGCAGCCGATGATAAGGCGGTAGGATTGATAGCTCCAAGGCTACTGGAAACACCAGCTGGAATTTCTTGCGCGGTGGCCAGTACGCCAAGGAATGCGATGAGGTATAGTGGTTTTGTGAACATGATTGTAAAATGTATGCGATAAATACCAGTCGTTGATGGGTTCGATGAATTCAGTAATTGCGCATACGACTTTGTCGCTCGATTAAGCCAGTGAGCTCTGTTTTACGTACTATCATGTCTTGCTACTACGACCATGTATGACGCAGATGGTAGAATTAATCGACATGTTAGTTCTGCCATACACAATGCTTCTTCTTTGCTCCGATCACTATGCTTCAGTGAATATGGTTAGCGGACTTCCTAGTACGGAATAGCATCATGATTAGCGCAAATCTACGGAAGCTGAATGACGTGATTAAGAAGGAACTCGGTTTTGAGATAGACAACTCACAACACAGGGATAGGGATATTCTGTCTTAGTGTCAAAAGGGTACATACGTGTTGCACACCTGGCTGGGAGATAGGCTAAGGGTCTGAAGATCACTTAGTATCGCGTCATTTGTTACTGCAAAGTCATGTACACTTGGTGAGCAAAGCAACATACAAAAAATTCGATTTAGGCTCTAGGTATCCATGTTCTCTCGTTTTCCCATGCTCCGAGTAATAACACAGTAGATCACCATCTGCTTACCACCCATGACTCGCAGATACGCAGCGCACACAGCATCAAGTTATCATCTTGTCCATCCCCATCCCCAGCGTCCTCTAAGTGGATTGATTATACCACCTCCCTGTGCAGCCTTTGCCTGGACTTTGGCCTGTGGTTGCTGCACTTGCGACGATTTCGCTGGCGTATCCGGCCCAGCCCCCTTTCCTGCTGCACTGGAAGTAAGCCAAAAGCCAGATGTGACTACACTCAGCGGCTTTTCTGCAGGTGTTGGTGCTTGCTGTTGTCGCTTTTGCTGGCTCCCAATCCCAGGGCTAGTCTTGTCGCGTCCAAAGAGTTCGGAGATCCTCGACGTGGGGCTGCGCCGTGGCTTCAGTAAATCTCGACGGGTGAGCGGTGACGATTTGGGATCGGCCTGCTGGGTAATTGGTGATGCGTTTGCACTTGCATTGGCGTTTGAAGAGGCGAGAGCGGCTGCCTTACGTGGTCCGAATGCGGGCATAGTATATGGATCACTCGAGCTGGACTCGTACATTCCATATGAGGTTACACGGCGCGGGAGAGCTGGTTTGACATCACTCAGATCTGTTCGCGCGCCTGGCTGGGTTTGCTGCTCTGAGCTTCGATCGGCTGGCTGTTTCATTGCCAATGAACCTTTCGTTGGCTGGGGCCCGGATTGACTGACCCCTGTGTTGGATGCTGGAACTGGCGAGATTGTACCGAGGGATTCTCGTGACTTTGGCGAAGTAGGTCTGTCCCCTCCTTTTCTTGTTGTCTCTGATCTTGGTAGAGCCGCTCGGGATACCGCCATATGCGCTCCGGGAGCAGCAGATGACCTTCGATCTGCTTGTGCCGCGGCTGACGAGGCTGGACCTCGTTCTTCTTGCTGTTGTGGCGATTCAACTCCTCTTGCTTTGATTGATTCCGCTTCGCTGTTGAACAAGGCATCGCGCGAGACTGGTGTACCCGCTCTCGGGGCGGTGGATTGTCTTCGACTATCTGCTTGTCTGGCACTCGACGGGATTGTTGCCGTTCTCGTTGATGTTCTGGTGACTGTGCGTGTTCGCGCCGAGATTGGCGCTCTATCTTCCTCAATTGCTGAAGACCTGCGTCGCGTTTTCGTTCTCTTGGCTGATGATGAAGGTCTTCGTGTGGCGGTCGCTGGATCGTCCTCTGCAGACTGGAAGGCCGTGATGTCTTGCGCTCGTGCTGCAGTTGATCGACGGATGTGTTCTCGTGCAATGGGCGCCTCTTTTCCTGTATCTGATGCTGAAGGCCTTCCTTGGTTGCTTTCATCTCCAATGGACGGTTTTGGTGATGTTCCTGGACGCGTGAGGTCAACTGTGCTGGTAAATCCGGCATTGTCATCGACGGACTGCTCACGCGGTCTATCGACGCTACGGCGGATGGCGTTGTCTTCTTCGCCTTTCGAGACCTCGGAGTCCAAGACCATCTTCGTTTGCTCTCTAGCGCTATTGTATTCCTCTCCTTGAGCCGTTGGTCCTCTTGTTGGCTCTTGCGCTTGCTCTTGCAGCGCTTGAGCACTAGGCACTTCCAACATCCTGCCTGGCGACCGACTCGACTCTCCTTCATCTGACTGATCTTCTTTCTGGGGAACCTGAGACAGATTCCGTCGCGTTTCCGGCGGCTGGGTACCTTCTCTAGGCAACGTTTCTTCTTTTGCGATTGAGGTTCCAGCTTTGGTTGGTCTGCTGACGTCTCTACGGACTGGGCTTTGGACCTCTTCTTTGTCCGGTCCTTGAGCCGTGCGAGAGACTTCAACTTCAGTATCCGGCCAAGTCTGAAACTCAGGTGCTTGGGAGCGGGTGGTAACATCCGTCCGTGTACGAAGAGCTTGCTGAGGCCGCGATTCGCGTTGAGAGGGTCCCGACGAAAGCCGACGGGTAGATTGTCGCTTCGGTTCGTCCTGACGGAAGGTTTCATTCGTCGAAGCTGTTCGACGGATGGGGTAGCTGGTCTTTCGAGATGGTGAGGACTGTGGCCGTGTATCGTTGTCAGTGCGCTCTGGAAGGATTGGAGTGATTGGGTAGTAGTCGTCCTTGTGAGCGTAGACGGAGGTTTGCCTTGATCGAGTGTCGGCCCTTCGCAGAGGGACGGCATCTGATTCTCGACGATAGACAGACTGTCTGACCTTGCTTGTATAATTGTTTTGCCTTTTTTGCGTTCCCCCTGGGAGTTCCGGTGACCCAGGTGCCGCATCCCGAAAGGGCTGGACAGATGATGAGTGGAGAGCAGGCTGACTTGGTCGATGAGATCGGCTTTCTACCTCTGATTCTAGAAGCTTTTCCTTTGGCCAAGGCCCAAGACCAAGCCATCCTCGCTTCTTGGGCGGGCTCTCGATTTTTAGCTTCGGTGATGGCGTACGAGTATCCGGCTTCGTCCATGACGGCGTTTCGCGTATTGGATATGCTGGTGCCGGTGGATATTGCTGCTCAGGTGAGTAGTTTGTGCCCTTCTTTGGCTTTTGCTTAGGGCTTCTAGACTGCATCCCGACTTTCATTTGTTCACTGATCATCTCTGGAAGGGGCGCTGTGATCCCAGGGGCAGCACTGCTGCGTCTGCGATCTGCTGTGCCAGGCTCACTCGGTATCTTTGTCTTTCTTCTCGCAATCCGAGGGCTCTCGTTGCACTGACTCTCAACCTCAGTGCTTACCAAAGGCCCAAAGCCTGCAGCGGACGATACGATGTTCCCAGCATCGCTACTTCGTTTACTGTTAGATCCATTAGGTATCGTCAGTATCCGTGGTATGCTGGCTTGAAACTCTTGGGAAGCTTGCATCATGCTTCTTTCGAAGCGAACATCTGGATCAAGCTGATCTTCAGCATTTGTATGCGCAATAGGCGCCAGAGTTGGGTAGAAGAGGGTAGTCGGTGCTCTCTCAGACTGCCCAATCAAGTCCTCGCTCCCGTGAACTTCGGGTGATCCAGCTTTGCTTTGACCTCGAGAATCATTGCCTTCATCCGGCGGCTCTTCAGCAATCTGTTGGTAGATGGGAGGTGCGAAAGACTCCGTGTCAGACGCCAGATCTGTAGTACGTGCTTTCTCGACCTGATCGGTCTCTTCCTTGCGATCAACCCCGTGAGTTGATTCAAGAACATCCCTACTTTCCAATTCGGTAGACTCATCAAGGAGGACTACCTTGTTGTACTCAGGGCTTTGGTATGCCAAAGACTCTGTACGTGACAGAACACGGGTAGTCGGTGTTCTGCCAACCAAAGCGAGCCGTTCTTTAGGTGTCGCGTCTGCTAGATCAGTTATTTGTCGTCTGAAAGGGCGATCTAGATGTCTTGCATCCACTTGAGGTTCTGCTGGGATCCCTTCCTCTTCTCCCGGTGGGTCCTGTTGATTCGCGGATGCAGCGAGGACGTGTTCTCTATGCGTAGGTTGATGTGAGGCTGGACGCGACAAGGTGATCTGATCAGATACGTCTCCTATGTCCAATGGGATCTCAGATAAGGAAAGAGCTTCCGCCTCAGTTTCACGGGTGGTCACCCTACGCGTGGGCTGACGTGAGAAGGCTTGATAAGATTCATCGTCTTGTGGCAGGGACAAAGAAGGAGACCTGTCGAGTTCAACAGAGTCGTTCCGCGGTGCAGCTGATAGCACTGTATTCGTACGAGACGCTCGCGTTGGCTGGCGCGAAACGATACGCGAAGCAGAAGGCCCCTCTGGCAAGCCTTCTACATCGGGCGATGAGATAGATCTAGCTAGATGCTGAGGATCAGTAACTAGCGGGATCTTACTTGTCCGGCGAGCTTGAAAGGTAGGCTGGCGTGAAGCTGCGCGAGATGAGACGGGTTGTTCAAGCACCTCTTCTGCTACAGGAGAAGTATCGAAAGACACGGAAGCAGGTTTGAAAGAATCTTGCCGCTTTCCACTCGGTTCCGCAGTGGTTGTTCTGCGAATTCGCTCCACCGGCATTTGGAACTCAAAGCCGTCCTTAGGTACTAGTGAGCCTTTTCTAGACTCTTGTAGTTGTTCACCTGGTTGTAGAGTGGTTGTAAGGCGGATAAGTTCGACTGGATAGCGTAAAGCCTCTTCAGATCTATCACCCTCTACTGGAGAAGAGGTGGAAGACTCGGAAGTAGATCTGAAAGAGTCTTGCAGCTGAAAAGCCGGTTTTACAGTAGTCGTTCGACGTATCCGCTCTATTGAAACCTCGAGTCCAGGCTCTTCAATGACCGGTGACGCTATGCGAGACTCCTGTCGCCGTTTGACCGACTGTATATCAGTTGCTTGCCGAATGCGTTCAACCGGAAGCTGGAATTTGGATTCTTCTTCGACAACCGGAGTCACTTCCTGAGATCCAGACTTGGAGGTAGGAGTGCTAGGATAAGCCCTCACCATTTGCTGAATCGGTGATGCAGTCGATCCACGAATGCTCCTGGGTGCGGGTTGAAGCTCGGTCACTTCATCGATGGCTGGGGACGCACCATTGAAACCTAGCTCTACTAGCAGAGCATCAGCTCCAGAGTCAACTGTCACTTGTGGCTGAATGGCTGGTTGTACAATAGTCGACCTGCGAATCTGTTCTACTGGAGGCTGAGAATCCAGCTCTGCTGATGAACCGAGCTCTGGCTCTATCATCGGTTGCTGTACACCCGGCGGCGCAGTGATTGTTCGGCGAACTGGTTGGAGTTGCGGCTCTGGTTCATCTTCATCGCTGGGAAATAATTCTGGAGTAATCTCCAACTCTGAGGGAAATTCGGTATGCCTACGCTGTAGAGTACTTTGCTGCCGTTCGGCCGGTGCCACAGTAGTCGTTCTGCGAATGCGTTGTGCAGGAGGCGCGAACTCAGAGCCTTCTTCTTTTCCAACTACCGACTGTTGGCGAAATACGGATTCGGGTAGGACAACGTCCTGTTCAGTGGCTACGGTTGCTTGCTGCTGCTCGGCTGCCAAATCAGTAGTAGCTCGACGGCTTCGTTCTGCGGAAGGCGAGAAAGTAGGTTCTCCTTCTTCCACCAGCGACACGGTAATGTTTTGATGGGTTTGCTGGTATGGAAGCAACTCATTTTGATAGGATGGCGAAAGAGACGTGGTTCGACATATCCTTTCTACTAGAGGTTGAAATTCAGATCCCTCTCCTCCTACCGGCAACAGCTGCTCAGGATCTTCGGGCTCGGAGAGAGTTGCGTCATGCTCAAGCTCTTCTGTTCTTTGTGTCTGCTCGTGTGGTACTTCAGTAGTCGCCCTGCGGACTCGCTCTACTGGATATAAGAACTCTGACTCATCCTCATTATCATCATCGTCACCATAGAGGATTTGTAATGATTTCTGAGTTAGATCGCGTTCCAGAACTGCGTCTGCTTGCGGTTGTGTAACAAGAGAGACTGTGGTAGCCCTATGCATCTGTCCCATTCGCGATAGCAAATCAGACTCATGTTGATCCAAGGATAGTAACAATTCAGGGGATATCGCGCGCTCCGCCACGGTACTCGCACGGCTCTTTGCAGCTGGCAAGACAGTGGCAACTCTTCGGATGCGTTCCGCTGGCAATGGGAAATCGAAGTCATCTTGCTCTTGCATTATCGGTGATGATTCACGAAACGTCTCAGGCTTTGTCAACACGGTAGTAGTCCTACGGATGCGTTGTACCGGAGATGAAAAGTTGGCTTGGTCATGTTCTGGTATCAGTGTTGGTTGTGTGCTTGTCCTCCGCTGCTCGAAAAGTGGCGCAGCAGTCATTCGGCGTGTCTGCTGTATTGGTGGTGAAGCCAGTATATCTTCTTTCCCTTCGTTGAGTGGTGACTGTGTAGTTGCTCGCCGCTGCTGAGACAGTACTACAGTAGTCGACCGGCGAATCTGCTGTACTGGTGAGGGAGTATTACTACGCTTGAACTCTTTCCCCAATTCTCTTCTCGAAAAAACATTGGTCGGCTCAGCGTGAACTGAAGTCATCCTGCGAATCCGTTGTGCGGGGGGAAGAAAATCGGGCTCTTGATCTTCAACAACAAGCAGAGATTCCCCGTGAGGCGCTGGTTCTAGTGGAATCGCTGCGCGATCAGGCTCTCTTGTAGTCAGTCTTCTCAAAGAAGTTGCTGTCGGCTCATCCAGAGACAGAAAGTGTACTTGTTCCGATCCGTTCGATATTGAAGTGACTGGTGATAGAACCAATTCCTCGACTTGCATTTGTGGTAGTGTTGTGAGCGTGTCTTCATCGTACGACCGCTGTGCTGGAGGTGCAGATTCACGTGCTGGCTCTCTAAACGTCGGCCGTCGCGAACGCATCAGAGTGGCCTTCCTAGTAGACATGCGATTTACAGTCTCTATGGAAGGTGTCTTAAACGAGTCTGTGGACGGTAGACCTGTGACGATGCGTGGCGTCACCGATGACTCTGGTGACATCGGCCGACTAGCAGAATCACTCAACGGCAATGCAATCTCAATTTCAGAAAGTCTTTTTCGCAGTTGAGAAGCGAGATACCCAGGCTGAGTAGACTCAGAAGACACGAAGGAGACCGTTCTTGTAGCCTGCTCCTCGAGTTTAGTAACGGGCTGCACGATCGGATAGCGCTGTTGGCTAGCGAAGCGCTGTGTTTCCTGCAATTCTTCGACCCCTGGGCTTGGCAGAAGATCTGAGGTAACGAGGGAGGAAACCCTTCTGTCGTCTTGTGTAACCGTTGGTGTGGCGCTTGTCTTCCTCGTATAATCCAGCCGGACCGTTGGCTGCCTCGACAGTGGTATAGTGAAGTGCTTAAACACAGGTTCGTCATCATCAATACTCTGCTCCGACTCTGCGGCCAAATCCTTCACAGTCACCATTCGCGAAAGTGGTGTAGAATCAGCCCTTTCGGAAACGGCTGAACGTCCCACCACCGCGGCGCGGGTGTCTGATTTGTCCTCTGTATAAGGATCCTGTTGCGGCAATGCATCGCGTTGGTGCTCTGTTTCGGGTTCAAAGCGCTTTGTAGTCATTCTCCGAACAGGTGAAGCTGTCTCAAGGCTTTGTATGACGGCTGCGCGTTCCATTGGCATGAAGGTAGTGTCCGCCTGGTGCGTGGCAGGAATTTCAGCATCCGACTTTCGGCTTGGGTAATTCTCAGGCTCATGCGCCTGATCACACTGGTCTTGAATTGGCACACTAAACCCGGAAGGCGATGGAGTCAGACCACGGCCGTCATTGTAAGTGTCAGGTGCAGTCTCGTCGCATTGTTGGTCAAGCTGAGTCTCATATTGCTGTTCAATCTGAGAATCTTCACTTGTCTCATACTGTGGGCTATATTGTGCTTGGTAGCTCGACTCGGCATGTTCGTTCAGCTCTGGACCATCTCTGACCTCGTCAGCAGGCTCGTAGTTAGTACCTGGTAATGTCTGTAGAACGGCGGTGACGGAAGCAACGGCAGCGGGAAGCTCGTCTCTCGCCACTCGAAGCACCTCCTAGATCTCCACCGGCGAAACGTCTTCCGCCTGGTAGGGCTCTCGAGTGTTAAATGGAGGTTCTTTCGACTGGCTGAAGATACGGGTGAGTGCGCGGCTAAGTCGCCTTTGGTCAATACTGTCATTGACCGTGGTGAGAACATCTCCACTGGCAAAGTCGACCTGCTTGGACTCCGACCGTCTAACCTTGCTTGACACACCATTGGGTCCTCTGTTCAACACGAGTTGTATAAGGTTTGCGGCTGCTTTTTCTTCATGGTCATTTGGGCGACCTACCTCGAAATTTTCGATGTTAGCGCCGATAGATCCTTTTCTCTGCCAAGTAGGTGTGTTAGAGAGACGCGTGGGGATTTTCTCAGGCATACGCTGCGTAGTTTCGACAGATGACTTGTCATCATAATCGCGAGCAGTGTCGGAATCGGCAGGTGCATTCTCATGCCAAGTAGATTCGTGCGAGGCGCCAATACTGAGTACACGTTGTGCAAGATGTACGATGAGCTTTTCCCCCTGCTCACTCTCTTGCCGGTCCTGGAGCCGGACGTCAAGATCTCCAGCAATCGAATCTAGTTCGTCCATAAGCTGCTCCCGCGCCTCTGAAAGCTCAATTAGATGTCTACGTGTTTGCTGTAGCCAACTATCTTCGGTGAGCGGCTCTTTGTCAGCCGTCTTGTTTTCTGTGGCTTCCAAAGAGACGCCTGAATGGTATGAGACAGATTCCTGAGGCCTACTTTCATAAGGGGCATTGCGAAACAAGTCGTCATCGGTCACGGTAGGCCTTCGCTCGAGATCGATGCCAAGATCATCGGCTGCAGAATTGACCAGGTCGACAAGGTCAGGTATCGACTGTAATGCTTCGCGCAAACTGGAACGAGGGTCGTTGAGGTTCGGCTTCAGTTGCCCAGTAGATCCCACGTTAAGCCTTTCTGCCGTTTTGGGTGGGATATATGGACAAAGGGGAAGCCAATCATCATCCTTTTGGCAAGATGGTTGACAGCGTTGTCTACAGGAGGTGTTGGCACGGCATCGCTGGACAAGTTCTCCAGATACTCGTCGAAGCTGATTAAGACTGGGCTGACTGTTCTTGATGCTGCTGATGACAGACTGCAAGGTGTTTGCATGCTCTTCGAGGATGTTGTCGATAATGTAACCCAACTCGTCAGCGAATGCATCCCCGCACTTGTCGTATGGTATACATTCAGAGTGATGTCTACGGCGTCTCTGCTTACGACAGATATCATCGTTCAGTGGTTTCGAAGAAGAGGTTGTGGAGGTCGAGGATTCAGACAAGGCGCGTCTGCGTTGTCTCCGTTGGGTAGCTGGCACTTGTTTTGGCGGTGGTGCTCGAGTTGAGCATTGCCGGCATATCTTCTGCTGTGCATGATCGCGATGCTCGCCTTTACCCATGTATGAGAAATGACCACACGCCCTCTTAGTCCAACTACCAGGGTCTCGGAGTGGTTTACCAGTTCTGTTCGTGCCGTGTGATTTGATTCTTGCACCCGGAAAACCAAAGTCTTGCGTGACGCGACGTCCGTAACCTTGTCGGTTGTCGACGTCGTCCGGTACTTCAGTCTCATGATACTTTTCTTCGACACCAATGTTGGCTGTTAGGATCGGACCTGAGATAGTGCTTCGTCGAGAAGAACTGACGTCACTCGCTCCGTCGTGGCCAAGATTCCTTGATACAATCTCCCCGGCTCGCCTGCGAACATTGACAGACTTCCCAAATTGTTGGCTAGAAGTTTCAGTATCCGTGCTCGGAGTCCACTCAGCGACACGATTGATAGGTTCCTTTGAAGAATCGCTGATCTTAGCTAAAGAAGCAGTGTGTGATCCACTGCGCCTAAGTCGTTTGGGGGAAGTTCCTTGGTCTTCCTCGAAAGTTCTTCGAAGATTGCGACCAGACTTTGCACGTCTGCCCTCCTGTTGCGACCGAAGATCCGGATTCTTGGCTTCTCTAGTCTCAGCAGCTATTACTGAACTGCGAGTGGATAGGCGTCTCACAACTTTGTCAGGGGAATCTGATTTATCAACCAATCTTTGCTCTACGTTGCCGGCGAGCGGCCCCTCGGGTATACATTCTTGCGCAGAGCTGTCACTCACGGCTTGTAAGTCGATTCCGAAAAGCCTGGTGTCTTGAGGTGTGCTTGCAAAGATGTTTGTGGACCTTGGGCGACCCATGGACTCCTGTTCAACATCATGATCATATTGCCCCTTGTAATCAGTCATGTCCATGGGAGGTGTAGCTGTTCCGATCGTGATGGTGGGAGCACACTTGCCACTGGGAGGCTGACCTTTTGGCGCAAAGCTCTTCCTGCTGACACCGATTGTTGAAGGTGGAGGAAGGGGTGTTGACGGGTAGTGAGAGGCTCTCGTCTCGAAGAAGTCTTTAGCAGAACGAACTGATTGGGGAACATCGGGCGGTCTTGGTAATGAAGGTGCTATTGTAATATCGCTTCGTTCTAGCTCATAAGCCCGAGATCGTGTCTTGGAGTCGGAGGGACCAGACGCGCGTGATCGTCCATCGATACTGGAGCCAGCCTGCACAGATGGGACCGCTATTGTTGTCTCTGCTTTAGGCTCACGATAGGGATGTGCGATACTGTCCAGGACCTGACCGTAGGGGTTCTTACCTTGTAGATAGGCAGGTGATCTGCGGCCAGCTGGAAACGGTTGAGGTTCTCTCGAACATTGTGGAAGGGGCGAAGCTATCGGATTAATAGACTTGCGTCTCGATGCTGTGAGGGATGGCTGCTTTGCTTCTCCAGTTCCCGGTACTGTGGCAGGAGCTTCAAATTTACCCTGTCTAATCTTTATGTTCGATTGTTGTTGGCTCTGCTCGCGTGGTCCTGCATTAGCAGCTCGGGAAGCAGAACTTGACGTGGGTTGGTCGAAGCCTCGGGGCATGGGACGCTAAGCTATCGGACGATGCTTGGTCGATACGGAAATGGCAATGCTGTGTGATTGGATTGATTGGTGACTGTATGTAGAGAGAACTGGAATTACTGTGGTAAGGTAAGACACGCTTTCAGGAGATAGAGCAAAGTAAGACAGAGTGCAAAGGGGTAAGACAAACAGATGAGACGATAGCAATGAAGGTAATTTGTAGCTCGTAGGGTTGCTGGTGGATCCAAGTGCACTCAGTCCAGGTTGTAGTGGAAGACGGTTAGAGGGAACGGGACTGGAAGAGGTTCGCGGTGTTTTGGTGACCTCATGGAGCTCCTTCTATTCTTTGGGCGCGGAAAGCACGCATGCTCTGCAATTGCTACTATACATACCCCGCATACCGTGCTCAAGGAACGCTACTGACACATTTACTTCAACGCAGCCTGAAGGCTCTCAAGGACCTATGTTATGTCAGTGCTTGTTGTGTGGCTGCGCCCACGATACGCACCTCAAGCTCGATCTTGGCCTCAGCAATGTCGGCCTCGCTGCCGCTTCCGCTGGCAATCTTCTGTGCCTCGGCGATCTGGTTCCTGACAGCCTGTGCCCGTGTCAGTCGCTATTTCTCCAAAGTCGCGTGGTGGCTCGTACCTCGGCGCTGAAGTCCTCCAATGGGTAGCCCTCGACGGCGTTGATGCTGAGGACGGAGTTTGGCTGCACGGTAGCAAATCCACCAGACAGGAAGAACTGCTTGCTGCCACCCTGCTCCTCGATGATTTCGACTAGGCCAGGCTTCAGCTGCTCAATGGAGGCAACGTGGTTGGCCAGAACACCCATGTCACCGGTTTCCGCAGGGAGGTTGACCTGGACACTACAAACAGTCTCATGTCAGTTTTCGCGATTTCGCATTGCGGGATCGGCCGGGGGTCTCGAGGGACATACACATCCTGGGACTTGTAGATGGACTGTCGATAATCAGTTAGCGTTTGCTCTCCAGCGATAGTTCCAGCTGGATGCATTCCCCCACACGTCGCGACGGCTGGTATGGCGTACCTGATGCGGGAGAGCTAGGGAGAGCTTGATCTTGTCGTTGGCGACTTCGGCGTACCCTCTGCGCTGGATGGGGCGGGCAATGGCAGCGGGCCTCGCGCGGAGGGCGGCTCGGGCGATGCGGAGGGAGCTCATGATGGACGAAGTGGTGGGGCAATGGCAATGCGTGTCGAAAGTTGGGTGTTCTGCGAGGTTGAGTTTCTGCGGCCCCGGGCTCTTCTCGGGATTAGCCGAAAAGGTACCGCCAAGGCGGTTAGCATTCCCAGTTACCATTTCAACTTGAACACAGTAATAACACGGAGAAGTTTGTTTGTTTGTAGGATACAGCGTTTAGAAACTGAATTCCTTCGCAGATAAGAGGTTGATGAGATACCAAAGCTCACTCAGTTTCTGAGGTCGGGTGCAGTACAATGAAGTGCCTGTATTCAATAACTCCGGGGTATCTTAATCGCAAAACCAAGAACATATCTAGCTCGTTACGCTTGACGAAACTAATGCTTCTTGATGCTCCAACTTGGCGGACATCAATCGTCATAAAACTGCTGTGGTGCGGCCATGCTCATCCGTAACTGCCTCTCTCTCTGCTTCGCTTGCAACTCCAGCGTCTCCACGGCATAGCTAAGCCTGTCCTTCTTTGCCCTCAATGTTTTCATCCTCAGTTCCTGCTGCGCGCTGATGGTCTTGCCCCCACTCCTCTGTGCGGTCCTACTTGCCGGTCGAGAACCCGATCCACCATTGTTGTCACGTCCAAGTCTGCCCTCGTTCAGATCGCACTTGGCTATAAGGGATTGTTCACGACGTTCCAGTTTGTCCAAGTAATTCTCAACGCGCTTGAGGAGGTTGTCTACTTCAGGGCGGATCTCTGAGAGGAGTGCTGATTGTGCGGTCTGGAGGTCTGACTCGGAGATGAGTTCAAAGTGCTGCGACGGGGTTAGCTGGGCGAATGCATCCGGATACGTTGACTTGTACTCACCCGTGTTGTCTGCAGTACTTTGGCTAGTCGAGGAAAGTCGCTCACACCTTGATCTAGTATGTTGATGGATGAATCGAGCAATTGCATGCTACTGCGCAGCGAGCCCACGCACCCCTCCAATGCCATGATAGCAAGCGTGTCTTCAGTAGCACAAGCAAGGGCCTGCTGTGGTGAGTGGAGTGGAATGTCGCGGGGTTGTTTACCAGCGAGTGGTAGGATCCGTGCGCAGACGCCAAGCATATCGAAGTTCCGGTCGTTCGGCCTGAAAGCTCAACCGCCATCACCGTCATCCCTCGCCGCAACCGTCAATCGATCCATTGCCCCTCCAAAACAAGTCACAATGCCTCTTCTCGGAAGGAAGTTCCCGGCGCAGATCGGTATGTTGGCCTGCACCACGCAAAGAGTGGAGAATGAAGCTCGAAAAGACGGCTAACCAAAGTCCTACAGCCAAGCCCATGTGGCCTTTCTACGTCTCTGGTACGTCGCGCGACTTTGTTTGGACCTAACAAGATCTGGGAAAATCACACCGTGTGGGATTGGAAAGAGTTGGAGAACGTGGAGAAGCGAAGGATTGCTGTAGGAGGATAAGATTAACAAACGAGCCAGGTCTTGTCATCCTCTACGGTGTCAACTCTGCCGCCAACGCCATGGCCCAGTGTGCGTAATCCCCATCCGAAAGACGCAGCCAGCCGGCTTGGTCCATGTTCACAAGCTGACCAGCACAGCCGATGAGTACAAGAACGACCCGCGCAACCCAGCCCTCAAGAACCAGGCGCCGAACCACTAAGTCTGATACTTCACGATATGGGGAGCGGTCTTTGGGCATGCAAGTGCCTTTTGAGGCAGTGTACAATAGCCGCGGGGACGGAAGATCAATCAAGATCTCTTACTGAGATGGCTGTATAGACTTTGGCAAAATCAACCCCATCACGAAGTAGCACTGCTCTTGCTCTATTGTTCTGATCACGCGCGGGTGTTCGAGCTTGCCCTGAAGCGCAGCACGAATGCAGACCGTGTCGTCGAGTTCTACAAGTGTCCCAGGCAGTGTTCAAAGATGCGACTGGATCCATGCAATCTAGTCAACTAACGTTCAGACACAACGCGAGCTCTGCCATACTGTGGTCTACCTATAGCTTACTCCTAGGAATTCGCACGCTCATAATTGCTGTCAGAGGTTGAGAGTGTAGATGAATACAAGCCGCCAGATACGTGTGACGTGGTGGTTCGCCCAGTATAGCGCACTCGGTCAGCCTGCATATGTAAAAGGTGCTAAAGAATCTCGCAATTGTGACATCACGACGACACAGCTGGGAGCCAATGTTGGGACCGATGCTTTCCTTTGCTTCGTATCCAAAAGCACGTCGCGAGTCGCTACCAGTCTGGTAGAGGCGGCTGCAGGACGTTGTTGGTGAAAGTTGGATCTAGCGCCATCGACGCGACAAGTATTTGAGAAGCACTTCAGATTGGCGCATAATGCATAAAGGGGGCAGAGGTGTGGCTCAGTTCCATGATGGGTCGCCAGGCGACGGCATTTGAAACGGGCAGTGGCATTTTGACAGTGACACCCTGGACATGTGCGGAATCCCAAGACGCAAACGGGCGCTGATCTGGGTAGCGATTCCTCCGAGCGGTCCAGGGATCAGATGTGCGGACCGCAGGCTTGATACACTGCGGCGGGCAGCGGCAGCAGCAGTGAAAGAGCTCGTCTAGCGCGCCAAGCAAAGTGGCCGAATACAACCTTGGAAGGCAGGTGGTCCTTCTGCAACCTCTCCGTCTGCGTTCCTTTGATACAGCACCACGACCGCAGCGTGCTTGTTTGACCAGGCTTCTCCGCTGTTCTGTGCCCTGCAGCTGTCTTTTAGCATCCTGTGCCATAAGAGCAAACCTCGCCCACCCCCCAGCCCGCACAAAACCCCCCCTGGCGTCGTGATTCCGTTGGGCTCATTCACGCCCTACAGTAAGTCCTGCCTGCCCAGCTCATCACTCGGCTCCGCCCTCTGCTTCCCGTGCCCGACGCAGTCTCTCACCACCACCACGCACCTGTATCGCTGGCACTTCCTTTACCTGTCGGTCAACACGCTTCTACTGTCTCTCTTAGCGTTTCTCGGCTGCCCGCTCCGCTTACTCACCGCCTTGTTGGCTAAAGCCTCATACTGACCGGTCCACTGCAGCAGGCTGATCCTCAAAACACCGCCGCGCCCCCATCGTCACAACAGACGATCCACCCCCCTCAACACCACCACCACCACCTCCTCCACCCTCACCACAGGCCAGCCTCCTCAAGGTTGAACCGGCCGCAAGCATGACGACAATGGTACGCTCCGACCCCGCTTGCTGTCGCCCATGGCGGCCGATAGGCTCGTCTCTGCAGCACCTTGAGCTAACACAGTAACAGGACCTCCGTGTCGGCAACAAATACAGAATCGGCCGCAAGATTGGTAGCGGCAGTTTCGGTGACATCTATCTCGGTACGTCGTTGTCGCTAACCGCCCATCGTCGCCATGACGAGCCCAGCTGACGTGTGTAGGTACCAACATCATCTCTGGTGAGGAGATTGCCATCAAGCTCGAGAGCGTCAAGGCCAAGCACCCCCAGCTCGAATATGAGGCTCGCGTCTACAAGTCGCTCGCCGGCGGTGTTGGCATTCCTTTTGTCCGCTGGTTCGGAACCGAGTGCGACTACAACGCCATGGTCCTGGACCTGCTCGGCCCTTCCCTTGAGGACCTCTTCAACTTCTGCAACCGCAAGTTCTCCCTGAAGACTGTCCTGCTCCTTGCCGACCAGCTCATCTCCCGCATCGAGTACATCCACGCCAAGTCCTTCATCCACCGCGATATCAAGCCCGACAACTTCCTCATGGGCATTGGCAAGCGCGGCAACCAGGTCAATGTCATCGACTTTGGTCTGGCCAAGAAGTACCGCGATCCCAAGACTCACTTCCACATTCCTTACAGAGAGAACAAGAACTTGACTGGTACCGCCCGTTACGCCAGTATCAACACTCACTTGGGTGTCGGTATGTATCCCGCTTCTCATTCGACTTCACAAACTAACGTCTATAGAACAATCCCGCCGTGACGACATGGAGTCCCTCGGCTATGTCATGCTTTACTTCTGCCGTGGATCCCTTCCCTGGCAGGGTCTTAAGGCGGCCACCAAGAAGCAGAAATACGACCGCATCATGGAGAAGAAGATGACCACCCCCACCGAGGTCCTCTGCCGTGGCTTCCCCAACGAGTTCGCCATCTACCTCAACTACACCCGCTCCCTCCGCTTCGATGACAAGCCCGACTACTCCTACCTCCGCAAGATCTTCCGCGATCTCTTCGTCCGTGAAGGCTTCCAGTACGACTACGTATTCGACTGGACCGTCTACAAGTACCAGAAGAACGCCCAGGCCATCGCCCAGGCTGCCAACCAGGGCCAGGGCGAGGAAGACGACAAGGGCCGCGGACGTCACGTCACCACCACTGCTGCTGCCAACGCTGGCACAGCAGCTGGCACCAAGCGCGGTCCGGTCAACGCACGCCAGGAGGGCACCGGAATGTGAGTTCGATATATCTGATCCTCGTAAGGGACCCTCTCCTTTGCGTTTGGTGTTGAGAACGCTTAGCGCGGGGGACGCCAGATACAGATCTTACTAACCTTCTTCTTTCTTTCAGGCAGCTTCGTTCGGCCAATAAGCGTGGCGGGGACCAGTATGCATCTGGTTACTGATTTGATGCGGCTTTCGATTCGTCATCTCAACTCTTGCGTGACCGCTTCTTCTGACTCGGCTCCGCACTCACAACGAATGGGAAATGCGGCATTGCCGTCCTGGCAACATTTTGGACGGCGTCGCTCCTTGATCAGTTCGTGGGATCCATTCGTCAGACACCTCATACGGACCTAGAAAGACATTTTACTGTCTTGCATCTACTACGGCCAAGGGTCTTTGACGACTATCTCATATCTCTGGAAGCTCGACCTACACGGTATCTCAAATTGGCATAACAGTTCGGCTTGCAAGCAACACATCTCAACTCTTTCCGGATCATCAGCCAACAGATTATCTTGGAACGTCTTGCACGGCTCGCGTCTACTGGGCAGCTTTCCAGCTGATGACTGATCTTTGTTTGACATTTTACGGCTTTCACCTCGCATTAATTACCCCTCCTGCCCCCCTTTTTGTGCTTTTCTGCGGTTTTTAGTAAATTTCCTTGCGTTTCCCCCTTCGGATATGGTCTGCCAGCTTGTGGGGAGGTAAAGAAACTTAGCAAGGGGACGATTTGTCAAATTGTAATCTGAAAGAGAGAGTGTTCACGTGGCTGAAGCTTGGCTGGTTAGACTCGAAGGGTTTGCGATGGGTGGTGTGCGGCTAGTTCAGTCTCTGTGGGATGGCGGTATTCCTCTTTCAACCAAGGAGGCCGCACTTCCGGGGACGAACCAAGAAGATAAAGGGACGAGACAATTATCTAGTTCGCTATCACGCCCATTGCGCTTTGGAGACGGGGAACAGAAGGGGGGAAGGATCGGGATGAGTGATGGTGGTGTGCTCTTTCTTGTTTTGTTTTGTGCTTTGCTTGTGCGTTTTGGAAATATATGGTTTTTGCGAATCTTTCTCTCTATTGGTGATTTGGATGCGTGTTGTGTGATGTGATGTGATGTGACGTGAAGTGACTGTCGTCCGTTTGAGATGGTAGTTGATTTTCTCACCATAGTAATGCGAAGAGTAGCTATGTCTTGTCTGCCTAGGCATGTATGTGTGTGCGTGCGTGTGTGTGTTGATTTGCAACTTATAGAACAATACATGTATTTAATATTCTCAAAACGCACACCTCAAAAGAACAGCTATTTTGACTAGAGAAACCTTGTATTAAAACTAAGCTCATGTACACGTAGCTAAAGCTTATTTAGTCTACTAATCGCTAGAATGTAACAACCCCGCACACGGTACATGTAGCAGCTATTGAGAAATGTAGAGTTTCTAGACGCGAACCGTTAGGTATTAGAGAACCTCAGACAGCAGGCAGGCGGCGATGTGACTAATATATGTTCCTTTGCTCTTAGGGATTATATCTCAATCAATGATTCTTTGTCTATGTCTTGTTCGCTCTTTCTTTCGTTATTCCTTTTTTTTTATCTATAGGGTAAGTGTTGTGTCTAGTATGCCCGAGGTACTGTGGAGTTGTAGAGCTATGGTGCACATCAACAGGTTCGTGAGGAAGCACTGGTATGAGGTGATGGAGTTGGATGGAATGAGAACAGAACGGATAAAAAGGCGCTTAAAGTGGCCTCAATGGTGTTATTAATCGCTGATCGCGACGACTAGACTTGCGCCACCACGCCTCCAATGAGGTACATCTCTTCCGCTGTGTAAGAGCGATCCTTTTGTGGCGTACATCGACAGGGGGAGCTGCATGGGCTTTATGCGAGGACTGGGTATTTTTCTGTGTAGATCTCAGTCATTGCCACTAAAGAGGTAAGGCATACCCAGCAAAGAATCAGAAGGGGAAGGATGAGACCGACTTAGTGTAGAAGGCTGAGCTAACGTTCTAGTCTAGAGAACAACGAGGCTGATGTAGCTCATAAAGCTGAGCTGAAATTCTAGTCTAGAGGACGAGGCTGATATAGCTCATAAAGCTGAGCTGAAATTCCAGTCCGGAAGACGAGGCTGATATAGCGCAAGAAACCGCATGGGAGTTGGTTACTAGTAGGATAGAAGGAAGTATATATAACAGCAGGATCTGGAGACAACATGCTGGGAAACTGCAATTCCTATTCCTCCTGGTCTTCCAAAAGTAGCTACGAACTAAGATGCTTCTCAACACACTTTTGGTGTTTTTCGTCGGCCTCGCTGCGGCTGTCCCTACAACCAACATTAACACTCAGCCGTCGTACCCTAAATGTAGCAATCGAAAAGACCCCGCTTTTGTGGCGTATCAGCTTCTAAAGTTGAGTCCTCTAGGCCAGAAATGGTGTAAAGCCAAGATCGCACCCATTACACAGACAATCACAGTAGGAGCCGTCCAGACTGCGAAGACTACAGAGACGACGTTGAATGTCGTAACGATCACGGGCGGAATCGGCGGAACAACAACACTCACTGCTCCCGTGGAGACGGTGGTTCAGACCCAAACAGCGTGAGTTCATGATCCTTAGATCGAGTATCGTTTCGCTGACTGCAAATCAGCATGGCTACGACTACTGTAACCAGCTCGATTTGCCCAGATCCCATATCCCCTATGCCAACGAAGAGGGCCAATGGTGACTGTCCCAATTCACCCATCCTCGGGTGGGCGTGCGAGATCCTTGAATATGCCTGCCACTGCCTCAATCTTCCAACTTCTACGATCAAGAAGACGGTCACGACAACAGCTACCACTCTTGTGTCGACGACCACAACCGTCGTCTCGACAACAGCGGTAAGTCCTGACGCATGCAAACTTATTCGACGACCGACTGACTCTTGTAGATCCCAACCACTGTCATGACAACTCCGACCATCACCAATACCGTGACGGTGACTTCGACGTCCACACTCTGCACCGTAGCCGCACCTCGACCAACATGCAACAACCCCTCCACCTGCGACAAAGTCAACCAATGTACTGGCACTTCCAGCTGCATCTGCATCGCAGGCTCCGACGGCATCAATATGTGCGGTAACGTAGCCGTCGACCAGGGTTGTAGTGTGCAAAAGCCATGTGACGTAAACGCCGATTGCAACCCAACGGAGATCTGTATAACAGCATGCTGTAGCACCAAGATTTGTTACGCAACAGAGGGATGCCCAAATGCTGCGTCAACACGGCGGATGTTCAGAAAGGATGCGTCGCTGGTGGACAAGCGCAGGGATCTGCCACCTTCGTTTGATCCATCCGCTGCTAAAGCTCTCTGAGAATGTGGCAAATGGCTCGAAATGACTCTGGTCACGTTGTCTGGGATCGCCTCAAGTGACTGCAGATTCTACTGTAGTCATTCTGTAACAACACTAGCTCGATTCATCCCAGCTGAGAATTTCACTAATCCTTTACATGTCTCTTTCTATGTTTGCCTAAGAGAAAATGAGTGTCCTGACACGCAAGGGGTCCCATTAAGTAGGCGCAGACATTGTAGAACTAGAATGGTAATGGAGAACAGAAGTCTCACATAGAGAGAATAGTAGAAGACAACGTCAATTCTTTAGTCTAGCATATGCCTCGTCGGCACGCTGGACGGGATACTCATTGAATGCACATCAGCATGGCCAGGGCTTCATATACACAGACAACCATCAGCCTCCTGATCAATAACAACCAAGTTGCTCAAGAGTGAGCTCTCAAGCAGATGAAAAAAAAGGACGTTGATGAATAATTTCAAGACATTCGAAAACATCTCAATAGATTACCCAGAACCCGCATAAGCTATACGGTTCTGGCTAAAATGTACTCTGTTCGTGTTGTGCTATGCATCTACCATCCAAACAGACACTCGTATATCCACCACCCACAACAAGGTGACACGAGATATAATGCTTACCTCCTAAAAAGGCAAGCAAACCAGCGAGCAAGTAAGCAAACAAACAATTGGATGCCCCTCTTATGCATACTACTCCTACTACCACACTCTTGCCTCACTCCCCATAATCCGATAAACCATCGAATAAACAATGTAGCATCTACAATAAATGCAACATAGGCCCCGTCGCGGGTTCATGCTACGCCACAAAAACCGAACACGTCGGTAAATTGCGTCGACTATAGCTATTTCTGTTTTTGAAACGGAAGCAAAAAGTGGTTCCGTAACGTAGCATGTGGGGAATAGATGGTAGGCAAGATGCTCAAAACCTGAGCATCAAATATCAAGGTATAGAACAATTGAGCAAGAAAAGAAAAACTCATTTTCATCACCCATAAATCTTCGTCAAGTTTCGTTCTCGGTATTCGGGCTGGAAGACGGTTCAGCTTTTAGCTGAGAAGCTGCTTCGGGTGTCGCTACCTCTGACCCTGTCTTCTTCAGCGCCGCGAGTTCTTTCTTCAGTGCATCCATCTCTTGATCTTTTTTGTTGATCAAGTCATCCCGCTCGGATACTTCTTGCTTTAGCTGTTTAATGTACTCTATGGCGCTTTCCACCTTGGCTGCCTTGGAGTTGTTCGAGTTTTGCGCATTGGTCTCAGGGCTTTTGGCGTCTGGAATGGCGCCGAGCTGCGGGGAGGGGAGGAGCGCTTGCATTTCTTGGAGGGCCATGTTGATGCGGTTTCGGCGGCCTTGCTCGGCGATCTTGTGAGACGTGCGTTTGGAGGTGAGGTTGGTGGAGAGCGATGTCGGATAGACAACGCCGGGGACTGTGGTACCATCGAGGATGTTCTGGTAGTTTGACTTGGATGCCAGAAGGAGGGCGTGGGTGTTGTCGGTGACACCTGCTGGAAGTCAGATTAGATAACGTAATTGGGTCTAAGAAGATACTTACCACTTCCACCATCGGGTAGCAGAGGCTTTATGCTGGGCGAGATCTTGGGCCTTAGAGCGGGGCTGACAAGATTCGAGCTGACGCTGTTCCTTTTCTTGGGATTGCGCGCTGGCTTCAGGTCTTTCTTGCCATTGGTCATGGAGAAGGCTGGGCTTGTCGGGGTCGACATAGCGTCTAGCATCGGACTAGGCCTGGCTGACATGGAAGCTCCAGGTGTGCTCAGAGGATTCAACTTGGGCGTTTTCCGTACACGGGACGTGTCACCATCCTCATTCCGTATCACTGTGTCCAATCTTGACAGGCCTGGCCGATCTAGAGAAGCTTCTGGCAGGGTGAGGTCTTCCAGCATCGGTGGTGCTTCCTGCGAGCCACTAAAGTCGGGCGAGGGTTGTATTCGCATAAGGGATGCTGGAGTGGCTGGAGTGCCGTTCTGGCTGTTGCGTTGGGCAAGCATGGCAGGAGAAGCTGTTGAAGAACTGGGCTTTGGCGGCGGTCGCATCTCAGACAGCATAGGTTCGGGAGATATAGAATCCGTCTCTGAGCTCTCGCGAGTTCTCGGCACATCCAACCCGTTGGTGGACGGACGTATTGACCGCGCTTCCTGCATGAGTTCGGTGACCTCCTTGGGTGGGATGAGCGAGGAAACGGTTGCTTTTCGCCGGTTGGGTTTCACAATGGGCGACTGTCGTACGCGGCCGTTGGCATTTGCCCGTGGTGCGTTCCTTTTGTTAGTACTCCGTAGACTCCTCCGTCCTTGCTCCTGTGGAACCATGGCAGGCTCACCCAACATGTCCATATCTACATCGATGGGCGAATGCCCAGCGGAACTCCCAGACGTCGTGTTTTGCGACTGCTGATGCGCATGCTGATGGCTCTGGGCATTCAGGGCGGGCGATGTGAGTGGGCTGAAGTAGGCTCCTGGTACGGTGAAGTCGGGAATCTGGAAGCGCGCATCGTGGGGCGTCACTGCGGGCGAAACTAGTGGGGTAAAGGTCTATATGGGTCAGTGGGGGTTTGTGGTAGCTTCCAAATCCGACATACCGCATCGTCCTTGCGCATATGGTATCTCTGGTCGAATAGCGACTGGTGAGGGTCCAATTGCGTGAGATAGCGATGGGGGTCGCCATGCATCTCTATGCTATTTGGCGTGGGCGGGACGCCCTGGTGTGGACGATATATTTGGTCCTGGGCCTGGGTGAAAGCTGGCGTTCCGGCCTGGCTGTACGCGGGCATGCCATAGTCGAAGAAATTGTTGGTGGGCTGCGACATGCCATGACCACCCAAGTTCTGGACCTGCTGGCCTCCATTGGCGCCATCGCGGTGGTCCTGGGGAAGTTGCGGGGGATACTGGCCCTGGAGATGGTGGACATTGAGCGACTCGGTCAGATCGGCGAGTTGATTGCCATTAGAGGCGGGTCCTTCGTGACTGTAACCGTCAATGTTGAAGTGCAGGTCTAGATTGTCGAAGTCGATGAATTCAGCGCCGGCGAAGTCCTCTGTAGCTGGGTCCATTTGAAAATGCTCGGCAGCGCTCCAGGACTGAGTCGTCGAGCTGTTCATATCGTCGCCGCAGGACCCCGGGCGGAGGGGAGAGAGAAAATTGCCGTCGCGAAGATGGGCGCGGGTGGGGCTACGCGGAATTGGGACCGGGTTGCTGCGTCTCTTTACATGTGTTCTCTCTGGTGCGCGTCCAAGGTGCAGTCGCGTTTGGCGACAGTGCAGATGGCTGGCAGTAACTCTGGCGTCGCTCTCTCCACTGAATACTGAAGAGAGTGTCGTCGGGGTCAGGACGAGGCACTGCACGAGAAGAGCCCGGGTGGTAGGCCCCCACGGTGATTTGATAAGACTGGGGGGGCAGTTCGCCCGCGCACGTCGAATTCAGCGCGGGTTACAGCCAACTGCGGCTTGCAAAACCTGGCCTCGCGTCCTCAGCCTATTATCATGTGCCGCCAGAGCATTCACAGACCCGCCCACCTGACGTTCAGCCTTCATTCTGCTGGTCATGTTGGCCGTGTGGTGTTGACCAGAGTCTCGCAGATGACTTGACTCGCGCGCGTGGGATGCATGCAGCAACCTGGAGTACAGCTGCAACAAAAGCTACTGCGCAATATCCTCGTCATTCACTCGATTCACAGTGCTGGGCCGCGGTTCAGGGTCTGCGCAGGTGCAGCGATGAATTAGGCACAGGCTGGATGCAAAAGGCAAAGATGGGCGGTATTTTGGTAGACATCAGAACTAGTCAGCCAATAGTGCGGTCCCGCATACATTCGGCCGGGGGAGGCGTAGGCGAGCAGGCCAGCTGCGTCGCATTCGTTCGCTATTGACATGCATCCTGGTACACTATACATTACCTCAACATGGTTGCACCAGTGAGCTGGTCGTGCAAACAGCAGACGGTGATTGCTTCGTCCTGCAGCCACACGTGAAGGTGTCTGGTTGGATGGAGAATATCTTTGTTTTGGCCAGGTCGATTGGGCTGTAGCGCGACTGACTACGGCTGTTTGCCGGTGGAGCGCGACGCCATGGTGATGCGCCTTGTTAATCTCGTTTGCCCTAGCAGCATGTAGCCACCTACCCCTTCCAGCAAGTTCCCGCCTGTCCAGATCGCCTCGACTGCTCGAATCGAGGCTCTCGCGATTGTTTGTGTTGGAGTGAGGAACTGATTTACTGGAGCCATCCATCGTCTATGAATTGACAACCGATTGAAGAAAACATGTCATTGTCCAAAGTGAAGAAGTGATGGAGAATGAATTATGAGAGTGCTTTTATCTCGTGATTGTAGAACCTAGAAAGCCGCCGTGACCGACTATAAGAAAAGACTGAAAACCCCCGCGCGCTGCGCTGCAAACATCAACAGCAGCGAGCTCCGTATCCGAGTAATTTACACATTGCTGAAAAGTACATGGCCCGTCCGATTGCCTCGCTCCCAGGACTACTGCGCGAGACTTGGCCACACCGGGTCCTTGGGTATTAATCAACCTCCTCCTAAAGGGTAAAAGAAAACAGACTCTGCCGTCAAAAGGGCCCCGCACAACGCCGGTAAAGGACATGACCATCTGCATCTTTGTCGTCGTTTACATTACGATGCAGCAGCCGTTGCTTTGTTGTGGCGCGTAGGGGTCGTCGCGCTTGTCAATCTGGGTGTGTTAGAGCGGCGAACAGATAACAAGAGGCGCACGTATACTGACCGTTCCCCATCGTGACGGTACCATCCAGTCTTTTGGCTCTTTATCCGTGAATGCAATGAGACTGCCGGTCGTGGTTAGCCGTGCTGTCCGCGGTATCAATGCGACTTGGTCTTAAACGTACTCTAATGCGGCTTCGGACACGGGTATCCTGCGGCGCTCGAGGTCCTCCCGCAGGCGCTGGTTGAGTTCGGTGAGGCGTCGCAGCTTGAGCTCGGCCATGCTCTGCTTCTTGCTCTTGCCGTCGCCGCCGGTCCGGATCTC